GTATTTTAATTAAAAGTTTCAAGCGTATACAAATTATAGTATTTAATTTTTATATTGTTTTCATGTATTAGTAAAAGCAAAACATTTTACCATTAGCAGTCCAATGTCACATTTCTTGGATAGATTTCTCTGAATTTTAAGAAATGTATTATTTTTATTTGTAGGTGTATACATATTTAAATATTTGATATTGGATTATCGGAAATAATTAACTTTGTACTTATTCAATCCTTCCTTCGCCAATAGATTTTAATTTATTAAAACCTGCGTTATTCGCACGAATACGATTATACAAGAATTACTGTTATTATTTAATTACTTATAAAAATATGTTTTACATAAAATAGAAAAATTTACTTTGTCTCATAATTTCTAAATAAATAATAAGGTAATCATTTTTTAATTTTTATCTGATTCTTATTTATTCTGAATATCTGATTAAATATCGCCGAACATCGTTCAATCGTTAATTATAAATTATTAACAGTCATAGAATAGGTTGGGAAACAGCAGAACACACATTATCTTATCTGTATTTCATAAAACCAATTATTTTATATTTACATACCAATGTCATATTAATATATTATACGACTCGTTCATTTGTATATTCGTATACTTGTATACCATTTATTTTACAAATTTATAGTAATAATACAAATAATTAGCCTCCAATACAGGTTAAATAGAAAAAGGTGATTTAATTTTAGAAAATTCACTCCACTCTCTCTCTCTTTTGGGTGACTTCTAGATCTGCTATTGGATGTACCTATCACCTCAATTTAAAATAATCACAAACAAAAAATTACAAATACTGATTGTTAAAATTCATCTCGTTTTAATATAGTAATATAATCTAGTTTTAATTACACTATTTGCATTTTGACAAAATAAATATTTTATAGTAAATACGAGTCGAGAATTTATAGTGCAAATATGCAAATTCTATGTACATACGTACAAAAGATAGATATGTTATCATTATACATATTATATATTATGTATGCATATGTATATATATATATATATGCGTGTGTATCGGTCTCCCATGAAGATATACCCATTGTAATATCTCCGGAGATAATAAACATAAACAAATTCTATTTTTTTTATATTATTTACTGGGATAAGGCCTACAAATATTAATATTACAATTTAATTTTTTATGTTTTGGTAAAAAACAAAAAAAAATAACTTTGTTTTTGAAAAATTTGAAGATAACTATTATACAGAGTTTATTCTTTTGAAAATGTTGACGTACTTATCAACTTTTTATTTTCTAATTGTAATAATAATAATCAATTAAAAACACGATTATAGCCAGTGCCCTGTTGCCTAATTATAGGTTCTTTTCTCTGAACTTCAAAAAATTATTAAAAATCATGAATTTAATGAAAATAAAAAGTCAATGTATTAACATTTTCAGAAAAGTAATAATTTTAAGTTCTTTTTATCAAAGCATAAAAAATAAATTACAATATAAAAAAAACCAGAATTTGATTATCTTTATTCTCTCTGGAGATATTATAATTGGTATATCTTCGTTGGACCATGTGCATTCACAAAAAAATATTTCGAAGGGGGTTTCAGGATGTACACTTTCATACCTTTATAACAAAGAAGTTTACATGCTTTCAACCGTAGGATTATTTATTTTTCATTAAAAATGACAATATTTTATAACATTTAATTTTAGCCTCTTAGGTATCTATATTATTCAATTTTCCATTTAATATTTTTTCAGTGAATACAGCCTAAATGATAACGTAATTCATATTATTGTGATGATGCGGACTATACAATATCGCCGTATCAGTTATTATTTTCTAAAAGCAGAAAAACCACAAAAAATTAGAAATGACAATAATAACAATATATACGTACTATCTATAGTCTTATATAATAAAATGAAACTGACATTTTATTTATCTTTCCCATTGACAAAAGCTGTTTTTGAGACTCGATTAAAAATCTACTTTTATCACAATTTTCTTAATAATTTGGGTGGGGTTTTAACCCCTAACCTCCCCCCCCTATACACTCGCCCGCGTGGGACTCTCTGCATATATCCAAAATAATACTTTTTAAGTGGGGACATCAAGTGTTCCGAATGATGTGAGCGTGGTGCAATAACCCAGAACATTGAATATCTAGTCGAAGAGTACCCTTTACATAATTCCTCTTTATTAGTCATTATTAAATTTGTTATATATTATTACATATTTCCTTTCTTAAATTCTGAGCGAACCGAGAAATGTACTGGTTTTAGCGTGATGTACTTTTTATTTTATCTATCTATGAAGAACTTTTCGACCAGACATCTTGATCCAATCGAAAAATGACGAGACCTTTTTTGTTGAATTTTTAATCTAGTTAATGAATAAAAATGATTTGTTTTTTGATTTTATCTGTAATTTTATTAATAATTAGAAAAACCGGAAAAAAATGTAAAATTAAAACTGACAAATTTACGGCGCTATAGAATTCCTTTATGTTAAATTTGTACGGATTTCTACAAAAAATATTGCTCCAGTAGAAAAACAACAAGAGATCTTTTTTGTTTCATTTTTAATATAGTTGGTAAGTAAGAAAATCAGTTTTTGATTTGCTTAGTAGTTTTTTTAATAATTTAGCAAAACTGAAAAATACGTAGAAAGAACGGGAATATTTTTTTAAAATGTAATTCAGTTAATAAAAATATTCTTAGAGACTTGAAATTTGTATGGAAAACTTGTGTTTACTTTTTATAGATGTAGTAGAATTTTAAAAATATTTTAGCAATTTTTGAGCTATTTAAAGACATTTAAAATGTTACACAAGGTATATTATAAGTTGTACTTAATTATCTAAACAAAATTTTTGAGTTTAATGCTTTAATTTGTTTTTTTATCAGTGTTTTAAGATCATATTTTGAAGAAAATCGTATGAATTGACATTAACTTTATGTAACCTACCTTCCTAATTTTCCACCTACAACCGTGATTGCACAGTGCACGTGTCCCCAGTGTTAGCTCTTTATTATTTTAATATTACAATTAGCTAAATCGACAGTTAAAGAAACAAAAAAAAAAAAGTCTCGTGGATTTTTGTTCTGATTACCATGTATAGAGTGGTACTCTGGTACACATTACAGGTTGGTATCTGCTATACATAGACTTTTTTATAACGAGGAAAACATTAGCTATCTTTCATCTTAGTCAGGTACGTAGGTAGGTGAAATGACTAAATCAAGCTCGATTTAGTTTTGTTTACATACCTCCCTCATATACTTTATGGCAAGCACACATACATTATACTACATTTTTACATCAAAAATATACCTAATACTATACTATACTATACTATATTAATACGAACTAGTGAACATCATAAAATAAAATAAAACTATGGTAACGTATGTATTGGCTATATATCAACCTCCTTTGCCTAGCATTGTGCTGCATCCATAGCTTTATGGTCACCCATCATCTGCAGGTCCTCATCTTGTGGTCCCGATCTTGGTGCCATTGTATTAATATGTTCTTATCCATATTTACAAGTTATGTCGTGGACTCGTGGTCGTTATATTTGCGCATATTTTCTCTTATGATCGCCTTACGGCCTACACCTATTAGCTGTCTGTTTAGTTTCTTCCATCTTGGCCATTCTAATAGTTTCTATCCACCTTTGGTAGGTCATGTCCATTAGTTGTTTTTTTATTCTGATAAAATCAGATTTCTTAAGGAATCTGGTAATAGCTAAGGCTTCGGATATCTTGAGAAAATTCTTCATTCTTGATTTCAGTAAGAAAAGTATATAGGAACACTTACCAAACACATATACTATATACAGTGTTATTGTCATAATACCTATACGGCTATACATAGGTATATCGTTCATCATCTGTGTTTTCGGCTCTTTGCGATTAAGTATTTCGTTTATACACATCACATGGACAAATGACAAAAAACCTAGGTAATATTATTGCGTTTTCGCGTACTTACCAGAACTTATTTACCTATATTATTTATTTTTTTACAATCCGAAGATTGGTTTATAACAAATTTATTTACAACAGATGCTTTTTTCATATTTTCCTTTTGTCTGTCATAAGAATCTTTGTAAGAAATCGCTCCTGCATTCTTCATTGATCTCGATCCCTCCATCATTTCTTCAATTATTAAGCTGTGTAATCCTCACCATATTTCAGCGTGTAGCCTATCCATATGCCATCTCATTTTCTATAGAGCATCTGAAAATGTTTTTTTTTTCATATATTGTCTTTTAAGAATTCCTCGTTCGTTTTTATTAGTTATATTATCACATTTCTTGAGCCTCTAACATATCTTTATTCTCTTATTTGTTTATTGTCCACGTCTCACATCCATATTATAATAAAGCCACACTTCAAACATGGTTTTATTAGTTTATTATTATATATATACACATATTATATTTTAATTATTTGTAACCATACACGTGAGTGGTATATTATTATACACATCATGCGAGGTATAAATGTATAATACGTAAGCTTCTCGAGCTGTACCGGGTACCTATTATTATACTGTCGTTTTCATCAGCTCGGACAGCGGCTACCATATTATTATTACCGATACCCAGGTGCCTATTAATATTATTGACGTCGTCGTAATAGAAGCGCGAAGCGAGTTGATTAATTTTAGGCGTGAATTATTTTTTCCCGTCCCGACGTTCCGCCGTCGCCTCGGCTGATTTCCGCGCCGCGCGGACGAAAAATAATATTATTACATTATTAACGATAAATGTATTTATTTATTTATTTATTTATTTATTTACGCGGTTGACTCAGAAATACGTGCCGCGCGTCTGTGTTTATTGTAGGTATAACCTATACATACCGGTAGGTACGCGCGCTTGCGTGTGTGTGTGTGTTGTACGTGCGTGCGTAGGAGTAGGGGGACGGGTAGGCCAGTTCTAATAAAACTGTATGTGTGTGTGCACGAGCGCGCGCGCGCTTTTTTTTCTCACTATTTTATCGTATCACAATGTTTTTAGTCTGGTTTGCCCGCCCGAGCACTCTGTTAGTCAGTTGACCGCTCGCATAACACATACTTATCACTACGCTAGGTAGTTAGGTACTACTACTGCCGCCGTTGCCGCCACCGTCGCCGTCCGATAAGTATCTCGGTGGATTTACGGAAATCGTCCGATCGTCGCCACCGCTGCCGCCGTCGCCACACCACGAGTCCTGCCGTCCCCCCACGAGTAAGTCGTACCTCTTACGAAATATAATATAGGTGTTATAATATAATATGCAGGGCGAAGTATTAACGCGTTAATATTATTACACAGACAATATTCAATTGTATCGTCGCAACGAGCGTGTAGGAGGCGCGCACGTGAATAGCGCATATATTTTTCGATTATAACGTTATTAGTTGGATAGATGTATGGTATTCGATTAACAATAAAAAATCGTTACGATTGTAATATTACGCCACTAAGTGTGTAACGGTGATGATGGGTAAGGCACTTATGGTGCGTGCGAGCCGACGCGGGCCGCAAGAATGAGACGCACGCCTTATACGCGGTTACTGCAGCGGCGGGTATTACATACTTATATAATGCACGCGGTTATTAATTATTATCATTATTCAAAAACTTATAATGCGCGCGTTTTTGATTTCAAATATTTTGTCAGACGGTAGGTGTACGGCGCAGTGTTAAAAAATAATAAAATATATTATACATGCCTACACCTAGTTCTTTGTTATTTAGGTAGGTATTTGAATAATTGAATAATTCAAAATTGTGTGTCCCACATCACGTACCTACAACTTACCAATCTATAGTATCTATCACCGTTTTTCGCATGCAAGCGTAAAAACGGAAGCGGTAAAAATGCTTAAACAAATGACCGATTAACAATTTGATAATATTGTATACTTACCTACCAGTTAATTCGGATTGATTAAAAATTAGTTTGCTAATTTAAGTACGTATTGCACGTATTATCCGCTTAACGTTTGTTAATCAATACGGCATAACGGTATGACATACGTCAATAAAAAATAATAATAAAAGTACCTAATTTTTTTCCAGTGAAATACGATTTCGTCAGGTAAATTTTACTAAACTGTCTGACGTTTCTAGCGAGTACTTATACAACCTATAATTTCTTAGGTTAGTTGTAGGCTAGTTTAAGTTAGTGGTGTGGCTACCGCAGGAGCAACCGAGGTAGGAGTCGTCTCGTAAAATTTATTTGGCGGCTTACATGTGTGATAGAGACACTGGTGGTTTTCAAGTATTAGGTATTAAGGTAAACAAATTATGATTAAAATGTACCTAATAAATTTGAACATGCACGTGAAGAAGGTCGAATAGCTAGTTTTTCACGCCACTTTAATTGACTGCGATTTATGTGTCACCTAAACTGACAAACTGATAAAACTGACAATATTATAACCATACCAATTGCCATTCATACATTCATACCATTAAATTTAAATATACATAGTTGGTAAATACATAACAATTACTATACAAATTATTTCATATTTTCCTAAACATGTGGATGTATATTATATCAATAAAAAGTATAAATAGAATACACATATGCATGGTGTTTTGTAAATGTAAATTTATATAATTTAAAACTAAAACGAAAGTTTTAATGTGATAAGGTGGAGTGGGTTCATCTTCGTTTTCAAAAAAAAAAAAAAAAACTCAGCCAACCCTGATCTGGTGACAATAGGTATAATTTCTATTTTTCACCATAGAGACGAAACAAATGTTTTACCTCATGGCGTTTTGATGTGTAGTTACGCTACTGAGTTAGGTTGTACCTTTGATTATTATGGAATTATTACAAATATTAAAAATGTATTGGAGGACGTCTTCCAAGTCATGATTTGTACGAGCTAATCTAAACTAATAATATTATAAAGAGAAATGATTTGTTTGTAATGGATAAGCTCAAAAACTACTTAACCAATTTTAAAACTTCTTTCATCTATAAAAAGGTTCACTATCAGTAAGTAACATGGACTAAATTTTATTTCCAAAAAAAATTAGAGATAACTACGAAAATTTCAATAGTGTAACCCAAGGTATCAAAACTAACGACCGATTAATGCACTGCATGTTTATAGATCATTACCCATAAAAAATGTGAATTGTAATAATCATTACGAACATATTTATCATTATTTTTATTGTTAACACAGTTTATTATTATTATTATTACTCTCTCTTATCTTTGCGTTACGGGACAGCTTTATACATACAATATATAAAATAGCATGGCCAAAAATAACCTGACCGACTGACGAATCGGGCTGAAATTTTGCATACAGATAACTATTATAATGTAGGCATTAATTTTATTTAACATTCATTTTTGGAAATTCAATCTCAAAGAGTGTAAAATAAGGGATTTAGGTATTTTTGATACGAATATCTAATTGTTTAATTATTTTATTTTATTCAAGGGTTACCTTATTGATTCGAATGATAATTTGGTTGTCACGGACAAGAAAACTATTATTATTATTAATATGACTATTATTTAACAATAGCAAACCATTTCCGAGTCAGTTAGTTGATCTATATTTGTATATTTGTGTACATTTTATTTATATAATACGTTTATTTATTTAAGCTGAAGAAGATGTTAATTTCTACTTACACTGTGGGTGAGGTATTCAATATTAATCGGTAGATATTATAAAAATCAACGCAAAGATATTTGTATACCAACAAGCAAATTATTTCGAATCGTTCATTTGTTTGCTTATTTAAATAATTTAATGTCAAGAATGAAATAGACGATCATATCACAACGAATATGATTTTATATTGTACACCTATGTATATGTATTATACGCGTTTGAAATTATAACTACTGGAACGTAAAAGTACACGACTATATTGTATACAATAATACAATATACTTTTAGATAGACATAGATGTATTGGACATAATTCAGTGTGTAACAATTTCATTTGAAATTTCAAAATTTCTCTTTCAAATGTGAACAATTTGTTTGGAAGTAGGTATTTGTCATTTCAGTTAGTTAAATCTGTTATTACTTAAGGACATCTATACACTCAATATAACAAATGAAAAATATACAATATACCAAATTCGTAGGTAGACGAGGAAATTATATTTTTACTTCGTTTAAAATAATGTAAATTGTAAATACCTAATTTAGTGGTTTATAACCACTAAAATAATAAAAAAAAAAAAATGTATTTTGTACAGAATATATTATAGATATAGGTGTATCGAATAATATTCGAGTAGGTCAAGTGTGTTCTATATAATAATATTTCCAATTTGATCACAAAAAATATCATTAATAATACCGTGGCTCGTTTTTAAAACTACTAACACGTATTAGCATAATATCTACTTCTAATATGCTAATAGGCGTAGCAACACGTAATAATATGTAAATTAGGAATGTTATATAATATTAATGTTATCATTATACATTGTGGTAGGTTCCTATATATTATCAATTCATTTAAATGGTTTTAAGTCGTGGCATTGATATTGACATTCGAACTACTACTCTTATAAAGGCAGGTAGTTATATTTAATAGTTATGTATAACGTATATATCGTTAAATTATATAGGTTATAGGTATATAATATTATATTGTTATGTAGGTTCGGTGGGCCTATACAAGTAAAGTGGGATATCTGACAGTTCAAAACTTATTGTCGTTAGATATAATAAAAAACCACCTTATGAGCGTGACTTATAATAATATTCATTTATTTTTGAGCAAATTGAATCATGGATTATATGTTTTATATAGGACCTTTTTAAATATAAGTAAGCTTCTTTGATAATATTATAGTAGAACACTGTGAAGACTCCTACCTTAACGGTTACAAAATAGACACCGCAGATGTTAATATTATTTTGATTATAATATAAATAAACGTATTAACCGCTATACGCGATGACTGTATATGCATACCCAAAGCCGTATCTGAGTGGGTAGAGTTCAACTCCCTAATTGTTTTCTAAAAATATTGTTTATTACTTTCTAGATAAATACTATGTTCGTAACAAAAATAATAGATAATTTAATTTAAACCTCTCCAAAATATTTGGTCCAGCTACGACCTTGTGTATATTTAATGTAATTACTAGTGGGTATAATGAACATCAATATTGTATAAATGAAAATAAGTTAACATTTTAAAATTTAATATAATTTAAATATTTTTTTTTTTATTTAACTTGGGTTATAAATTATTTTTGTCGTTAATTTTAATTAAACTGAACTAGTTTAGATTTCATTGAATTAATTTCAACTTTTATAGATTCTGAATGAAGCGAGTAATGTAACCTGTATTGATTTTACTGTGGTGTGTATTGTTTTTTCGGGAAACATTTTTTTTGCATAATAACTGTCTAAATTGTCCACAGCAAATCTCATAAGAGATATGAATGTTTCTCCCGTTGTCGGCGATACTTTATTTAAAAAGATGTTTCTAGATTTTCAATAGTTTGAAAAACTATTATATAAAATTAGAAAAAACTGACAAAAATGTATGATCGGTTTAATTTTCGTTGATTTCTCAGTTACCTTGACTACATGGGAAACATCTGACCTACGGTATAACCTTACCAGTTTTCGAGGTCTACGTAGAATATATTTTTTTATTGCAATCATTTATCCTTATTTTCAGTAATGAACATCAATTGAAAATGTACCAATTTTTGACTGACTTGTATTATATATTTTAATCGACAACGATTGCCTCCTGTATACAAACTTTATACTTTATTTATTACCTTATATATTCTAAACCTTTTAAACTCGCCACCGACAACAGTGACCTACTTTGCAGTTTGCTCCATAAGAAGTATTTTTGGCTTTTTTAAGGTTAATTTTCACAAACTTTTTAACTTAACAGATTGGAGATGATAAGTTATAACTTATATTAACTTATCCATTCAAATTTAATCGGTTGCATTATGTACAGGAATATAAACGACGGATGTATTGCATAATAGTATATCAAATGGTAAACATAAAAACTATCACTATAAATCCTGAAAACTTAAAACGTTTAAAAACAAATTTCAACTTATTTTAACTGGGTCAAATCAACATTTTTTCATATTTCGAATTCTAACTAGACCAGTTGAAACCCCACCTAACTTGTCCAATTAAATTTTTCTTTTGTTAACTTTACACTTTTGATCGTAAGATTTGTTTTCTTTATTTAAAAATTTACGACAAATACGTCAAATAAGTTAGTTATTTAAACTAATGTACAAAATATCTGGACACGTATTACAAACACAGCGAGATACTGAAAGCAATTTTAATTTGTTCAATTCATGATTATTAATTTCAGGTGATGGGGAAGGGGGTTAAGGAAATGGTTAAAAAATTACTGTTTAAAATGATGTAGACAAATCTTTATTTAAATCATTAATATCATGATATTATAATATATAATATAATTAAATAATTGCATTAAATACAGAGTTCGTTGTTTAAATTATATTCAAAATATAATAACATATTATATTCTTTACCAGTGGTTCCCAACCTTTTTTTTTCTATGGTGACTCATACATTGACTCTTTTTGGGTAGGCAACCCCTCATCAAAAAAAAAAATAAAACTAAATATGCCATAATGACTTAATACATAATAAGTAATAATATTGATATAAAAATTGCTACATTAAGAACGTTATTTAATTCAGTTGACATTTTTTTTGACACAAGTACTTCTTTGTGAGGCGTAAAACGTGTTCATTTAGCATCTGGAGCTACTTCTTTAATAGGTCGTACCACACCAATATGTTTACCCGTCATCAATGCCGCGCCATCAGTAGTGCACCTATATCAGTAGATAAAATATTCTATTGAGTTATAAATACCTGCACAAATTATTGTTGTGCTCAAACTATCATAGTACAAGAAATTTTCATTAATACTTTCGTCGAAATAATATCTTATAACTTCAGACAATATAACTTTATTTTGAACGTATTTACTTTCGTACAACTGAATAAAAAAAATAATGATAGGTTTTGAATTTAATCTGTTTAATAATAATTGTTCTTTTATGTTTTCGTTATGTACCGTAGTAAATGAATATTTTACAACAAAATTAATTTAATGAAAACTGTAATTATTTTTAAGTGGCGTGTTTATGATTAAACCCGTCAAATCAATTTCTTTATTGGACATAATACGCCAATTATTATTTGTTGTCTTTGTCTACCTTGCGTAACGAACCGAATTTAAGTATCACGTAATCGAATAATCGATACAGTTTTGCTTTACTAAAGTGAATTGACCTATTTTTAAGTTAAAAAATCCAGTAGGTGTATTACGGGTGTTATGTAAATCTTCTTCACTTATCATAAATGATACTGGATGGTGAGCCACTATGGTAGGTTGGAAATAAGCCAGGAAGGTTATAATATAGAGTAATTTAATTTATATCTATACACATTATGTAACGATGAATTATTGTTAACGAAAAAACGACTCTGAGTGGAGTATTATATTTTGTGGAGATTATATTTTGGTCAATTTTAATTGAAAATTGTACATTAATTTGTAACTATACAAATGCACGTTTTTGGGTTTAAATTTGTTTAGTATTTTTATAGTTAAAACGTTTTGTTCATATGAATCGGAAAAAGCACGTGTTATTTTGGTCAATTTTAATTGAAAATTGTACATTAATTTGTAACTATACTTTAATGCTATTATTTTTACGTTTACCTTCAAAATTTGAAATTAAAATGTTTAAGATAAAATTAATATTTTATGCTTAACTACTGTTAACTAAACTGTTAACTTTCTATACCTATGATAATTTTTAACTAATTTACAACAAAATCAAAATCGAAAATAACGAAACCATTAATGCTGTACATTTTCTACATTTTGTCTCAATTATTATAAAAACTTGTTGGAAAACCAAACCATGACTTTCTTACTAACCTAAATTGGTTTTGTTAGAGCAATATTTCAGGTTGAAAACTTCAATCACAAATAATTTAATATGATACGCCGCAGTGCGCTGCATTAATTTGTTAGTTTTCGTTGTATGTCTTTTTCTGGGTTTTCCCAATAATAATGAAAACTGTTTGAAAAAAAAAAAAAAATGATTTAATTATTCACCAATTAGATACTAAATGCAAGAAAAAAATTTTAAATTTTGATTGGAGCCAGATTTCTGATAGAAAAGTTGTTTACGGACACAAAAAACACACATAACATAGTAAAACCAATACAATCTTCGCTACGAGAATCTAAAATATTTGTGAATATTCTTAAAGGTTTCGATATTTTAATTTTTAGTATAGCTACCTATCTAAAATATGCTAGTACCTATTCAAATTAATTTCAATATTATATGTTATTCATCTTTAAGTAAGTCTAAATAAATATCGTTTTAAAAAAATTAATATGTCTAAAACTAAAGATAAAATACAAGATAAGGTCGTGAATGTTCTCATTTTTAAACAAATTGCGATTATCCATAGCCCATGTCGGTAGGTATAATACACTAATTTTTGCAAGATATAGATAAAGTAATTAAGTAGGTCATTGTTGTAAAAGTAAAATATAAGGGGTAATTTATTTTTTATACTGTAAATCATTGCAAATGAAAACTGATTCTGAGTCGAATTCAGTTAAATATTTTTAGTAAATTTAAATTGAACATTGTATTAATTTGTAATCTCAAATAAATTAATATTGTTTGCGTTTTAACAAATTTAATCATAAATTTGAACAACGACATATATGCTCAACTCATTTTTCCGCATTATTATAAACCTTGCATCAAAGTTTTGCATTATATTGAAATAAAACATTTTAAATAACACTGTTCTAATAACTCATTGATATAACTGGTTAAATTTAAATAATTTATTGCATGTGGCATTTGAAGTTCGAATAATTGATATTAATACAATTGTTAATAAATCAGTAACTAAGTTAATATTTGTATACCTATGAACTATGCTGCAACATAATGTATTTAGGATTTTTCTATGAAGGGATGCATGGAATTTAAATTACGTTCGGAAACCCGTGGACCGTATATAGCCCTTACTAAATGCATTCTTCTACAACCAAAGTCGTTTTAAATAGTAAAAAGCGCCGGTACCTAATTGCTTTACAGCAACGAGTATACGGCCTAAGTTTAGAGTTTAAACCCCATTGATTCTAACCCCCTTAAATACGCCACTATCGTTAATTTAGTACCTATATAATTATAAATATACGCAACTTCATTTTCACTTTATTGTTTTACAAAATAAACAATTTTTATATATTATATTATATAGAAGACAATATATAGACACATATAATAAAATTACACTAATCTTTTTCATCTTTATCATTCAAATTTCTCATATGTATCTGTATTAATTGTACATAATTATATGTTTAGATTCAATATGGCCATAGTAAAAACAGAAACAACAGATGAACTAATTAATAGAGGGTTTGATTTTTTTACAAAACATTTCCCAGATAGTGAAAAACCCGATAGATTGGGTATTGGACCTGGAAGAGTAAACTTAATTGGAGAACATACGGATTATAATGATGGATTTGTATTACCTATGGTGAGTAAATATTATAATTTGTATATATCACTTAAGTAAAAATAAGAAAGTGTAGTTATATAAATTATGTACTCCTATATTAAATTCCATTAAAAACATTTAAATGATTAATGAAATACATACAATCAATTGTATTATAGATATTTTTTTGAATTATTTTTTAATTGTATACATGTATCTTAAATACCTTTTAACTATGGAGATTAATTTTTATCCAGACATCCAGTGATTAGTTCTACAAAGGTGACTTTAAACGAAACATAATATATAATGCTGGATTTTTGGGCGGAGGGGGATGGATGGAAACTCCTACAAAAGTAGGTAATCTCCTACAAAGAATATCAAAACGTAAAATAAGGTATTTTAAAATAAGTAAAAATCAGTCATAAACTACAAAAATCAAAAGCAAAATATTACAATACAATTTTTTTAAATAAAAATAAAAATAAGTAAAAATCAGTCATAAACTACAAAAGGTCATAAATTCCTAAACAAACATTTATTTACGTTTATTTTTATAACTTCCCTTTTTAATAAAATCTTATCGTGAAATTTTTCTTTCTTTGCCTTTTTGATCATTTATGTACTCATATTTTTCAATTATTTTTGTCCGCCTAAGTCCTGATACGTCACTGTTTCTAATTTTTACATAAGTTTCCGTCTGTAAATTTAATAAAACGTTCACAAATAAATGTGAATTCGGATGGTGGTGATAAAAATTAATATTAAATTTGGAATGAAATGCATTTGTTATTTTATTATTAGACCATAATTTTGGAGGAAAAACTGAACACGAAAACGTGTAATTTTCTGCTGAATAGCCAAAATACTGTTCAATATTATCGTCAGATGGTTTATTTTCTAATAAATCGAATGCAAAACAATTTTCAATATTATCGACATCCGAGAATGGTAAACCAAAGGTACTAAGCATATTCAAATTTCAGATTCATTATTTTTGTAATGATTTGTTAGGCCTAATTGTTGGATTTTTCTGAAACAATTTTGGCACAAATGAAAATTACAACCACTTATTTCCGCTGTTGGCCAAATATTTCTGATTGCATTATGAATTGAAACTTCAAAGTCAGACACAACTATAGGTTGTTGGAATAATAAATTATTTTGCAAACAAATTTCGTTTATTTTTTAAAATAATAAATTGTATGTTTGACTATGTTTGTCAGGAAGTAAAGCAAAAACTAACAGTACATCATTTTGATTTTTTAAACTATGAATGGTAAATAATTGAACAAAATATTTTGTACAATGATTGAAAGTACCGTTTACTAATATTTTTTCGACAGAACGAAAAAATTTTAAATTGGTGAGCTAGAGAATATTATAATATTAGTATCTTTATAATTTAATTAAACGAATTGTTCAAAGCGGTTTGTTTTTATGTTCATTAAATTTATAGTATCAAAAGCTTCATCAATACTCGTAGGCAAAGATGGCAAAATATCTTTACGTGTATTATAAATGTTTCTTCTAATATAATTAAGATCAGTTGTATTTAAAGTATTTTCTTCATTCAAATTTTTTATTTCGGTTAATTTAAACTTTCAATGTTTTTCAGTAATATTGTCTGCACTAACCTTTATTTTCAGTAAATTATTTACTTCTTGACGATTCAGTGATGTATCTTCATCTTAATTGTGATTTAGAACTGCATTTTTTCAGTTATCTCGTCCTCTGTATTATTTGTGTACAATTTACTTTTACAATTATTGTCAATGCAACATCACGTTTTTTGGCCATTTATTGCAGTGTAATGCAAAAAAAAAAATAAATTTGTTTAATATTAAAAGCTTTTTACCATTTTGGCCGTACATAAATTCCATTGTATTCAATTGTAATATTAACTGCAAAACAAGTGCACAAAGTGAGAGAACAAACAACACTGCCAGGAATAAAACAGTTATTCAATTATTTTGTTCTGCAATTACTGGTATGGATGCAATAAGCCTTTTATTAGCGGAAAAGAGATTGTTGTATTTCCAATTTACGGAAATAACGTAGCCGTTATCGAAATGTTTGAGAATTTCCGATACGATGCCTTATATTAATGTTTACCAAATTTTATTATCTTGTATTCGTAAGTCTCTACGAATATTTATTCAAAATGCAACAAAAAAGGTCTCTTATCATTTTTTCCATTAGAGAACTATTTCTGGTATAAAACGTCGTGCGTGTTCATTTAAAATAATGAAATCGTAAAATCATACGTTTTTTCACACTTAAGTGCAACTATCTCAAACAAACATTGTAAAACGAATACACATTCCTTGCTACACTTAGAATATAAAATGTAAAAAGATCTGTGTAGGAGATTACACCACCTACTTTTAGCAGGTAAAAATGTAAAAAGGTCTATGTAGGAGATTACACCATTTATTTTGGGCACGTAAAGAGGGACAATGTAGGAGTGTACACTATGTTTTAAATTCAGGTAGTAAAAAGGTAATTTGTGTAGGAGTTTACATGTAGCCGGATTTTGTAACTTATATAGCCGGATTAGTCACAAATGTTTATGAAGAACAATAATTTTTAGATTCTTAGACAAAAATGATAGGAATGATTATCTATTTTTATTTTTCAGTTTTTGTTATTTTCATATTTGAGACAGAAAAAGGTAAAAAAAAAAAAAGCTTTCCTAAGATAATAGGCACGAGGGATAGGTGGGAAGTTAGGATATAGACGGGAATTTAATGTATATCTGTAAGCAAAGATTAATCATTGCTAACAAAAAAACGATTCTGAGCGGAGTTCGGTTGATAGTATTGCTTTGTCAACAATATATATGTCATATAATAATAACATAATTACGTATGCATTATATATTTTCTTTAATAATATTTGTTTAATATTGTATCTATCCGTTCTCCCGGTTTTCTTCAGTTTTGCAATATGTATTGAGAAAACTCCTAGGAAAAAAATGACTCTTTTAAAATACTTCCCAAGTCAGATTTCCTTTCAGAAAAAATGCTGCACTTATAAATCGAAGCAAGATTTCTGGTGGAAAAGTTGTTCACAAATAAAAGGAAAATTAAAAATAAACATCATTGTAATAAACCAATTCATTCCCTCGCTCCGCTCAGAATTTAAAATTATATTTCTACATTTTACAATAATAATAAAATAATGTATCAAAGATATATCACGTTTTATTTTTAATTTTTATTTATTTATTTTCGTATGACTTAAAAAAATAATACAAACAACATTAAAAACAATAAAATCTTAATTTTACGTATAGCATATGCGTTATGGTAATTGTCTATTTGATAACATCAGTACCTGGTAGTGTCTGCCACCAAGTCAAGGTTTTTAATTCAATCTACCGGCTTCTTTGGTTGCGTCGAAAATAGCATTTAGTCCGCCACTAAATCTTCTCTCTGAGCATTCTTGTAGGATATGGTTCATGGTTTGTTCCACTCCGTAGTCACATTTTTCGCTATCGCAAAGTTTCTAGCTATACTATAGGCTATTGTATCTTCCTTTCTCAGTACGAAACCTATTTAGCTTCACCCGAAGTCGCCTTTCCAAGTTCATCCATAGTTATGGTGTTTTGATATTTTGACCAGGTTTTCATTAACTGGTTTATTCTTATTTCACTCACATATTATTCATATTCCCATAGGTTAGATATTTTTCTCTCTCTGTTTTTATTTCTTCCACTTGTTGTAAAAATCCGTTATGCCCTTACGTGACAACAATCTTGGTTTACATATCCCATCTGTATAGAGTAGAAGGTCTGGATTGCTATTGAGCTTTGTTGTATAGATGTCACATCCGCTTAGTGTAATTGTATTTTTCATGAAATGTAGTCCATTTCATGAACAACGATCATATCGCGTAAGTCAAATTTATGTTCATAAAATGGACATATATTTAATCGATTTCATAAAATGGAAACTTATTTTAAACTAAGGTAACTTTTCGTGAAATCCAAATAATAACATTGATACGATCACACGAATAATATTTTTAAATTATAGGAATTAAAATACTAAGTAGGTACTGTAGAACTTTAGTAACTGTACTACTACGATAATAATATTATTATTATGTTATCGAAATTTGTTAACGATAAATAATTGCATCAATTGTATGAGTGCGATTCTGCATTCTGGAAAAGTTCTATATTAAATTATTTGTATTTTTATATGATGCCTATACGTCTTCTGACTTAATTCGAGCGATAACCGTTTATTACGAAATAAATATTTTAAATAAAATGGAATTTGATTCATTTTATGAATTTTATGAAAAATTAAACACTTAATACGTAGACAAACTCGGGATAAAATCATCAACCAAAAATGAGGTTCAACCGATGATTGAAGATAATTTAACAGCCAAAGTAAAAATGTAAGTAGTCGTTAAAATGGGTGATTTACTTTTCGGCCAATATCGACCTTACCGTTTACCGCGAGTATAATAATATATATTTCTGGGGGATAAGGTTTTTTAAATTATATTTAATGTCAATGTGAAACAAAACGGTGTGCTTGTTTTAAAGCTTCTATTAAGTTTAATAGTAGTTGGCATAAGTCATATTTTTAATAATAAGTATTTACTAGATTAAAAATTTAACTTAATTTAAACTGGTCGTATTTTCTGATAACCAAGTTTATTATAAAACATATTATAATTTAAAAACATTAGATTCATGTAATCGTGTTAATGTTATTATTTCGATAGTTACTTATTAATGTAATTCATTTAAAATAATGAATTGGACATTCATTATTTATAATTTGATTTTTTTTTTTTTTTACTCTTGAACATATTCGTCATGAATCAATAATAAATGAATAACAGTGTAAACTTAAATTATACCGTTGTGAGATTTCAGTTTAATTTTTTATAAAATCGTTTAAACTAAAACTTTTAGAGTAGATATAGATTTTCACTACACTAAATATATGTTATATCATTATCATAATACCAAATACTGAATATTTCTATACCTATACTTAAATATAGAGGAGAAAAAAGAAACGGACCTTATATTTGGCACGATAGATGGGCCTTTGTTGTAGGCGAGAAATTGGGAAGTTAGAGAGGAAATTTTGTAAATATATAAGCAACAATTGACCATTGCTAGCGAAAAATGATTCTGAGTGAAGTTCCGTTATACATGTTTTGAAAGGTCGTAATATTTACGATTTGAAAATAATACATTTCGTAAATTTTTCCATTTTTCCTACGTTTTTTCCCGGTTATTCCCACTTATTATGAAAACCACTGAGAAAATCAAAAAGTGACCTTCTTAATGCAGGTACCATCCTAGTGAGATTTTCTTTCAAAAAAAGTGCTACACTTGAAAACCAGAGCAAAATTTTGGGTAGAAAAGTTGTTCATAAAAAAAAATAAATAAACTTCATTATTTCATTGTAAAACAAATGCATTTCTCGCCCGCTCATAATCTAAATTAAATATATGATATATTCCGTATTTTAATCTAATATACAGTAGGTATACAGCAAAGTAAATTTTAACATATAAAGTACATGGCACTAGTGCTTCTCAGTGATAGTTTAATGTTATCCAGTGGTGGGTGTTCATACCATCATGAACCAAATATTAGTGCCACTGCCATTTTTACAATGACTCAAAATAATTTAAATAAAATTAATATGATTATCTAATATAAATACACAGGAATGAAAAGAAAATTTTCCCTACAGTAATACAGTTGTCATTTGGTGTTATCCCTTGTCAACAAATGCTATCGCTTATACTATTTTGAGCTCTTGAACAGTTTATTGTATGTTATAAAAGAAATAATAATATTTTATTGAATAATGAACATTAAAGGAACAATTTTAACTGGACTATATGACATGTACGCCGGAATCGTTTTGATATGAATTGATTTATTATATGTAAAAAACGATAACAGTATACGTCATATTTTTAACAACGTTATTAATTTCTTCAGAAATCGTCGACCGTTTTGGTCTTCATAATAATTCTTTCGAATTATGAATAAAGACCGGATTTTATTGATATCGCAACTTTTTTTACAATATAGATAAATCAGATCTGATTAAATATATTATAGCCGATATAAAATATTCTGCCTATTTAATTTTATAATGCAATTTTTTTCGATTTTCGATGTTTTTGCGATTTTCCAACGTTTTAGGCGTTTATCGTTTGTCTAGAATTTTCTAGAAGCTTGAAGAGCCTAGCGAGCGATAAGCGTCTTTTTATATATGGCGGCACCATCGAGAATAACTAAATACAGAAAATAAATGCCGGGTATACCTTTACCACCCGAACAATTATTAAAAAGTGAGGAACACGATTAAATGCTGCACTTTTTTATGCAAATATTTTTGAAAAGTTTAAAAACGAAATTGAAAGTTTAACAGATGATACTACAAGTGTCGAAAAGATAAAACAGCTTGTATAAAATAATGCAGTCAAATGTGGTTAAGCATTCATAAAATTACACTTATCCGAATTATCAATAAATCTTAAAAATTTAGAAGAATCTAATAGTGAACTACTCAAAAGCATGGATATTTTTAGAAAAATTGAAGATATTTTAATTTTTTAAGATACTCCTGGTCCAAATGGGAAATAAATTAAAGAAAAGTGTATGTATGTAATTGAAAAAAATAAAGGGTATAAAACTTTTAAGTCTTACTATGAAGTCATGTCAGGTGAAGCAAATGTTAATTTAGATATAACACCTACTTCATTAAATTGTTTTAAATATGCACCAATAACTAGTGTAGACGTAGAACGTAGTTTTTTTTTGTAAAAACATATTTTAAGTAATAGAAGATTTAATTTTAATGAAAATAATTAAGAAATGTATCTAATTATCAGTTTTAATTAAAACAAGTAACATTTATCTAATTGTTTTCATATAACTTTTGCATTTTTATAGTGAAATTTATTATGCAAATTTTACGTAGTTTTTGATACAATTATATAATTTTAATATGCAATTTTTGTGTATTTTAAATGCAATTAAATCCGGTCTCTAGTTATGGCTATACTAGCTATACTATTTAATGCTCTCGTAATTGTTATTTGCGCATTGAACTTCCGATTGTAGGCTTGGTTGGTTTCGTTGTGACTTCACTTGGTTTCCCCTAAGTTTTAAGGAGGATTTATGGACCCATGAAGGATAGCAATAGCAATGAGCGAAGGACAAGAACAAATAATGAGCTAGAATTACTTTTCCATAAGCCAAATTTAATGGAAACAATAAAGAATAAGATACTAAAGTGGGCTGGACATGCTTAGCGTAGCCAGAATCCCTTGCTACGCATAATATTAGAACAGGATCCAACAGGGAAAAGGCCACTGAGAAAACCTCGTATGAGATGGAAAGATCTGGTTAAAAAAGATATAAGTGCTTTAGATGGACCAGTTCGGAAGGAACGAGCATCCGACAAAGGTGGCTGGAGGAAAGGGTGTTTGATAGGGATGGTCCAAGCGGCCATTTACCCGAAGAAGAAATAGTTACAAATTAGTAAATTGTTTAGTTTGTTTTTTCAAAACGTATTGATCGAATTTTGTTCAGAATTGGTTTTGTTTGATTATTTATCTTTTCATAAAAATAAAAGCAAATTTACCCTGCAAATCCTACCTTCCCAATTTGCCACTTTGATTGTAAATTCATGGTGCGAGTAGGTATGTCTGTTTTTTGTGATAATATTATTGTTAAGTAATATTCCATTTGTTCCAGTAAATAGGGTAAACCAAGCGTTTCAAATGACTCAATATAAACGTGTATGTATAATTATTTTCTTTGTTTGAGAATTAATTATCTATTTATATTTTGAATGCAATGTTATATTGTAGTAGTATGAAAATGAAACTATCGAAACAAGGTGGTTCGTACCTGTGCCAGTTTTAGCACCTACTCGTATTTAAAAAAAATACGTACTCTCAATTTATTCGTTTGTAATATTAGTTACCTAATTTTTAAATTAAATTAATGCAAATAATACCGTTTATTCATGCAGAGATTAAGTTCCTATTTTTCAATTTAATACTAAGTGATTTTATTTTAATTTAACTTAAAATAATATATTGTGAAGGATTTATTTCTTTCTATGTTAGGTTTTCTTCTATGTATTACAGTTAAAATAACAAAGGCGGTATATCAATATGTCAGTGTAGCATCCTCTTAAATTCTTATTCTCATCCACATAACATTGTACGGAATTTTAATATCGTTTCATATTAATTATAGCAAGGATAATTTTGTTTAATATAGTTTTTATTTGGTAAGTATAATGGGGACAAAATTGTTTTAACAATCGGAAATACTTGAAAATTTAATACGAGATTCATTGTTAATTGAACATAATAGTAAAAAAAGTTGAACGTTACTGCAATAGTTTTTTTTTTTTTTATAAGCATTTTAAAGTCAGATTTTGACGAAAATCATATAAATTACGAAATATTAAAACATGTATAACCGAACTTTGCTCAGAATCGGTTTTCGTTACTTCGTCAGCAATGGTTTATCGTTGCGTACAAATATAAATTAAATAGCTTCATGTATCCTACCTTTTCAACTTACCATCTACAACAGTGGCACACCTATCTCCAGTATCAGCTTTTTATTTATTTCTGTAATCATAATTTAAACAAAAAATTACAATAAATGATTATTATTGACCAAATGGTATTAATGGACGTTAACTTTAAATTAAGTCTTATAGTTCTTGAGATTTAATTATTCTATTGATTATATATTTTCGATTCAAGTCTTTACCATTAAAGTTCGTGTAATAGTGGATAGGCTTATCGAAAAATCGTCATTTACTTGGTTGTCCTTGTTCAAATATAATTGTAGAGCTCTTGCCACTCAATCTTATGATTTTATTTTAGGTTTGAATTTTATTTACGTGATGGGCCCTTTGAACCAGGAGCCTCTGAATTCAGTTCCCAGAAAATAGTAATAGGTAACAGAAAATAGTCCTATCCGCTACTAATTTCATGATTTAAAATAAATAGTTAATAAGTACTTTATTTTTATTCATTATTAAGAATAACATAATATTTCTTTTAAAATGAGAATACAAATAATATAGTAATAACAGTACGTTTCTCAGTCCAACAATATTATCATTATGGACTATGGTAATGTACCAAATCATTAAGGCTTTATTATACTCGTTTCTGAAGGGAGGAGGATTTACACCCCCACCGAAATGTTTAAAATAATTATATATTTTTATACCAGCATGAATATTTTCAATCATAAATAGTTACAATTTTAACTAAACTATTATTTTGGATTCAGAGTGGAACGAAGGAGCTTGTAATTTTACAAAGATGTTTATTTTTTTTCTCTGTGGACAACTTTTATACTGGTAATTTTGCTCAGATTTTTTGGTAGAGCATTTTTTCTGAAAGGAAATTTTTCTTGAGTGGTACTTTAATGAAATCATTTATTAATTTTTCCAGCTATTTTCAAAATAAATGGGAAAACCGTAGAAAAGATAGGAAGATTATTTACAAAAATAATGATTTTATTATGTTCAATTTTGTTTTTTATTTTAATTCAGTGAAAAATATCCGCGGAGACTTGAAATTGAAAACGTGGTAAATTTTTCAAAACAATTGAGTCATTTTTAAGTGATTTATAGACATTTTAATTTTTCGAGTTTTTCACGTAATGTTTATTCTGTAGGTACTATTTGTGGATACAATTTTTAAACCAAACAGAAAGCTTGAACATTTTACACGAGTTTCATTATAAAATGTACTTAGTGGTCAACAATAAAAAGTTGAGTTTAATTAAATTTTTTTTTTATAAGAATTTTAATGTCAAATTTTCACGAAAATCGTAAATATTACGGCCTTTTATACATGCATAAGCGAACTCCGCTAAGAATCATTTTTCGTTAGCAAAGATTGATCATTGCGTTTCTATACATTAAATTCCCCTCTATATCCTTACTTCCCAACTTCTCACTTAAAACAGTGGGTCAACCACTTATCGTGTGAAGTTTGTCCGTCTTTTTTTATCATACAACAATATTATTATAACCACTATATTAGATTGATAGACGACGTATGACGACCACTATCGATGCGGGTAGGCGACGATTGTAATCTTAGGTATATTCAAAATATTATCACAATATAAATGTATAGTGTATCGTTGTCCACCATATAATGTTTATAATTACAAGGGATCGGAAGCGTTGAATTTAGACACGGTTCATTTCTAACGTACCGATTGGTCTAGCGAAGCGATAAGAATTCTGAAAACATATTTGAATTTGTCGTTAAGCCTACTTAAAATCGACCATCCCACAATTTTAATTTTAATTTTTTTAATTACTCCTTTCTATTGTGGTTTTTTAGGATTTTGCCCCCTAAATAAAATCATGTAAAATAAAGACAGAAAATTACTTCTTCCAATCCTCTTAATATAACTTAAAATTGAAAATGAATAAACGAGATAATAATAATATACTATCAAAATATTTGTCTCAACTTCAAAATATTGGTTAAGGTGAACGTCTGTCAAGGTAATTGTCTTAATTTAAATATTTTTAAAAGAAGAATGTCAATAATAAATTTAGTTTGACTAAAATTACGATATACATGTTTGGATCCCCTCCCCCCCCCCCGAAACAAATATCTCGATATGGTTTTGCACATCACATTTATATTAATCAATATAAATTTGATAATTATATAATAGAAACATATAATATTTAACATGCACATAATATAAAAAATAGTCACCAGTGTGCTTTTAATTTTTAAAAAAATATATAAAGTAACTTCTAAACTAGTTTTAGTTTTCTACCTAAAAAAAATTATTTCATAAATATAATTGTTATAGGTAAAAACAAACCGGAATAAAATTAGTGGCAATAGTTTTTAACTATTAATAGTTAATAAACCATAATAATGTACGTAGATTTCGTTAGATGATTGTAGGAGGCGCCTGTTGAAACCTTTTTTCTTTAATTATTTATCTATACATCGGTAATTCTAACTTTGTTGATTTTAATTGTAACATTTTAATTTATCTACCGTCGTAATAAATTTATTTATATTTTTTATTTTGAATAGTCTTATTCAAATTTTTTATCTTACAATCATTGAATTGTATTTATTTATTTATTTTCCAGTGACATTTCATAATACTATGTTAAACCAAATACTATGCAGTTTCTGCCGGGGCATAGTTCTATAGAATTTCTTGGTAATCACAAACTATAAAAATATATTTAATTCATAATTAAACTCTTTGAGCATGTACCTATATTTTATTTTTTATTTTGTTTTTAATAATAATGCCTAGGTAATTATTGTAATTATTTTTTTGTAGAGTTGAAAAATGGTAGTCACTATGTCTGATATATAATGCACTCATAATAAAAATGTTAAAACGAATATTTTTTTTTGTAGATACAGATAAAGTGGTAAAATATGTTATTGTATTCTATTTGTATTAATGAGAATTTTTGTGTAAAGCAAATATAGACATGTGCATGGCAAGAAGCTAAGTAGAAATAATAATTTGCATACATAGGCTCAACTAAGCGGGGGGGGGGGGCTACGGGGCTTATCTCCCCCCAGTTAGTTTTAATAATGGTTCGTCTTTTTTTAATTGAACTATTTTTATTCAAATCACTTTTCATAAGAGCCTCACCCGCCCTTGTTCGTATTATTCATTGTGACTCGCATTGTCACGTGTGATTTTTGGAGCTACCTTATTATTCGAGTATTTATCTACCTACCAGGAAATAGTGTTCATGTTGTGTTGTACTTGTAGGTGCCTACTTAAATATATCGTGTAGAAAAAATGTAATAATCAGTTGATTATATACCAGTTGATTGAGATATTATAAAATGCTAAAATCATATGTAGCTATTCGAGTGTGTATAATCTTCATACTTATACTATTGTATCAGCGAGTATTCCAACATTAATTTATTATTAATAATTAATATTATAAAGTAGGTACTATTAAGTACTTATTGTTTTGATTTTTTGTTAGCTGTAGGTAGTTAAGTATTATTATATTATAATATGACGTATCAGTTTAATATGTCTTAGTCGTTTTACCTCGTACCTACCAAGTACCAATTATACATATATATTATTTTGCAACGAACACCGAACCGTTAACAGAGGGGAGGAAACAATTTTAAATTGTTAATAAAATGTATATTATATTATACAGGCATTACCGATGGTGACCATCATGCTGGGACGAGCTAACGATACCGACACATGTCGCGTAGTTACTGCGTGTAACGATTTCCAGGAAATCGAGAACTCGAATAAAACCGAATTTAAAATTCCTACCGTCAAACCACTGTACGTGGGCACACCTAAATGGGCCAACTACGTCAAAGGAGTGATCGCATGCTTCCAAAGTGCGTACCCATAGGCACGTACTGTTTATTTGAATAAGTATAATACGTTGTTTAATTAGTTTGGTCATTTACAAACAATGATAGTCGATGCTTTATAAATTAGTGACCATTAACCGATGACCGGTACGTATATAATGTATTATAAATAGTATAGGTACACCATTACTAAATTATTTTCGCTTCATTTCTCTAAAAATCGATGTATGTACACAATATTATACTGATTACCATGATTAGGTATATTATATTACCCATAAGATATTATTATAATTGATATATTATGTGTTTGAAATGCTGAAAAAAACAGTTATGGATGTATTATGAATAATAAACTATATAATAATTCTTTCTATTGCATTATATATTCATGCGACATAATATATATCGATATAATAACACTGAATTTTCGTTTTCATCTCCCACAGGTATAGTGGTAGGTTTCGATGCCGTAATTTTATCGAGTGTACCCTTGGGCGGCGGACTGTCTAGCAGCGCTTCCCTAGAAGTAGCCACTTATTCGTTCATCGAAGCCATTACCGGAAACATAACCATCCAGTAATACAAATATATAGTGACCATTTGCGTCATTTGCGATTTGGAGGATGTACGTCTTAAAACCGTAATTCATACTTTTTAGATTAGTACACAAAGCCATGGTATGCCAAAAAGCCGAACACATATTCGCCGGAGTACCTTGCGGAATAATGGACCAATTTATTTCTGTAATGGGAATAGAAGGCCATGCTTTACTCATAGACTGCAAGTGAGTACCTATTTTTGAGATATCAATACAATAAAATATCTTATAATTTTAATTAGAATAAATACTTATATTACGTTTATTTTTAGTGAAATACCCCATTCAATAAAACAAAATTTAAATAATGTCCCTACAAATATGTACAAATTGTTTTTTTTTTTTTTTATAGCTAGTATATTATATACATATACAACCATTTTAATACTAAACTGGTAGTTTTATCATATCTGTATAAGACGATTAGAACATTCGTTTTGACTATTTAATTATTAAGTAATATACTTTATCTAAATTTGCATAGATCGTTAAACTACGATCCCGTTCCACTGACTGAGTCTAATTACGTGTTTTTGATAACCAATTCAAACGTCAATCATGAGCTATCTAGTAGTCAATACCAACTGAGGCGATATCAGTGCGAAGAAGCCAGTGACTTATTGAACGTCCCAAGTCTTAGATCGGCAACGATGGACAACTTAAGCAGTAAAGTCATACATATTTTAATACAATTTCTAGAGTAATAATTTGTGTTAATAATTTGATAAAATAGAAGTACATTCAAATGGTGAAATTAATGAAATAACATATAAACGAGCTAGACATGTAATAACAGAAATTGAGCGGACTAAAACTGCAGCCGATGTATTAAAACGAGGAGATTACAAAACGTTTGGTCAACTTATGAACGATAGCCATAATTCTCTAAGGTAATTTAATATTAAATTGTTTTATTTGTCTTAATTTTTAAAACTTCCAATATTGTTTGTTAAACGATTTACCGGATGCAAATTATACTATAATGAGGATACAAATCAAAAAGTTAAATCAGATTGATACAGTGACAGCCGCATGGTCTCATCAATCGTACACATGGCACCCCAACCATGCAAAACTTACAACTTAATAAAACAAAAATTAATTAGAAAAACAAATTCAAAATGAATTATGAAATAATATAAATAAATCATCATATTTACTAAATTTCATCTATTTACAATTTACATATTAAAAAAAATAATGCCGATAAACCTATTTAATTTCCAAATTATGAAACCTATATTTACAGTACCTAGTGTAATTGAAAAATAAAAAAGAGGCAACATCTTAGGACTTAAATAAACTAGCATCATTTGTGAAGATTGAACTCAACCTAATCTATTACTTTCCACTCACTGCTCCCTTACACCACTTTTGAAAAATAATTCAATATAATTAGTAATTAAAAAATAATAATAATTAATAATACTCCTGGTCCTAGTTTTTTTATTTTGTATACATATAAAATATATTTTATTTTCCACTAGCTGTTCCACGTAGGTTTTTACCTGCTTTAGCTTGCATCGTTAGAAAAAATCTAATATTAAACTTACAGTATGTACAGTTACGTATAGTATTTTTGTGTTGGGAGAGGGTAATGAAGCAACAAAACAATCTCACATATGCAATCTAGATTATAATGCAATAGATATAAATTGCATGCAATTGAAATTCATATTTCCATGAATTTAAGAGGAAGCCACATACTCGTTTTTGAATATGATAAAAATGCTCACTTTGATTGCAAATAATTCGATCCAATTTTAGGAAAAACATACCAATTGTAATAATTAAAGAAGACAACATTTTAGAAGGCACTACGGATGTTTTTTTCGAAAAACTTATTTTTTTAAAAGTTAGAAGCATTTGAAAATGTTAAACTTTTAGAAGATTTTGAGTAATTCATTAATAATAAATAATAATGGAAAAAACATCCATAGTGTTCATAAACATCCCTCGAAAATAGTATCAAATGTTCATAATAGGTACTTTGGCTATAAAATTAATGTGGAATAAATTTTTGTTCAAAATGAACGTGGTTTTTTGTGCAAATTAATACAATTTTGTTTCGTTGTCTGCTGCTCCAAGCGGCACCAATGTTGTGGTCCACAGTGGTGGCTTGACTCCATTACAACGCGACACGCAGCTATTAGGATTTGTGACTAGCTTATCGACATGAGTTATTGTGCGTGCGGGTACCATAGACATATTAATAAATGGACTGCGCTTAGAGAAGGAAACGTGGAACCTATATTAAGTGAAAGAGATAGTGCTATTTAGGGGCAGTTATGGAAAGAGTGATTGAATATTTTAATTTACAGTATGAACGTATTATTACCTATTTATCAATTTATTACGTAAATTTAATCCATCAGTGGAAGTAATAACAATCATTTTCATGGCGAAATAAAGATTTAAAACGATTTCATCCATGGTCACCCCCGTACTATTGTTATCCTCACTCAATATTGTTCACGAACATCAAAGATGGGAAGTGAAGAAAGCACAGTATATTTATTAATATGTCTATGGCGGGCACTAAGTTATTGTATTTAGACTGTCAAACCAGATCATCCGTGATGTTGATAAAAATAGTAGGACGCCGCGCCTCGTAGTCGACAATAAAATTATGATTTTACAGGCAAATTGCGGATGAAATATTATCTAGTCTAGAACTCTAGAGTTAATAAATTATTAAAAATCGAATACGCCAGCAATCACGTAAAAAAACCGCGTGAATGATCTCAGGTAAAAAAAAAATAATTTCAAAAAACCAAATTAACACAACAAATTCAATTTAACGCGTTTCCCCGTTTCTACCCGCGTCCCTATCACGGTATTCTACTAAAATCTTCGAAGAAAAATGTTCCAAGGATAAAATGTCAAAGATAAATGTTCGGAAGAAATAAGATACGAAGTAAATATATCCGGAGATTAACCAAAAAAATGCACATCATAGTTAAACTATAGAATATATTAAAACCAACACGTTATAATGTAGAGTCCAACACGTTATAATGTAGAGTCCAACACAAATTGAGGAAATAAAATACAGAAAAACCTCTTCATAACGGAATCGCTCGGTACCAAATGATTTTTCCATTATAAAGGAGTTTCCGTTATAGGGAGATTAAAATATACGGGATAAAGGTTATACTGCAGAACTGTTCATATTTTCCTCCGAATATTTTCCTAATATTTTCGGACATTATTTTCTAGATCCCATATCACAATTAACTGTTGTCCCTATTAATTTATCTCCTAAAAAGGTTTTGATTTTTTTGAGCGAAGCTAGGTATTTTTGTTTCTGTAAACTACTTGTCTACTGATTGTCTTGTTCCAATCAAAATTGTGTAGTAAATTTCTTATGGAATTTTTGATTAGTTGATGCATTAAGAAAGTCTTTTTTTTAATTTTCTTATAGTTTTTATAATAAACAGGAAAATTGTCATTTGTTTGGTATAATTTTTGTTGACTTCTGGGTTACCTTGATATCAAGGAAAAAATACTACAAATAATGTTCTGTTCAGAATCGTTTTTCGTTAGCAACGGCTTAATGTTGCATACAGTTATAAATTGAATCACTCTATGTATTCTTCCTTCCAACTTCGAATAGATTTTTTGGAATTAAACGTATTCGTATTCACAAACGGAATTCGACTGTGCCCTTCAAATGTGGAATTCGCTAGCTATTGATACACGTACAACAGCCATAACGTAATACTATTTTTCTTAATATCATATCACCGTAAAAATCATTTATTTCACCATTTGTATTTAGTACGGGTACCTATAGCCTATAGGTATTTATATAGTATAGCAATATTAATATTAATACATATAGTCTATATATTACCTATATTACAGCTGATATTTAACTAAAAAATGTTATAAGCGTGTCGTTAAACTGTAATTTTATTATTTATTAAAATAGGTATCAATATCAACTATTCGTTACATACAATATAATATACACTAAAATATTGGTTCCGCCTTTTTATACAGATTTGTTTTTTTTTATTATTATTATTATTGTTAAGGTTTTTATAGTTTGTTACATATCGACACGCAATGCAAGGTCATGAAAAAAAAAAAAAAACAACACCCACAATTATTTATTTATTATGTTTCGTAAAAACAATTTTTTTTCCCTCAATTTTAGGATCTCGCTCTAGTATTGGAACAAATTAATGTTTTTATCTGCCGTATTTGTTTAACTATTGTATATTATATATTATCATAATTTGAACAAAATAAAAATTTGATGAAAAAGAATATTGTAAACTAGTAATTCGTTGTAAATCGTATTATTTGATTACATTATTTTTCTTTTCTAAACGATAATGTCTATAATTTTATAATAAATTATTGTTGTATGATAATTTTAATACTTAAATCACAAGTATATTGTATGAGTTCAGTTGTTCAGTACCTACTGATAGTGATGCATTTTAAAACCATATCAGCAAAATTTACATACAGAGAGTTTTCAAAAGCAATCATTACAATTTAATAATATTGTGTACTATTAGTACGTACCTATTATACAATTCCCCACTCGTATATTTTAACGAATTTTAAAAAATAAAAAAAAAAAATAATATTTGTTCTGACCTAGTTTAAATTGTATGATTTACAGTTATCCAATAGCACCTATACTAATAAGTGTATAGTATTTTTTTTTCAAACTAATAAAACAAAGAAATAATTTTTAAATATAAATCATTTGAGATTTCCAGTATAATAGTGAGAAATGTAATGCATTTAATATAATATAATGATGCGTGCTTTTTAGATTTTTTTCTTTTCAGCTAGTGAACAACTTACAAATCTTTCCCAATCATCAACTTCAAAGGTGATTGTTTCTTTTAACAAATTTTGTCTAAATGGAGTTTCGAGGAGGTCATTTTTTGATATTCCTTGTAGTTTTCTTAATAATTAGGAAAAACCGGGAAAAAATGTTAAAAAACGAGAATACTATATATACAAGTACTTTGACATGATAACGGTTTCTATTATTTTAGATTTTGGATTCCCAAAAATTCTCGAAAATTTTATACAAAATTGATTATAAATTGTTCTTATATATATATGGTACTATACGAATACAGATTTCAAAAATCTGTATACAGACAAGTCACTAATTTTTTTTAGCGTTTAAATTTTGAAAGTTTAATTTTTAATCAGAATCGTAAAAAACAGGGTATTTTGGGTGATGTTTTACGATTTATGTGTGGGTAAAACTTTTTGAGTCTAAAATATGCACACAAATTTGAGATGAAAAAATAAGGACAAGAATATTGTCTAATATAATAATATCTGCAAATGTATTTTGTAGTTACAAATTAATACAATTTTCAATTTAAGTTTATCAAAACATATCTAAACCAAACTTTGTTTTTCATTAGCAATTATTTATCATTGTGTACAGATATAAATTAAATTAAATTATCCGATGTATCCCAATTCCTCACTTACTATCACAATGGCACACCCGTGGTGCGAAGTAAGTTTTTTTTAAAAAATCGAACTATAAAACGTTTTAAGAGGGACTGAATAAAATCTGAAAATTATTTTTTTAAACTCAGAGTGCAGCAAGGAGGAATGTATTAGTTTTACTATGGTGTGTTTTTTTTTATATCTGTAAACAACTTTTTTACCGGGGATTTTGTTCCATTTGAAAACTTTATAGAAACTTGTTTTTAGTCTTTTTAATCTGATTAATGTATTGAGGGTTGTAAAATTAGTTATATTAAACACCTATAATAGTATTATCAATAATAGTTAACTATTTGTTAATAAATACTGCAGGTATTAGGTTTTAATTTTAGTTATCTAAAAAAAAATATGCTAATACATTATTACAATGCGTGTAATAAAAATATAATAATATTAAAGTAAGCTACAAAAACTATAGGTACTTCGCACTGTATGTTAGATACACTGCAGTTTACATATCAACACTAATGTATATCGAGTACTTATAAAACAAACAAAATTACGAATCAGTTTGGTATATGCAATTATTATGGCATAATAAAATAATATTTTGTTATCGTTTTTTAGTTTTTTATATGGCTATAAAAACCTATACTTTCACGGATATGTATTATGCATATCATAAATTATTTAATAATAAAAATAAATTCGTGATGTATAATATGTTTTTATGTTTATAGAGACGATTTCGAAGTGTCTTGTCCGGAGTTGGATCAGTTAGTAGAGTTAGCCAGACGAGTGCCAGGTGTCCTTGGGTCTCGTATGACTGGTGGAGGTTTCGGTGGATGCACAGTCACACTGGTAAGGATGGATAGTCATTATGTAATACAAATTATATGATCACGCTGTATCTAATAATAATAATAATTATAATGATAATGATAATATTATTCCTATTATATATATTTTCAGGTAGACAAGACTGCCATTAACTCGGTTGTTAATGTCATTAATTCAGAATACAAAGGAAACCCTAAGTTTTATACGGTTCTACCATCGTGCGGAGCGAAAATTGTTAAACTATAGTCCAATATGGTCTCAATAATAACCGTTTAAAGTTATATTATTTGTTATGCAATTGCCTATTGAATATTATTGCTCATGTATTTAATTGTGTACATATTTTATGATGAATATTGTTTTATCTTTTAGACGTGTTTTTTTTTACGAGATACATAAATATAAGAACTATAAGGAATATATTTTAGTATATACCAGTAAACATGTTTTCATTATGTTTGAAAATACAATGTTATAAATATCTACACAATATTTAAGAAAATACCACGTCCACATAATACCTATATTCTACACGCTAAATACATAATAATTAATAATAATGGTTAGCTGAGTAAAAATTATGGGATAAGCTGAGGGAAGTATATTTTGAAATGTATACTGATTAATAAACATGGAACCGGTAAACGCCTCAGGGGAAGACCCCAGAAACGGTGGTTAGATTGACTGAATGAAAATTAGTGTACAGAATCACAAAACTGGATGACGCAATTAATTTGGCAGGTGGATATCAAAAAATAAAACTGTAATTTCTAACCTATATCTAAACCTTTTTCTAACCTAAAATTTCTAACTATATTCTAATCGCCTATTATTTATTGATATTTTAAACTTTACACTTGGGTGTTTATTTTTCCTCATCAATGAGCAAATTTGATGGGTTTAATGCAGTGAAATAAAATGTCTAATATTGTAACATGTACCCGACCGCATAGGCGCAGAGCTTAACATGCAAAATGTCCTCTCGATTTCAATATAAATATCATCAGTTTCTCGATTGGTTATTGTTGCCCGGAAACGTATTATTGTCAACATTTCCGTTTGCAATGTGTATTGTGTATGTCTGTTCGCGTCATTATTAACTAATTACATAATATATATATATGTTTTTTTTTTGACGACCGTGCGTGTTTTTTTAAATTTAATTTTTGTTTTGTAATGTGTACCTATGTAACTGTTATACAATACACATTTTAGTTGAAACCATCTGTTTATTTGTAGCAAAATACTGAAATAGTCGTACAAAAGCTACACTTGTTCACGCTCCCAGCTATTACCTATATTATATTATTCAGTTACCTATATATTTTATACACCATACCAGAGTCATTTTAGATACATAGTCTAAACGTTTCCCAGTTCCAAATTATTTCCGAGTAATTATATTGACAAACAAATAGAAAATAGAATAATTATTATTATTACGAACGCAACTCAGACGTATAGCGATGTATATATATTTTTTTTTGGTCTTGGGTCTGACTGAATTAAGGTGTAGTCGGGACAATCGTTATAATATTGTACACCTATAGAAGTTCACACGTTTGGGTAAATGTTGATATTTTTACTTACAAATCTAATAACACACAGTTCTTGCACAGTAATATAATAACCCCCGATTTCCACCTATGTCCTGCTTTATCTAAGCCCATAATGATTTTTCATCTATTAGGTTTTAGGTTTAAGGTTTTAGGGCAATTAGAACTTCCTCGTGGCAGTACTATCAAGTTTGAACCAGCACGTAAGTTAAGTTTTCGTACTGTTGTGTTATTTTTCATGAAATAAATAGTGTAGTTGTATTGATTTGATTTGTACACAATCGTGTTGGATTTTTGGTCAATCTACCCAATCAGTCTGACTATAGGTGCAAGTGTTGAAATATTAATGATATTATAATAATAGCAAATCAAATTTGTAGAGTCGGTAGCGCTTCAATTGATAAATATTCTAGACTAGGTATATAATATTTTGTACTTATGTACAGGACTACATAATATATACTACCTATATGTATACAAAAATATTATTAGCACGGTAAATAAATCAACAAAATGTTTCTCAGTATTCTCACGGGTCGTGTCTGTTCTATTGTTCTATATTATCATATAATAATAATCTATGACTATTAGTATAACATTCATAACATTTAGGCTATAAGCATATATATTATAATATGATTCATTGCTTCCGGAACATGGCATTTACTTATAGTTTATTGTTTTGTAATCCGATTTTTGTGCTGTAGGCGACTACTATACAGCTAAAATAATACGCGGACGTCCGAGACGTTAAAAATACAAAATACAAATATATAACCGTAACTGTGGTTCGAGAAAAACGCACGAACTGTTAAAATAAATGATATACGAAATACCTACAATACCTATACCCAATATTCTTTCCATCAATAGGTAATGAATAAACGATAATAGCGTATTGGTCGGTCGGGCGAGTTTATACTCCTAAACAAATACAAAATTAGTATACGGAGTGACAACTGACAGGCCGTGTCTGATACGTTGCCGGTAATTATTAGGTATACGGTTGCGTCTAATATAATATATATACAGATAATAGATTATTATAGACTCTTTATTTAGCGAGAATATACTGTAATGATATTAGTTAAAATAAACAAATGACAACTCAAATTAATAACCTAAGCGCTGGTACGCCAGCTCATAATTTATAGGCAGATTTTTGTTACAGACTTATTGGTGGATAGTTTAAAAATTGTCTACAGTGTGCTGGGTCGCATTTAAAATTTAGCCGCCCCGTGAAAATAAAATTTGCCGCCACCCTTTTTAGTTTTTATCATTTATTTGATATACGAGCTTTGTTTCGTTTTTGCAAAAATATTATATAAAGGTACGTGGCCAAAATTTGAATAGTAAATTCTCAATCAACTATAATTATATAAATACATATTATTGTTCAAATTCACTCCCAGGCTTCAAATTAGCACCCTCAGTTTCTCTGAATAATTTATTTTAGTATTTCACCAATAATTTGTAAATTGTTGTGGTTCACTGGTTTGAAAAAAATATCTATTTTTTCTTCATTACAAGTTAACGAATTCATGATTAAAACAGTATAATGCACGTTTCGGTTTTCGTCTAAACATTAAACAGCAATCATACAGGAAATCATATTATCTTACTTTATATTTATATCTTAAACGGTATAATAATTTAAAATGATTGTATTGTAGTTTATTATAGTACTAGGGGGTTGTGGGAGGTGATGCCCCCCCATGAATCTGTGTACCATAAATTATTCTAGCACCCCTAAATTCACACCCATGAGCGCCAATGACATGACAAGAGTAATATACAAGACATAACAAGACCAATCACATGATGAGTCACTTACTTGTTACTTATTGTATTTAAACGATATGAATATATATTATACCTAATGATGATTAACTATTTGCTACCGTGAATAATAATAATAATAATAATAGATTTATTTTGCAATATACGAAAATATAAAATTAATTAATTACAGGTAAAATACAATTTCAAAATAATTGCACACCTCCTAGAAGTATGTCTTGTATTAGAGGCGTAGTTCTTAAATCAAAGTTATACATTACAATGTTAATTAGTTAATTAGTTAATGTGACTTATAATAAAAAACAATTTAATACTAGGTAATAGGTAATAATAATCATACAACAATACAGCAAGTAAATGACATTAATGATAGTTAATAATATTACAAGAACGTTATAATCTAAAATAGCTTAAGTATGCTATACTTGAAGTTAAAGAAGTTGTAAACCCTGACGTCAGAGATCGAGTTTCGTCAATTTTCCCATTTATCCTACAGAAACATAGGCGCACATGCTTATTACCTCCAGTTTCCCTAAGTAATTTATTTTACTATTTTACCAATCATTTTTAAATTATTGTGGTTTATTATTTTGGATAAAATACTACTTTTTTTTCGTTAAGAATAGTTAACGAATTCACGAAATTATGTTTCAAAAATGTGCAGTATCAAATATAAAATTAAACCTTGTATAACATTAATTAGAAAGTAGATTATATATTTTTTTAAATATTTTGAATATATGAATGGCGATTACATTAACATTTATACAATTTTAACTTTATAATTAGTTATTCATTTGTCTATGTACAAGTATAATTAAATGAAATTTTGATTTATATTTTTATACAAATTTGAAATTATTGTAATGTAGTTTATTGTAATATTAGTGGGGAATAGGGATTTAGGGGGAGAAAATCACCCATGGATATGTGTACTATAAATAATTCTAGCATTCACTAAATTCAAACCCAATGTGCGCCTATGAGCAGTTCTCAATTCATTGCTAATATTTCTTAGTAAAAGTAAAATAACTGTACAGTGTAATCATTGTTACCTTCCCAGTTATATAAATAATTTAATACTTTATATTAGTAATTTTGGCTAATTTTTAGATAAAATGTACAATCTTTTTAAAATTTTAGTAATTTTACACTTTCAATGTAAAAATGATATGGTATATATTTTTATAGATACATACAACCATTCATTATAATATCAATGTATACAAATAATTGTTAAAAGAAACAAAAATAATGTGGTCCAATATCATTAAGTTCTTATAAAATATCAGTTTAAAAAAATTAATTTTATTGGTTCATACCATACTGTGAAATGTTCTTAAAATGCAATAGTGTCTAAAAGATACTTGATACTGATATTCACGGTAGTAGGTAAAAAAGAACAACAGTTAACAATTTAAAAATGTAAAATATTACAATAACATATATATTGTTAACAAAGCATCACTATCAATTGAACTACGCTCAGAATCGTTTGGTTTGCAATGGTTTATCGTTGCTAACAAATATACATTGAACTACCTATAACAGTGGCTACATCCGTCTCCATTATCCTAAGACGTCATTTTGTATATTAAATACAATAAAATTAGTGGTATAATATAGAGTAAAGTAAATTTGTATAACTGGAAATTTCCTATGTAGACCTTTTCATACTTCCGTACTATTATTTGAGTGAACCAAATTTAGTCTGTCAACAGTCACTAAAGTGTCAAAATGTTCTATTGTTACAAATAAATTTGAACTAAAAATTTTTAAATCCAACAAAGGCGATGAAAAAATAAGTTTTAAAGGATGTGTATCCTATGTGTATACATAGCGAAGTACAAATGTAAATTTATTTAACATGGAAATGTTCAACAAAATGTCCTGGAATATTAAGTAATAGTATATTGAAAACTGACTATTGTTATTTTTTTTTCCAGAATTTGATATTCACTGTATACTTAAATAGATTTCTAAAATTCTTGATATTTTTGATGTTATGAATCGTAAATCCCCAGCTGAAGGCATTTGGAAAAAGGGTCAAGATTTCGAGGTTTTTTTAAGTGTTGGGTTATATCTAGTATCAATCACTGTGCATTAACTAATTCTATGTTGGTAATAAGCACAAATTAAGATATATTATAATATTTTGTAATAACAAGTCTGTTTGTAGAATTTAAAACTAAGTATTATGTACAAGATACATTTTCAATCTTGTAAATTAAATGTGGTGTATTCATGTTTTACATATTTATATTTCAATAATTTGGCTTAGGAATGATCCAATGTATATTATTAATTATAGGTATTAAATCAAAGTTTAATGTGTTTAGATGAATGGGAGTAAATTATCTGAATGACATATAAAAGATGAAGCATTCTTAACTAAAACTACAGCAGAATCATTGAGAATTACTTTAAAATCCACAGAAGACTTATCTTTATTTTTATTAAATGAATGCCGTTTTCAGTATGTCCTTTCTTCTAAATTTAATCAAGATTCCTTAGAAGTTTGTATTTTTCTAAAAATATTTGTGTATAATTTTTTATAATATAACTTGTGTTACAATTATTTTAGAAGTTTTTGGAATCATAAGACAATCCGCTAGTCCTAATGATCACCTTTCGTGTCTGACATTATTACAACTTTACAGATTACTTTTAGTGTACTCTTTGATTAAGCCTCCTAAAACTGGAAATTGTACGCTATCTGATGGTATCTACATTAGAAATAATAATTTTAATAACATACATTTTAAAAGGATTACATCAATTTAATATAATAGAAAATAATTTTCATAAATACAGACAAAAATATGTCTAACTTAAAAGAAGCAATGGCAGAAAATACTATAGAAATGAGAGAGAAAAAAATTTAAAAATTAAAATCCTATGTAGACACTATCATAGAAGATGGTTGATGGGATATTGATGACATCTTTCAAGAAAATAATTTTAAAGACAATGTTACTTTTGAGTGTGTAGTGTACTATTTATCTGGGTAATTTGTATTGTGTTGAAATATTTTATGCTAATAAATAATATAGATTTATTTTAAGTTAACTAAATGATATCACTGTTTTAATTTAATAAATACCAGGCAAGAAAAATTGGTAAACAAACAAATTGTCAAATTTGTTTATCGGACATAAAAAATCCAGAAAATAGTTGTAATAGCCTCTGCCCAACTAGTCAATTTAAAATCTTAAGGTTTTTTGATTTACACTGAAAACAATTTTTTTATTCTTATTAGACAGATATGTCATTTTTGAAACATGTTAATAGTCAAAATGTATTCAAAGATACCATTGATGATTTTTTTTAAATTTAATTATTTTATTCTATTTTCGTGTTTTGAACACAAAACTGAAATGGTTAAGTATATATTCACTACTTACATTACAATGAGAATGAGACAACATAATTATTTTTCTAACCATCAACTCAAAATTAAAAACAAGGTTGAAAAAAAAACTACCCAAATTTGCAAATTTACTAGATACATAATGTATTATTTAATATTTTATATCAGAATACTACTTACACATATTTCTTGTGTTGAAAAATAAAAGTATTGTCTAATCTTTATATATCCCAAATTCCATGTTATGATTTTATTGATATTGTATATCACGTTATTGTATAAAATTCGCCACTGCTACAAGCGCTATCTGTCAAATCAAGAACGAAGACAGTTCTCATAACAACTGATAAATGCTCTTTGTGTATCCTGTGTACCTTAATTCGTGATTTGGTTAATAAACATGTTTTATTTATTTGAATTTAAAAGTTTAAACGTTCAACGGAAAGTCGTAATCAAATTTCAAAATATTTTATAATTCAGGTAGGTATACGTATACCTACAAAATCGCTTTTCTTCTTTAAGGAAGTGTAAACTATTTCTAATAGTATAAAACAAATTTTTTAATACAAAACAATATTGAAATATCATGTTCTTAATGTTCTTATTAATATAAGTCATATTATTAATAGTAATAATGATTTTATAACATAGTATACAAATTAAATTTATTCATATTGAATTGGTTTTGAAAAATGGAGAATTTAATGTCACAATCATTTCATACTAGTTTAAAGAATTTTATAATTACTGCCAAACAGTATTCACTGAATCATAATGAATCATCATCTAAAGCAGTTCTCTGTTCATTGCAAGTATGTATTAGTATGTATAAGTAAAATACCTATACAGTATAAACATTGTTACCTACCCAGATATCTAATAATTTTTACATTAAGAGGACATTATAAGGGATCTACTGTCTTACTGTCATAGTCTAACTACCGGGCAACAAGACAATGCTTACACAGAACAAATAAAACTAGTTTAATTTTGATTTTTAGTAAAAGTCCAATCATGAAATTTATAGAGAGCAATATTTTGGAGGGAATGTCATAGATGTTTTTTGAATAATATAAAAACCCTATGACATTCCCTCTGAAATATTTTCTTTAAATACTTTTATTCTAAAATCAAAATTAAGCTACTTTTACTTAATCTGTGTAAGCACTGTTTTTGCATGTTAACCAATTGTTGGACTGAAACAGTAGATACGGGTATAATGGTCTTTTAATAATTCACGGTTATTTTGCATAAAATTAATGGTATTTTCAAAATTGTTTATTTACTATCAGTGTAAAAATGGTATAGTATACATTTGTACGGATATTTATAACCATTCATAATAATATTTACACAAACAATTGTTAAAAAAAACTAAAATGATATGGTTCAATATCCAATGAAGTTCTTGTAAAATATCAGTTAAAAAAAATTATTTTCACTGGTTACCTACTACTAAACTGTGAAATATTCCTAAAGTGCTACAGTGTCTAAAAGATACTTGATACTAATATTCACTGTATACTTACATATATTTCTATAATAGTTTGTTTTGCATAAACCATAAAATATAATTTAAAATAAATTTCCATTGTAATGGAATCATAAAAAATTTAATTATTCCAAATCTACCTGTTAATTTTCAGATTAATTTTCGAAAAATGATAAATACTTACATATTCATTACGAGTTCCAGTTAAAATATATCAATATGTTGTAATTTTGTTAATTTTATATTATTTAATATGGATTATCTTATCAATTTATTATTATTGTTATTATTATTATTATTTATTTTTCTCTTTACCAAATGTGTTCATTATTTGTACATAATATCTTGTATCTACCTACTTTTATACCTAATAATTATTTTAACATTTATTTATATTTTAATATTATTGTTATAGATTCTTGGACAGTCTAATCAATTTGTTTTTGATTCAAAAAATATATTAATACAAGAGTTCTATATTACTTTATATGAAATGATGAACACTATCAATGATGATTCTATTATGTGGGCTTCTATTAATGTGTTACAATCTTTTATAAAACAAGGATATTTTGATAATACTAAATTAAACAATTATAAGTTTACATTAATTCTATCCAAATTGTTAAAGGATGAATTAACATTGGAGAAAAAAATTAAAATACTCAAATTACTTCAGGTAAAATCAAATGCGGGTATTCAATAAATGTTTTTAAAAACTTATATGCTTAAAGTATTGTTTTAAATATTTAGGATTTAACATATGGGGCACAATTACAATGGCAAGAAAGTTATTTAACTGAATTAATTATGCTGCTAGTAAAGTGGATATCAAGTGAAGACAGAGATCTTAAGTCATTTTCTCTTGGAATTTTGATGAATGTGTGCTGTAAAAACAAATTTGCCATTTTCACTCTTGTAAAATATACAGATTCAAAACACTTCATGCGTCTACTTTTGAAATTACAATCAGATGATATATTTATTAGAGTTCAAGTGTATAAACTATTATTAGTTTTAGAACAAGTGTCTGGCCATATACCAAATGTTGAAACTAATTATTTAGTTGATATTATATTTATTGTTTTGGAAGAAGGATTAAAACACAAAAATGTGTTTGTTCTACGTCATGTTATAGATTTTTTTGTTGATATTAGTGAACATTCATCTTGGAAAAATTCCGTTTTGAATTATTCCAAGTATGTTATTTAAAATTTTTATGTATATTTGTTAATTTGAATGAACTTAATCAATATTTAATATATTAAAAAATTGTCTATTCATTAATTAATATAATTTGTTAAAATTAATTGATTCATAAGGGTAAAAACTCTAATAAATAAATACACGTTTCTTTGCTATTTATTCAATTTTTAAGATAATTTAAATTAACAAAGGTATATGAATATAGTAAAATTTTAATTTTATTTTTTCTAATACACCTATATTAATACAATTTATCTACATTATTTTTTAGCTATAAATCAAAATTAATTAATTTATTGAAAGCTATGGAAGATATTAAACAAATTGAGAAATCGCATAATAATTGTGACATTACATTCCAGAGTGTTGAGTTGATTTTTAAGTTTATACATCATGTAACTCAATTTCAAAATGAAAGTGTTTTTGAAGTATATCCTGAAATTATAATTCAAATTTTACATTGGACTCAATATTTAGATGTTTTTGAACAGACAGTGTTAATTTTGCAAGCTATAATTATTAATGTTAGAAATAATAGTCATATAGGTCAAAATCTTCAGTGTGATATTTATGAAAAACTTGAAGAAAGTTTAAATGTAAGTTAAGTAAATTTTAATTTAAAAACCAATTATTGGTGATCAAAGAAATTTGATTTTTGCATAAATAATAAATTAGGAATTTCTTTATAATGTGTTGATGTAAAAGTTATATATTCAATAATTGTAACTTCTAATTATAATATTATATATTTCAGGTATTGTTTATTTTTGTATCAGATTTTTGTATCACTTTGGAAAATGCAACCTGTAAATCTGTTTGGAATAAATATGCAGTATGCTTTAAACTTCTTCGAGATATGTTAAAATTGCACAATTTATATGAAAAAATTGAAGAAAAACTTAGCCTTTTTGTAAGACAGTTTTTTTATAATTTTATTTCACAAAATAATATTAACTTTTGTTTTTTAGTCACTTCAGTCAATATTTAATTCTTTCATTTTGATTGACCTTAAAGATTTGAATAATCTAAAACATATTGCATTTGTTTACATTGAAGTTCTGTGTTTTTTATCAGATTTAGTTGCAAATAACCCTACATGGATGTCTTTATTTTCTGAAGTATTAAATCAGAAACACGTTTATTATGTATTAGCATTTATAATGTATAATGGTTCAAAAAATATGAAACAAAAAGTTTTAGAACTTGTAACTAAATTTTCACAACAAAGGTATTAATCATTTTTATTTAATGTAAGTCACTTTAGAAATTGTAAACCTATTATTATTTTAAATTAGTATTTTAATGTTATCTGACTGCTTGGAAAAAATTGAAGAACAATTATCTTCAATAGAAGTAAAGAGTATAAAAAATACAAACTCATTAGACACTGAAGAAAATCCATTATGTTCATTTTCTCAAGAAGAGCAATTACAGATGTATATTGATAAATTAGAAAATATGTTCAATTCTAATAAAGTAATCAATTTTAAAAATAATAAATGTTTTTGAATCTCATTTTTAAGTTGAACATCACATTAAGTTATTTTATTTTACAACTTAACTCAATGTAACTTTTTGTGTTTCAGATCCATAATATAAATACGAGTAATGTTATTAAATTATACCAGTATAAAATAAATGCTTCAAAACAATCAGAAGTTTGGCTTAAAAAAAGTATAGATAATGCATCTGAAGAAATAACACGATTAAATTATAAAATACATTGTTTAAATAGTGAGTCTACACAAATAAACCAGATGTTACTAGAAAATCATCAGGCAATTGATGGACTAACTATGGAAAATTGTCAACTGAAAGATAAATTAAATGATATAACTAATCAATTTTTAGCAATGAGTAATAACTTTAAAAAAGTAATAGATTTTATTTAGAATAATAAAAGATTTGTTTTTGAATGTTTTATATTCATTTTTAGTTGACTCAAAATTATGAATCTAAAAGTCAAATTGTACAACAGCAAAATTCTACTATAAAAAACCTTGAGGGACAATTAAAAAAGTTACAAGAAAATAGTAATAAAGAGAAAACTAATTTACTGGAGCAATTACAAAATGAAAAAAATGGTAAAAACTTGATAAATATTTTTAAATATTATAAGCAATTTGTGATTTATTAAATTAAAAATACAGTGAAACCTATATATAACGGATAGTTACGGGACCATATAAAATATCTGTTATAAACAGGTGTTCGTAATAGACAGGTACATGAGGTGGCATTTCAAAGGAAAATTAACACTATAATAGTGAAGCGATATACTATAAACACTGAATAGTCTACATTTTATATCTTTTTTTTGGTTATTTTCGTCCTTGCTATTAACTTTATCCTTATTACCAAAAACATAATCTATTATAATCAGTACTTATTTGAAAAATACTGGTGACGCTGTTGTGAGGTATGTATGTACACGTTTGCAATACATTTGATTTTGAAATAAGATAGTTGTTCGTTATCAAGGTATTGGGGTAAAATATTACTCGTAGTAGTTATATTCCGTATTAGATTCTGTTATAGACAGTTCAAAATACATTGGAATGCCTATCTTTTTTTTGCTCAAACCTTATTATTTTGTTCATTAAGACAGGTTTCACTGTATTATGAAAAAAATATGGTGCTAATACTCTATAGATTTTGCCTTTTCTGCACGTAGCCTACACTTAGTATAAGGTAATTGCTTTATCTACCATTAATTTCATATATTATTTTTAAATTAGATTAAATGTTCAGATATTGTCTTATAATACATTTTATTATGGTTGGTTTTATAATAGTGATTAATCTCCTAAATTTTGATCATTTGTTTCTTATTACCAGTATATTGTCATTTTTTGTATATTATTTATTAATTGTGATGTCTGTGATGTTTTGCAAATTTCATTCTACAGTAGTGCCAAATGAGATTGTGTGTCATAAATAGGACTTAGAATGTAATGCAAAGTTCATCAAAATTTCAGCCCTAGTGATCAGGTTTTAGTAGAAAAAGGTTTGTTATAAAGTACTCCTTGTCATAAATATAAAACCGAAATGCACGTTTAATAAAAAAATTCCAGAATGAGGAATGGCCATTTTTGGTGTTCAAAAACAAGCTTGTCAGACAATAAGATCACCACATGTGGGCAGCTATTTTCTTCATTTTACTAACTTAAACTAATGCTGTAATGACGTATTTATGTTGAGCGCAATGAATTAGCACCAAAAATAGATATGGGGAAAATTTGACTTTGAAAACGAGCTCTGCTGCTCATGGATGTTTTTCATAAATATTTTTTTATTCCTGTTATTGTGGGTATCTTTATTTAAATACATATTATATTTTTCTAGCAAACAAAATGCAAGTTTCAAAATTAGAACAACAGTTAATAGATAGTCAAATTATCATCAATGAAAAAACTGAGGTGAGTATTTTAAAACTATTATCAAAATGATATAATTATAAACATTAAATATGTATGTAAAATTGGAAGTACGGTAGTAGATAGAATGATTATCTAATAGGCCATGATAAAGTGGTATCAGAATTTTCTTTGTCAAAAACTCCTCAACATACATCACTGTAATTATAGTGATCTGTGGCACCACTCAATAGGCTCTTTATCTTGTTATCTAGTCTGTTTTCTGTTTTTTGTTGATACATTTATTGATTTTAGAATATGATTCTGTATAAAATTCTATTCCATTCTAAATAATACAATATATTCAATGTCTATGTAATGATAAAAATATTTTCCAATAACATTAATTCTTAATAATTTTTTATAAATGTTGATTAATTATTTATTACTTCTTGTTTTTTATCATTGATGATAAAATAAATAATATTTAATTTTCCATATTCATTCTCTTATCTTCATCTATAGTTTAAATTTATGTGTTAAGCAATAAAAGAATTTAAAAAAAAAAAACTCAAATACTATATTTAATATATTTAAATTCATAGCAAACTACCTAAGTACAAACTAATTTAGGTAACTTTTTTTGTTTTATTCTTATTTTCATTTTTTCAATTTTTTGTTTTGCATATATATATATAATAAAAAAAGTTGCCTAAATTAGTTTGTATTTAGGTAGTTTGCTATGAATTTAAATATATTAAATATAGTATTTGAGTTTTTTTTTTTAAAAATTCTTTTATTGCTCAACACAAATTTAAACTATAGATGAAGATAAGAGAATGAATATGGAAAATTAAATATTATTTATTTTACCATCAATGATAAAAAAACAAGAAGTAATAAATAATTCATACAATATATATTAAATCCTTGTTCTAATATATATCATTATATATCATAATGTACATATCTGTTTTTCTATACTAAAAATATTTAATTTGAACATTCAATTTATTTATTATTAAAATTATTTCTATGGATTTTTTTTTTTAAATATTTAAACTCATGTGCTGATGAATTTTATTGAAACAATTGTAATGGAATGTCTTTTCCTGTACTATGTAGTATATTATAAGGCCTTACCTTCTATAACTTAACTATCAATTATTAAATGTATTTTATTATGGTTTATAGGAAATTGACAGCAAAATATCCTTTATTAAGAATCTAGAAAATTGTATTTTAGAAAAAGATAAAGATGTCCTTGACTTGCGTAAACAATTGCAAGAACAGCACAGAGTTCGTGAAATGATAAGTCAAATGTTAGCTGCAACATCAAGTAAGCCATAACTAATTTCATTCTGGACTCAGTTTAATAACAAATGTAAAACTTAAAAAAAAAATGACATTTTTAAATTATAGTTCCATGTAAAAATATCACAGTCCTGTTACACTTTGTATATTATAATATGCACCGAACTTGTTTTAGTGACCATATAATTGTATGTATGACATATATTATTTCAATAAATGTATAATATTTTTTTTAATATTACTATTTTTAATTGTACTAGGAAATGTTTAAAATTATAAAAGCTGGAATTTTTAACACATTAACTGTCACACACTTTTCCTATTCATTACTCTAGTGGTCATATGTACAATTTAGTGCACACACCACAAATGGCCATACTTGTTTTTGTGTACAATATTTTGTACACTTTTTGTCTTGTATTCCACTATTATTGTGCTCAAAAACCTGACACGGAAGTGTTGATTTTATATAGGAACATGAAAGTGTACAAAAAAATATACACATGACGTTTAATGTGTTAAGTGTAGTCAAAGACGATGTTTTTGCATGCTTAGATTAGATATAGCATACAGCATTTAAGGAGTATCCTGTGGTAACACCAACATTGATTTGAACAGCCACTATTCTAGGTGAGAAGTTGAGAAGGTAGGATACATAAGGTTATTTCATTTATATCTGTAAGCAACAATAAACCATTGCTGAGGAAAGACGATTGAGCGCAGTTCAGTAATACATAATTTCAAATACCGCAATAAAGTACCATTGTAAAAAAATTAAAAATTAAACAAAGTTGTCCGATGATTTTTGAAATTTTACCATGTCTAGACATAAAAACCAATATAAGTATTATTACAAAGTTTCAAGTCCCTACATGTATAAAATAACCGAATTACAGAAAAAAAACTCCCAAAAATTAAAATTCCTTAAATCTCAAAAGTAGAACAAAAAATTTTGATAATGATACTGTAAGAAAGTAAACCAAAAAGTTAACAAAAAAGGTATCTTGTGATTTTTCGGTTAAATCATTTTTCCTGGTAGAAAACGTCAGTGATTTTATAAAATAATAAAATCGTGAAATTGTACGTTTTCCTGCGTTTTTCCCACTTAAGTGTTCTTGTTTAAAAAAATGGCGTCGTATATCAAAAAATAATGAACTTTCTAAAGTACCATCTAGACAACTTGAGCTTTCAGAAAAGTTGCAGTTCGTAAAGATCGGAGCTAGTTTACTAAGAAAAAACGTGTCCACAGACTAGAACAAAAACAAATAAATAGCATTGTAAAACCAATAGCTCACTCGCTACGCTTGGAATCTAAAATATTTATTATTTTAAATTATTAGATGATTCAATGCATCTTCAGATTACGTGTGCTCAATAATCGAACTATTCGTACTTCACACTTTACCATCTTCCAGCCAAGAGCGCGTGATTGACAACCACTGCAGATCTTAAACCGTGGTGATAATTACACATGAACGTTATTTTGCTTGTATGTGTATTTTGTCCTAGAAAGACTACTCACATTATAATCTTATGGAAAAATAATTGATGACAGGTGATTAACATATTTAAAGGTACTTCTACTTAATAATTAGAATTATACAATAACATGAAAATTAAAATGAAAATTTCTTTTTGATGACAAATAAGTAGGTAAGTTTTAGATTTTGAGTGTAGCGAAGAATGTATTGGTTTTACAAAGATATTAATTTTTTCATTTTATATGAAAACTTTTTTCCATAAAGCTTACTTTGATGTATGCGATGTAGACTCTTTTTCTAAAAGGAAATTTTCTCGGCGTAGTACTTTAGAGAGGTCATTTTTTTTGTTTACTCGGGAGTTTTCTCATCAAATGTGAAAAAACGAAAAAAAACCCTAAGGATAAATGGGAACTTGTGTAGAATATTAAACAAATATAATTAAAGAAAATATATACTGCCCATTTAATTATTTTATTATAATATTACATATATATATATATTGTTGACAAAGCATCACTATTAATTGAACTCTGCTCAGAATCAGTTTTTCGTTAGCAATGGTTTATCGTTGCTTACAAATATACATTAAATTCTGTACTATATCCTACCTTCCCAACTTCCACCTACAACAGTGAACTGCACCCATGTGCGAAATATATCCATTTTTTTAATAATACTTTTTGTCCTTAGCCACCCTTGTCCTAAAATTTTACTTACCTACCTGATCTCTCTCCTCATATACACCGACTATCTTCACATCATTCTCAATCCCATCCCATTCCCTTTTTTCGACCTTCCTTTCCCCTCATGACATGTTCAAACCACCTCAGTCTATTTTCTCTCAATGTATTTACTATCAAAGTCACGCCTAAGCTACATCTCTGTACTAATTTCTTATACTATATCTTCTCCTCACTCCAGTCATCCACCAAAGAATTCTCATTTTTGCTACATTCGTTGTTTGTTCTATTTTGCTGTCTACCTACCAAGTACCAACACTTCCAACCATACAAAAATTGGTTTCACCACACTTTTTTAAAACTTACTTTAAGTCTGTTTATCACATAAAACACTTGATGCATATTTCCACTTTATCCAATTACATTTATAATTCTATGTTTTACTCATCAAAACCACCATTCTTTTGTAAACAAAATCCTAGGTACTTAAATTAAAATTCTAAACCTCATCTATTATATTATCGCTTATTGTCATTAGCTTTCTTGATCTATTCTTTCAAACTCATACTCTATATAATTTATTTTACTTCTACTTATCCTTCAATTGCTCTCCATTCCTCTGTCTGTTGTTAACTAGTTCCAGATTTTCTTTTATTAATGTTGTATTATCTACAAACATCCTGCTCTATGGTACTCCCTCTCACTTGTTGTCCCAGCGCCCATTCGATATGGGATAGTCCACCCAAGTCTTGTTTAGAACGCCTCATACTATTTGACAAAATTTTACATTGGCTGTCGACTTGGCTTAACCCATTTGTTGCCTCTCACGGTACCTAGTTAGAAATCCGGTGGAAATATTTTGATTCCCTTCCTCAGGGAGTGTACCTACACGAAAATACAATTTTTTATGTATACATTTTAGAAAATTGGAAAAATAAAAAATTGACCTGCTTAAAGTATCACTCTAATCAAAGTTCCTTTCAGAAAAAATGCTGTACTTGAAAATCTGAGTAAAATTTCTGGCAGAAAAGTTGTTCGCAGAAAAAAAAAAATTAATAAACATTATTGTGTTTACCACACATAAAAGAGCAAATATACGTTTTCTGTAGAAATTTCATATCAACGAATATCTATTAGCTATATCTAACTGAATTTGATTAAAATATGATGGACATACTTCGCACGTGGGTGGACTACCGTTGTAGGTGAGTTTTTGGGATGGTAATAGAGGGAAAATTGAATGTATATCTGTACGCAATGATTAACTATTGTTAACTATTAACTATTATTAACTGAGTTCGATTAATAGTTTTGCTTTGTCAACAATATATGTCGTATTACGGTAAAATAATTTCATATATATAATAATTGTAACATAATATAATATTGTCTTTCATAATATTTGTTTAATATTGTACCTATTTTTTTTTCCTTTGTTTTTCCCATTTATTATGAAAAACAACCCCTTAAGTACCACCATAGTCAGATTTCCTTTCAGAAAAAGTGCTACATTCGTAAATCGGAGCAAGATTTCTGACAGAAAAGTTGTTCATAGATGAAAAAAAAAAAAACATCTCTATAAAACCTACACATTCCTCACTTTGCTCAGAATTTAAAAACAAAATTTAAAAGAATATTAGAATTATTTTCGTAAATTTTTCTATTCTTTCTACTTATTTTTCGGTTTTGCTCAATTATTAAAAAAACTAAAAATAAAACCGAAAAATGACTTTCATGATCACCAGCCATTTTGATTAAAAATGCAACTAGAAAAATCTCATGTTATTTATCTTTTGAAGTAATATTTATGGTATCCATAACAAATTTAAAATAATGAAATCGTTTTTCCGTAATTTGAAAAATTTCGTAGTTTTTTATTTTTCCCAATTATTATGAAAAATTATTTGGATATAAAAAAAAATGATTTTCTTGAAAAGTGGCTTAGTATTAAATGACCAAAATCTATCTCCTACCATTTTTCGATTGGAGCAATATTTCTGGTGAAAACATCATGTATACAAATTTAAAATAATGAAATCTGTGACGCCACAGCGTACCGTAAATATTTACCGTTTTACCTATAATTTTCTTTCAATTTATTCCCAATTATTTTGAAAACTGCTTGAAAAATTAAAAAATAACCTCCACTATGCTATAACTAGATAAAATTACCTTTCAGAAAAAATCTTATACTTAAGAGCAAGATTTCTGGCACAAAAGTTGCACACAGACAAGAAAAAAAAAACGTCAGCAAAACCAAAAGATCTCTTATTACGCTTATTACCAAATTAAAAAAAAAAAAAAAAAACTGAAGGAATAATTTTAATGAAAATAATATATTATGAATTCGATTAAAAAAAAAAACTTTTTTCAGTTTTTAAGAAAACAGACGGCTAAGGTTAAGTTAAATTATTTCTAAATTATATTGATGAAATGATATGGTATGTTAAAATTTTAACGAAAATGAGATACTACTGTGTATGCCCTTGGAATAAATAATAATTTATCAATAATTTTGGCTATGGCCTAACCTAACCGATTCGGGAGGGGAGGTCTTCCCTTGTTATTTAATGCGTATCTACGTATGTGATCGTTAACCATAGCTTCCGACTAAGTGAAACCATGCGCACAAATTTTATCATACTGTATACTAACCTCCTATTTAATGTATATATTGTTTAAATTTAATGTTTATAATTATTGTAATCTAATAACTGTTGGCTCCGAAATATGTTAATTTTTATAAAATAATCAATTATTCTTGGGTATATTTATTTATTTATTTAAATATAATAACAGAAAGTATGAGCTCAATTTACAATAAGTTTAATACATTATACATAGTCATAATACATACAGTGTGAAATATTAAAGTATTAAATGTGAATAGGATTCAGTAATAATAGATGTAAAACTAAGAAAACAAGTTACTATTACTTAAAGTATATCCCGCTGATGATATTACCTATATTAATAAGGAACTAAGACGTATTTGCTATAAAGTAATGCGGAATAACAAATAAATCCTTGTTTCGGATATAATGATTGTTAATTTTTAAGTAAATGACAATTAGTATTGAAGGAATCGTCAATATCATTATTCAATAATTTAATAGGAAACATTGCATACGAATAATATCTTCTGATTTTTAATGTTTGTAAATTTAATGTGCGCAGAACATGATCCTAACCCGAAAAAACAATGTTTAGATTTAGATTTTTATTCGCAATAATTTGTAGTATGTTTATTTACAATTGTATTACAAAAATAGATGCACCTATTAAACCAGGTAGTTAAAAGAAACCTTCAGACCTTTTATATCATTCGGCCAACAAATAAAACAACTATTTACTATAACCGAATTTTATTTCTTTTGTTTCGTGTGGTCTACGCGTCCTCTGTCCACTGAGCAAGCAGACGGGTTCGAATTTTTTTCAACTTTGTTCAACGCGTTAGTCAACGAACCTGCGGACGAGCGCGAACTTCAATCTGTATCCGGTAACTATCAACGTCAAATTGAAAAAAAAAAAAAAAAAAAATGGAAAAATTGTCAATTATTATTATAAAAATATTCTTGTTAGGTACACTGAAAGTCTTTTTAGTAGGTTGGTTTTCTATTTATCTTATACGCGCAATAAATACCTAATGATTAACTAGGGTCCAAAACAATAAAAAGACGGACATATTTCGCACGTGGGTGCAGCCACTGTTGTAGGTATAAGAAGGTTTTATGATGCATTTTTAATTCGAAACCGGTCGCATAACATATTCATCACAATACTCCAGGCGACGCATTCATTCGTTTATTTATTTACTATATTTAATTTAATTAACTTAGTATAGTTTCTATACAAACAGATCTGCATTGCACCGATAAATGCATATACATCTAGAATCTGAAACGGCTGAAATATATAAATATATTATGTGTATTATATACTTATAGTTAAGTAGGTACAAAGTGCATTAAATATAAAATTAAATAATATTATTTTATGATTTATCGCCGAACAAAATAAATAACCTTGTCTAACCTTGGTTGGTCTTTGATAAAACTCAAGGTATACCAATTATACATCTTAATAAATATATACTCTAGATTATAATCAAGAGTATAATACCGAAAAATCATGTTTATATCCATAAATCATCACAACCTTGGATATAAAGACGTCTACTACACCTACTGCATTCGACAAATCCCTTATTAATCAGTGTCTACAGATACGCATAACGCGGCGCGGTATAGTCGTGGTTTTAAGTTGTTCGTGTTTCCGTCGCAATATAGGAGTTAATGTCTAATCGTTTTACTTTATAGAGTTTTACTTTTTTTTTTTGTTTTTCATAAAAACCTACATATTATATCGGTGTTTTACAATTATAAGTAATACGGTTCGCGAAACATGTCGTCCGTAAAGTCATCTGCCGTGTTTCATGCATTATTCGCATTTGTGTTTTTCGTGTCCGGGCTTGTCGTCAACTCGATACAATTATTATTATTCGCAATATTATGGCCATTAAACTGTAAAGACCTTTTCAGAAAGATCAACTATTACTTGTCGTACATAATTTATTCAGGTATAAAAATTATTCGCACTCATTAATTTTAGTTAATTAGATACATAATATACCTAAATAACATAATACGTGCGAGTTAATATTATGCATAGGTGAACACATCGTGGAATATGGAATTGTTTTCATAAAAAATGCATAAAATGTCTAAAACAAACGTACATAGATTTTCACTTGAGACTCAAAAGATACCGAATTGACCATTTTAAGATTGTATTAGAATAACATCAAATATTGTATTCAAAACAACTCCGGCTCGATGTTGAATATAAAAAAATTAAATTCGGATATCATCTAATTTTAAATGTCATAAAAGAGCTTATCTATATAAATAAAAATTAATCGCTCAAAATATTGGTAAACGCAAAACTTGAAAACAACTGGAGCAATTTTAACGTGGTTTTTTGCAAAATGTTGAGCATTGTCCGGAGTAGGTTTATAATTATTGAAATTTACCCTCTATTGAATACCATTCCCTAAAACTCTGGTTATAGGTAGTTTTAGTTCAGAAATTTAATTATTTTTATTGAATTGTGGATTTCAAATGTAGTAACACGTATGACAAAAAAATGAAATCCATGTACTGATGTGGAAAAATTAATTTATTCATTTCTTAGTGCACAGTCTATTCGATCTGAACGTTTATCCTATTTTGAGTTTTTTGAGAAGTGTTAGTTCACCACAATTTGGTTCTTCAAAATGCTACCAATTAGACATACCAACTTAGGTCTCGGAGATTGCGGTTTAAGACGAATGTATGATGATGATGAAATGACAGTGGTGCTAAATGATAATATATATTTGTTTATTGTATGGTTGCTATTGGTTGCAGACTAAAATAATAATAGTATATTGGTTATTATTGGTTAATCGGGTATGTTTGTTGATTTGTATTATTCATTTTTTTTTTTTCAATAATATATTTAGTAAAAATTGTAATGATATCTGAGATTTGAACTCGATACCATTGCACTAATATTATAAACACTGTCCTTGTATACTCTAAATATATTTTATATGGACGAAAATTTAAAAGGTTGGTCAAAACGTATCTATGGTATCTATGGCAGTTAATAACGGCACAAAATTGGAAATAAAATCTTTAAAAAACTGTCTGCTTGAGTGTATGATTTCAAGAAAACTATCATAATTTTTAATAATTATTATTATTATTACTATTATTTGCACTATTCAAATTTCCCAATAGAACACATTTAGTCCGCCGAATGTGGACTGCTCACTTTCCACCTATTTGTTTTCATTTAATTCCGACACGGCAAAAACCAAAAATTGATATGGATAAAATAATAATAATAACAATAATAATAATTGTTGGCTCGGGCAATGCCGGGCGCGGGACAGCTAGTTTCAAATAATAATGGAGTTTAAATAATCCAATATTTTTCAGTAGAAATTTAACAACAAAAAAAATATTGTCTCAGAAAAACCTACGGGGAACGAGATTCAATCTATCTACCTACCTAACGCCTGAGCTCTAATCGCTATGCGTTCATGGCCTATGCTTACCTTTCAGTTTATAAAGAGATAAACTGGGTATTTAAGTATAAATAATATAAATATTAAATAGTAACTACCAACTGGAAACTCGTTAGTATATAATTATACTTTTCAGTATAATATAATTTATTATAATTTATAAGTCTACTAGTCTCTCTACAGATATATTATTCACCAATAAATAAATAACGTAATTATGATAGTTTATTTAATAACATTAATTATGTATCTATAACTTATCAAAAAAGGTAGTTAAATTTTATTTTTATACGGTGATGATAATATTTGAAAAATATTCAACTACTATAAATAAAGAGTTTAATGTCAAAGGAAATGTTAATAGGTAGGTGCGTCATAAATTCATAATATATTACAAACGAATTTTGGTAGGTTTTGAAAGATGTATTCGAAATATTACAGAAACAAAAAAAAATAAAATCAGAAGATCAGCTGCCCTAAGATTAATTTGAACTGCTGAACTAGGTTTATTTTAATATTGATTGGTATGTGTTTCGTTAAATTTCTAAAGCCAATAATTTTCATATTCATTAAACCAACAATTTGGCTATTCAAAAAAAAGTAGGTATTTAGTACTTACCTATTTGATTAATACCTGATCGGTTATCATTGATTGAAATATTATATTTATATAGTATCGATATATTATATTATAATAAATGGTTTAGCGTACAAATATACTTGCTAAATTTTCAAATAAATTATTTCAGTGGACATAATAAATAACTAAAAAATAAATAAATAAAATCATGTGCCTTGTTAAAATCCACAACGTTAAAGTCTGCGAGTAGATACTAGTGAAGAGACTAGTGAATCGACTCAAAATATATAGGTATATGTTCACTATTAAAAGAAAAAAAAAAGAACTTAATACTGATGACGGGTGCAATCACGGTTGGAAGTCGAAAGTCGGGAAGATAGGATAAAAAAGTTTTTGATAACGAAAAACGATTCGAATCGAAGTTCGATAAGATATATTTCTAAATGCCGTCATTTTTACGATTTTCACCAAAATTTGATCTTAAAACGCTTATGAAAAAAAACTAATACATTCAACTCGAATTTGTTTTTTAGAAAAATAATTACAACCTATAATGTAACTTGTATTAAATTTTCAAGCATTTTTCTTAAGTCATATATTTTGAAAACGATACCTCCCAAATAAAAATATATGTAAAAACACGAAAATATCAAATATCTTAAAATATGCAGCTAGAATGTTTTGAATATTTTACCACGTCTACAAAAGACCAATATAATTATTTTGTGAAAATTACAGATCTCTACAATTATTATTAATCAAATAACAAAAACCTCAAATGTCGCACACTTTGCCGTATTTCCTATGTTTTTTTTTCTCGATTTTTCGTAAATATCAGGAAAACTATACGGAATGACAAATGGACTTTCTTACTCGCAAACTAGACAACATTTTCTTTCAGAAAATATGCTATTTTTTATATTTGTACAAAGATTTCTGGTAGAAAAATATAAACTAAAACAAAATTGAAAATAATACATTTTATAAATTTTCCCGTTTTTTCTCGGTTTTCCCAATCATCATGAAAACTGCTTGAAAAATCAAAAAATGACCTCTCTAATGCACCGACTAGAGATAATTGTGTATATAATAAACATAATTATTTGATATGAAAACATACAGTATCAGTAAAAAAATGTTGTCATTGAATTACAAATCAGTAAATGAAACCGTTGTCTTATAATCATATAGACTTACACGCATACATCTAGACGGAACATTCACTCCGAGGACTGGATGGCCTGGTCGGTCCGAACGGATCAAGAGAGATAGGCTAATATAAAGTCTACTTTGAGGTATAACAAATTTACACTCCGAGGATAGCTAATTAAAACACTCCGTTTATTATCTCACGTGTTTTTGTTCTCAAAATGACACTCCACCTACCGGAATGTGTTTCCATGTTAAATGTTCCTTATAAATGTAGAAGTCTATTTGCTTATAGTATAACGGACACTATGAATGAAAAGATTGCGTTTTTTCTATGAATAATAATATATCGTTGTATGGAAATTGGTCAATATTTTTTTTGGTGATCTCCTTTTCAATTTTTTCATTTTTAGAATTCGTATTCCTGGTCGACTGGTGGGCTGATGTTCAGTTTTACTTTTACGCGGACAAAGCAGATTTTAACGAGTACTTCGGCAAAGAACACGCAATATTTATACTTAACCACAAGTATGAAATTGACTGGCTATCCGCTTGGGTCATAAACGAACGGATCGGCACTCTTGGAGTAAGATAAAAAATAAAATAAAATAAAGTGGATTTAATTTTTAAGAACAATATTTATTTTGCTGTTTTTTTTTTTTTTTTTTTTACCTATACAAGAACTGTAAAGCTTTCTCGAAAAACAGTCTCAAATATATGCCCATTGTCGGATGGTGCTGGTGGTTTTCCGAGTTTTTATTCCTTCAGAGGGACTGGGCAAAAGACAAATACACCATTGAGACCCAACTCAAAGAATTGTTCGAATACGAAAACCCAGTCACGGTATTTCATTATTATCTTTACCATTATAATTTTTAATCGTCTGAAAGTAACGTAGTAACATAATGATTGATTACCCGGTTTTAAAATATTGTTTTTTTGAGAACCTATATTTTATACAGATGTTGCTGTACGCGGAAGGCACTAGGTTCACAAAAGAGAAATACGAAGCCAGTCTCAAGTTCGCCCGGTCTAAAGGGCTACTAGAATTAAAAGAACACTTATTGCCGAGAACCAAAGGTTTTAGTATCGGATTACCACATTTTCGACACAATTTGCCGGCCGTGTACAACGTTCAACTTGCGTTCAAACAGTAAGATCGAAAACAACTAGAGCATGTATTTTGTACAAGACAAACATAGGTACTATAAATACTCGTAATATCTCGAACGACAAAGGTGCAAAAATGACATATCAAACGTGTAGGACATAAGCGCCAATCTAATATTATATACCTGTTACACCCCCAACATATTGTATAACACAGGAGTGCCAAAAGTGCAAGAATAATTTTAATAAATTGATTGATTTTTTTCGATCATATGAGATAATAATTGGTCCCGATTAACATTAAACGTTTGGAGTTTTTGAACGATAATGTAGTTCTAAATTTAATATCACGCAGGCACGGTTAATAAATACATATATTATAATATACATCTATTAACCGTGGCACACAGGTACCTAGGATTTTGGCGCTTTTGTACGATACGATATTTTTTTTTTTCTTCACTAACCCGAACGTTGCGACAAGCGATGGGTTTTTGCAGCAAATGCAACTCGGACGTACCTCTACGTTTCGAGTGCGTACACGTATTAGTATAATTGCAGCCTGTAGGTGTAGATGAGGCACCTACGTAATGTTTCGATAAATTACGGTTTTTATTTGAAAGATATGCGCGAAATGTTGTTACAGAGGAGAAAAGCCATCGTTGACAACGTTGTTAAACGGCGGTCGGTTGGAGGCACATGTATTCATGGAAAGAATACCCATCGAACAGGTCCCACAAGACGAAAAAGAATGCGATAAATGGATGTACGATGTATTCGAGAAAAAAGTAATAATGACATTATTTCACATAATATTATCTGCCCGATTTTGTCTGATGTAACTTTTTTTAAAATTAAAAAAAAAAAAAAAACAACAATATATTATGTAGATATATAATTATATAATGTATAACAAAATATATAAGGTCTCTCAATTTTGAGTTTAATAGGCTTTTTATGTTTTTATAAGTAAAAATAAATATATAAAATAATCAAATAAGTCGAACAATAATATTTTTTAATGGAATAAATGACCGGAGGGAAAAAAAACGTTTCATCATCTAAAGCGTTTTTATCTTTAATAACAAAATACAGTTTTATTTATCACTATTACGCTAAACTATTATTGAAGTCAAAAAATTTATAAATTTTTTTTTTAAATGGCATTAATTATTTGAGGTCATCGATGTTATCGCGTGTTAAATTTTCAATAAGATTACCTATTAGGTAATATTATGATGAAGTGTTTCGCGGTACGTTAGGACCTATAAGGTACCTTTTTTCGGGAGGAATACGATTGCGTACGTGTTTTTTTTTTAGTGGTCGACAAAAATCTAATATCGAACAATGAACGTGCGGGAATCGTACTCTACTCCTTTTTTTCTTCCTATAGGATGTTTAACCAACAACAGCAAGGGAATTGTTTTTACAATATTTTCTCACGGCTTCCATCGTTTATTGAAAGTAAGAAAGTATATACAATTACAATCAATACACACATTGGATGGGTGTTCAGCAGTGGCGGATAGGGATATTTTCAGTTACTGGGACTAAATTCAAGGGTTCCTAAACGAAAGAATATTATGATCTCACTGACAAATGAACAATAATGGTACAAATAGTTGATAACGTACACGAAAATATTGTGGCGAAACGCTTTGATAGTATAAATTCTTACCTTTTTTAAACTCAATACTACAGAAAAAAAAAAACAAGTACATGCTGAATAGATTTAATGACTCTTTAATCTGCATCTATGGAGCGTCTTCAAATAAACTCAAACCAAAAATAAATTCTTTAGACCAAAGATTAAAGGGCCCATAATTAAGTACGGACAGGGGCCCACTTAGAAAATCTGGATACCGCCATTGGTGCGCAAGTAAGTCACACACCGCATCCCTTTACATGAACGATAATTTAGATTAAATCCACTGCTCACGAGTTACGATCTGTTCAGCTGCTTATCGAAACTCGCATCAGACTAGAAACCCATTTTGTTCACCCACTTCTCGACTAGGTTCGCGGAACCCGTTGGTCTGGAATCATGTGCCTGATCAGTCTACGGGACGAGGCTTGTTTCGAATGGCTACCTTTCTAGTTATCTTGTCTTTCTCCTTGCGGCGCAAAATGTCTTCAACGAGGTCATAGAAATATTGAACACTGCGTTAAAGGTATAAGGTACCTAACCTAACTTTATCTATAATTTGTACGTTTTGAGAGGGAATCGGAATTATATATAATTTGAATATAACAAAAACAGTTACAATATTACTGAAGTTATGGTTCAACGATAAATTATTATACTGATTCTAAACGAATTATTTATTTATTTTTTATATATTTTTAAATAATTATAGAAGCACATTATAATACTATGTACCTATGGATAGTGTGCACAGTACAGACAAAACGGAGTACATTCCTTACAATAATATTACCGATTATAATATAATATAACCTATTCTAAAAAAATAATATTTCACCATAGGACAAAATAATGGTCAGCTATGTCAATACGGGAGATTGGTTCAAGGAGAATGACGTAAAACCACTGGAGAAATTCATTACACCACGTAGTTACATGAGTTTACTAAACATAATATTTTGGTCACTCGTCACCTTTTTACCGTTTTTATATTTGTCATTCAAAATATTGATTTCGGGTAACTTGCTTCATATTGGATTGTTAACGTTACTATTATGTTTGAGTAAGTGTCTATAAGATAGTATACTTATATATTACTGTACGATTTTTTTTTTTCTTAACAAAATTAAAACATTTTATTTACAGTTTATGTGATCTTAAGCAAGTTGACGAGCGTTTCTGAAATCGATAAGGCGTCCTCAAGTTACGGTACGGATAAACAAAAAACCAAATAAAATACTGATAACTCGCCTATAGTTTATAAAATTAAAAACAAACACTTAAGATCGTTTATATAATGTTTTTTACTAGCAACTATAGTGAGCTATATTTTGCTAGTAAAAGAACATGTAAACGAATATACCATTTTACTAGTCTTTAGTAACGTAAAGTGGGAGATTTAGGGGTAAAACCTTCTCCCCCCCCCTGAAATTTGTAAAATTCACGATAAGCTTATTAAATATTTTTAATTTGTTTATTTATGAACTTCACTCAAAACATATACGTGTCTGGCTAGTTTACTAGCTACCATATAATAGTAAACAAAATTAATTGTATAAACGACCTTTTTTAAAAAATTATTTTACAGTTACGATCCTGTAACATTTTTATTATTAATAATAAGGTATATTAAATATTTATAATACTCTATTTTAATTCTTTTTTGTATAAATTATTTAAAAAAAAAAAAATTGTTATTTATGTTTGTATGTTATTTTTTATTATTTACAAACAGTATTTTTGAGAACTATAGCCGACGCGATGATCGTATGCGCATCATTCCTACTTAAGTGTAATTTTATATTGATTACTTATGTTATTTTCAAAGAGATATAGCCAATATAGGTATACTTTGATGTGAATATGCATGTATAGGTCAACATATTTCATATTATAGTAAATAATATAATTATATATGAATAATGTTATTAAAATTATTCATATATAGTTATATTATATTGCATTTTATTAAAATAATGCAATATAATATTATACTTGGACTCAAGTTCATTAAAAGTGATAAACTGTTTTTGTTGTATTTTTCTAATGTACATTATACACCAAAAATCGAAATTATCTCACACGTAGGTATATAAAATATTTCAGTGGCGCGCTCACGGGAAAGGGAATGAGTCCCTTCTACCTATTGATTTTATTTTTTTAATAACTCGTTTGTGTTTTACGAATTTTTTGGTATTAATATTTAATACAAAATCATCATATTAACTATTTATATATTATGCTGTATTTTTTGTAATAACAGATGTATAAGGAGTAGGCAGTAGGTAACTAGATATTGTATCAAATTTTGGATGTATGCAAATTGGTTCCCACCGTTCGTAGTATGATAGTAAGATAGTCAAATATGCACATTTTCTTTCCCATTCTTACATGCTTAGGACAGTCAACTTAGAATTACTTAGATTTCATAGTAGAAACATTTCTGTATTTTACATTACATACAAATACATATATCTAAATGGATTGACGTTATTTTAATCGATTGCGATATTTTGGCAATACGCTGATATAACATTATTTTATTGCCTTAATAACTGTAAAATACCGTAGTATGTTTTAAGTTAAACAAAAGTTTTAAAAAGTGCTACATTATATCTACATTTATTGTGTTAATTGTTTAAAAGTAGGTATTAAACGGGAACCAATTTGGCATGTGTGGTATGAATTCGGATACATCCCAATTTCTACTTGAACATAATATTATTATGTTTGATGATTTTATACGTATGTCTATAATTACATTGGATTCCTTTTGACCCCGTGTGAAAATGTTAAGTACGCCACTGAATATTGTAATTTCTGTTTGATATTTATAAGATCACGAACATTTAAGCTTAAAAAACTGTATTTTAAAGAGCCCTTATATTCATGCTATTATCCATTGTTATCCTCCGAGTGCATAAATTGTTTATGTAATTTTTAACCGTGTCTTTGTAACAGTGTCTAAGTCTTTTTCTATTCATCTTCCCTACAAGGATTTTCTTAGAAGTAAACATATTAGATTCGATTATGATGTAATACAGTTATAATATTATTATTTCGATGATAGGCAAGGGTAGGTAAGTTACTGTCAATAAATTACAATTTTATTTTATTTTTCAATTTACAAAGAACAATTTATTTTTAAACTGTTGTTCATAATATTTAAAGACAAAACTGGAAAGTAAAACTATACATAAATCTGAGGTAGTATCGGAAGAGGATGGCAAGGAAAAATGTACCACGTCCCCTGGATCTGCCATGATAAAATCGGGAAGACTGACATAATGATAACATTATAATAATTATACACCGCTGGGCGCTAATGTTTCAACGGAGATTTCGCGTTATTTTCGTCATCCGATAGGGACCAGCTGGACATTCGTTCTACGTGGGTACAGTGGAAACGACGGTACTGTCGACGCAGTGGAAACGACGGCATCGTCGACGCAGTGGAAACGACGGCATCGTCGACGCAGTGGAAACGACGGCATCGTCGACGCAGTGGAAATGACAGCACCGCCGACGCAATGTACCGATTTATCAATATGGGAATCTGAAATCAATTTTGTTTTACACGTTAAACTAACAATTTGGATTACATATTAGATTCTGAGCTAATAAGACAAATAATAATAATACAATTACTGATTGACGAACGAATCGTTTACATTTTCACTATGATGTGTGCTTATATTTGGATCTAGTTGGTTCGTTAGAAAAATTTGAAAAAAATGTAAATATTTACGCTACAGCGGTTTCTGTTAATTTCGATATTGTTAACTACTGTAAAATAATCGCTGATTTTAATTGTTCGCCTGTTACTTATTTTAGCACTTCATAGACCTGGTACAATTTACAAAATATTCCGCCTTTTTTTTTTACTTATTTACCTATAGCTGTTTGAATTCGTTAAGTTTCTACAAGATATATAATAAGAAATGATACGGAATAATAAGAAAAAAAAAAAAAAAAAAAACAACAGAACGAAAAGCGTTCTGCAAGAAGTGTACCAGGACAACAGGACGCAAAGCTAAAAAAAAAAAAAAAATACAATCTCGCATAAAACAATGCCGTATGGTCACTCTAGATTGATAACGCGTCAATGGCCACTTCACCAAAAGCCCCGCTATCTGAAAAAAACGCAGCCAGTTTAATTACATTTTTTCTGCTTTTATGAAAGCTCTTGCATCACTTGTGCTCATCGCAAAAAGTTGTTTTCTTTGCGCAATAGAAAAAAAAAAAAAAATAAAAAATACATATACACTTAAAATCTTCGGAGAACATCGCTGGTTCACGATAAACTGATTCCTCTGTGCCACTGTTATACCGGACATACCGTACGGGTAAACTGTGAAATATTCGCCGTGACGCTGTCCGGCGGGCCTAGTGTTCTGGACCCGCACGGACCACAGCCGCCCTCAAAACGGACTACAAACCTACTCGGTTTTCGGCCCCGAAATGATCGCCTTCGCCCCCATACGATCGCTGACCGGAAAAAAAAATGAAGTCGTTATACATAATAAAAACGTGTCCGACCCCGTATGCACGTCGGCGTGTCGTACACCCCCCCCCACCAATCGAATGCTGGTATAAATTCAATTGTTCGGTCGTGCGACGCAACAATTATTGTAGAAAGAAAAAGAAAAGTTTTTGAAAAGGCCACTGAAATTAACGACACGGTAAAAACCGACAATGGTTATTATTATTGTTGGGTACGACGAGATAAAAAAACGTCGAACGAATTTTGCCGGAAAATCGCAATCGTTAGTTTTAAGTCGATTACAGTCGACCATAATAAACCATAAAGTAGACGCTGTAGCTGATAAAAGCAAATCAGATAGTTATGTCTCTTTGTCCATTTCAATTTTCCTCGCACGCTTAACGTTTCACAAGTTTATTCCGCGATTCTGCACAAGATTCGTATTTTATTTTTCTAAAGATCTCAACCGCGCTGTCGGATTTCTGTGCGCGTTTAAAAATAAACTGCTATTACAATTTAAAAACAATAACAAAATGTTCAGCTCGCCCGCTCCCGGGAAAAAAAAACCGACGGGAGCTATTCGGCAGGGGGTGCCGGCGGCCTGTAATCTTTGAAGTTAAGTGCAATCGACGTTCGTTGATCCCCGTCGGGTTTTACAGATCGGGTGCCCTCGGGTAGAATGGCTGCCTATCAATATTTTACGTGGAAAACGACGTCCCGGGGACGGGGATCGGGGTACGGGCGAGACTAGCGCGGGCGCCAAATGTCGGCGGCGCAGGAGAAAAGATCAATATAGGGAGTGGTACGTCCCGCCGGTCGCTCGGGTATCGACTCATCTCAAACACCTACGGCGGAAAAAAAAAAAAAACGTAATTCTGTTTTATGGGGACGGGGATGAGCCAACTATAAACGTGCGTCCGGTATTCTATCGGCGTTTAAAAAAAAAAAATAATAATAATAATAATAATAATGACGGACCACCATGTATGCATGTAGGTAACAACGACAATACAATTATAAAAATAAAAATCAACAGCGTACTCGTACCCGAAATAACGCGAAACGTTCCGCCGACGAGTTGGTAGCGTCTTTTGAGCGAATAGACGGGCGACGGAGTACAACGGCGTCCGTGACAAACGGACCATTTTGCTAGAACAGTAGAAACACCAGCGAGAAGCCGCGGCGACGGCCGATCACGGCGCGGTCCGGACCGGTCAAGTAAATCAAAAAGGACACGTAATACATGCAATATAAGCCCATCGACCATATCATCAGTTTGCGGGTCTCGGGGAGCATGTTCAAATCTAATTCATCGTCGTCCCATTCCAGGTTCATCAGACGTTGTACGAAATTGGCCGCCATTGATTTTGATGCAATTTCAATATCGATATTACTGACGATCCGACCGGTTTGACACACGGCGAGGACGGTGTTGGTACGCGTTGTCCACGGACGATTGCGACGACGGCGCGGCGTTCTCGCGGACCTCCGTACGACAGAAAATGATAAAAATGATAAAAATATTATTATTATTATTATTATTGTTGTTATCGCGCGTTACACTACGAATGCGTACGTCCGCGTCAGACGACGTTATCGCGACTGCGGCAGCGCGGCGACGTCTCGGGCAGCGAGATCGGCAACCGCGACCGGTCGCGCAGGCGCCCGCGACGGCATCCTCTGTCCTGGGACCCTGGTACGAATCCGGGCGAGTGATGCGTCCGGAACGGGCTTGTTCGGAATGCACGCGCCCGCACGGCGAGTGCCCAAAATGTCGAGCGGCGGGCCGCACGTACGGGGACCCCCTTGGCTCGGCCCGCGCACCGTGTGCCGCGTTGCGGCAGGTCATGGTTTCGGGCAAGTCGGACGCGGCCGACCGGGTGAGGAATCGTGTGCGCGTTCGCGGACCGACAGCCATACCTTACCCCGATCGGCGACCGATGGACTTGCCCGCGACTAAAGCGCAGCGAAGTGCACGCAACAGTACAACGTTATCACGTAACCGTGCCGCCGCAATTCAAAAACGCACCGGATTCTGTGATAACGGTCTGTTGCCACCGGTGCGAAAACCGTCGAGTGCATGCTACAATTTCGGCCGATGCACACGACGGTCCTGAACAGTTTGGTTTGACGCGTTTAAGCATAGACGATAGACCTATTAACAATTAGTTTACATTTGTTAATAGCCTCGTGTGGTTACGTGTATAATAATATGTTTATGGTTCGGTTGCACTAGCACACAATGCGATAAGGTGTTCGCCAAAGGTTCTTATCAATTTTGAATTATACAAAAACAAAATACCTATGCTGCAAAATGCAAACTGTCTCGTACAATGGAACTGGAACACAAAAATTATCGAGTTATCGCTGAGCGGACAATATTGTTGTTGTTCGAAACGGCATAAACGTAACAGTTTTTTGAAAGTTATTTTGTGTATCCTCATCGGAAAAATTGAAATATGTGTGAGTATATTTGAAGTCATATTATTAGTCATTATTTAACTACCCAGTTCACGTATTCAGTGTTGTGTATATGCTTGTAGCTAACATTCTATACACTCCGTTAAAACAAAATTCTTTCGAATCGTCGGCTGTTCCAAAACCGCAAAGTCCGTTGACTGTGAATCAATTAGCACGTCAGTTATTGCCATTGAAAGTAACAAATAAAGAAATAGATGCTGGTCTCAAAAAAGTAAGTGAAAGTCAATACAACTATAATTCAATTAATGATGAACTATTAATTCCGATTTACTAAAGGTATATTGGTTGGGCAATTACACACATAAGAAAAAACAGAAATCTGTTGAAAAATGTAAATCAAAAAACCAATTGAAAAGAATATTAGGATTGTGTCGCCCACCTAAGGATGTCTTAACATATGCAAATGCTATACAACTCAATAAACTCTGGATGTCTTATATCAAAAAAGTAATAAATTTCGATGATCTTCGAAAGAGAGGGTAAGATATGAGATATAGTACAGTAGAAACTTGGTTAACTGTCAGTCATTTGACCGGGACTATGGCGGTTAACAAAAATTAATAAACTTATATATATGCAATATGCAATAAACTTATATATTTCACAATGTGTGTATTTGCAGACTTTGTAAAATAATAAAATAATAACAACAAAAATAATACCATACTAAAAATATTAAACAAAATAATCTGTCATCTTTTTCTGTTTTTTTTGAGACCTGAGTATGTTGAGTGGCAATGTTTCGTATTTTATGAAGAAGTAAGATAGTGATCATTGATAGATAACAGAGAGTAACGGTTAATCAATTTTCTATTGTACCTATGTACCTATGTACTTTAGTTTACATATTCTAATATTGTATACTGTTATTGTTACAAAATAGTTAATAAATTCTATAATAATTATTTGATATTAAATAAATATTTAACTTTTACATACTCTGGTTTCTATCAAATATATTTTTTTATTAATGTCAGGTCACTTAAACTCGTATATATGTGGCATGGGTATGTATTTGGATCATAGACGTATATATCTAGGTGGAATGTTAACACCGAGAATTGGGAGGCTTGGTCGGTCCAAATAAATCAAGAGGGATACACTGATATATAGACTAATGTGAAATAGAGTAACTTTGTACTTTGAAGACAGCCAATTAAAACACTCAGTTTATTATTTCGTGTGTTTTTGTCTTCGAACGAAACTTCACCCAACAGAACACGTTTTCATGATAAATGTTCCATCTGGATGAATAAGTCTATATTTTGAACAGACGTGCCATGGTCAATATGTATTTCATATAGAATTATAAACTCCCAGTTTATTTTAACAAATATCATAAGTTTAGATTTAATTCATTCAAAATAATACAAAATAAAGCAATATAAATTATTTTAAAAAATGATCATTTATATCACACAGAATATCTATACAAAGAATTAAATGTTTCATCAATAACAAAAAAAAATTGTAAAATAATAATGTAAAAACAAAATTATTAAAATGATAAATACTTGTGAATAAATAAAGTAAATAAATATATAAATAAAAAATGTATATATGAAAATAAAATAAATAAACAAATGAATGTGTCGCTTGGAGTATTATGATAAGTGTATTATACCACTGGTTTCGAATTAAAAACTCATCATCAGGTATATCACAGTCAAAATGTAAAACGCGACTGAATATAAACAATTTAATGAAGGAATACATAGAAAAAAAATTTACAAATTGTTTGTTTTACATAGAATGAAGAAATAATTTATTTGAATGGGATAGATTATTTAAAATTGATTATCAGACATAGATATATTAAAAAATATAAATTATTTGGTTATTATTTATTATCTAAAATGTATTGAAATAAGATATTACTAAAATTGGTTGGAACATTTAAAATATTATTAAAATTATTTGTCTTTATTTCATTATGTATATGTAATTCTAAAACTGAATTAGTGTAAATGTTATTTTGGGTATTTAATATTTCTAAATCTGTATTAATATTAAAACTTATATTATGGTTATTTAGCTAAATTTAAATTAGGGGCAGTCTTTTTAAATTGTATTACAGAAATGTGTTCTTTATATATTATTTTAAAATTTATATTTGTCTTACCCATATAAAATGTATTACAGTAACATTTAAATTTATACATACCATTTACATTTTATATATACCAGCGTTTTTAAAAGAAGGCGGATTTTTGTGAAGTTTTCAGTTCTATTGTTTATATATTTGGTTAAATTATTATTAGTCTTACAAGCAATTTTTACATTATTTGTTCAGAATTTTAGCAAATTTGTTAGAAATATTATTTTGATTTTTCATTTTATAGTTAACATAATTTGCTGAGTTGTGTATGATTTTTCCTTTAATATGTTTATGATTTTTTTTTTAATAGTATTTAAATTTAAATTATTTTTATGGGCTATATAATAGATAATATTGAGCTCGTGTTGATAATTATGTTTATTTAATGGAATACGTTTAAGCCTATAGAATATTGAATTAAAAAATTATATTTTTTTGAGAATAAGGATGATTAGAATCATGTAGTATTATAGAATTAGTTTGTGTAGGTTTCCTGTATATACTAAAACCAAATTTATTTTTTTTTATGGAAACTGTAAAATCTAAGAAATTTAATTTATTATTCATTTGTATTGTTTTTATTTATTTTGTTTCAGTAGTTAATTTAATTTTCTGCTTGTCTATTCGAACTTCTAAATAAAATGAACATGTCATTAACATATCCTTAATATGCTTTTATATATGGACTGTATATTTTGTTGTTAATAATATTATTGGTTTCATAATTTTTAGATAAAAGAGCACTTAAAGGACCACCCATAACTAATCCATCTTTTTGCTATTATAATTTATTATTATGTTGAAAATAGTTTTGATTAATAATTACATTTATTGAATAATGTGCGGTATGTTCTTATTTGATACAGACTATAGTATATTAATATATATGCTGTAGGTTATATGGAAAATTAGTCTTTTTGGGAAAAGACTAGACTCTGCAATGGGGTAGCCCGTTTGCAAATTACCTACTTATTTTTTCAAACGGCCGACTGTTTTTCAGGCTCATTGCATATAGACTAACAACAGCAGTTAGGCCTTTTAAGAACTACAATTATAGTATAGTAACAACCATTTTACTTATTTTATTTTAAAAGTAATTTATTACTTTTACAAAAAAAAAATAGAAATAATAGAATTATTATAACATGTAAACTATATAGTCTGAATAAATATGTTACTTTAGATTATTTTAAAGTTTTTTACTATTGTATTACTAGTTCTATTTTACAATACTAACAAAAAAGAAAATATATAAAATATTTACTGATTGTTACATGTGGTTTTGTTCGTGTTACATTTTTTATTTATATTTATAAATTAAAACTGAATAAAATATATTTATTCATATTTTCTTTTTTATTAGTAATATAAACTAAAACTAGTAATACAATAATCAAAAACTTTAAAATAAAATAAACTTCACTTATACTAGCCATTGATACAGTTCATAAAATAAATAGAATACTATATAATAATATATACTTATTCATTTTTCATTTTAGAATAATTCTATTGATCTTATTTTTTTGTAAAAATAATATATATTACCCTTAAAATAAAACAAGTAAAATGGTTGTTACTAAATTATAATGATTGTAGTTTTTAAATATTTAATTGCTGTTAGCCTATATGCAATAAGCCTGAAAAACATTAGGCCATTAGGAAAAATAATGAGTAGTTCACAAACGGGTCACTCCATTGCAGAGAGCCTAAATTTAGGCCTCTTTAGCCTTTTCTCAAAAAGGCTAATTTTCCATATGGTCTATAACAAATATTAAATCAACTTGAAACCAACAATATTCTAGGTTTCAAGGTTACATTATTTATTTATATTTATAAAATATATGACTATATGTTTATGCTTATTAAGAATGTTCTAAAATAACTTTATTGAGTTTTCCTTTATTATTTATTATTAATGTAATTATTTATATAGGTGGAATGGCACTCCTGGATGCAAAAACTGGGAAGCATTCATGACCATGCTGTATAAGTGTGATTTTCATGGTGCTCACATTAAAGTGATTAGTTCTAAATGCTGTTCATATATTATGGTAGCAGGTGTTATAGTCATTGAAACAAAACATACTTTTCAAATCGTAGGAGTTGATAACAAATTAAAAAGTTTGTTTCGTAAAAAGGTATTATGACTGATTATAAATTAATTTTTTTTTTCAGCTATACCAAAAGAACAGTGTATTTTTGAAATCGTACTAGAAGAATATTGCATTCATCTCTATGGTAAACATTTTGTAGTCAGATCAAAAGATCGGTCAAAAAAGAAAATAAAGGATAATCTTAGATTAGAACTTTGATAATTTCATAAATTAAATTTTGTATGAAAAAAATTAAATATTTTTAATATATAATCATTATTAATGTTGAATTTGTTGTATAATATATTATACATAATACATGTATTATAATTCTGGGACTTGGGTTAAAAAGGGCCAATCTCACTTTTAATCAATTTTAGAAAATTAAGAATAAAACACATTTTTGGGTCATTTTGCTATTGCTATAGTAATTTGTCAAACAATATTGGTTTTCTCAGATCTTAGAATAATGATTATTGAGATATGCAATTTTACCACTAGAAAATGCATGTACAATTTTATATAATTTGGCCATATAACTAATTTTCATCAAAAAGTGACATTTTTTCAGTATATAGAACTGAAAAAAATTGTTGTTTAACAAACGTTAAAAGCCACCCTAAGGGTTAAAGATAACTATAATCAATTTAATTGATATCTATGCACTTAAAATTTTATTTTATTTCTGTTTAGTTTATGTGATTCAGTTAAATTATTTTACTTGAGGTTGTACACACGAACATTAATGTATTTGCTAGTCTTTATTATATAGTTTAACCAGAAATACAAAAATGACAGTAATAATAATTTATTGCTTGTATGAATGTATGGGTTCTTTCAAGTTTTCTTAACTAAATCGCCATACAAAAATGTAATTATTTAGAAAATTGATATTTTCATATATATAGTGAAATTTTTCTTATCAATAACTGAAATAACTAGAATATTGATACAGTTTACTAACGAGTAGAATATAAAAGTATAGATTATGTTTAAAATGTGTTAATAATGTTTATAACTAAATATTTAGGTGTTATTATTTTACTATATAGGTTAGCAGCTACAATTATAACAATATTAAAATGTCTATTTTAAATAATGATTATGAACAAATTTAAATTAATACATAATATTAAAGGTCTTACCTTGTTGTAATATCTAGCATCATTTTGATTGAAAAACCATATTTAAAAAATAATAACTTTAAAATGTTAATTCTTCAATGATTTTTGTTTTAATATTATTTGTAGTTAGTAACAACAGTGCTTGATAATAAGAGGAGAGGGAAGTGAGCAACCTTAAATAATTCCACAAGTTAATAAGTATGACGCAATAACTAATGGTAATGAATTTATTTTTAATTGAAAATTTAGGTGTAGAGGAAAATTACAAACATGAATAAATAAATATTGATGTGAACCTGAAAACATCAACACTAAGTAGGTTTACAATATTATTACCTAGAAAAGTAGATAATTTAAAACATTACCAGATCTTAAACTCTGATGCAAAAAAACAATTTATGGGCCCCTAATTTTAAAATGTAATAAAAAAATCTACAAGTATACAACTCTAATAACTCAACACTGTTTGATCTGGGATCTAAATCCCAGGAAGCCGGGGTGCAACTATCAATTAAAGACCCCCTTAAATAAAAAAATGTAATCGACATAACACTATTAACACTATCTATTTATTGTATAGACATATTCAATACCTTGAATACTGTAATACATTTGATTTAAGTCAAGATAAATTGTTTTAGTAAGATAAAATTAGAAATAGTTTTGGTCATTTAGATTGGTAATTGAGTTATGATTATTTTTATTATTGGTTTAATCTATGGTAATCTCAGTGTTATAATATACCTATTAGTGACCAGTGTATAATGATACATTATCTTTTTATTCTCCCATTTTATATTTAGTTTTACATTCTTTTTTACTCTATTGCGTCTACGCTTTTTACTAAAATTATGTTTTATTATTTTGCATAGTAATTATTAAGATCTTTTCTATATTGTCAATAAAGAGGCATAATATTTATTTAATAACTCAATTCTTTTAACTTTTAAAATGCAATAAAGAACTAATAAGCTCATTGGGTTAGCTGCACAGTCAAAATATAATGAAATCAGTTCAAATGAATGTCACAAACAATGATGAAAATATAAGTAAGTGTACCTAAAATAAGTAATAGTTTTTTACTTTAACAATCATTTTTTACTATAAAGTTTTTATATTGTTTAGTTCACATTTTTAATGGTGTGGAAGAATTTTCAAATAATATTATACCATGTGAAGAGATAAATTTTACTTGTAAGTAATTGTTACATAAATCAAAACATTAGTTTGTTAGCTAATAGCTAGATATTAATATGTTATTATATTATTTAGATGAACAAAAGGTAAAGGAATGGTTGGACAATAATATTATATTATTAGAATCTGGTTTAACGTGCTAAGAAACAATATGGAATTAGACATAAGTAACATGGAAATAATTTTTAGTAATGAATCTGTAGCACATGATGGGAACATGACTACACCAGAACCAATAGATATTATTAAAGGTAGGTACTAACTTACTTACTAGTTACTGATAATATTTGTTTATAATTCTAAATGTATAATGAAATAACAAGTAATCAACTTATATTTTATTTATTTAATTAATTAATATTTAATTAATAAAAAAGCTGTCTTAACCATAAATTCCTAACATCTGGCCATACAAGAATGGAAAGTGTCTCAGATCACTTATCAATTGAGAAGCAAAAAAAAAACATGACACTATGATTTACCATCCCCATGACTGGTTTACTTTAATCAGATGCACTAGTAAAAAGTTTAAAGAAATAGAAATGGAACAGTATGATATTTTAGACTTTCCTAGTCTTTTAAAAATCAGTTAGTTTTAAGAAAAAAAAAAATGGAAAGGGAACATTTTGCTGGCAAGATTGCAAATAGCTAAAGTACGAGAAGCAATTTGGATTATATCTAAAAAAAAAAAAGACTTCTTAAATTTATTAGAATTGGTGCCACCAGTCTACCGTGAGTTTTATAAGAATTTAGTCACTTGATCAACCAGATTTTGATCCACATTTACAAAACTGTTTGTTTGTTAAATTTGGTTATTTTTAATATTTTTGTTTTTATTATCAGCCAAATTTTTTTGTTACTATTTAAATATTATATTAACTGTAAATAGAACAGTAATATTTTTTATTTATTAAGTTATAATTATTAATTATTATAATATTTTAACACTATTATGATTTTAATGTTTTATTTTTATTGTATATCTATAATCTGTATTATATTTTGAAATAAAAGACAGACTATAAAACATTTGAGAATAACAACTTTATTTTGTTTTAATTTGAATGTAGAAACATGAAAAATCAAAGAGAATTAAGTGAAGATCAAAATAAGTTAAGTCATTTTTCTAGAAAATCTAAATGATTTAGGTACACCAAAATCATAAAAATATTTAAAATAATTGATTTTTTATGATTTATTTTTAATATACCCATCATAATATAAATAATTGAATCAATTCCAATAAAAAATGAACAAAAATGGATTTACACAGGATTTATGAATGGCTTAGATAATTCTTCTGAAAAGTTGATTTGGATCTTTTGAGTACTTAACTTTTTTCACCATTTTCTAGATGTGATATAATTTTATTTTTTTAGAATTAACGGCAATCGCTTCCAAAATATTTTGACTTATTTTGAATCACCTACCTATTTATTTCTATACCTACAATGTAGATCTTACATATTAGAAATTTATGAGCTTTTAGTTTTTTTTTTCGATTTAAGTGAATAACATTATTTTTGCTTCATTTGATTTAATATAAGGTATTTTATGAAATTTTCTTACTCCGGGAATATTGAACATTATAAACTTGTTGTATAACTGTTAGTTGTTAAAATTTAAATGAAATGTGTAAAAATCACCAGAAATACTAAATTATTTTAAAGTTGGAAATGTACAAGTAACTAATGCAATTTTGTTTGTAATTTATTATTACATTAAGGATTTAAACTAAATTATTCTATAATCTTTTCTGGATCTTCCCAACTTTTGCAACAGCAATCAGCAGTATTATTTCTCCTTTTTTTTAATAGTAAAATTAAATCGGTTTTTCTTTTTTTGTTCCTGGCTATACAATATACATATACTAGCTCACTAGTATATTAGACTTATTACCTAAAGTATTTTTACACGAATGTAGGTATAATTTTATATTTGTACACTGTAGTGCTTTATTGTGTTATACATGCATAATAATTACACAAATATAATCAACGTTTATACACCTTAATTCTTAACCTTTAAAATATGTTTTTTTCGAGCAAGTATAGAAACCTAGGTACTTGCTACAAGTGCAAATAAAAACAACTGAGTAAATTAATATTGTATAAGGAAATAAGTAGAACAAAATAATTACGATTAAATATAGGTACTATAATATTTCAAATGGGTAACATATTATATAGGAAAAGCCAAATCAATACGAATATTGATATAAATTATTGAATTGAAATAAAAATATAACAAGCCAAACTACATATAGTTCCGTAATTAAATAGGTAGCTAAAAAAAAAAAAAATTACTGTTGAATAGGTAAGTCGAGGTAAATTAAAATATTATTTTAATTATAGTTTGTATAAGAATAAGGTAAATTTACTATGAATAATAAAATATTATGATTTAGTTAAAATATATTGGTGCTTACTGAAATTATATGTATTTGTCACTGTCTTGATTTGTTAGTTTAATAGATAAGTACATACAAATTTAATTATTATTCACATTACTAATGACAATGTGTATACCTGACACACGTTTCGTTTTGGTATAATAATATAATTAAGATAATAATTCCTAAATGTTTTTTTTTTTCTAAGATACAATTCTTGTTAATACAATTTTAAACCAAGCGTCTAATTATTTAAGCTATTACTAAGCTATAAACTAAATAAAACGTTCCACATAGTTTTACACGTCAGCAATAATTTTTTGGTTAACAATAATTAATAATATTATTCACATAAGTAAATTTATAATTTCGAATTATTAACGTGCGTGGCTTTTGCAAAACGGCCTTCCTCCTTTGGCAAAGAAACTCTGTCCTTCCAAATTCACCTTACATTTCTATAACAAAATAAAACAAATTGTATACTCATATAAAACCAACGTGAACAAAATATAAAAACTGAACGTAATTTGTATTGATGGCAGAAGTTGAGTGACAAATGAAAAATAAAACTTACCGAGCAATTGAAGCAAGGACTGTGATAATTGTTATTTAATGCTTCGACCCATCTATCGCCAGCCTCGATAGGAAAACCGCAAGCTATGCATTTGGTCGTAAACAATTCGTTCCAATCTGCATTATCATTGGTATGTTAATACGTTATATTATAAACGTAATGTATTTATTTCAAATCAAACTACTCACCTTCTTCGCAATAAGGAAGGCTGTCTTCCAAAAAGAACGGACTGTTACCGAAGAGCTTGCTACAATACGTGCATTTAAAACATTCAGGATGGAACTGTTTACCAATGGCGTTTAAGCAGTCCTATAAAATAATGATTAAATAATAATTAATATTATTATTACGTTATCGAACGGTGTATTTAAATAATTAGTGTCCATCTAATTACCCCTTTGATTTTCTTAGTGCATTTATTGCACACCGGTGCTAGATACTGTTCGAAACAATATTCGCAGTAAAGGCCGTTGTCTTCTTCCACGAAACCAATATCTTGCAATGGACGTCTGCATTTTTCGTTTGTGCATATAAAATGTTCCGGACACCAAATTTTGCCAAGAGCGGTAATAAATGGGCCCCTAGATAAATAATTGAAGAATAAATAAACTAGCTGTATATAATGGGAAATTATAGCCTCGGTAAAACGAAAAATGAAAATATACAAACAAAAATCAAAAACATAAAGCTAACAAACCTTGTGATTTGGGTATGGCAACAGTTGCATTCGGGGTTTTTAATTAACTGCAGCGCATTATTGTCGACGTCCTCTTTAATTGTAAGTTTTTCAAGTCCTGGGAGATTATTAATAACGTGAAAAGCAAAACAAACACAAACTAAAGTGAGTTATAAAAACCAAAACGTTAGCTATGTACAAAAAAAAAAAAACTGGTGCTGTGTTTAACACAATTACACGTCTATTGTGAATCTTACCTGAATCGTAGGTAAATAAAATATAAAACTTTAATAAATATTGCACACAAAAACACAAATATCCTAAAACGCATTTTCTTATTTACCTTATGTATAAATTGCACTGTCCACACAGCGGCACTCTAGCACCTGGGGTTAAATTTTGTGGGTTCAACACTCCACGGCCTCTTCTGGGTGCAGTAAGACCAGCCGAAGCACCAGTTCTTCCCACCGGCTGACCACCTATATCGGGTTTGGGTATAGGTGTTGGAATACATTTAGGGTTTGTTTTTTTTATGAGACATGTTAATTTTTTAGCTAACAATGCAGCAGGAATTGATGATTTAGGCATAGGAGCGACCGGTTCTACAAAAGTATCGTTAGTTAGAGAAGGCTGTACTATTAACGGTAAAGACTTTTTTATGGATTGGGGTGCATGAGAGGATTTTTGAATTATGGCGATTGACGTGTTTTTAGATGAAACGGGGTCATTATAATTGCTTGATTTAATGACATGATTATCAGTATTTTTAGATTTATTATGTTTCACTGAGTTGAATTCTTCATTAATTGATTCTTGGGGCTCTTTGATTTTGGGTTCATCAAATACCACTTCTTCAGCATATTTGAAATTGGATTCACTTTGATTAAAATCTTTAGCTGATTGAAGTACAGACTCTACTGAATTAAGGGAGGACGATTTTAATCCTGAACTAGATATCTGCATTGATTCGAAAGTTGATTTCGAATCTACTACTGATGCTGATGAATATATCGATGATCTTGTCATTAATACAGGTGCTACCGGCGTTGATTTATTATATCCATGCATATACCTAACGGGATTATTTCCTACAGGTCTTGTAGTATTTTTTGATTCGCTTAATTTGTAACTGCTCTCCGAATGTTCAGAAATTATCATTGGGTTTTCTTTCTTGAGAAGATTTTCTATAGGTTTTGAATTTAATTGAGAGTGATCTATGACAGTAGGTAATGGAGAATAACTTCTTTCAGATGCTATATTTAATGCAGTCACCACGGGTGATTCTGGTCTATTCACATTAGAGTTAGTCGCTGGTATTACGATAGCATCAGTAATAGGTGATTGATGTAGTATAGTATTAGATGTTTTCGTTTTTGAATCATGTTCTTCGATTTGTTGAACATAATTAGGTTCAAAAACTTCTAAACATTTGACATTCGATTGAGAAATTAAACCTTCTACTTGATGAACGCCAGAAGAAAAAATTGTATTTGGTGATTTAGTTTCAATATTGATTTCATGTTGTGGTTGTGGTGTAGATGTTTTTGACCTATTGTGAGCTCTATACTCCAGTGGAATTTCTGGTGGAAAAACTACGATATGAGTGGGTGACATTGCTCTGATATTGTTATTTGGTGGCAATAGAGATCGAATTTCATGAGGCACGGTCGTTGTATTAGCTTTTATATCGTTGTATTTTTCTATTGATGGTGATTGAGATTGCTCTTTTTGAGACGATTCTATTAGCATTTGTGTGGAAATTGAATCACATAACACTTGTTTGTATGAACTAAGTGTGTGACCTACTTCCTGGGTATATGATATGGATGCATTGCTTGAGTTAACCGTTGATGATTTTGATATAACCGGACAAAATGCAGAACTAGTGGAAGGCTTTGGTTTTAAGAAAGGTAATCTTGGTTGGGAGTTAATCGATTTTTTACACTCGTCTACGGTTAGTATGTTAAGAACAAAAAAACCAAATAAAAATTGTAATTAATTTAAACTTTAAACATATTATAATAAGTTCTAAAATTTTAAATCTTGTTTTATATTTTATAATTATAATTAGAAAATGTTTTAACTAAAACTAACCAATTTCACTTTTTAGGTAAATTTAAATATCCCAATTTCTTTCTAGCGTCTTTAATTATGTACATTTTTTTTTACAACTATTTCATTAATATATTTAATTTGAAATTAAAATAATAATTTTTAAATCTAATGTTTCTTAAAAGGGTATTAATGTTTATTTATTAATGATTAATGTATAGTAGTATAGTAATTCAATGTTAAATACGACCAAGAACAGGCTGTGAATCTCTTGGTTTTATGAAATTGGTCGCAACATTTTCGGATTTGGACGGACCGCCTTCTAATGATGATGGTTTATATCCCAAGACGGGAGCAATTTTACAATTTAAATTCGATTCTTGTTTTAAAAAGGAAGTGTTTTTTATCGATGGTTTTGGCGTGAATGTTTTCACTTTACCTTTAACTTCCGAACGTGTTGACTTTTCAGAAGATTTGTCACTAGGAGTAGCTCGATGTGGGTTTTCTGGTATATTTCGTTGATATCGTGGTATATCTAGTGGCTCATGAAGACCTGAAGCAGTAAACGGATATCTAGGAGCTGGTTTAGGGGGTTCTACAATATCAATGTCTTCATTTAGTGGTTCTTCTTTGTTGGGCTTATCAAATACGATTTCTTCAGAGGTTTCAAAATTAGATTCTTCGCGGTCAAAATCTCCAGCTGCTGTTGACAATTTAAGCTCATCCGAAACAGGGGGAAATGACTTTAATCCCAAAATGGCTATTTGTTCTTCCTCCGTATCAATTGCCGACATAGGTGAATATATCAATGATCTTGTCATTAATAAAGGTTCTGCCGGTGTTTTTTTATTATATCCATGCATATATCTTACAGAGTTGTTCCCAACAGATCGTTTAGTTATTCTTGATTCGGGTAATTGGTAACTACGATCTGGAGCTATAGATAATGCATCTGCCATGGTCATTGGTTTTTTTTCTTCAATTATATTTTCAATTGGTTTTGGAATTAAATCAGAAACATCAACGTAAGTAGGCAAAGGGGAAAAACTCCTTTCGGGTGCTATTTTTAATGCAGTCAGCATAGGAGATTCTGATCTCTTCTCTTCAGTTGTAGTCACTGGTAATTTTGGTTTTACTGTAGGTTCAGTAATATAAATAGGCGATTGATCATGTAAAGTACATGATGTTTTTGTTTTTGAAACATTATGGTTTTCAACTTCTTTGGCATAATTAAATTCAACAACTTTTAACTGTTCGACATTAGATTGAGACTTTGTGTCTTTTACTTGATCAACGTTAGAAGAAATAATTTTACTTTGTGATTTAGTTTCAATGTTGATTTCATGTTGTGGTTGTGGTGTAGATGTCTTTGACCTATTGTGAGCTCTATATTCCGGTGGAATTTCTGGCGGAAAAATTACGATATGAGTGGGTGACATTGCTCTGATATTGTTATTTGGTGGCAATAGAGATCGAATTTCATGAGGCACGGTCGTTGTATTAGCTTTTATATCGTTGTATTTTTCTATTGATGGTGATTGAGATTGCTCTCTTTGAGACGATTCTATTAGCATTTGTGTGGAAATTGAATCACATAACACTTGTTTGTATGAACTAAGTGTGTGATCTACTTCCTGGGTGTATGACATTAGAGATTTATTTGATTCAACCGTCAATGGTTTTGATATTATAGGACAAAATGCAGAACCAGTCGTAGGTTGTGGTTTAAAAAAAGGTAATTCTGGTTGGGAGTTAAGAAATTGTTCAGACTCTTTTATGGTTAGTATTTTAAGGTAAAATATCAAATAAAATTGTAATTAATTTTCATATTATTATAAATTATAATAATTTATAAGTATATTTAGTATTATATTCTAATCATCTACTGAAATTGATTAGCTATAAAAAGTCACCACTAATTAAATAAACCCATCAAATTTCAAAGCATAAACTAAAATTGAATAATTTGTATAATTTTGTTTGAAACTATTTTTTGAAATATTTAATTTAAAACAGAGCCAAAAAAAAAAAAAAAATTACATGTTTATTCATGTTAAGGATACAATTTTACAATGCTTTAATTTGAAGTTTGTCTAAAAACATAGATGCAATATGAAATTAAATATTTTAGATATTTATAGAAAGTGTCTCAGAAGATTAAATAAAAACCATTAAATTAATTTTTGTGAAGGAGGAAAAGATGATTTATTAGAGAAAAATGGTACTGCCTTATTTAATTTTATGGCACTTGGGTGGTTACTTTTATGTATATAAGAGCCGTACTCTATTGACATAGAATCCATGTCTAAACTTTGAGACACTTTGCAATGATCATTCGTTTTTTGTTTTAGAGCCGGAGTATCATTTTGTGAAGTATTTGATGTAAATGTAGATACTTTATCTTTAATACCCGGACCTATAGACCTATGTGAAATAGATTTGTTTTCTAAAATGTCTAATTGTTGTGGTTTAATTAAATTGTATTCGTTTTGTAAATTATTCAACGGTACATTATGCTCTGGACTAATAAATGCATGTTGAGGATTAGATTTTTTGTTTTCTTCGAGTTCAGGCACACGAGTTATAATCGTTTCATTTAAATTATGTTTACTTTCTATATATTTGTTATGGCCAATAATATAAGGTTTGTTATAAGATAGATATAAATTCGATTCTATACCCGTTATTTGACTTTTTTGTAAATTTGTAGGAGGCATTGGTTTAGATAGTGTGGCCTTGTTTTGCAATAATACAGCAGAAGTGTTATTGTTATATCCATGCATATATCTAACAGGATTATTTCCTATAGGTCTAGCTGAATTGTTTGTCTCAGTTACTCGAAAAGTAGATTTTCGAGCTAATGCAGACTTTTCATTTACTGTAATAATATTTTTAACTTCTTGATTGAAATCTTCTATTGGTGCAAGAGGAAGTTCAGAAGCATACGTAAAAGTAGGTAAAGGTGAATAACTTCTTTTAGGAGCTGTCTTCAATGCATCTACTAATGGTGATTCCGGTCTATTTTCATTTTCTATGGGCAGCGGTATCCAAGGTGCTGGTTTAATAATTGGTTCGATAACAGAGAGTGGAGTAAATGGCCGATCGGGAGCTATTTCCATAGCTATACTCATTGGACCTTTTTTACCATGAAATAGAGGTAAGTTATTTAATTCAGCAATTTCAAAATTATACTTATCTGGACATTGAGAAATAGCGCTTTCTTTTTTCACAGAATTAGTTTTTAAAGTATTCACTAATACGGGTTTAACTGGTGAAACAGATTTTTTTTTAGATTCTATTGTTGGCGATTTCGAGTAACTGCGATATTGAAGTGGAATTTCTGGTGGAAAAATTACTAATTGATTTGGTGAAACTGCTCTAATATTATTATATCGTGGTAATAAGAATCGGACTTCATGTGGTGCCTCCGCAGAAGTAAAATCTTGACCTTTATCATCTGGAACTGGTGATTGTGGTCTCCCTATTTTATTCGATTTGATTAATGACTGAGCTGCAATTGAATCGTTCAATGAGTGTTTAAAATCATTCATTGTATGATCGACTTCTTGGGAACAAAGAGATGCACGTTTTCCATAATCATAAGACGCTGATTTGGATACTACAGGATGAAATGCAGAACCGGTCGATGGTTTTGGTTTTAGGAAAGGTAATCTCGGTATAGAATTAGTACTGTATCTAGGTTCGTCTAAAGTTAGCAAATAAGGCAGAAAACCAATGAAAATAATAATGATTAATTTGTTTTCTGCTATTTTTTTTTTTTAATAAAATGTATATACTAATATACTGTTTATAAGTAATTTTTTTATAACTGATTAACTTGTAAAATTAATTATAAGGACTATTGATTATATTTGTTTCTAGCCTGTTAGATACATAATTATATTTTAAAATATTTAGGCATCTATATATTTTATGCTCTGACCTTACTCTCTACTATATTATTTAATTCAAACAAAAACGGTCACTTACAAAAACTTTTAAAATCATCAAAACAAAACATAAGCTTTTAGGATATTTATGCAGATATTTAAACATTAAATACAACTGAAAAGGGACGTGGTTTGGAGTTGAATGGTTTTATGTCTGAAAAGTGAAAACAATAAGTTTCAACAAACAAAATCAGTAGGTACTTATTATGTTACATAATCAATTTTAGATGTTTTTATTTTTCGGAAAACAAATTGTTGGTTATTAGAAACTACATTTACTTTAAAAAATTGTATGTGACAACTTTATAAATAAATAATTGGATTAGGTACTTAGATCGAGAATTAATAAAAATAAAACGCTTTTCAGAAATTATAGAAGGAACGTAGCGTTTTGGTTTTAATAGGTTCTAATTTCGTCCAAATAGATTTTAGAGTAAAATAATTGATGGGTAAAAATTCTAAGTACTTATACAACACTATCATGTGATAATATGAGTTTATTGAGACGAACTTTTTTATCGTCGGGATCCGTTGTTCAGTGTACTCGCTTACTATTTTGTATTACTAAAATCATATTTGAAATAGTTAAATACCGTTATATTAACCGTTTTTGTTTTTCTTTAAACATTTTTACTTATAAAACGAATTAATTTAAAATATATTTTTCATTTGTTTGTTTTATGGATATATTTTAATTTTGATTTTATGTATTTAATCCAGTCAGAATATAATTATTAGATTAACTACTGCGGTAGACCAATTCCATAATCGATAATTTCGTTGAAATAAAATGCTTGATCTAGGTATTTGAATACATTTACCACCTACTACTATTTCAAACAAAGTAGTGTTGGTGTTTGAATAAAACATAGTCACTACTAACTTATAATGTTCAATTAATAATCAATTATGGAATGGTTTTATTTTTACGCATATTAATAAGTAGGTATACCATATAGGTACCTATATATGTAATCATCACCTATAACTATATTGTATATATGTTACCTGTAAAATTAGATTTGGTTTTCAATTCAGGGTTGAATCCTACAGACAAATAATGATTTTAATTGTTTTTGTAAATTATGTTTAATACATCTATATTTTTTTTATCTGTTGATGAATTGAAAAAAATATCGTATAGGTTAAGTTAGGTGACCTAACCTACTCGTATAATATGTATATTATTATTTAAAATACCGAATAATAAAAATGTTATTTGTACTCGTTGCATATTACTACAAGATCTTGAAATATATTTTGTTAGGTAAAGATATCTTGTTTATGACTATTCGTCTATCTAATATTGTTTGAATATTTCTAAAAATAAATTACCAGCTAGATTACAAGATTTGTCGCTAGGTAATTTATATTTTATACATAAAATAAGTGCGTAAAGGGTAAAACGATTTAGCAGCGAAAATTTTTAAAATAGTTATCTAATTAAAATGTAATAATTTAACAATAAACAAATTTTGATTTCATTAACTTAAGAGAAGAGATGTTTTTTAAGTTCTATAACCTAGCGACGCTACTTGATTGACTTAAAAATATATTAAACATAGAATATAATTTTTCAACTTACCAGACTGAATGACTTGATTACTTCCACCAGTGAATTTCGGTGGAGTCGGTGTTTGTTTTGGTGCCTCGTATGGTTTTGCATTTGAAAAGACTTTTGACGGAGTCTGAAAATTATTGAAATTCAAATTGTTTGTCTAATTATACTTAAACCATGCAAACAAATTGTGTATAGGTACCTACTCAATTAAACATCACTGATAAATGTTAGTTTCATTGCATTTTTTAAAGCATTAATTACATATAAATACGGCGTGTCTAAAATATTGTTCACACCTAGTCAATAGTAACATACATCAACATATTGATACGTTCTAGACACACTGTCAAGTCTACTATAAGACTTGATAACATTGAAATTTTAATTTACACACTTATTACAATGGCGCAACTAGAGAAGATTATGTAGAGAATAAAGGGATGTAGGTAAGCATATACTCGTAAATATATAATCTTCTCCAGAATATCTATGAATTCAACGATTATTATTTTTGTTTTGTTTTCTTGTCTTACATATTTGATTATAAATAATGACCGACACTCGTTTCATAATTCATTATAATTAAAATTCTAAATTGCGCCATTGCCATGAACTATTATAATTGATGGTCAAGACAACGTCAGTGACTGTATAAAACATAAAGCAACAAATTGCACAAATATTTATCATGTAAGCGTTTTAAGCATATGATCAATAATAAAAAAAAAAAACTAACTAACAATTAAGTACTTATAAAATTGAAATTCAAAAAAAATTATAAAAAACCTCATTGTTTTTTGTTATGGATACAAACATTAATACGATTTAAATATAACTTTCAATGGATTAGGTGAATATCAACAAGTGTTAGTTTAGAAATTATCCACTTATAGTATTGATCTACCTGAAGTTTGGGGGCGTTAACGTGACTAGGAGCTTTTGGAGCCTGTATAGTAAACATAATATGTTTCATAATATAAAAATCTTCAATAAGAATAAATATAATACCAAAATAATTTCAATGAGAAACATAAATAATTTTTACAGATAGGACTAGAGCAGTAGTGCACTATTCAAGCACTGCAAACCGCGCTTCCACTTACAAGTGATACTCTATTACTACTCTCCTTCTACCTACTAAACGGTGAAATCAAAAGTGGAATATCTCATCAATAGGTTGATGGAAGTGAAAAATGTTTACACCAAAATGTATTAAAATTTCATCTATTTATGGCATTTTCAATATAGGTTTCTATTTGAAAATAAAAAGTAGGTAGTGTTTCCACTTCCCAAAATGAGCTTGACAAAAAATAACGGTAAAGTGACATTTTAGATCGGCTAGTTTCTAACAATGTTTTAAAAAACAAATTCCGGAAACTTAATACTCTCCGATGTAATAAGTATCTTACGTTATATGGATCACTCTACATAATCAAAATACGTGAATACGCCCCTGAAAATGTTACATTTGGAAATAAATACCCCCCTGAAAATTTTACGCCCGGGAATTATGTCCGGTGTGTAATTAAAAGGCGATAAACTAAATGGTCCAATCAGATTTGTATTCCAGCTGTTTAGAAATAATGAGATTATATAGAACAAGACATATAGCTAATATACATAGTTGTCTAGATTAAGAGGAGTCATATTTTTGATTTTTGATGCCATTTTTTTAAATAAAAGCACTTAAGTGGGAAAAACGCAGGAAAACGTACAATTTCACGATTTTATTGTTTTATAAAGCACGGACGTTTTCTACCAAAAAAAATGATTTAATTGAAAAATCACAAGGCATCTGTTTTGTTGCCTTTTTGATTTAATTTCTTACGGTATAATCGCCAAAACTTTTGAACTTTTAAGGAATTTAAATTTTTGAGAGTATTTTGCTGTAATTCGATTACACACGTAGATACTTGAAACTAATAATAATACTTATAAAGGACTTACATAGTCGTGATAAAATTTCCAAAATCATCGGACGACTTGTTTTCCTTTTTTTAATAAGCGTTTTGAAATCAAATTTAAACGAAAATCGCAAAAAAAAATTATGGCACTTCAATTTATGTATTACCGAACTGCGCTCGTTATCGTCTTTCGTCAAACAATGGTCTATCGTTGCTTATAGATATAAATGTAATAATCTAATGTATCCTACCTTCCTAACTTCTCACTTACAACAGTGGCCGCTCCCATCCCCAGTATCAGCTCTTTTTATACTTAAAATTTTAAGGTATATATTATGTATTATATTTCTTATATCTTATGTATAATACTTAAGTTATAGCTTATAATGATACATTATAATTATTTAATATAGGTACGTATTGAAATACGTACCTTGTAATTTGTTCAACAATGTAAATTACCTAAAAAGTGTGTTTAATAACTAGGTACTAGTGCAGTAGATACTGATTTATTTTGATATCATTTGTAATGTTATTATTATTTCAGTAATATAAATACAAAGACAATTAGTGGTTTTAACTTACGTGGAATGGTATTGGCGATAAAGTGCTGGGTTGTGGTGATTGTACCGATTGTACGTCCTTTGATTTAGTTGGTGTTATATTGAACGAGCCCAAAGGTGGATGCGAGCCCCTATTAAATATTTAATTTTAGTTTTAATTGATAGTCGTCAAATAATATAATTGCATTAGTTTTAGTTATTATATTTTTAGATTAAATTCAATGTTGAATCGTGTGTGAATTGTAAAACAAATTTGAGGATGGTTTTAGTTAACATAACAGCGTACCATAACAAATTAATTAAAAATTAATTCGTTAGGCCTTCAACAAACATAATAAATAATTTATTGTGTTATTATAATTTTAGATTCTGAGAGTAGCATAAGTTTTACTACCCATGTGTGTTTTTTTTCTTTGTTTATTTTTTAAATTTCTGTCTGTGAACAACTTGTTTACCAGAAATCTTGCTCCATTTTTGATCTAATTGTACATTTTTTGATTGTTTAAGTGTTTTTTTATAATAACTGGGAAAACCGAAAAAAACGTATAGGAAAAACAGATAAATATTTTCGGCGTGTCACGACGTTACCGATTTAATTATTTAAAAATAAACTTCACTCAGAATTATTTTTCGTTATGGTTTATAATTACTAACAGATATAAATTGAATACATTTATGTATCCTATTTTCCCAATTTTTTTAATATAATTTAAATAAAACGATCGTTGTATTTTTAAATTAAGTATATCTCAACATCAAAGTAAACGTTACACAGTTGGTGTAAAAATCTTAAATAACCAATGTGGTTATCATGTATTATTTGTTTAACTCATATTAATTCCTAAACTTAAATAAGTTATTATAAATATTTTTTTATTATTTTCATATTATTTTATTACAAATTTGTTATTAATCACGAAGTTATACGATAATATATTAAACAAATGTATGTTACTTGAATATATTATGTTCGGATTTTGGTGTGTATTTTTCTAAAAAAACACACATTTTATAGCACAACGACTACCTATTACCTCTTAAAAAATAAAATGCTATACTTATTTGTACCAATTCATATTTATATTTGAACCGGCTAAATTTCACTTCACGTTTAGTTATCTTTAAATTAAGGTGAGGTTAAAATTGTGTCACACCATAGATTTTTAAAGTTACTTAAGTTAGGAACAATTTAAGTCATTTTTAATGTTTTTTTTCTAATTTAAAAAAAATATTTTTACAATTTTTGAGATTGAAACCGAAAGTTTTTAATAATTTTAAATAATTTTGAACTAAAGTGTAAAATATCTGGGTAAATCTGTCTAGGTAAATTTGTTTAGGTAATCCATATTTTACAAAAATTAAATAATTTGTATGGTAATTTTTAAGGTACAAGTGTATATAGGGGGGGATTTGTGGTCTTAGCCACTCAAAAATGTCAATTGTCCTCCCATACGTGTTCTATTATATTTCTTACATTTATTGAATTAAATATTTCCAAAGACAGTATAAATTAACAAATAATACTTAAGCATTTATGTGTGTAATATATGCGTACCTAATGTACTTACATTGTTTATAATAGTTTTGAGCATATTTAAATATTATAGTCTACATAGTTAAAATAGTGCATTTTTAAAAATTTGTAGTAAGTTTTATTGTTTAGTTACATTGTAATTAGGTAAAAGTATAACATTTTAAACCGAGCGTAGCGATTAAAAATTATTTAGGGGGTGTAGGTGTTTAAGGTATATTTCTGTAAAAACTTTAGTTTTACATTTTAGTAGTCAAGACTTTAGCCCCTTCAACTCTCAAATGCTATTTGTACCTATGCCGCAAGTAGGGATGGATCCAGGAGGCCTAGGGGGAAATATTATTTTTCCGATTTTTTTTATAATTCTATAGGTGCTGATATTACTATATTCCAATCACTGATATGTATGATAAAGTAATATATTATGTTATATTTTAATTATATTTGTGTTATAAAAAAAAAGGTTGCCCCCTCCCCCCAGATCTTTGCTCTGGATCCGTGCATGGGCCACAAGGCATTTCATAAAAATGATAAACTCTCCATCGAAAGGTGAATTAAAATTGATATTACTATGAATTGACTACAAATAAAACCAAAACCCATGTCGAATTTAAAACGAATTTTTTCTTATTAGAATTATTGCACAGTAGGTATACCGTTTATAATGAAACCGGTTGTAGTGACATATGGGATCCGTTGACCTTAGATTGAAGGTTCCGACAAAACTCCTGTATTGTATGTACTAATGTGTATCGATTATTATGACGTCTATATAATATGACTATATACTCGTACAAATGTTATGACGGTTACTTTTGGTTATATGGGGAAAATCTGCATGACTTTTTTATAAATAAAGTACAATTTTTTTTTTTTAATACAATTTAAATTTAATTTTAAAATAATAAACAACTTTTTTTATTTTATTTTTACTGTATGTATTAAAGTCACGATTTAGTGATCAAAATATGACACGTTGACTGTAATAGAATAATATTATGTTCACATAAATACGATTTGCCTAATAAATAACCCCGGAAATTTAGACTCCGCAAAAAAAATTCCGTGAAAAAATAACCCCATATTAATTTTAAATGTCAATAATAGTATGTAAAAAAAAAAAAAAAAAATGATGTATAATATTAATACTAAATGTCAGTAATAACCATTGAATTCAAATTTAACAATATTTTTAGAGAATTTTAAAATACGCAATAGCAAAATATAGTATAGTACTAATATTTAGATTAATTTTTATTTTTACCTATTGCAATAGTACCCATTACCCTATGCAAAAACTCATACGGGGTTATTTTTTCGCGTTAATTATAAATACATGTACATAATCAAGTTTTTAAATTTTATTTTATCATTTTGGTTCAATGACAATAATTGGCTGTTATGACTAATTTTAACTTGTCCCTTGGATGTCATTATAAACGATTTTTACTGTAGTTTGTATATTTTAAACTGTAATCAGTATATTATGATTTATTGATTGCGTATTTAAGAATTACTTAAATGGTTAATCCACAATTTCATTGTTTAAGCATTATTTTAAACAAATTAAGTAGACAAATAGTGTGTGTGAAACAAAAATAAAAATAATTTTAAGAAGCCGTAATCTCTATTTAAATTGTAAGTGCAACTGGTGCAATGGGTATTAAATATGTATAGTGTGTACACTATAAACGTGAAATTAGCTAAATTTTTTTTAACGAAATTGAATTTATGAATTAATACTTATACATTTTTAATTATTTTAAAATATAATAAATTGTAATATTTTCCGTATATAAAGCAAAAAAAAAAAAAAACAAACAAACAAAACTATTGCATAACCTACGGTGGTACGGTAACCGGCTCCAATTCCGGTGCCGGTGGATTTTGTCTGGCCACCATTTTGGCGTGAATGTCGCAATACAGTTTGTTGTTGATACTGTAATAGCCCACATTTTTCAGGGATGATCCACAAGTGGCACATTTAAAACATTCAACGTGCAAACTTTTATCTTTGATACGAACGAATACACCGCTATATTAAAATTTAACTTATTACTCATTAAACTATAATTAATTTATAAATTATAATGTAATTTTATAAAATATATATTAGTGTGCCACGCGTGTTAATTTGCTGATAGTGGTTTGGGTTTGGGTTTTAAGATGACCATGGGAATGAAGGGATCAAGAGATCACCTAAAATATCTTACATAATATCTTTCCTACACTCGTTGCATTCAACGAGCTGACTATTCTCCGAGTATTTGTTTACTTCTTTTAAAGGAGAACCCATGTATGGATCTCGGTGTTCTGGCATGTTCATAGCAGCTGCTATAGGTGTCATAGGACGTGGTGAAGTGGCACGGCCACCTATCGCATGGCTTGCAGACGAGAAATATGCGAATTTCGCTTGAAGGTCTATTTTTCCAAAATAAAATCAATTTTTTAAACTTTATTTCCTTTCAAGACGAAATTGATAATTCTTAGAATTCAAATATAAATTTAAAAAATACTGCATACATTTTCAAGATAAAATATTAAAACCCATCTGTCTAATATTTTACAAAGCATCACCATAAGCACCAAGCAGATAATACACATTATTTTACACTTAACTTACACTACGAGTCTTTCACATTCTGAACAAATGCTTTGATTAGGAGCATTTTGTGGTGCTTTTGGTTCAGGTGCAGATACATGTCGCATAGGACTTTTGATTATCGGATCGATAACACATTGTCTAAATTCTGTATATAGAACATTTTTAAATGTTATAGAGAAATTAAATTTACGAAGACTTATAGTTTTTGAATATCTAATCAGTGTATACTATAAAAAATTATCATAAAAAGGAATAGATTTGTTAACCTGGTTCTAAATCTCTTGGTTCCTTATCGGCTTCTTGTACCATTTTAAGCACTTCACTATGACTAGCATCATAATTCTTTTCATTTTTCTTGAAATTTACTCTGTAATTTGTTTATACTTTAATTATGTGATTTGAGCTTTCAAAACATTAACTTACCCTAAGACTCCTCCGGCTAGTACTTCAGCTTGTGCTGTGAGTGTTTCGGCAATATTCTCTTCACTATAAATACCTACTGGTGTATTGTACTGTTTATTGACAATAGCCTTAACCGTTCCGGAATCATTTCCGCCAACCTGTGAGTATATTACTTAATTAATGACGATAAACCTAAATTGTAATATAGTATATTGTGAATTACTTTAGGTGATGAAGTTCCACTAAATGGTCGTGTAACAGAGTTGTGTGAAGAACCAAACGCAGGTGATTGTGGTCCAACTTTAGCTAATGATGTTTTTGTCACTAGTTGTGGAGATTGAGATAATCTATTCGGTACTGGGCTAGGCCCAATAGGTGTAATTGAAGGTTTCCAAACACTTGTTCCACCTCTAAAAAATATAGTCGTTTAATAAATATTTAATTATTATTTATTAGATAGGGGTAGGCCAATATATAAAACGATCTCGATATCGGTCGATATTCGGAGAAAAATGTCTATATAGCGTCTCTGAATTGTAAAAAAAGCATTAAACAAATCGAGTTTTAACCGATGTATCGGTTAATTTCAATATCAACTCACGGTTTTCGTATTCAAATGCGGATATCGGATATCGGTTTTTTATCGGTAATCGTAGATCGAGTAAAAAGTGGTATCAGTCTATCCCTAGAATTTATATTTTTAGTTATTACTATAACAGTTAAGGTGAGTAAATAAAAGTTCTTAAAATAATTCCATACACGATATATAATTTGAACTCAATTCCTATTATAATGGTTAAATTCGATTTCAATCAACAGTTTTATTATTACACATAAATACAAACATATTTCAATAGAAAGAAAAAAATAAATAGTTTCGTTCTTAATTTACAACCATACGAAATACGAATGTATAATAGGTACACTTAATATATCTTTTCATTTAGATGTACCATGACGTTCTTTTGGGTAAATTATACAAACTTGGCTATGATCCGAAAAAAGAAATATTATTTGTAGTCATATCAAAGGAATATGTTTGACTAGAGACAATAATTTTACTTCCTTTTAGAAATAGAATTCCAAACCAAATTTCTTGGCATAACTATTAGGATTCAAATCGACCAACCATCAAAATTACACTCTGCGAATTATCATTTTATAGCTGAATTAGACTTAATAGACATAGTATTTACATAAATTTAAAAAAATCTGTTTATATAGTAAAAACTGTTATAATAAAAATATATTACATACATAGAGGTATTTATATATATGTGCTCGTGCTTACCGTGTGTATAGGTATTATACTATTTCCGGTTGTGTTGTTTTATGTTACTAAATTGTTAAAATAGTTTTAATTTAAAATCTTTCGTTGGATAACATTGATAGAGATCAGTATATAATAAATTTTTTTATTCCGATAGTTATTATTTCTTATGAGAAAGTGAATATTTTATAGTAATGCAATTCTTACAACAAATTTTAACGATCTAACAATAATAATTGTAAGCCATACAAATAATAGATCTACATACTAAGTAAGAATAAATCGTTTGCCTTACCGTTGAATGGTGAGCTCAAAAGCATTTCCAGCACGCAGGATAACATCCTGAGCATCTTTATGTTTTACGTCATACACATCTTGGCCGTTGACCCTGACTAAGGCGTCGCCTACTTGAAGACCGGCTTTCTCGGCTAAACTGCCAAAGTTCACCTAAAACAAAACATATAAATATTATGTTGTGGGATATTCAATGCATGTGTTTGTGTGTGTTTGCGTCTATGTGTGTATGGACAAGTTATGGGACGGTGTATTGTGCTTTGTCATTTATACATAAACTGGAGAGAACATTTAAGATAACTATTGTTTATTCAACCGTCAATTGCACAATGATACTTCAATATCATTAAATAACATTAAATAGATACTTGAGAAAAATATAATAATGATTTTTTTTCGTGTGGGTTATGTATAATAACATACAATATTTCAGTTCTTACTTATAACTATAATACTTATATAATTATCATCAACCGGACAATATTTCGTCTGCAGTATCTATAATATACGATATTCTGTGAATATCGATAAAATAAGTCATTGTATAATGTATAATATTTAATTTATTTTTATAGCAGTATATATGTACAAGTAGTCTAATAATATTGTATATGTATCGTCTATACCTAAAATAATGAAACTAATGAATAAATAAAAAATATACCTAGCTGTCGTGGTCGGATAGCTGAATTTACAAAATAGTTACCATTATTATTTCTATTTGTATTCAATTATAAAGCTATAATTTAACAATATATTATATACAGGCTTAAAAGAAAAAAAATATATAATTCAAGCATAAATATTATTAGTCCATTTCCTTGTAAGTAATAATAAAAAAAAAAAAAAAAAACAGAATTTGATTATTTTTATCATGTCCGGAGATATTCAAGGGATATATCTTCGTGGGACAGCCTGTATATATATTGAAATACATTAATAAATACAAATAATAAAATGAAAATGTACTAGACAATTGCAATGGGCCTGAAAGAAAATATGAGACTTAAAAAAAACAAAAATTAAAAATAGCACGTCTAAAGATGTATCTTATATTGGAAGATGTTCAAAATAAAAAAAAAAAAAAATCACAAAACAGTACAGTAATATTATAACTACTATTACGAAGAAAAACATATTGTTCAAGAGATACAATATTGTACATAACTAAGTATATAGTTTATAACAACTTGTTTTTAAACAATAGCATTAAGAATTTTCAACACATTTTTTTGTTCGTTGAAAATCGATTTTTTTTCTTCTTCTAATTGCTGACAAAATATGTGAAATATGAACACGACAAATATTTCCAAGAAATGTATATGTTTTTCTCTGGGAATACTTGTAATATTGTAATCCAATTATTATAAAATAGTTATGCTGTGAACCAAAGAAAAACGCTGATATAGAAATGGAACTACATAAAATGTTAACGTAAGGTATGCGACTTCATTATCGTGCTATTTTTTACCTCGAAGTTAGTCTCCGGAGAAATAATACATACCTAATTAAAGATTTCAATCAAACGATTTAAATAACTATACTTAGGTACATTAAATAATCAATATTCTATAATATTATAGTCAGTAGAACAATACGAGATTATAAAATGATAAAAATGATGTTCCAATTGGTACCTATATTATAGAAATATTTTTTACAGTATTTTTTTATACTGATAAAGCAATGAAACTATTCGATAGGTGTGTAATTTAGAAAAATGTACACAATTAAAAGTTACTAAACATTATTTGCAGTCATTTGAAAATTTAATAATTTTACCCATACTTTACATGCAGATTCAACTAGGCATATTACCTACCTATATAAAATCCAAATAATATGTATTATGGGTTTATAATGTTTTTATAGACATTAGACTTAATACGGTAGTTATACTGACGAACAAGTTTTAAAGGTGAATTGGATTAAAAATATATACATATAACATAAAATTATTATTTTGACTAAGTACCGGTAAAAAATTTTTATTTTTAACACATAAATTAGTTTTTCGAATTATAAATATTTATGTCCTTTACCGTGCTTTTCGAAATATAGTTTATTTAATAATAAAACTGTCATTCATACGATGCCAACAACTTTAATAAGTTTCATTAATTGTAAGTTCATAAAATTGGAAATTATTTTACTCAATTTTGTTATGAACAAATAAAATAAAATGAAATACATACATCTATACATTTACCCTACGTTTAATAGTTTTATTTAGGACTTGAACAGGCTATAGGGGGCTGTAGCCTCGGGACGCGTGTCAAAGGGGGACTCAATGTTTCGTCTCACTTTTTTCTTTTTCAATTACTTTTTGTTGGTATAAAAATATATCGTTGCTGACAGAAATCTTGTCATGGTAACTTATACTAGAAATCATTTGTTAATATTATAATAGTTTATTGTTTTGAAACTATAAGTAGGTACCTAGATATAATATTACGATGACTGTCAAAAATATTCAAATATATAACTAGGTATGTACTCATTTTTTAACTATACATAAATAATAAAAATTAATAAAATTGAATTTAAAAAAAAAATGTAATGGGTGTATGTATAATCTTTTAGACTATTAGTACTATAACTGTAATCCGGCCCGGATTTTATAATACATGTTGGTGGAACATAAATATTTTGTTGAAATCCAATTGGTAGGTATCTACCTAATATTATTAACTATAACATTTACTAAATACTCGTATATTCAAATAGTCAAATGCATTCATTCTGTGTCAGAAAAATAAAACAGATTTTCTGTTGCTCAGTTTTACTACGTGTAAAAAAGTACAAATACCTTCAATATTGTTCGAATATTTACATATTGTGCTCAGCACGTAATTAAACGTCTATTGTTCTTGTAATAATGAGCGCCGAAACTGAACTATACTGTTATTGCCGTAGATATTATTATAACTATATGACGTGTACAAATCTACTATACATATATTCTTTTGACAGTTAGTCAGTGTAACAGATTATTATAAATAAGAGTCATGAATATAATAATTATAATGGTTAGGGACAATGCATATGATTAAAAATTGGTTTGAGAATATTATATGCGTGCAAATAAAGTTGTTACAGTAGTATATTTTCATGGATTTAAATTTTAGATTTTGATAGCGTAAGCGAGTAATGTACTGGTTTTACTATGATGTGTACATTATTTATTTTTATTAATGTGTCCTTAAACAACTTTACTATCAGAAATGTTGCTTGCATCATCAACTTCAGGGGTGGTTTATAGTAGCGAACTTTGCCCCGTTGGTGCATTAGGATTTTGAAGGGGTTATCATTTTTGATTTTTCTTATAACTCTTTTAATAATTAGGAAAAAACGTCGAAAAGTGGGAAAATTAACACAATTACGGTTCACATTATTGTTGATTTTGTTTTTTTGTTTTAATTCAGTTGAAAAATAATTGTAAAACCTAAACTGAAATGTTCACTGAAATACATAACACTTTCTATATATGGTGCAGTTTTCAACATTTTCTGGCGTTAGGTATTAGATAAGATTATGATGTTTAAACCTATATTCGTATATAAATAGTACCTAATTAAGTAGCAAGTATATTATCATACATTTTTTTCAATGAACGTGTTTTAGAACAGTGGAAATATTGTGATAACTTATAGTTAAAGTATTTTTTATGGTCTTTCCTTTTTCTTGTAGTGCCTATCCATTTTGGATGTTAGTGACCATCTTGGCTATCACCTCTTTGTCTGTGGCTGCCTTAAAGAGTTCGATCGACATTTTATTATACCATGAGCTGAGATTTTGCATAGATGTTTGAGAATGTCCCAAACCTCTTTTTTCATTTATTATTCCTAGAATAATGGACTGCAGTAAGTCGTATTTCGTTTCATTTCCCATAATATGACCAAGATAATTATTGAATTGATATAGATCAGAGGCAAACTTCCAAAGCGATATGTGACGTTTTTAAATTAAGCGAGACAGACTTTTTCAGAAACAAAGACAAACTGAAAGCAACAAAATAACACCTAACTCATATGTTATATTTTTATTTTGGCACCATTAATTGGATATACCTAGGTGGTTACTAATAGACAATCATTTATGTAAATGTTACTTTACAGATGGGCTATGACAAGATTAATACATCTAATTAGCATGATTATATACTTCAATATATTATATTAAAGTATCTATCAATTCATATCGTGCCAGGCTAAAAGCTTTTAGTAGCTCGATGTCGATTCCTACGATTATATTGATATTGATTATTCGGTAAAGCCTATGGTAGATTAAATCATTTACCCTGAAGTTCAAAGAACTCACCTGAATCCTGCACGAAACATTCATATTACATATAAACATTATTTGAAGAATCGAGAAACTTAAGAGCACTACTACCATAGACATGTTTTCTAAGTTTGTTTAATACCTTGGTACACAAGATATAATCTAACTATATACCTACGTTAGTAGGTTCGATGATACGCGTTAATTAAACTTGCTACAATGTACTCAAAATAATATTCTTATTAAAGATAAATATTATCCATATATTATTTACTGGAAAATAACCCGGTGTTTCTAGTGTTTTTACTTTATTATAATTGTATAATAGGTATGCACGGTTATTTTATTTTTTATTAAGTATAAAAATAAATAAAAACTAGATAACAGTAATATATAAATAAATGAAAAAGATACTAAACAATGTATTATCTGATGATCCCAGTAAATTGAGGTATAATTGAAAAAATAATGAATCATTGGAAACGAAAAACGATTTTGCAGAGTGGAGTAGTATTAAACGCGTTTTCCTCCTTATTACCAAAGTCATCAAAAATTAATTAAAAACAAAAAAAATAATCTAGAAATAAATTGTTGAAAATGTCGATACAATTTAAAATTAAGTACCTATCACCTTGTAGAATTTATGCATATTTTGAGGAATTGCGCGAAAAAATTGGAGCATTTGCCTAATTAAAAAAATGTTTTTAAAAAACCCTAAAAAGTATTGAATATTTTGAAAAATTGTTCAAAGAAGTAGGCAACACCGAGCAAAATATCGGTATCTTTTAAAGTATGTTATGAAAAATTCAAGTTATTTTTACTAGCTGTAAAGTATTTCCCAAAAAAAAGAAAACACCAATCATAGTAAAACTTTAATAGCTTCTTCAATAAACTCAGATTCTAAAATATAATATGTAACATTATCTTGTTAATAAAAGTATACAAAAATAAAATAAAATATATAATCTGCACATTACACACTGACAGACACACATACACATGCATGATAATATTATACTATATCTACATATTCTATAAAGTAAACTAGTGATAAGTAAAATGGTACACTTATTTTATTGTTAAAATGAAACTGTACTTACTGGAGGACACCTAAAATACGCTTATACTACAGCCATTTCTGTGGCGGATTTGTGGGGGAGAGGGTGGGGTAACGGGAGTATTCTATCCTTTTTTTAATTGTTACCTACTGAAACTTATAATAAAGATGAGGATAGGCTATATTAATCTTATCTTTATTCCCCGATAAATTTATAAAGAAGGCGTTTTCTTTTTATTCGATATCGTCTAATATTCAATTGTTTTAGAAATGGCCTGTCTATATCTTTACTACATATCTATGCTGGAACTAAACGGTAGATTGTGTATGTATTTGATGATTGTTAGGCAATGTCCGTTGACCATGATTATAACAACGGATTAATGATATCTATGACAGCCAGAATGTTTTGAAAATTGTCCACGTCTAGAAAAAGCCAATACAAGCTAAATAAATTACAACAAAAGAACAAAATTGAAAATAACGAAACCATTTTTGCGTACATTTTCTCGTTTTCTATTTTTACCCGGTTTTTCTTAACTTTTATGAAAACTGCTAAAAGAATAAAAAAAAATAACTTCCTCTAAGTACCAACTAGATCTTAAACTCTAAAAAAAGTTCTTGTTATTTTTCAATTAAAATAAGATACCTGAAAGGTTAGGTTAGTTGTTGGCAAAGTTGTTCACAGACATAAAAAAAAAGCTGATACTGGGGTCGGGTGCGGCCACTCTTGTAGGTGGGTAATTGGTGAGGTGAGTACATAAAGATATTCAAATTTATACCTGTAATCAACGATAAACTATTGGTAACGGGAAACGATTCAGAGTAGAGTTCGATTATATATGTTTTAAAAGGCCAGAATATTTACGGTTTTCATCAAAATTTTATTTTAAAACTTTTATAAAATAAAAAAATACTACATTGTACTTAATTTTTTTTTGATCACTATTTATAACTTATAATGAACCTCCTGTCAAATTTTCAAGCATTCTTGTTTATTCCATTAATTTTACCCACAGAGTACTTATCAAGTAAAAATTACGTAATAACCTTGAAAAAATAAACGCCTATAAATAGCTCAAAAGTAACCGTAATATTTTTCTAATATATTTCGTACATTTCCCTGTTTTTCCCCATTTATTTGGAAAACTTCTGGAAAAATCGAAAAATGGCCTCTATAAAGTACTGCATAAAAAGAAAATTCCCTTTCAGAAAAGAAACTATATTTTAAGCATCGGGACAAGATAATCTTTCGAAAAATTGTAAAAAAAAGCACATTTCATAGTAAAACCATTTTAATATAAAAATAAATTAAGTGTATTCAACTGCATATAGAGTATTTAAAATAAATGGAGCCACGAAATTTTGCTCAGTTTACCCCTCCCTTAAATTAGTTTCAGATCCACTATTAAACTACTTGTGACCAATATAGTACCATTCACCTGCTAAACATGATCATTAACCTAACCTAAACGATTCTGAGTGGAGTACAGTTGATATTGATACTTTAGTATAGAATAAAGAAATATAATATAAAGATTAATAGTTAAAATAATGTATTGAAATCGAAATTTATTTTATTTTAATATAGCTCGGTCTATAGTATTGCTTCTTTAACAGTGCACGTTTCCATGACAACAATGATTTTTTAACAAATATTAAAATAATAAAACCTTATTAATAACAAAAAATAAATAAAAATGGTTGCTAGCGATAACCTTATTTTTAAATTTTTAAATTTTTTTTAACCTAAAGAACCAGATTTTCCTGATTATCTAATATATTAATAAGAATTTCAAAAAATGACCTGTTTTAAATATTACCCATAGAACATTTTCCTTCGAGAAAAGTGCTATACTTAATAATTGGCGTAAGCTTTCTGGTAGAAAAAGTGTTCACATAAAAAAAGTAAATAAATAAACATTATTGTAAAACAAATACATTCCTAGCTCCGTTTAGAATCTAAACAATTGTATGTAAAAACTAAATAGTTCATGTATCATTTTTTAATTTTATAATTATTTTGAAATAATTGATCACATTCAAATAAAAATGTTTACTGATTTACGCTACGAACAATATACAATACCTATTAAGAAATCATCAATGAGTAATCTACAAGTACCTGTCTGATAATAAGTGCTACACAAATTTACATTAGAAATCTGATTAAAATATTGTCTTTGTTTTTTATCGGTCCTAGTAATATCTAAATATTGAATTTCTTATCTAATGATAGATACATTTTTGATGCATTCGTTTTTACTTCCTTGAGATAAAATAAAACACTTATCAAACTATTATTTAATAATACGATTAATACGAAGGTGCCTGCTCTCTTTAAAACAGTTTAAAAATTACACAAACCGATCAGAATGTTAAACAAAAACGTAAAACATAATCATAAAGAATGACTGTAATAACAAAGATAAAAATTAGGCAAAACATTTTTATATTTATATTTTTATAATATATTATGCGATTAGAATACGAAGGATAAAACAAATTTGATTGTAAATATATGATAGCCTTTGTTAGAAATACAAGAATAAACAATACTGCAATTTACATTTACCTTACAAAAACAATATCACTGACTTATATAAAAAAAATAAAACAATAATTCAAGTCTATTTAATTAATTTCATAGTTTTATATAGTTTTAATTTTAGTTATAAAAACTGATATAATAATCTTTCCGAGATTAAATAGTGCAAGTAATGCATAAATTCGCTATACATTTCAATTGAAAAACTTCAGCTGATTAAAATTTCGTTTAATTTACACACATCTACACGCAATTTTTTTTTTCTAAAGACTTTAAATATCTTTGAGGTATCTTTACTTATCACAATATTGCAAATTATAAATATTTTGTTCCTTTAAAGAAAAAAACCCAGCCTTTATTTGTAGTTCATGAACACAAATATATTTTACATTTTTCAAACAATAACATTCCTATGTTGTTATTGTTTTCATTTAGCTTGAAAAATAAATGTTTTACCTAACACGTAACTATATACGAGGTTTAAAGAAATTCGTATGAGATTTTATTAGATATATGACTCATTTAAATAATACGAACGAGTATTATTTTTATACTAAAATCACGTAATTTGCGATTAGACTACTGCATATATATATATATTCTATGCGAATCCTGTTAACCGATTGGAAATCTAAAACGTGTTTAACCTTTAACAATTAAGTATTTCTATACATATTACGTATAATATTAACCTAACTTTACCCACCTAACTTAACCTAAACTAACTATTACGTATCATAACATTCATAACTTATGGCTAATACTCGTATACAAACAAATATGCTTTATAAGCAATGGGCAATGACTCAATGATAATATTATATTATAGTTATTATTAATATTATTATTATTAGCAATATAATATTAGACACGTCATAAGTTAATTAATATTGAAAATTAAATGATGGATTTAACTAGTTATAGGAATTATGAATTTTACTACGAGTTTTTAAATCCATTAATACTACATTAATAAATCTATTTTTTTGCCCACTATTTGAATTTCAGTTATGTCGAATTTTCCCTGAAAATAGGCACTATTGCAAAGTAATAAACAGATATACACAGATATATGCGCATAGATCAAATTTACATTTGGACACTTTAAGCGGCTCCATCTGACCTTACTCGGGAATTAGAATTGTTTCTATAAGCTGATCAAATTTCTATTGTATATCAATGTAAAATTTAAGATGTTTTGAGGAATGAGTGTATTTTTAACTTTTTAGCACGCCTCTACAGACCCTCCAAATGAAGTCAGGGGACAACATTTTGTGTATACATCGGGTAAGTATCAAGGATGAGGTGGTTTCAACTTTCAACTCCCTATATAACCATTTTAACCCTCAGATTTTATGTTTTTACTGGAAATAGCGGATTTTATAGGCGTGCGCACAGGGTGTGGTGCCAAGTGTGCCATGGCACACCCCGTGCCTTTAGGTTGAAAACGAAATTAACTTCTGGGTTTTATTTAATTAAATGCAATTTGGTATGAAAAATTATCATAGTATAATCAATAAATCAAATCAACCGGAAATCATTTACTGTGATATTATTCATCACTGCCTTAGGTTTAAGGCCTATTGTAATTGTGATGACATCGAAGTTTTTTTTAAATTTTGAACAATGTTATAATTTATTATTAAAGATAAGTTGGGATGTATAATAATGTTTTCGTGAAATATTATTAAATATATAGGTAATATAATACAAGTATACTACATAGGTGAATAATATAATTTTTAATGAATCTTTTTTAATGAAATTTTTAACGAATGGATATTTTGTATTCACTATATTCTTTGTTCAAGGGGGAGGATACAAGGCCTACATTAAGAATATAGCACACCCTGTGAAAAAATCCTGCGTACGCCTATGGTGGATTTTGAATACCCTTCGAGAAATAGATTTTGTTCCATTTAATATATAGCCACTGACAGACAATGTAATTTTTTTATATCTAAAGTAGTTTTCATAATAGTTTAGGAAAAACCAAAAAGACGAAAAATACGATTTTTTTTTTTCAAATTATGGCGAAACGATTTCATTATTTAAAAATTTTACGGTTCATATTTTCTGCCATAAATATTATTTCAATAGAAAAACAATAAGAGACTTTTTTTTTTAATTTTAAATATAGTTCATGACTAAGAAAGGTATTGATATCTGTGGATAAAATTGTTAGACTAAACAGAAATACTTGAAAATTTAACAGGATGTTTATAATAGGTCGTACTTAGTGATAAAAAAAAATAGTGTAATGCAGTATTTTTTATTTTTTATAAGTATTTTAAAACCAAATTTTGACGAAAATCGTAAATTTAACGGCCAAAATATATTTAACGTATAGCTAACATTGATTATTATGAATAAGACTAAATGCCTTTAAATTGCTTATTTAGGAGTTTCCAAAAAAAAATATTTGGTTCCTAAAACTGTTCATTTTCAAAAAAATATTATAAATATTTTGAATGACTTGAATACAACATATACTTTGTCATTGACATATGTATTTGTAAGTGTTGAGAATAAATACTGGGGGGTGAAACCACTTCGGAACACTTTTAATATAACATATTTAGCCACAGATTTTAAATTACTATCGAAACATATTACTAGTGTTGTTAATAACATAGTACCGATGGTTTAATCATTTTCATTAATCAGGAAATATTTTGTCAATGACCATAAAGAATATTCATTGACACACCAAATGTATAGAGTAGGAACTAGGTAAAATAATATTATAATGCATTTTAAGATCACGAACATTATGAAAAAAAAGGATTAATTTGATTAAGAATTGAAGGGATTTTATAATTAGGTATATAATTATAATAATTATATATATTATATATACAGAAATTTGGCTTCATTCAACCAAATTAAAATGTTCTATTTTTAGAATTGTTGGCAATATAACCAAAAATGTCTGTCCACTATGTAGGTTTGAAAAAAGTAGTGCAAATAATAATTTAAAATTAACTTTTAACAAGTTGAGATAGGATAGTATAATAGGCGTACAATTAATATGTCGTGTAAGTATGTTACATGAAATTATACAGAGTGTTTTTAACGGTGTATTTTTATGGTTTTTTCTTGTTACTAATTCTTTGTGCTACGATTCCTCTATTTTTAAGACTGAAAATAAAAATTGTATTTACAAAACACAATGTAGCCATTTTTTAAATATATTTTGAAACAAAATATCAGTTTTCAAAAATTACTAATAAAATTATTTTTCATAGAAAAATTGCCGAATCAATAGTTTGGCAATTATCGACTGATATTAGTTAGTACTTAATGATATTGAAAACAATTTAAACTATCCTAAACTTCAAAAAGTTGTACAAAATTATACAAAAACGGCTTATCGTTAGTAACCATTTGTAATGTCAAATTTTGTTTCAAAATAAATTTATAATTATCTTTAATTTTATGAAAACAAATTTAAAAATCATAGCCCAAAGCTCCAGTAATTATTACAATAAAGGAAAAATTAAAACTATTGAACGAAATAAAAGTTATTGCATTTGATAAACTCCATTGGACACTGTATAGTATATACCTATTTATAGTATTGTATAATATAATTTAATATTTCAGTATAAATTTTGTGTATATCAAAAATAAACGTTTAAAATATTTAACAATGAATTTGCTTACATTTTATTTAATTTTAATGTTTAAACTTTGTCATAATATTTTACAAATTTATTATAAACCATTTTAATTTTAAAATGAACAAATTAATTTCGTAAAATGTCTCGCTGCTTGTTATATAGTGCCGTTTCATATTATTATTCAATATAGGATTAATAATGTTAGCTATAATTATCGTCTTATGTGATATTTATAAGTTTATAAAATTACATGCATGCATAAATATGTATGTAAGTATTTTCTAATTGTGTTTATACATTAGACATATTGTTTATTTAACCGACTAAAAAATTAAAAATCAAATGAAATTAATGTAGTTATATGACGTATTAAGTGTTTACGTTAAATAAAAGTTATTATTTTCGTACAATATGACCTATAACTATTTGATTCACTTATATGAATAAATTCTTTGTTAATACATTCAGATACAGCGTTTTCACCAAGTTTGTTTCTTGTTTATTATTTTGCCCAGTACTCGTATTAAACATGTAAACCTAACACGAATGAACCCATTAAAAATCCCACGTGAGACGTTTCTTTAAAATTTTATAGCCTTATAGGAAATAGAAACCCTTATGGTGTTTTGTTTTTCACTTTTATTTAATCGTTATTTATAACCACTTGATTTTTAAATTATGACCGAATCCTTTTTATTGTTAGATTTATTTATATAATATTTACTCAACGGAACAGATGTCTTTATAGTTTTTAATATTAATGAAGGTTATAGCAGATGCTTACAGTGATTTTAGGAAGTTCCGTAAATAATAAAACAAAACATCAATGTGTGTTAATAGTTTAACACATGATCTGGGATGGTTGTTAGTTTCGAAGTTCTAAAATTGCTAACCAAATTAATAATTTTACAAAATGATTTATTAAACTTAATTGCTAAAACCAATATTTTTGCCAAAACGAATTTTTATGCACACTTCACTTTCTGGCATAGCTCCCTGAACATTTGACCTGTTCTAAAACGTTTTTCTGAATATCTGTAACCCAAAAAAAATATTTCCGAAAAATTTAAAAATAACTTTATTTGAAAATATAATTTTCACGGATCAAGACCAAATTATCGGTAATTTGTTTGTATTAATGAATGAAATATTATGAATAACATAATAAATACTATTAGAGATAAAAGACGACATATTTCGCTCCATGAGTGTTGGTGCTACTGTAGTTGGCGTGAAGTTGGAAAGGTAGATTATGTAGGATAAATTATAGTTTATAGATATCTATATACACTATACACAATGAAAAATCATTGATAAAGATAAACGATTGTGAGCGAAGTTCGATGTTTTGATAAACATTAATCTAATTTAATTATTTTTTGGTTTAAATTTTTGAACAGTTTTGCTAAAAAGTAGAATCCAAACAAATCAAAGAATTGTTTACAAAATGACGTGGTTTATACGATTTTCGTCAAAATTTGAATTTAAAACTTTTATAAAAAAAAAAAAATGCCTATGTTACGTTCAACATTTTTTATTTTTACCATTTATTACCACTTATGATGAAATTTGGGTTAAATTTGGGCCGAAACAATTTAATCCGCATAAAGCCAAATTAAAATTAAAAAATTATAAATTAATATATTTTTAACTGAATAACAAAAAAACAAAAAAAAAATCGAAAACAACAGAAATTATTATTGCGTACATGTTTATGTTTTTCCGAAGTTTTTCTAAATTTGATGATCGGAGTAAGATTTTTGATTGCTCACAGACCAAAAAAAAAAAAACACTCAGGATATTCTCAGTAAAAATATTTTTATAGATTCTAGTGCTCTCATTTATATTTTAATATTTAATCAGAAGTGATAAAAACACGTATGAGTTGTTTTAGGCTGGTTTTTTTTTTTTTTTTGCGACTCATTGCATTTATAACAGAGGTTGAGAAGTTGACAACGTGACATCAAACGGATATTATATTTTGCAAACATATATTTCAAACCTTCGGATGTTACGGGCATTCAACGACTTAACGACGTCATTATACACATAATAGTCCTACAAACGTTATGCCGTTTCAATATGTATACGTTTGACAAATTCTAAACTCATATCAGTAATCATGTAGGTACTTATATACCTACGTCCTATACATAATAGTTGTATACGGTTTAATTATGAATGTTTTGATAATGGAATGAAACAAAAAAAAAAAATAAAAAAAAAAATATTCCTTTGAATGATTTAGAATATTTTAAATACATATAACAATAAATTATGGAATATTATAAATTATAATTACAAATATTTGTTAATAGTTAAAGTTATTTCAACCGCCCATCATCCTATAATACTAAGTTCAAATTCAGTAAAGATTGTAATTGAACGCGTAACAAATTGATAATAAAATATTATAAAATAAATATATACAATTTATGACTTTTAGATAAAAAAATAATTCATATTTATAATATTATTGTAAATTCGATCTATTATTCAAACTTTCCGTAACTAACTAATAATATACATATTTACTTGTTTTAAACAAGTTTTTTAAATATTGATCATTAATTAAATAGTAGGTATACCTTCCGTCCCAGGAAAAAAGGGCAAAAGTCATTTTTTTTACAATTTTATCTAATGTAATTTTTTTCTTTTTCTTTTTTGGTCTAATTTGTTTATATCGAAAATTATACGAAATTGACTTACTGAAAGCCCTTCTTCTCTGGGGCCAAAAATATATTTATTGTATTTTAATAAATCGAATTCATTTTTTTTTTTCAACTTAATAAAATAAATCCCGTTTCATAAATACAATGCGAGTATAATTAACAATTTTTAGAAAATGCTCAACAATACCTACTTAGCAAAACAAATTATTTTTTTTATAACGATTTAATACACAGAAATAACAATAAAAACAAAAGATATCGGGGGAATCACGTGTCCCGAATGCCTTCATCTTTCCGGCTACTGCACCGATGCACAATACACGTATAAAAATTAGCTCATTAAATTGTTGAGTGTAAAAATTAATTTAAGAAATAAAACTATAAACATTTTTTTATTAAGTTTCATAATGAGTAGTACATTATACATTTTAATGAAAAGCCTCGTATTGTATAATATGTGTTCGGTATAATATTTATGTATAAGTTATTAATATTTATTATTATAATAAAAAACAGTATTATATTAATGTTCTTATTTATTTACTGTAATAATACAGTAAATAAATAATGTCGTGTTTCCTATAAAGGAAACACGACATAAATTATCATAAAATTTCACTTCATAGTCCATAGTATGGTCAAATAATAGAAACGTTTCAACACGGACACATTTTGGATAGCATAAATTATCATGATGCGCAAACATCTGATACAGACAGTTATTACGAAAATAAAAACCATCTCTGCTTGATGTAGGTTCCTAGTTCCTACCTATATTAAAATTTATTGGACACGTATATTATTATATTATTCGTAAACTGCTGATTACTATTTTAATGGTCATGCATAGGTTTTTAGTAGGTAATATATTTTTTTAGCGGAAAATGTAAATAAATCTTACAATGCATTTTTGAAATGTCCCCATTCAGCGGTTATATTATTATGTTGTTCGATATTGTACCTATACCGTCAGAAAACTGTACTATTCATTAAAACGATATTGTTTATCGTATTATTTTAATGTTATTGTGATTCATTTATTCCATTAAAAGAAAATAAATCTAGCTGGTAATTGATTAGTAATATACCGTATTTTATACCTACAACAATAATTTCTAATATACCTACTATTTAATCGAGTTTTTCAATTCAAAAGACATCGGCTTGTGTTTTAAAAGTAGCAGGTATAGGTATATAATGTAAATTTATTAAAAGAAAATTGATTGCCCTACATATTACAGTAGACGTTAATAACGAGTCAGTGCGTACAATATGATGCATTATTATTGGTACAATTTATTATTATTCGTGACATATATGCAACATGCCGAATCAACAGCGATAGATAGTCTTAAAATTACTAAATTGCTCAAGATGAGGAGTCATCTTGTTGTTACATTGCTAAATCTTTTTTCTTTGTTTCCGATGATAAACATGTTTCTGATTGCCTACTTAACTTTGGAAATATAATTTTTTTAAGTAGACATATTTTTAGTAGCATTGCATACAATTTATATTCAATAAGTCCGTTATTAGTTAGTCCGTTCGTTTGAGCGCGAGGTCGCGGAGGCAAAGGTCTGAAAACGTGCATACAAAAACGGATCCTCAGATGTATATATTTCGAAGCCGTAATTTTGATTTTAAATTCCTAAAATGTAGCGGACACAGAGTTTTTGAATTTTCGGAACGAAAAATTGAATATTTTTTGTTCGTTTATGGGTTACTCCGACACGGATGAAAAAAAAAACATTTAGGTATTATTGTTATTAAAGGAAGCATAAATAAAGCGAACAAATTAAACCGACAATAACGGTTATCTGTGATAGGACCGGAGGTGACACGGTTTCAGTTTTTTAAATTTTGTGTTCGTCCTATATATTACATCGGCAAAACCGTACGGGACACAATAAACTTAAACTTATTTCAAAACGATTACAATAACATTTTAATATCCACCCAGTTGTGTGGTGTATTTTGTAATCCCAAAGGTCGTATCAGTACATTTTATTATCCGCGACAAATAAATAGCGTCAACGAAACAACAATGCACACCTACAACTGCAGTACAAGTGTTGTTTACACAAGTGTTATAACATTTGCAAACGAATATCGGTTGAAACAATTTGTTGTTGTACGCGCCCCTTCAAAATGTATAGTGCTAAAAAATGGTTTTGCTATACCGACATGATAATCTCTATTAGTTGAAAATATTTCAGTCAACTTAATCAATTCATATTATTTTCATTTTACAACGGTTAACGAACACGCACGAACCATAAATAATGTCAATCTGTTATCCTATTCGGCCATTTCACCGACATTTATTAATATTATACAATTATTATAATATTACGTATTCGAATTACAGATATTTTGAAACGATTTCGACCCGCTGAAGACATCATGAATATATTTCATAAAAACGAAAAATATTCTCGCTGGCTGTTCTATTATTATTTATACCTTTTATCGTGCCGACACATTATTCAAAACAATTAGCCCCGATTTTACGTTATCGCCCACAAAACGCCGTGCTTCGCCAACAACACATGCATATGCTTTGGTCACATTTGTTGCCAATACACGTAGTTGTTTATCCATTATTTTATACGATTATTCTCGGTTTTGTTATTATTAATTTTTTTTTTTCTCCTGCATCGGCCGCCTAATAAAATTTCCGTTCGACACAAACAATACAATAATAACAATTTAAATATTTAATTTTGAATTTCCTACAGAAAAACAAAATTAAAATTCAAGTGTTCAATGATTTTTACGTATAAATTGAGTAAAATTAACGCGTACCTGTTGAATAATACATTTTACCCGTTGGAAATTCACAAACATTTCTCAATACATTGCAATATTGGCCAAGTGATTATAATATTTTCAACATTTCTAATAGATAACAAAATAATAACACCTAATTACTTTTCGTTTTATTTTCGATGATTTATAATGACCCATAATTCCGTAATACTATACAGGCAATGGCCCAATCTTGAATTAAATATTTAGATATAGGTACCAGAAGTAAGTACCTATACATATATATATATATATATATACACATACAATATACATACAGACATACATACATACATACATACATAAATATTTATATATATATTTGTTTTATATTGTGCCTACAACGTACCGTAGGCAGGGGTCATTGTAATCGTGGGAGAATCGTGATTTACTAGAGCCACAAATGTCATCACGGACATAATGCTATAATAGATATTTTATTTTATTATTTTTTTTTTTTTTTTGTATTTTATTTTGTTTCTGCTTGGCTGCCAAACCAATATACCGCGTCTAAGATAATTATCCACGCAACTCCTCTGGACCATAAAGTCTACACTAGCGTCTCGCGCAGTTTTCCACCGAAAATCATCCGAAAATGCACAATTTGAACAGTGCACAATACGATGAAAAAATCATTGTTACCGGCGTAAACTGAAAAATCGGGATAATTAGATCGCGAAGTGATTGTAACATAAACGCACATAATTTGTGACAGTGGGAACTTTGCCCAAACTATACAGAAGGCCAATACGCATAGACACGTATAAATAGAAAAATACTCTTAACTCATCCGGATTAAACACATACTAACGGAATTGTTTCACTGCTCTGCGAGTTCTTTTGAATGGAATTTATGTTGGCTGAACTAACGAAGCACCTTGACTTGGAAATTTATCACAAAACACGCTGATAGTAGTTTACAAACAATCAAAAACAAAAATATCCGACAATTTTAACCTACACCAATTCCGTTTCCTGTTAGAAATGATACGATTTATAAACATAATATATACTTATATATATTATAGATGTATATATAGTACCAATTTTTTTTTTTTTCCAAATTGTTGAACAAATAATACAATAATATTACAAAATAGTGCAATGTATCTGTATGTTTATTTTGATTACACAACATATTATTTATAGTTGAACTAATGGAAAAAAAAAAAAAAAAAAATGTAGATTTAGTAGGTACCTATAAATGATATTATATAGGTACCCACTTTAAAATTAAATGCCCGTAACTTATCGGTCTTGATAATTTAAATATAATATACACGTGTAAGTGCATTAATTTCAATGAGCGAATCTATAATAATAATAGGTACACAAAAATTATTATCCACTTCTGAATAATTAAAACATAATTCTATTCATATATTGTATATTTTTTTCTTTTAATTGCTCGAATTCTATTAAATCTGTAATTTAAACTAAATAAGTATAATTAACATAATATACGAACTATCCCAATTTAAAACTATTTACGGGTATTCAAACAGAATATATCTACAAATATTATAATATTTTAAAACGTTATGACTTCACATCAAATTATATAGTTAAATGTCGATTTTTATAATGCGATATTATGTACACTGTGATTGTATACGTATACTATTATTGTGTTGGTATTTCTAAATTCTACACGTGATGAAACATTATGATGTTCCTATATTTACCTATCCGATATTCGTGTTGGTTTTCATTAACTGAATACTTAATATGCATATTTTATGGATACATTTTTTTTTTTTTTTCATTTTAACTTTGCGGGTATAACATAACATCAGTTAAACATTATTAATGCGGCAAATCGTATATTTCTTACCTTTTGTATGAGCAATTGCGTTCCGAAATCTTTGCCGCCCTGCAATCGGAATCCCCACGGGGACGATTGATCGTTTCTGGACAATTGTAATTTTATTAACTGAGCCATGGTTTTTTTTTTTCTTAGACGTGCGTTAAGATTTGTGGAAATACGGACAACCAAGCGGTAAATACGTCGCAGGGGGAAAAAACCTCGATTATAATAAAAAAAAAAAATAAAATCACCAAACAAACTTGATTTTAATTTAAAAAAATAATAACAATTAACGATATTGACGCGAACGGAGTTCCGGCGGTGTTTTCGAATGTACAACAAAGGTAGGTACTTCGATGCGATGATATTCTGTCAAATTATATTTTTTCGATGGCAATTATTCGCGCGGCGTGTTAATGATGTATTATAAATAATAGTGGTCAACTGACGTGAGCCAAGACGAATGCATTTTTAGAACAGTGAGAGACGTGATCGCGCGCGCGCGTTTTAAAACTCGCGTTTTATTTTTGAAACTTCTCCGGATAAATCGAGTGCGCCGGCACGGACGCGAACGCGGCCGCTGTGCGCATATCCTCTTTCACCGGTTATCAGGCCGCGAGCGCGCCACCGTAGGTGCGGAAGGACGGCGGGAGGCAGGTCGGAGACCACGACTGACGATGACGGTGGCGACGGCCCGCTACCGTGCATCGTATACCCCGCGATCCAAATGTCCCGGGACGATCCGTGTGCCGAGACCCTCGGCGTCGGACACAATCGAATTGGACCCGATCGGCCGGCAGTGCGCGAGTTTTAATTCGCCGCATGCGATTACGTGGACCGCACGCGGTACACGCGACATTGACGAGGCGCCAAGTCGGCTAAATCGAGTCGGTCAACAAATTAATTTTGCCACCGTCGTAATTAAACAACCAGAGTAACGATTGCGACGTATTGGTTTTCGTATATGATGTGTTTTTAATATTTTTTTTTTTCTTCGTGTCTGTGAGCATTTTCTCTACCAGAAATCTCGTTCCGATCAAACAACAAAACGAGATTGCCTATCCCGTTGCATTTCGGGTTGATTTGGTGCGTCGGAGAATTCATACGTTGGTTTTCTCAGCGGTTTTTATAATAATTGTGAAAAACCGGACAAAAAAAAAAAAACTTAAAATAAAAATGGACAAATTCATAACCCTAAGTATCAGCTTTATTTTTGTTCCGTATTAGTTGAGGCTTTCGCCTCGAACTCTATGGTTGGACAAGCTCCGTTCTTTTATAGATAAAATTAAAAAAATCCCAAAAATAATCCCAATGCTCTTTTTGATTTTAGATTCTGAATGGAGCTGAGAAGCTTATAGTTTTATAAAGATGTTTATTTTTTTTCTTATCTGTGCGCAACTCTTCAAACCAGAAGACTTGCTTTGATTCTACGTGTAGTACCTCGTGGAGAGGTACCTTAAGGAAGTCATTTTTCGATTTTCTTAAGAGTTTTCTCATCAAATGCGAAACCCAAAAAAAAAAAAAAAAAACCGAAAAATTTACTAAGTATAATAAATATAATATTGCGATTTTTTTTCTGTGGACAACTTTTCTACCAGCAATTTTCCTTCAAATTTTAATGATGGTAATGTTTCTAAATGGAAATTTTGCTAGCGAGGTACTTTAAGAAACAATTTTTCGATTTTCTCAAGAGTTTTCCCAGCAAATGCGAAGAACCGGGATAACTTGGAAAAACATAGGAAAACTGAGAAAATCGGAGTAACATGAAACAAATATTATTAAAGAAAACATATTAAGCCTATTTAACTATTTTACTATAAAGTGACACATATATTGTTGACAAAGCAACACTATCAACTGAACTCCATTCTGAATCGTTTTTTCGTAAGCAATGGTTTATTGTTGCTTAGAGATAAACATTAAATTATCCATAATAGTGGCTGCACTCGTTTCCATTATTCTAGGGACTAGGACGTCGAAATAATTTTTCTCTATCCGGAAATCCGTAAATCGTCAGATCGACCTTGGATGTGTAAGTACATACATGCACGGTTTCTAAATTTTTACCCATTAAATAAATCTCCACAGTATAAGTTATCAATTTACTCATTGTAATAATATAGGATCCAGATCAATATTATTTTCTACAATATATACGTAGAATATATCACATATACAATAATATATTGCTAAGTGATTTCTTCCGTCCGGAGATATTTATAAAACAACAAACGTATACAACAATATGTGTGTTTGCCGTGAATAGAGTACCTATCATAATTTTTTACTACGGCAGTTTGCATAATAATATGCCTTCCAATGGATAACTGAAATGTATTAGACGAGAGTTTTGTGCCCGTATATTATTTATAATTTAGATTATTTATTCAATTTTTAAAATTTTTTTTCGATAACAGAATTTCTGCGGAGTTTTAATTTGAATTCGTATTTTATTGTTTTAATTCACGTCCACGTGATATTAGTGGGAATAGGTGTTTTCAAACATATCAGTTAAACGACTATATAAAAATATTGTGTGTATCTATAGCTCATATATTCGCCAATTCCTATAGGAAATATCAGGCAACATTATCGACTTTAATGTATAGATGTATTTGGCAATATCAAAAGTCAGGCGCTTAATTTTGTAATAATCGAGAGCGAATATTGTTTGCGCACTTTCAACACAAAACAGTACATTATAATACATTATAGACAACTGTCTGTTAAATTCGGAGCGTAGTGAGGGATCTATTGGTTTTACTATGTTGTTCCTTTTTTTTTTCTGTCAGTAAAGTTCAGGAAAGTATCAGAAATCTTTCTCCGAAGTATCAAGTAGCATTTTTTTTAGAAATTAATTTTTTCTAAAATCTAAAGCATTAAGGAGATCGTTTGATTTTTCAAAGGGGTTTTCGAAATAATTGGGAAAAACCAAAAACCCGAAAGAAAATAATACCTATAGGTAAAACAGCAAATATTTATGGCACGCTGCGTCGTTACTGTTTTCATTGGTTTTAATTTTTGTTCGTGATTTTTTCTACTAGAAATATTACACCAATCGAAGAATAACATGAGATCGATTTTGTTCCATTTAATGTCTAGCAACTGACAGCGGGAGTCATTTTTTGATATCTTGGTTAGTTTTTATAGTAATTGAGAAAATCTTTTCATATTATAGCACAAAGATTTAATTATTATACATTTTTACTGTTAATGTTTTCTACAAATTACATAGCTCCAACAGAAAAACAAGTAACCTATTTTTGTTGAACATTTCTATTTGGTGACCAAGTAATCCTAGGTAATCTTCCCAATTTCCCACCTACAACAGTGGCAGCACCTACGTGAGAAGTATGTTGTAATGATATATACAGCCTTATTACAATATTCGTCCTTTTTTAAGATTACATTTTCTACCAGAAATCTTTTTTCAAAGAATTTCAAGAAAAACATTTTTTCTGAAATAAAATGTTGTCTAGTTTGTGTGCAAAAAAAAAATCGTTGTTCGATTTTCCTTATGGTTTTCCCAATAATTACGAAAACCGAGAAAAAACGTAAGAAATACTGCAATGTGTACGGCATTTAGGTTTTATGTAAAACCTTATTTGTCGAAGTTATGCCATTTGTGGATTTAATAAACTCATACTAGGAGGAAAAGTACTAACTTCTGAAATATAATTTTCAGTTAAACAACCGCAGTACTTTGTTAGCCTGTTACCAATTGGACAAATCACTGTTAAATCATTAACAGTCAGACACTTCTTCAGGTTCAAAAATTGCTGTGTACATTTATTAATTTAATTTCGAATCAAGCATTTTGTTGTTTCACATGACTTGTATGTCATACACACTATCAGATAGTAAAAACTAAAATTGTTTTTCATGATTTAAGATCGATAATATTTCTATAATGGGCAAAAACCAAAACCCTTTTTTTTAAGTTTGTGGAAAAAAATTCATATCGGCAAAAATCAAAAGGAATTGATGAAAAACTATGAAATACAAACATTTTTCGATCGACTCATACTAGGTGACCTGAAAGACTGTATATCCTACATAATTTTATGTACCTGTCACACATCTACCTGATTATAACTTGTATTATTATATAGTAGAAACTACTAAAGTAACTTTTACCTTTGTTAATCATTGTATATTTATTTATTTAAATAATAATATTCATACTTATGGCTTTTGAATTGTGATCTCTATAATGTCTATAGTATTTAATATTTTCCTTTTTTTAAAATATATTGATTAGTAAACATTTTAAAATGATTTATAATATTAGTCTTTAAACGAGAACTTCATTAAAAAGTTTGGCCCCGGAGCCTCTAAATGTCTTAATCCGAGCTTGTAAATACCACAAAAAATGTATAACCTATTACTTCTTATAAGTGAAGAGATCTTAACTTAGATAATTTATTTTTAAGCTAAACGGTAAATGGTGAGAATATAACTTTTCGAAACAAAATATCTTTTGTCCGTCTTTGAATCACATGGGCTTAATGTATTTATTTATAAAATGTTTTTAAATATAATAATTTACAGTGAAAAATGAAAGGTGTCTACAATGAATTTAAAACTAAGTTGATAGTATAAAAAAAAAAAAACAACATACATTTAGATAGTTGAAAATTAATACATCATCACTTACAACAACCAACACAACACCTACAACACTTATGCAATAACCAATTTAGTTAATATATTTTGATTAAAACAAATTATTGCTTAGGTGTACTGACCACTTAAATATATAAATATTTAAAACAAGTTTATTTTGTAGTATACACAGAAAATTATGACAATGAATATAATTTATACTAGACAGGTATATTATTAATTTTGAATAAACCAAGGATGTAGTTCCTGTATAGCTGGTCCTACCTTTAAAATCGGTGGTCAATGATAGTAATTAAATACATATAAATATAAGATCTATTGTACATTATATACAACAGGCACGTTTCCTTGAGTATACAAACGGTTTAACCTATGCCATCAAAAAGTTTATATTAACAATATTCATTAATAGAGAAAAGTGATGTTATATAATATAATTTATATAACTTTAAAGAATATCGTTTAAAGTTGTTGGGTGTATTGTAGCTTTCATTAAACATATTTAATATGCACACGTCACTGCCGCATTTAATGGCATTCTTGAACTAAACAAAATTTTCGTTTGAAATTCCGTTCTTTTCTGGTTTAGTACTATCGTCGATTCCGATTCGTTCGGCTTCGTCAATGGTATCTGGCAATTTTATATTTTTGCTCTCTGGCAAAGTCGTGGTGATGGCAGCTCCCAATATACTAGTTGCGCAAAAAACGATCATCGTAACGTTTCCGCCAAAGAACTGTGCCTGAAAAATAATAGAGATAAATAGTAATAACTAATAACATTCAACGATGCCATGGACTAGTAATTGTCTACATTTTGCCCTTTAATAAATAATATTGTAGAGATGATCGTGGTGACTAAGTATTGGTTTTAATGTATTAGTTTTACAATGATGTTTATTTTTTTAAATTTGTAAACACTTTATACCAGAAGCTTACTCCGATTATCAAGTATACCACCTTTTCTGAAAGGAAATGTTCTCTAGGTGGTTGTTTAAAAAGTAATTTTTTAAAATTCTCATTAATATTCGAGATAATGGGGAAAGCCTAGTTCTTTAGGTTAAAAAAGATTGAACGATTAAAAATAAGATTGTCATTGGCAACCGTTTTTATTTATTTATTGTTATTATTAAGTTTTTACTATTTTAATCTTTTTAAACAATAATTGATGTCATGGAAACGCATATTGTAATCATTTTACCATTATATGACATATATATATATATATATATATATAGATATATATTGTTGAAAAAACAACATTATTAACCGAACTCCACTCAGAATCGTTTTTTGTTAGTTAAAATGGTGAATCGTTGTCAGTGGTCAAAGTGGCTCAAAATAAGTGGAAATGGTGAAAATGAATTGAACCCTTATGTCCCTGTACCTTATTTGTATGATACAATTTTATACATAGGAAATATTTTTGTTTTCCAGTTTGATGTTTTATTTGTTGATATATTTAAATTTGTACATACATATAATAATATTTTTGTTTAAAATGTATAACATATTTACATAAATATATAACTTATGCGCATACAGTTTATCAATATGTTCTAACAGTATGCATTATATCATTATACAGTAGGTATAAAACCAAATAAAAAACTAAACTATTTATACATTAGTCTTTACTATAGTTTATAGACTATAATGAATTATTATGAATAAAAACACCAATATAAATCGATAATCTTTGTGTATAATTATAAGGGGGATGTATTATTTTGGATAAAATAAGCGGAGTTATGAAAAATGTAGATTATAATAAGTGGTCGGATGTCATCCCCTCACTTCGATGGAAAATGTACGAAATATATTATTTTAAAATTGTAAATTATACGACCTTTTAAAAAATGGATAATCAAACTCCACTCAGAATCGTTTTTTGTTGTCAAAGATTAATTGTTACATACAGAAATACATTAAATTTTCTTCTATTTGCTATCTTCCCAACTCCTCACCTACAATAGTATGAGCACCCATTATGCGAAGTTTGTCTGTATCTTTTTTTTACTGAAAGTTATCCAACTAACCGAATATATTTCAATGTATTACAATATATTAAATATATATTTTACAATATATTGTAATGATTATATTTCACATATATTTAGAAATCATTAAATTATAATATGCATACCAACAACGTGGTTTGTGGTGCCAACATGGATCCGATCCTGCCGATCATTGAGCACATAGACACCATTGTGGCGCGCAATTGTGTGGGGAATATCTCGGCAGTCAGCATGTAAACGATGGAAAACGCGATGGCTATAGCCAGTTTACCAACCATGTACAACGACAGCTTTAGCCAATGTAATTCTGTTTTATAAAAAAAAAAAAAATGTTAATAATAATACTATTATAATAACATATTAGTGTTATGTTATGCAATTTAAACAGTGCTAAGTACCTATTACGTACCAGTTAGTTTGATATTTCGTAATTGTAGAAACAATTATGTTTACTAAACAAAATGTATAAATATCTAAGTAAGCAAATTATCTATTATCATATGAATATTTAGAAATGTGTTGTTTTAGTAACGAAATAGGTAATAGACTACTCTGGTTTTGTTAGGGTACTTAAATTGCAGAGATAAATAATATAAATTTTGTTATATGTCATATGGATTTTAACACATTATAAACTTGGGCTACACAAATTTAATATCAGCTGCAGGAATATGTATAAAATTTAGTATACTCGCCATCGGGTGTTACGTTGTACAGGACACAGGTGACGGCGGTCAATATGAACGTACTAGACAAGGAGCTTTTCCTGGACATCTTTTCCATAATCAAATAGTACAGCAGGCACGACGGAATCTCGATAAACGATGCCATCGCGAAGTTCATATATTTGTTGCCGGCTATGTCTGTTGCATTTATCGTAAGCCCATAATATACTAGAGTCGCTGCTATCCTGTAAAAGGTTTTAAAAAATAAAGCCCATATTTAGGTATATACTACTAACTATTAAACGAACTTACGCCATATGCAGATACATATAGAATAATTAATTTTATAAAATGTATAGTTAATTTCTTACCACACCAAAGAACATCTGATCATTCTCCAGAATATAGTCGGAGAGCGGATTATGTCTTTAAAAATATTGGAATTTGAAATATCGTCATTGGTTTCATCTACGTCGTCTAATTTCTGCGAAAGTGAAAATAATGTAGGTATGATTGAATGAAAAATATACAATCTGGTGGTTAAACAATCGGAAATTAATACAATATCTGATAAATTGTACGACTATGCTAAACTAAACTTTACGAGTGTAGTAATACAATGTCATATTATATGAATTTGAAATATCACCTTTGTTTGTGTGTCGTGTGGAAGTTCGGGCATAGGTTTTTTATTCGTATTCGCTATATTCTTTAAGGTGTTAATCACTTTGTCGTGTTTACCCTGCGTTTCTAACCATCTCATAGACTCTTCTGTTAACCTATACAAGTGAAAAATAAAATAATAATATTTTTTATCCAGAAATCTATACAATGGTTACTAATATTATTATAATGGTCTAGGTATAACAACCAAAAATATGAAATAAACAGTAGTCCAGGGAAGTTCGATAACTGCAATAAAAGTCGCCAATCTTTTACTTGGCTGGCAATTAGTGCCACCAACATGGCCCCGATTGGAAGGAAACTTTCCAAAATTGAATAATAGAGTACCCGTTGATTAGGCAAAATTGATTCCATCGCTAAAATTAAAAAAGATTAATTGTTTAATACTTTTATTTAACCATGTTTGAGCAATTAAATTGAATTGCTATCATATAGTAATGAAATATTTTAACATAATATTATATTCGTATATTATATCGAATATTGAAGCACGTGTTCATAAAAATATGCAATCGATTATTTTACATATTTTAGTAGGTAACAAATATTTACAATTATGATCTGTTTATTTATATACGATAACTTAATCTTAAGGTTGTTTTCAACTGTATAGGTTTTTTTATAATGTTATGTTATATTATATTATGTTATATATTATTATTATATTATATTAAATACCTAAAATGAAAGTGATTGAATAAATTCCGCTAGAAATGATTGAAGACAATAATTCCAAAAATAAAAACATCGAATAATTGAAGGAAAACGACTGGAAAATACAAATCGCAGCTGACGTAACTGCACAAAATACCAAAGTAAATTTTCTGCCAAATCTGCAAAAAAAAAACTAACTCGTGGTAACTCACGTTCCAATCTTATATTATTCTTAATTTATAATTAGGTAAGCGTAGGTTACATTTATTGTGATATAGTAAAAGTAAATATTTTCCGTATAAATAATATAGGTATTTAATGATGTGTACACTCACTTGTCAGCGACAATTCCCGATATTGGTATGCCAATAAATTGACCGAAATTGTTGACTGATCCCACCATCGATAACTTCCATTTGTTCTCTTCACACATGAGTCCAAACTACATTAATCATTAAAACACGTTAAATTAAATCATTAATATTTACTACGTACTAGATTAACAAGATTGAATTTGAAAGTCGATCCAATATCCTGTTAACTCTAGTATTTATAATTCGATTTATTTTATCAATGTAAACACTGTAGCACGAAAATATTTAAAAACAGATTTTTTGTCTGATAACAAAATATTAAGTTTAAGGGAGATAACTTAAAAATTCAAAAATGTGTAAACCTATCCGTTAGCTCACGTATTTTATTTCTTAAAAATAGCGTCATGATATTACCTGATGTTTACGTTTATTAACGTATTGCGTACGTATAGATGTAGATGATTAAGCCATACCTAATGCAATGACCGGCCATCCCGTATACGGTGGTGAAGGTGAGGATTTATATTTTTTAATGTTTGACGATTTTATTTTACCACAGTAACCAGATTTATAAAAGTCGGTTACCTCTGTGCCAATGGTATTCTCCGGTTCTTCAAACACCCAACGGTCAGTACACGTCTCAATTATGGTCTCGTTGAATTCGCTGGCTGCACATCGCATACCGTTGACCGGGCCCGACAACGCGGCGTACCGTAGACATTTGCGTGGCTGTTTACCGTCATCTCTGTAAGGCGTCGTAAACCGTAACCACTCTGGTTCGTATATTTGTTTCGTGAGATCCGTACTGTCACATTCCGGTATCTCGCATCTAAGACCCACGGTAAAAAATCATATAATAGGTACTAGGTAGGCCATCCGTAATGGTCAATGCACACATTAGGCGGACATGGAAACTAAATGTTGTTAAAATGTTAAATTTTCAAAAAATATCTGTTCTGTATTTGTGTGTGTTTTTTTTTTTTTAACGATAGACGATAGACCTGTCTACAGTCCGATTAAAAATATTTATATTTTTGTCATTACGTAATTTTATGTTATCATTATAAACTATAGATTATAATATATAATATAATGCATTAACATAACAATATTATCAAGAATGGTTGTATATACGAGTATACGACGAGTAACCAAACATAACCTATTATTTTAACTATATGTTGCTTTTCATTACAATGAGAAATTAAAACATTTTATAACACGACTACAAGAAAATAGAGGCTGACCAATATCGGTCATACACCTATATTTTCATCGTTTATGTTTGGCTTTCCTAAGGTTCATGTCCTTGATATTTCGAAGTAAAAATAACGGTTAAATCAGTAAAAAATAATTTCGTGCAAATTGTAAAAAATAGAACACGTGTTAAAGAAGAATCCAATGTACGAATATCTACATAAATATGTACGTATGTGGTATTTACGGTTCATCTGTTCATGAAACCTTTGGTATTTATTTGACATATAAAGAAAGACACTACAGTGAAATTATATGTTATATTATTGCATGTAAAAAAAAAATCTACAGGCGCGTGATTTATACATTTATTTTGTTCTTCAAACCGTTAACTACTATGAGCCAAGCACTGAACATGCGATCCACCTCGTATCCATCTCCGGTCATATCAATGCGGTTTTTATGTTATTTAGAAAACAAATATTTATTTTACATATGTAAATGAATTAATATAATTAAATTCCGGCGAGAAATAGAACGATGACTTGGAGGTGCACAAAACGCCCACCAATTATTAGGGTGTAGCAAAGCGAAGCCCCTTCTATCCCCTAGTAAAAAATATCAATTTATTATAGCTATTAGTGATGTGACATAAATCCAAACAATTCAAAAATTCGAAAATATGAATTTCCGATTTTAAAACACGAGAATTCCAATTTCGGATTTAAAAAAATTTAATTATTAGTTTTTTAAATGTATGAACAAAATCAAAGTTTCAAAATCCGAAATCCCAATTTTAAATACATTTTCGGATTTTGGACTTCGGATCCTGAAAATCCGGATTTTTCACACCATTAATAGAAGAAGTCTATTGATGTTTATTAATGTAATTTGGAAATTGGAATGTATCACCTCGTTTGAAGATTGCGTAGCCATTTTGGATATCGCAAGGTATACATTGTTAGTTCTATTATTTTCCGTGTTTTAGCTTCGAAGATTTAGTTTCGATTTTAGAATTGGAACGTAGAAAGAGATTTATTGGGTTTACTATGATGTGAATCTTTTTTTTTAATTTTTTGTATCTGCAAACAATTTTTTTATCAGAAATCTTGCTCAGATGAAAAGAATGTAACATTTTTGCTGAAACAAAATTGTAACTAATTGGTATATTGAGTAGATTATTTTTTGATTTTCCAAAGGGTTTTCATAATAATTGAGAAAACTTGGAAAGAAAATTATAGGTAAAACGGCAAATATTTACGGCATGCTACAGCGGTACTGATTTCATTTTTTTTAATTTTTGCTAACTATGTTTTTTACCAGAAATATTGCTCCAAAAATTACAAAGTATTGGTATTGTTTGATTTAATATCTATAGCCTCTGAAAAACAGTAATTTTTTGATATCGAATGTAATTTTTATAATAATTGGGAAAAACGGAAAAAAAAACGAAAAATACGCATTTTTCAAATTACGGTAAAACAATTTCATTGTTTAAAATTTATGATTCCATTTTTCTACCAGAAATGTTTATCCAAATTTCAAGAATAGCATATTTTCCGAAAGATAATTTTATTTCGACTAAAGATCTTTTTTTTGGATTTTGGATCTAGTAAGTGAGTAAGAAAATAGTGTTTTGATTTTCCTATCAGTTTTCAGATAATAATTGGAAAAAATTGGAAAATTTTAGGAATTACAAGACAGTGTATGTTATTAATGGTTTAATTATTTTTGATTATGCTTTTTTGTTATATGGCAGCTTAAAATTATCACATAATACTTGTACTACCACTTTTTGGACGTGGTTGACTATATTAGCCATTTTTGAGCTATTTATAGGAATTTAATATTTTCGAGTTTTGGTTTACAAAGATGTTTATTTTTTTTTATGTATACTATTATACTCTATACAATAATTCTACCAAATATCATGCACCAAATTATCAAGTAAAGCACTTTTTCTGAAAGGGAATTTTCTTGGAGTGGTAATTTAGAGAGGTCATTTTTTGATTTTCCCAGGAGTTTTCCCACTGTTGTAAATAAGAACTACAACAGTGACCCTCGTGCAAAGTATATCCGTCTTTCTTTTTTTAGGTTTTCTTTCCACGTGTAATACAAATAATATCACACTACCTAACCTAACAAGTAGCACTGGGCTGTACGACCCAATGCTTGAAAATTTAATTCAAGGTTCATTATAAGTTCTAATTAGCCGTAAAAAAAAATTGAGTGTATTATAATTATTTTATTACCGTTTTAAAATCAAATGTTAACGAAAATCGCAAATATTACGACATTTCAAAGCATATAAACGAAACTTCACTCTATTCGGAAATTCATTCATATTTCGTCAGCTCCCGTTCGTCAACAATTACGTTTTTCGTAAGCAATGGTTTATCGTTGCCTACAGGTATAAATTAAATAACTATGTATCTTACTTTTCACCTACAAAAAATGTGAATTCATTAGCTCTTTTTTTAAATTACTAAACATTTTATTTTAATGATATAATCCATAAAAGTGAGGACATATATTTTATAAGTTTTTATCACTTATTAAACATGAAAAATAGTTAAATTACATTAAATGCTTACTAGTTATTTTGCCTTTTACTTATGATAAAAATAAATTAAATTAAAAATAATAATTCCAACGTATCCTAACGAACCTATCGAATTATAATACGTTTTCATAATTGAAATCAGTCAAACGCAATATTCCAACAGGTTTATCTGGTTTTTTGGTTTAAAATGTAATATTTGTCCGTACAAATTGCCATACCCATTCAATATTCACCATAAATGGGCTAGTTATTCGATGAATAAATTAGTGGAAGAGTCTGAAATAAATATCGTCGAAATGAAAAAAAATTTTAGATTTAAAGAAATTGAAAAATCGTCACATATCGAAATTAACGAAATTAAAAAAAATAATGAGCTAATTAAAATTAATTAAATTGTTTACTTGCTCAGGTCAACTATTATATATATTTTAAGCAAACAATCTTAATATTTTACTAGATTGAAATTTTTAAACATATAATAATAATTTGATCAGTGCTTGAAATGTTCACTTTAATGTCTCAGTAATAAAATATAGGTTTATGGTATAATTATCAAATATTACATTAATACTATGTATTAATGTATTTAATGATTTAATATGTATAATTTATTTATACTGCATTCATGTTAATTGATTACATTGTTTTTGGTGCACTTATCTGAAATATAAATATTATATAAATCAAACGTCATTTGATCTGAATAGTAATGAAAATGTTAAATATTTATAAATTAAAAGACTTAAAAAAAGATGAACATACTTCACACGTGGGTGGGTTACTGTTTTAGGTGAGAAGTCGAGAAGGTCAAGGGGAAATTTAATGTACATCTGTACGCAACGATTAACCATTGCTAACGAAAAACGATTCTGAGCTAAGTTTGGTAAATAGTGTTACTTTATCAATAATGCCGATATATATATATATATATATATATCATATTATGGTAAAATAATTACATATTATGCATTACACATTTTCTTTTATAATATTTTTTTAATATTTTGTACCTATTTTTCCGTTTTTTCTACGTTTTTTCGTATTTATTATAAAAATCAAAAGAGGACTTCTTTAAAGTACCACCCCAGTCAGATTTTCTTCGAGAAAAAGTGCTACAATTGAATTTTGGAGCTGCATTGCCTGTAGGAAAGTTGTTCACAAAAAAAAATAAATAAAAATAACCATTGTAAAACAGTTACAACTATTATTACCTCGTTCCAATCAATATTTAAAATTTAATTATTGGAAAAATCTACTAAAAGATCATAGATATTCGTGTCTAAAAACTGTTTATATGCATAAATATATTTGTTTTATGTAAAACTTAAACCTCTCTCTTTTTATGTAAAATGCATTTGATTTTGATTTATTTATACATTATTAATGTTGAAGTATCAAAAAATACAAGGAAATACTTTTTTGGTAAATAGATAATAATGTTTTGATTTATTTATACCAGGTGATTCATTTAAGTGGGTACACTCAATATCTCGGAAAGTATAAACTTTTTCCGGAATTTGTTTACTAAAACATTTAAGAAACAAGCTGCTCTAAAATTTTATATTTATGTTATTATTTGTCACTCTTATTTTTGATGAAAAAACCACTACTTAAAAGTGGAAAATCTCGTCAACGGATCAACAGAAATCAAAAATGTCAACACTAAAATTGATTTTAACTAATACTACATTTATTTAAGGAATTTTTAATTTATGTTACCATTTGAAAAACAAAAGTAGATAGTAGTTTTATCCCCAAAAATAAGGATGACAAATAATAACATAAATATAAAATTGTAGAGCAGTTTGTTTCTTAAATGTTCTAGAAAACAAATTCCGGAAAAAGTTTATACTTTCCGAGATATTGAGTGTACCCACTTAAATGAATCACTTGGTATATTAGGTACATTCAAAGATGAGAAATTTCCGCCTGACGCAACGTGGTGGTTTCAAGTATTATTACTTGAAATATTTTTTGACATTTTAAACGGTTCATCTCTTTGATGTTCCATGTTTGACAGGGTTTTTTGGTCAAACAAATTCAAAACTAAATTATAAATGACAATACATACAAAGGGGAAAAAACTGATACTGCTGAAGAGTACACTACTGAAAAGTTGAGAAGTGAGAAGTTGTAAAGGTAGGATACATAATGTTATTCTGTTTATTTTTTAAAAGTTGTTTATATATACATTTGTATATATATTATTTTATACATTTTACATATTACATTATATAATATGTATTTGTACGTTAAATCATTGCTAATTAAATATAATTTTGAGAGAAGTTTGTTTTAAACATGTTTTAAAATGCCGTGATTGCTATGATTTTCCTAAAAATGTTAACTTAAGAAAGCTTATAAAAAATATTATATTACGTTCAATTTTTTTTTTACCACCATGTATGCAACTTAAAATGAACCTCGTGTTAAATTGTTAAACATTTCTGTTGGATAAACAATTTTATCCACATAGTACCTACCAAATAAAATTTAAAAAAAATGCACGGAGTATTAAAAAACGACTTCCTTACTAATTAATCACACAAAATTTTCTTTCAGAAAAAGTGCTACTCTTGAAATTTGGAGTAATATTTCTGATGAATATTAAATTAAAAATAATAAAATCGTTAACGCCGTAAATTTGTCCATTCTATTTTATGTCTTTTTATGATTTTTCCAATTACTATAAAAACTGGTTGGAAAATCAGAACACACATTTTCGCTAACGAAAAACGATTCTAAGCGATAATAAGTTAAAATTACATATATAAACAGTGCAAAGTATATTTCAACCACAATTTTAACGATTTTCTTCTAATTCTTAGCCTAATTGTTAACGATTCAACCGATGATCAAGCTTATCAACTCCTGACTACACAATTTCACATGGATAATATCTCTATTTGGTAATAAATTGTTCGATGTTGCAGTAATGCATTATCTTTAAGAATAAAGAAATTGAAAACTTCAACTATTTCAAAAATACTGACCCGAATATTGAAGGAAATAGTGATTAATTATTAAGAATATATGTTAATTTATTAATTATAATGATGGAGGTATCGCCCAAGTAGGACAAATACAATTGATAATTTAATCTGAACTTAAAATTAGTACATATACATAGGTGTCACGAAAGGGATGCAATTGCAGCCCCTGGCTTTTCAAAAAAATAAATATTGAAAAATAATTTGATCTTTGGAAACATCTGAGTAACGTAGTTATGGATAAGTGGCAAATCATCCTAAACAAAATTTTCCCATAAGGTCGTTGGTCAAATCTATTTTAAAGTCATATTTTTTCGGAAAAATTCAGAGCTCTTTCAATAGTTTAAAACGTTATCGCGTAACACGGTTCCCTAGATAACATCCGTTTTCACACGTATTAATAAAATTTAAAACGGTTGTTACTTAGAAACTATTTATCGGATATAAATGTGTGATACATTAAAATTTTTAGAAAAATAAACTCTACAAAATGGTTATTTCAACATTTTCCGAAAACAATAAAATAATGTTATTTTTTTAATTGTTTTACTACAAATAAATTTACTTAAAATATGAATATTTGTAGTCCTCATCCCTGTGAGTAATAAAACAAAAAAACAGATTATCTTTATTTTCTTTGGAGATGTTTAAGGGGTATAATCCTCGTGAAACAACCTATATAATGATCTTATAATTAAATAATGTATGAAAACAGAGGTCATTATTGCATTTGTGTCTTTTCCTAGTTTATTTAATTATACTAAATCGAAGATATATGGAAATTCTATCCTTATCGTATCGTTAAATTATATATATATATATTTTGAATGAGATTTCTTGTATTCAAAAACAATTTCCTTTAATACTTGCAAATGCTGTTAATAATCATTGGTAACATGGAATAACGATAGAAAAATCTATAGTTGACAATGGCGATACAGAGTTATATGTTTGGTATTATGTGGCATTGTTATGAGAGAATACGTTATTAGGATTAATACTGAAACAGTCGTATAATTTCGATAATGTTCCAAATTTTACCAAAGTACCGCTATGGTTGGACACAAGGATGAACTGAAAAGTTTATGGAATTTTTATTAATTAAATTAATAAATATTAGTAATTAGATATTAGTAATTGAAGAACCGTATACTTTATGTATTTCGAATCGAAATTTATATTTTGCATGCTAATTAATATGAATTTTTTCTTTATCTGAATATAATTATTTCCAAATTCCGTTAACATATTGTACACAGTCTAAGATTTAGGTCAAGATCTAGGTCAAAAGATTAAACCGATTAGGACGAAGTATAAAATCTTAATAGTTAACTAGCCTAACTCTTAATTTATCGCATTCTGTTTTTCTTTTCATTCTACAATAGTTTTCTTAAAATTAAATTATTAAATAATAATAAAATTATTTGGCACTTTTTTCCTATTGTTTTTGTATGGTATAGGTACGTAAAATCTAAATCTGTTAAAGTGTACAACTTGCTAATTTTACTTGTATAATAATTTAAATGATTTTTTATTCGATTAATATAAAATAGATAGGTGATAATACGGATAGGATTTAAATTTTGTACTCCTAGTGTAAGAAACAATAAAATTGTACTTAATTCATACTACAATACTAAATAATTGTTAAATTTTGAATCTAAGTAAAGCATTTTTAAATTAGGTGTAAGTGAATGGTGAAACTGTTCTTTATTGTAGACATTCGTACCATATGTCTGGTTCGTTTTACTGGTATTTAAATACTATTAATGTGCGGCAAATTTCTTTTTGTCATATGTATTGAGTTGATACTTTTAAAAACATCATTACAAACAACAACATTCGCCTTCCTTATCAAATTTTTATTTGGATAAAATAAATTATGGATTACGTGACTATTCTTAATTTATACTTACTAAATATCATTAATATATAGATGACAGTTCTAGTCTTACAGAGCTGAAAAAGGACAAAGAATATACCCGTGGAAAAATATAAGATTGCTGCTAACATCATTATTTATTATTGTATTGTACAAAAAATCAAGTATATTGTTTCCTAGTATTTTTCTTCAAATATACACTTAATGACGACAATCTCAATATTAAAACGTTTAAAATTGTACACATAACACATCGACCGAGTGATCGACGGAGGAACGACGACGAATTGTAGCTAACGTACAATTAAATTGGATAAATTTGATGAAAGTTAAAATATTTAACATACGAATGTTTTTTTAAAAAAACTATGTAATATCGTCTGTGATAGACTGCTTAATACATATAGTAATATAATATGTTGAGTAGATTATTTAATTATTAATATTTTTTAACAATGACATGCCTAGGAATTTCCAAAGGGTAGGGATGAAGAAAAAATTATTAATAAATCGTAGAACCGTCTTATTTACCCAACTTGACTATGGTTGAATTTAAAAGCCAGGGTCGAAAAAGTCTACGGTTTTAATAAATAATATAGGTATCTCATGAAAACATGTAATTAATAATAAATAAACTAGATTTATTTCATACATTTTTAGAGATAAGGCGAAAGTTTTTGTAGAGTTATATAATTGTTTATATTTTCTAATTTAGATCTAACTAACACGTATTTTTTCGTTAACTTATGACATTTTTTAATTTTGATATAGATTATTATGAATTAAAAACTTATTGTGAAATATAATTTGTCATTGGTTGTTATTTTAGTATACTTGTAAAATCACCGGTTTATCGCATACCAGGTATAATGTGACAGCCTTTTAAATTGTTAAATCAAGCTGTAACTTGTAACTTGATCGAATATATACATTTCAAGATTGGATTAGTAAACAGATACTCATATTATTTTATAATATATAGTTATTGTTTTTATAAGCTAATGTGGGGGGGATATAACGCGTAACCTCTCCACACCGCTGCCCGCCAGTGCCTCCAATTAAAACAATCTCGCACGTATGTCGTCGACAGCGCGAAAAAGTGAAATATCTGTAAATAGCAGCGGTTAAAATGGTACCATATTTATCGAAAATTGAGGAACGTTCCCGAGAACTATTTAAACCTTACCGAATTTTCAGGTGACGCGTCACGGAGACAAGGCTTCCGAAACGTTTTAATTAAAACAAATTCTAATAACTTACAATAATACGTTTTATAATAGCTAAGGCGTCCACCCGGGCTTCGAAGACTTAAACTTAAGGCCCGAGAGGATTCACAAGAGGATCATTTCACCTAAAAATAAGAACGGGGGAATCCGTCCCGCCCACAGACTACTTGAACTACAGACTCTGGTCGTAGATAAGCGAGTTTAGGCGCGGATCACGTTAGTACCTCTAGTATTACAATAATAATGAATAGACAGTGTGTATAGTGTACGGTTATCGTCACCTGTATTTTAAATCGCCGGCGGTGAAGACGTACGTGAACGGCGATATGTTCGAGTACATTAACATCACGCCGAACAGCACGCAGCCCGTGAACTGGTAGCGGCCCATGCCCAAAGACACCAGCACGTTGTCGATATCCACCATCATTTCGGGTCGGCGGCAGAGGCGACGGCGGGAGAGGTGGGGGGAGGGAAATTCCCTTTACGAGACCCCGTGGTCGACACCTACGCGTATAATACGGGCCGATACGATTATACAGCGATCGTGCTGTGCGTAATTATTACTATATTAATATCGTTGAGCGATTCGGGCGAAAAAAAACAACCGTTATGTCTATACTCGAAAAACCGTGTCCGCGGACGTCTGAGAAAACTTCGTCTGTGGTTCCGGGATAACCGTTGCTGACGGCGACGCGCCTACGAATGCACGACCGTGAATGCAAAACGGGTTCGACCGCCGTCATCGTCGTCGCCACTACCGCCGCCGTTGCCGCCGCCGCTGCCGCAGCCGCCGCCACCGCCGCCACCGCCGCCACCGCCGCCTGACCCGCGTGCAGACCGAACCAGAGTGCTGATACCGCGTCTCATTGCAATAATAACAATACTCATAATACAATATTATTATTATTATTATTATTATTATTATTATTATTATTACTATTACTATGTTAGAGGTTAGACCGCATTATTATACCCGGTATTTGTTATAATGCAATTTGTTATAATACTTACGGTCACACCGCATGTGGACGTATATCAGTACTTTTTTTTTTTCGTTTTATGCTATCTTGTCATAGGATTGTTTAGTTATTTTTTTTTTCCCGAATAGATGTGCGCATCTACAACCATTATAACCGGGGCCGGTTCGCCCGGAGAGACCGCGGTGACATTGCGCCATTAGCGGGTACTGACGACACAGAGAAACACAGTTCATCCGAAGTTGATTATTTTTTTCGTTACCATGTAGATTCGTAATCGTTCGGCTAAAAAACCGATAAGCGAAAAATCGGTTATCACGCGCACAGAAAGATTCCGAAGGGTTTCCGATAAAAAAAAATTTGATTTCGATTAAAAATAATTCTACGTAACGAACCGTCGTCGCGCGCACATTATATAGTACATGCGCATTAAACAAACAGTAAACACGGTTATTGAATTTGATTATCAATTTTAATAGCGACCGTTTTTGATTTTCGGATTTGAACTGAGAATATATTTAGTCTAAACATTTCTGATGTTATTACTACGCAAATTTTGTAATTCGGTTTAAAATGTGGACCGGATGAGAAGATACAGGAATAGAGAAACACGTATATGAAATTTACAACCTTATCGTTGATGCTGATCCTAGGAAGGGAGAGGGCCCTTTGGTCGTGTATGTAATACATTTTGTTCTGTTCAATATTAGATTCGGAGTGGAGCGAGAAATGTAATGGTTTTACAATGTTTATTTATTTTTTTCTATGAACAACTTTTCTACCAGCAATTTTGGTCCAATTTTCAATTATAGCACTTTTTCTGAAAGGAAATCTGACCTTCACTTTGAAGAAAGTCATTTTTTTTCTCTTCCCAGCTATTTCATAATAAACAGGACAAACATAGAATTTATACTACTGTAGGAAAACGGAAAAATAAGTACAATATTAATCATTTATTATTAAAGAAAATATATGATGCACAATATTTTACCATAATTTAACATATATATTGTTGAAAAAATAACCCTATCAACCGCTCAGAATTGTTTTTCGTTGCTTACAGATGTACATTAAATTTTCTCTCCATTACCTTCCCAACTTCTCACCTATAACAGTGACTGCACCCATTCCCATTATCTTAGGACAGCTTGTTTTAAGTTTTTTTTATATATATAATAACCAGAACTCTGCACTATGATTCTTAAGTTTTGTATTATTTTTTAAACTAAAAAAAACTTATGAATTTGCTTTTTTACAAAATCCCAGATGATCATTTTTTGAATTCTGAATTTTCGAAACAAAATGTCGGTATTACAAATGTTTACCGATGATCGTTAATTTTCTTCAATTTTGTTTTGTTTTACAAAAGTTTCATTAATATTTTCATTGCTATTAAATAATAATTGAAATACAATTAATACAAAATAAATATGTACCTATTAACAAATACAACCGTATAGACACACGATTAATATTAGTTATTAATTATTAATTAATAATGAGTACTTTTGCATTAAAAAAAAAAAAAAGGATAAATAAGATTGAATATTAATATTATTTATAGTAATGGCAATAGTGTAATGATAGCTCTTAAATGGTTAAATTTTGGAAAACTTTCAAAATCAAATTTACTCGAAATCTTCGTTTGATATTCGCCAAATATTCATGGATAAAACAATCGTCCTGTATGTATATAAGTACAAGTTCAATTTGCCGACTATCATTATACCTAGACAAGTACCTATTCTCTATTCAGCAACCCACGTATTTTTAACGACAAAATAATAAGCTCCGCTAATAATACACTATCTAATAATATTAAAATGTACCTATTATATACCTAAGATACCTGACTATTAATTAAAATAAATAAATATACTAGAAAATAAAACAAATTTGATTGGAAGTTTACCTAAATACAATATATAATACGGTTTCGTACGTATACACGTCATATTATGTTCAATGGATTTTACTTTTATGTTACATCGACTAATTTTTATCAACTATAACGCTAATTAGATAATAGTAATTAAAAATTGTATAGTTAGACTTTAGAACGTAAATATTATATGGTCAGTGTAGAATTTTTTTTTTTTTAGATACCGTGAGTACAGTACATAATATAAAAAACGATAACCAAGTGTTTGTTAGCAATACGAGCATATTATATTATTATATACTATATTTTATTCCCATATATCGGCATAGTGCGCAAGTTGTATTTTGAGTAATTTTCAAAAAAAAAAAATTACTATCTAGATTTATTTCGTTATAAAGTACATTCTTCTATTACACACACTCATAATTTCTTAATTTTTACAATTTGTAATGTGCAGCTAAATTTTATTCTGAAAATTTTATATCATTATAATATTATTATAGGTACTCGTTTAATTAACAACATTTTGCATGACGAAATTATAGACTCGTCTTTCGCCGCTTTAATGACAGACAAATTTAATTTATTATAAAACATACACTAAAACAATGGGTTTTCTATAATATTAATAACTAGAAATCACTATATAATAATAATATCAATAGAACTTGGCAGATGATTTGTGCCCAATATTTTGACTATAGTTCTGAATGATGAGGGAGAAAATTCAATAATAAGGAATCAAATTACAGGATTAAATAGAAATTAATTCAGTCATAAACTTTGTAAAGAAGATCAAGGTTATAGAATGGCTCGGACACGTAATATGCAGAAATGATGAAAACACCATCAAAAAACTTATGAATTAGAAACCAAGAGGAAAGATACATTGAAAGAGGCCCAGGAATAGGTGGTATGTTGTGATTTAATAATGTTTGTAAATAGTTTAGTAGTGTACGGTCAAATAGTTCTTATAATTTGTACAGAAGTGGGAAAAACGGAGGAAAGTAATGTCGGTGGTAAAATTCTTGAACCTCGTTTAAGATTATAAAAGCTACAGAAGTATAATACCGCTATACAGTTATACATTTTTGTTGATCCCGAGATTTTAATGGAGTATTTCAAATCGATTCGATTTCTGATTTTTCAATCATTATGTAATCGTTTAAGCTTTATTCTAATCAATTTTCAAATTCCTATATCCTTTATTTAAACGAGTAAATACTTTTAATTTTAAAATAAGACCAACCCCCACTACCTTTTAACGCAGAATTAAATAGAGAATATTGTTCTACACCTTTTAATATACCTACATACCTAACACTGTTATCGGATTTACTGTTCATGAGTTATATCTAACAGTTTAAAGTTTAAACCGGAGGAGTATATACCGGGACGGGTTATCAATTTAGCGTCTAAATATTGATATGACGTTTATTCCTCTTCCCTACCAGTCCAATATAAACTTTAAATTGTTTTTACATACAAAAGGTAACAGTTAGTGTCATGTATATCAACGTTTTTAGAAAAAATATTATCCATTCGAATCTAGGTTTAAAATGGAAGGGAGTTCTTTTTTGAAAATAAAAAGTGCATACTCGACTAACTTAAGGTACAAATATTTAGATAAACAATTTAAATTAGCATTTAAATAAAGCTTAAACGATTCCATAATGATTAAAAAAAAAAAGAAGAAATTAAATTCACTAAAAATTCCCCGAGAATATATAGCTAGGTATAATAAATGATAAATGATAAATGATTAATAATGATTATGATAAATGGTTCATCGTGTATTAACGGATGATATTATTATAAATTAATTGCATATAATAATACTATACTACCAATATTAATGTTCAATTTTATCGTAATTGTGTTGTTTATTCGTAGGTATGCCATTAAAAACATTTTTTTATTGTTTCAATATTGATTCAATAAAAAAAATAAATAAATAAACTCTAATGACATTTATAAGTAAACGGTTTCTTATTATGTGAAATTATCGTACAGACGTAATACGCAATATTGTGATAATATAATATACAAATCACAATTATTAAAGAAAATTATTTCTACGAAGTTTATTTGCTTAAAATATGCGTTATTCATATTGGTCAGGGTACAATGATCTTTCAATCCAAATCACAAAACATTCTGTAAAAATTAGTTATTATTCTATTTTAAACCAGTATTTGAAATATTAAATTTTTTGTTTTAGGTGTACCAACTGGCTACTACATTATAAATGTTATAATATGTAGAAAGCTGAATTGTTTTGGGTATACTTGAACTGTATTATTCAAAAATATTTAAATTTGAATTTCCATCGAAAAAATGTGTCTTTGTGCATATAAACCTACTACCTACTCTATCGCTCGAGACCTATATTGGAAAGCCGCATGTGTGCCGGACCGCAGTTGACCGGACCATTGTAAATTATAAGCGAATCAAGTGTTAGGTAGACAAGTATTTTCGTCTTAGAGCTCGTAGGCGTCGTCTCCGTTGTCATTTTTCTATACGCAAATCGTAAATTGTATCGGTCAACTTGTTATTAATCGTGACACAATCGAGTTTCTTTGCTCCCTCGCGTATGATCTTTGAGCAATGAGCATCTAAGCAATGCTAAACGGATTTTAGACTCGATAATAGGCGTATAAATAAGAAACCGTTTAGTATGATAAATTAATGTTTTTTGAATTTGAACGAAATAGTCCGTGGACACAAAATTATGTTTTTAACAAAGGGAACTTTCAACTAGTGTACTTTAAAAGTACAATTTTTGTCCTATAGTTTATATATTATCCGATGTATTTTTCTAGATTCCCGATTTTTGTTCTTCTGAAAAATTAAAAAACCTAACCTATATATCATTTTCATTACTTACCTGCATTGTAATTATTATTATTTTTTTTTGTATTTCAGATGCCACCATGTTTCTGAAATACAAAAGAAGAAATTAATGGTAAACAGCATTGATAAAACCCGATCGAACTGCAATCAGAATCGTTATTTGCAATTTTCTATAATTCTGTAGGACTTATCGAGGTCACCTTCTCAACAAAATCAGCCTGCTCATGATGTAAAGTGTATCCGTTTTATGTTTATGAAAACAAATTATAAACAGTTACATTTACATGAATTTTGCATGAATTTCTCCAAATATTGAGTGGAGTAGCCGAATTGGTATACTTACGTCTACACGTGTCTTTAGTGACGTAAATTGCCGGAAAGATTACGTAGTTTTAAGTTATACGCAAATCTGTGGCCGATGGCTACTATTAACTATAAATTATGACGTCTAAACGATAACATCACAGGAAGTATCTCAAAAAAATTACATATTTTCGTAGTTTACGTTGATAATAAATAAAAAAAAACTCATATTATAATTCACAGTTTGTTATAGTATACTTTTAAAAAATGAATGGGAAAACCGCTGGGTATTGGCATAGGTTAGATTAGGCCAATCGCTATACTTTTTATTATTATTGATCGTTATATTTTTTTATTTGTCGTATTACAGTACTAGGTTATTTTTAATATTCCTGAATTTATTTTCACAATTCATAATTAATTATATTCTTATAGTCTTATATTATACCTAGATAAGACATTACACATAGATAGACATTCCAAACACAGTGTAAAGTTATAATTTCCGATTATTTAATAGAAAACGAAATCAGTTCATATTATAATTAGTGTCAAGTTTATGTAGGACAGATATTACGTATGTGAAATCAAATAAATCATAGTATACTAATATAGTAATTATATTATATAATTTACGTAAGTATCATCAAAAATTAATTAATTAAATACAAATTAATAATACACAATGCAAGTTCTAAAACATAAGAGAAATACGTAATTTTTTTTAAATGTTTTGTTTGTTTATGTTTTTTATGATATATTAAATTCTAAACTTAGTTATGATAATGCGTATACTTGGAGTATAGTTAGAATTGAAGTTTGTACGGTATATATTTGTTTTCATAAATCACTGTTTACGACAACGATTTAAAATGCATGTATTAAAAAAAAAAAATGTAACGTACAGTTATTATTTTAATTTCAGTAAATAATCTTCCAATTACAATGACAAAGAGATAGAATAAAGAGATAGATAAACTGCGTGATTATTTTATTTTCAAATAATCTATACATAAAATATTTCATCGATTATAAACGATATCATCAATTTTCAAATATGCAATTGTTCCTTGACTCAATATTATAACCGATTATTATTAATACATGAGTAATTGTCGATTATAATCGACTTTTAAATATTATAAACGGGTATAATCGAGGATCGTATTCACTTCATCTCCTAGGGAGTGGAAGAAGCAACAGGACCGTATTCAGGATATTATATTTGTCCCTAGGCTAGCTTCTTTCGAAATATTGAGTATTAATCGATTAATAATCTAACGTAATTATATCAATTATTTATAAGGAAAATAATCAATTGTTCAAAATAATTTTGCAACCTTAGATGGAAAGAGTTAAATATTTTTCTTAGGTGAAGAGAAGATCGACGACTTCAACACTTCAACAGATTATAATACTATTGTCACTAGAGTTTGTGGACTGGAGTCAAGTGAGTATCAATTGAATTTTAACTGCCTATAATCTATAACAATAAACAAATAGTGTAGCAAAAAGAATTTTATAGAATTGAAAAAAAACAATTATAACCCACATATAGTAATAAAGATTGGGTTTCAATTTTATGCTTACTTATTATACCTATTCATTTTTTTTTCTTTTGTGTATCAATTCGCGAAATTGTAAATATAATACAATTCTGTATTAACATACAATTTCAAAATTATTTTTGCTAATTATACTAGCTGCAGTACCACTAGCTGCAGATATGTAAAAACTCATGGCACTCTGCAATTATTAACGATTCCATTAGTCCTAGTTGGTCTAATTATGCCATTGTTTGATAAACGCATGAGAATTTTAACTCTTTAAAGATAATACCATACAAGTACCAGCAAATTAATATAAGTTTTCGACTGCATTTTTCCAATTTTTTTTGTTAAATTTTACATAACATAACATATATGCGTTAAATAAGTATAATATATAGATAAGTGAAATAAATATTTTTAATTCCAAATTCATAAATTGTTTCATACGTACACAATCAAATTGAATGTACTCTTTCCCAGGTAAAAACAAATATATATATATATATATTACATTAGAATATTTATAATATAGTTACACAAATATTTATGATTCATTCAAGTCTTTCTGGTCGTTTTAATTTAATGGCGATATTTCACGAATATATATATAATTAATTCTACATATTTTCAGTGCCTATTTTATTATCCAATGTGTATTTAATATGTGTATATTATAGTCGTTTTTTATATTTTATATATATTTTAATAATTTATCATTTTATATTAAAAATTGTTATATTTTAACTTGTACGGTGCACGCACGATGAACGAATAGCATATAAAAAACGGACAAACGACTTTTTGAACGAATCGTGTACCGCATATACGCAATCCGTGTTTTGTAATTTTATCCCAAGCTAGAAAGCGTTATTGTATTTATTCGTTCAGTGTTTTCCAGAAACTGGAAATAGATTTCCGGTTTTATAAACTAATTTCTAATTGAAAATCGAAGATTATACTACTTACAAGTTCCAATAGAAACCCTAAAACAATCAAACATTATCGTCCTATAAATAGCACACGAGCCATAAATGTTAAAACTAAACCTAAAACACTGAGCTTTTCAAAATAAATAAAATGAGCAATCACGATATTAAATTTTTTACTTTATACTCGTATATAAATTTTCGCGGATTATTGATCCGGCGGGCGAACAGACGAATTCGAGTTCTCGGTCATATTGTTATTGCACACTGCCCACACGAAATTTATAATTTCGTCAAATTCCGGTAGCTTACATTTTTAAATCGTTGGGGGACATATTTTGCGTAGGTACGATGCTTACTAACACGTCTCGAGATCACTTTATAGGACTTAAATACCGAATGTACCTACGCATTGTATGTTTTGAAGAAAAGTTGTTCTACGCAGACGTTTCATTGTTTTTCGGAGTGAGGTGATCACGAACTCCAATTTGTTCGGCTTCATCGATGGTGTCAGGCAATTTAATGTTTTTGCTCTCGGGCAAAGTCATAGTGATGGTGGCGGCTATAAGCGAGACTACGCCAAACACGAGCATTATCATGTAATTACCAAAGTACTCTCCCTGAAGAAAAAAAAAATGTTTCCGTAAAATCGTGCATGTAAACTCACCAAAATTTGAAGATTTTTCCATTCAAATAAGTGGTAAACACTATAAAGATCCACTAACTAAAAAAAATCACCGATAGCCAATATATTGATTGAACAATTATTCAACTGTCGGTCTAAATTATTGTATGCGTCGTTGAGTTATGCGATCATCGCAACGATAATTTAGGAACATCGTATTACAATTATACGTACCAGAAGTGTGGTCTGTGGTGCCAACATGGACCCGACCCGACCGATCATGGAACACATGGACAATGCGGTGGCTCGCATCCAGGTGGGAAATATCTCTGCGGTCAATATATAGATGATCGAAAAAGCGACTGATATGGCGACTTTACTGAACATGAAAAGTGACAGCTTTACCAAGAATAGGTCTACGGATTGTAAAAATAAACATGGCAATTACGAATGTTTATTAGCGTGGAATATAAAATATTATAATAAGTGTGTTACAAGAGTATATGAATTTTTAACATACAAATCGACAAATAAAAAAAAGAGAGCTGATATGGGTGTACCACTGTTGTAAGTGGGAAGTTGGGAAAGTAGGATACATAAAGTCATTTTATTTATATCTGTAGGGAACGATAAATCATTGCTAATGAAAAATGATTAGGAATATTTATGGTTTTCGTCAAATTTTATATTAAAATTATTATAAAAAAAAATACCGCATTATACTCAATTTTTTTTTTTTGAACACGAAGTACAACTTATAATAAACCTCTTGTTAAGTTTTCAAGGATTTCTGTTCGGTCTAACAATTTTATCCACAGAGCCACTATAAAATAAAAATTACGTAAAAAACCTCGCAAAATTTAAATGTCTATAATTTACAACGCCCAGAAAAATCAAATATGAGTTTTCTTTCAAAATTCCAAGTCTCTAAGAATATTTTTAATTGAATAACAGCAATAAAAACAAATTGAAAATAATATATTTTATACATTTTCCAGTTTTTCCTTCGTTTTTTTGTTTTCGGTTTTGCTCAGTTATTAAAATAATTTTAGGGAAAATCAAAAAAATAACATTCATAATCTATCACCTTTGGATGATACTTAAGATCATTTTTCGATTTTCCAAACAATTTTCAAAATAATTGGGATAAACCTGGAAAAACGGGAAAGTTTACGAAAAATTCCTTTTTGATTTTCAATTTCATTTCTTGTTGTAGTTCAGTTAAACATGTCGTAGAAACTCGAAATTTGGACAAAAACCGTATATTTGTATAGTAAAACATTTAATCCATTTTTGAGCTATGTATAAATATTTTAATTTTGCGAGGTTGATTTATCAGATAATAATTTATCATTACTTACAGATATTAAATTAAATAACTTTATGTACACTACCTTCCCAACTTCCCACCTACAACAGTAGCGCACCTAATAGTGTAAACACTATTCACGCACTATTAACATTGTCGATAGTAGATGACTCAACAACTATCATTACGTGCTAAATATTTGTCATCATTCAGCGTTAACTATGGTACTGTATCGACTCTCAACTAAAGACACATTTACATAGTTAAATTCTGTTGTAGTGGCCGTTTTCGTTAATCATGTTTAATATAATTGAATTTCTTAAAGCGTAAGATCCCTGAGATCCGGCGTTTCAAATATGAAATAATTAATGTGTTCAAAATCAAAAGCATCAGGGATACTTACTACCAAGAATTGACAAAAATAAAGAAACTATAAGCAAGTTTTAACTCGTATAACTGGTCCTATTAAATCTATCATGTTTAATGAAATATCATGCAGTATTTTAAATTAGGTAACAGTAATAAATTCAAATAATAAGTGATAACATAGCTTATAATTTACCACGATTGCGTATTAATTTTGCATTCACGCGTAAACAATACTTCCCCCGTGACAGTACTGTCACTATGTACACGAGTAGATCGTTTCGTCATTGCAATGTGTGCGGTAAGAAAAATACAATCAAATAGATATGTACCCGCACGTATAAGTGTAATGATATATAGGTAGGTACTCACTGTCCGGCGTTAAGTTGTACACGACAGACATGGCACCGCTCAAAATAAACATGCAGGACAACGACATTTTTCTGGTCATTCCTTCCATTACCAACCAGTTTATCAGGCAACCCGGAATCTCGACGAACGACGCCAAAGCGAAGTTCAAATATTTGTTGCCGGCTATGTCGGTCGCGTTTATGGTCAGTCCGTAGTACACCAATGTTATGGCCACCCTAAGTGGATCGAGAGAATATACACATTATAAGTGCACGATGTTAGCGAAGTATTGGTTTCGGATGTATAATTAAATGCAGTAGTTGATTCAAAGGTGGGCCGAGAGGCCCCTCCCCTTGAAAATTATATTATATTTGTAGTTGTGATAATCAAAATCAATAATGATTATAAATCGTCGTTCAATTTGCGGTTATACAATTGGTCTCATAGGCGAAACAAGACATTTTCATTAGACTGGACTATTCATGAGAGTCATTTTATACCTATCAATGATAGGATTTTCTAAAACTGTACTTGGACTAAAGTTATTCAGATTTATACTCAAATTTGCGTTTCCAATATTACTATTATTATTATTATTATTATTATATACTACATAGTAGAAGAGAGGGTGATTGGGAACACCAATGTTTTTTATTACAATAAAAAGTTATAACATGAGTAATTATTGATGACATAAAACTAAAATTGTATAACATGTTATTTATACTTAAACCATACATGTGAAAAAGAGATACTAAACACATTTTAATTTTTAAAATAAAGTTATTTTTTTTTTTCAGGGATGACAATGAAAATTAAATTTTTTCTTACATTTATGTCCCCCTGACACAAAACCTGATTGGAAAATAAAATAAATATTTACAATATTACTAGCATTCAGATAACACTGTTGGATACGTTGTACTTGTACAATTCTAATATTTAATTTTTGATACGATAACGGAAAATAATAATAATAAAAAGCTATAAAATTATAAAAGAGCTGATATAGGGGACGGGTATAGCCACTGTTGTAGACGGGAAGTTTAGAAGGTAGCTAGATACACAACGTTATTTAATTTATATCTGTATATAACGATGAATCATTGCTAACGAAAAACGATTCGGAGCGAAGTTCGGTTAGACATGTTTTGAAAAAACCGTAATATTTAAGATTTTTGTCAAAATTTGGTATTCAAATTCTTTTATGAAAAAAAAAATAATATATTAAACTCAACTTTTTCTTATTGAGCACTAAGTACGATTTATAATGAACCGCCTGTTAAATTTTCAAGCATTTTTGTTTGATCTGACAATTTTATTCATAGAGTAGAGAAAGTCAAAGTTTAAAACAGAGTGACTGATTACAAATAGTTGGGAAGGAGAAGAAGAAGAAGTGAAAATAATAATATAAGTATTACGTCTAATAGTAAGGCGTTTTTACCATATGAACGAACACCTAACCATCCTCCAGGTAATCGTCGGTGAGTGAAAGATAACTTTCAGGATACTCGTATATTTCACGCCACCATCGCCGTCATCGTGGTTTACCGATGTCTGTAATAAATAATTTATACGAGTGAAATAAATTTTTCATCGCAAACGCTGCTAAATATCATTCGGTTGTATTTAAAAATCTGTAATTTTATAGGCTATAATACTTAGGCGTAGGTATACCAGTTATTTAAATTACAAAATACAGGTATATTACCTCTGTTTGCATGTCGAGATTTAGTTCGGGTAAAGTCTTTTTATTCATAACGGCTATTTTCTTGAGCGTTTTTAGTACGTTGTCCTGGTGTCCTTGTGTTTGCGACCATCTCATCGATTCTTCCGTCAGCCTATAATTGCGGGTAAAAGAAAATAATACCAAAAGGTTTATCTGTCAATTTACGTGGTTATATTGTAATGTAAGTACTATAATATAAAATAGGTATAATAACCAATAGTACGAAAGAAATAAAAGTCCCGGGACGTTGGATATCCGCAACAAGAGTTTCCAATCTTTCGCTTGACTGGCAATATATGCCACTATGATAGCACCGAGCGGATAAAAACATTCCAGAATTGAAAAATAAATAACCCGCTTTTTAGGCAAAACCGATTCCATTCCTATATAGTAAGAAAAAAATACACACCTTTAAGAGCATAAAAGTATATTACATATAGGTGTAATAAATAAGAATACTAAAAATACTAAGATAACTATAAGATAAATGGATCATGGACTTTTATTTAAAATTCACATATTACTGAGTTTATTATTTAAATAATGGGATAAAAATGAAATATTTTTATATATGGAAGATTTCGTATACCCATATATGCGATATGGCGTTTGTTGTTGGTATGTAGGTACACAATTCAAATATCATGAAACTGGTTTCGAATGTCTCAACGTGTTCATAGAAATTTTATTGATTTTAAGCCATTTGTAAAAATAGTATTATTGTACCTACCTAATACGAACGTGACCGTATAGATGCCACTGGATATACTAGAAGACAATAATTCCAAAAACCAAAACATCGTGTAATTGATTGAAAACGACTGGGCGATACTTAACGCGGCTGATGTAGCCGCGCAAAATATCATTGCAAACTTTCGACCAAACCTGTAATTATCATTTACAAATATTATGTCTTTGGTCCCAGAGAAAAGTAGATTAAGCCAGTTTTTTTAAATTTTAACAAACTATTATAGATGTTTTTGCTACGGATTTTTCGCTACATTTTGTGTATAGCTGATTTCCGCGTGGTTTTTAGAGATTTTAAATCATCTAAATGTTTATATATATTTTATTTAATGTAATTTGTTCTTCTTTATTTTCGGGCTTAAATTACATAGGACTAAGTATTTTAAAAACTAATGTAAATATAGTATATTAGTGTATTAGTGTATGTACAAGTAGAAATCTTAAGCCATTCTTCCTAGGGACCAAAGTTATTTTTAATATGTCGTGTACAATATATTATAGTTTTTGTTGCTCTTACCTGTCGGCGATAATGCCCGATATCGGTATGCCGATAAATTGTCCGAAATTGTTGACCGAGCCCACCATGGATAGCTTCCACTTGTTTTCCTCACACATGAGTTTGAACTATAACAATGTATAAATAACAATAATTGATAAGACGGTTTTCAGAACAATTTTCAGTTCTTGTATCGATGAAGCAGAAGATAATAGAGGATAACAGAAAATAAGGAAATTCAAATTGTATCATACCGCAAATAATGTTGAAGAAATAAGTAAAATATAAAACTGACACTGCTGTTAGTTGCACCGCTATTGTAGGAAGTCGGAAAAGTATACGATACATAAAGTTAATTAATTTATATTTGTTAACAATGATAAAACCAATGCTAACGAAATTCGATTTTGAGCTAAGTTCAATTAGGTAGATATAGCATGTAAATTGTAATTAAACATGTTTTAAAATGTCGTAAAATACCGTGAAATAATTACGGTTTTCATCAAAATTTCATCTTCAATAATTTATAAAAAAATAACTTCTACATTAGGTACATTCAACTTTCTTTTTTTTTTTTTACCACGAAGTACAACCTAACGAGCCTCAAATTGAATGTTCAAGCATTTGTATTTAATCAAACCATTTTATAAAATACGACTTTCTTAATTAGATTAAAAATTTACCAAAAATGTTCTCTTCGTTTCTTGATCGAAGCATGATTTCTGGTAGAAGAGTGGTTTGAAGACAGAAAAATTAAAAATATGACATACTTTGCATGATGGGTGGGCTACTATTGTAGGTGTGAAGTTGAGAAGGTAGTTACACTTATTCATCAGGTTTAGAAAGTTATTTTAAAGGAAAAGATTTTGGACACCTTTAAGGTGCCCAAAATTGAGGTGGAAGATTATATTTAAAACTACTTTCGAAAACTAAAATCTGGAGCTGGCTGATGACGCTTGCAATAAACGGCGAGGAGTGGAGTGGTTTAATTTCGTCGGGACGATCTCGCTTTATACTTCAAAGCAACAGAATAAAATGAAGAAGTATTACTACCTATATAAAACCCACGTATTCGTCTTCGTCTTAGGTCTACGAAATCTAAAAATCATCGGCTGTGATTATCATTCGTGATATACATCACATCCCATAGGTTGATAATTTTAATATAATATTAATAGGATGACGATGTTTTACGAGAAAAGACAAAAAGTCATGATATTATTGTATTTACCAACATATTCTTATTTTGAGCGTTCTGCATTGGAACAATATCTCCTTTCGGTTTATGTAAACTTACTTCCGTGCCAATAGTGTTTACGGGCTCTTCGAACACCCAATTGCCCCAACATTTATCGATCTCACTCCTGTCAAATTCTTCAGGTGCACATAGCGTGCCATTGTTGCCCGTTCGTCTCAACGCGTACCGTTTACATTTGTTCGGCAGTTCTGTGTCGGCCTTGTAAGGCGTTGTAAACCGTAACCAGTCCGGCTCGTACGTCCTATCCGTGGGATTCACCGGGTCGCATTCGGGTATTACGCATCTGAAGGGCACGTAAAAAAATACAAATTATAACCAGATACTGCTGACGGGTATGTCATTGCTGTAGATTGAAAAACGGGAAGGCAGGATAGTAATTTAATTTACATTTGTACTTACACAATTAATTGCTATTAAAAACCGATTTTGTTCAGTTAGTTTGGTTAATAATGTTTTGAAATACTGTCATTTTTATGATTTTCATCAAAACGGTTTTCTTTTTATTTTACTTCTAAGTAAAATGTAATATGATACGTTATATTGTTAAAAATGTGAAAGATGCTCGATGATTAGAGCAAGATTTCTGGTAAGAAAGTGGTTTAGAGATAAAAAAGAAAAAAACATATCCTAGTAAAACAAATACATTCTTTGCTACGCTCTGAATCTGAAAAAAATTATAAGCCAAATAAACTAATGAAATTAAGAACACCCGGAAGACGAACGGATCGGCAACACAACATAACGTACTGAATAGTTTTTTTTTCAGAAAACTGAATTGTTTACTAATAAACTCCAAGAAATATTAAATTGAAAACTTATATTACTTAAATATTACAAACGCATTAATTTTTTTTTATTAGCCTCTTTAAAAAATTTGACATCAAAGTTAATATTTCGTTATTTTGTTAATAAATATTTGAGTTTAACGATGATAGTTTTATAAAATTACAAGTATTTACGGTAGGTAATATATTTAATAGCTTTTTGGACTTATACGTCATTAAGAACAGTAAGACAATGACATTTATTCACATTTAATTACATTCTGAAATGTGGGAAACATATTTCAACATATAAAATAAAATATGATTATTTTTCACTTTTATAAAATTCAATAATTTGTTTATAGAACATTATTTTGAAAAACTCACATTTGTTAATGTTTTCTTTCGATAGTATTTGGTGTAAAGCGAAATTTAATAGATGTTTTTATACTAAAAAATCGTGTGTATATAAATATATGTGTGTCTTCTTAAATTTATTTGTTATTTTTTTTAGGCGCACATTGTACAATTAATGAAATAAACCGTTCAATAGCCCAAGCTGCCGATCATTGTACTTTTAGCACTGACATGCTACACGTAAATACTACGTTTGTTAATAAATTATTGGTTTTTATTTTTGTTTGTGTCATTTACTTACCTGTATTTTAAATCGCCGGCAGTGAATACGTACGCGACCGGTGAAACGTTCGAATACATGATCATGAGACCGAAAAGCAAGCAGTACACGAATTGGTACCGACCCATACCCAAGATTATCAACACATCGTCGATATTCATTTCGAAAAAATTTTACCGAACTTGACTTATTAGTTATTAACAATCGTTTAACATACATAAATTTCGTATAAAGATTCAGTGCAGCGAGCAAGGCAATAACTACTATCTATCGTGATAATATACCTAAATAATCGCTCGCAGAGATTCGGAAAAAATACGTGTACGAATTTAAGTACTTGTATTAAACACATAACGAGTATACGCATATCAAATTCTGAAGGAGTGATATAGAAGTACTTGTATTATAGTTAGTACATATATATATACATACAGGGTGTCCCACAGTGTTTTCCAAGTGTTCATATTTTAATTGTCTTATTATTTTTAAATTGAAACACTTACGTTACTAGGTTAATGTTACCATAGTTGACGGTAATACACATAATAAAATAGAGTACAAATAGGAAAAACTATTTATCTTTTTCCAGGCTCAGTTAAAGGCCGGTGCAATCGGATAGTCTAGCCTCCTTTTGATAAGATTCAGAGGTATGATTTTACTGGGTTATCGGTGTTATATATAACTCGCAATTGTTATCATTAATTATGTTAGATTGTCAATGTTTAAGAATAAAGAATATAAGAATAAATTAGTGTCATTTACAGTGTAAGCCCAAACACACTAAAAACTAGTCTGACTAAACATATAATAAAATCTAGGTATAATTGGTGTAAATAAAAAAGTTTACATTTTAGACGCAGGTATATCTAATTAGATGCACTTTCCCAGTAAAAACGCGATCTAATAAAATCATTCTTAGGTTTAAGTATGAGTAGTTTTTACTTGTAAATTCTGATTTTATCTGATTTCTGGTTTTTACTGCAACTCACTTTCAAAAATATGATAAAATTTTATCATACAAATAATAGAGGGGTTTTGAAGGTTGAAAGGCCCAAAATGCATGTCCTTGTTAATATTATTGCCATGCGTATATAAAATTGCACTCCCCGCCCTGATTTTATTTAGTTGGTCTGTAAGGCTATACTCAAAGCTAAAAATCAATATTCTCCTGTAACAAAATGGTAAAATTCAACACAATTTTTATCACTCCAATCCGCCTATAAAAACTGCTCTAATTCTCAAATTTGAGCCCATTTGATCAAACAGCTAGGGAGTATAATTTAAAAGAATAAGTATACATTTTTTAACTGATTAAAAATATTATGATACATATCATTGTTTTGTTTTCAATATTAGTCGATAGTCGTTATCTAAAAATAAATTATCGCTAGATGTCTAGATAATAATATGTAGATATTAAATATCGTGTCCACTTGTTGTATCTATATTCTATAGTAATATATATATATTAGTTAATACAAATACACAATTAGTTATACTTTATACTTATTACAATATTACGTATAAATATTATAAATTAATAAATCCACTGGTTATTGTTCAAAATGCCATCAGGCCAGTAGCGCATTTAGGAAGGGACAAAGGGACGAATGACCCCAGTGGCAAAATTTTAACAGATTTAGGGGCGGCAGTTTTGTTGAGTATATTCATTTTTGTTTTTTTCACAAAATGTATAACACTTAATCATTGATTAAGTTATCAGTTAGCATGCTGGAACACAGATTAAATTCTTTGCTATGTAGTCTTTATTTTTTAACCTCTATTATAAGCCCAGGAAAAGTTGAGTTATACCCCACAAAATAATTTTTTAAAGGAAAAAAAAATTCATGTATCAAAAGTTTATCAAAAATTAGATAATTTTTTTATTTTAACATACAGGTATAGGTACTTTTGACATTTACATTTTTATTTCTTTGATTATACTAACAATACGAGTACCTATATTAATACAAAATTGTGATAAAACTAAAATATTGATTTACTATCTTAATCTATACGTACTAATATGGACTCAAAATATTTATAACGTATTGCGATATTTAACTAGCTTTTTAAGTGTTTTCTTTACTATTCACACAGTCCAATGACTAAAGATAGCAATGATATTAATGTTAACGTTAGTAAATTTTATGTATTATGAAATTAACGCTTATATTACATACTAAAAGTACTTGAATTTATATACAACATGCACATAAAATTGTTATACATTTTTGTATTCTGTTTTTCCTGTAAAATAATAACGTTGTTTCCAAAACTACAAATTAAAAAGCAAATGTCATTCTAATATTATGCACCCATGTATACTATGAATTTAAATTAATATCCTTAATCAATCGATATTTTTACCAAAGCAATTATTATTATAGTATTTTTAGGATAATGTATTATCAACCGCAAACAGCGAACGACAAAAAAACGTAATATTTTTCTCATCCGTTTACGATAAAATTCTAACGATTCTTTGGTATAAATATATTAAAATGTACGGCAATAAGCATTCTTTAGTTTATCATTGAAACTTCTACAGTTTCCGACGAAGGATCGTTTCCAATTTTTTCGGCCTCGTCGATGGTGTCGGGTAATTTTACGTTTTTGCTCTCCGGCAAAGTAACGGTTATGACGGCGGCTAAAATTGCGATCGAACCCATAAAGAACATGGCTATGTACCCGCCAAAGTATTCAGCCTGCAAAAAAAAGAGGTGATATTTGAAAAAATCATAAATCTTCTGAAAACCACAGTGAACTACATGGTATTTTCTCGGCTGCACGAAGAAACATTGAATCACATATATGTTTTTGCGGGCACCAAACATTATAACGAGTCACATGCGATACATACAGCCGAGGCGATGGTGCGATTATAATTAAAATAATAATCGTAATGGCACGTAGAAGTAGTAAGCAAAGTCAAGGGTTATTATATCGAGGGTATTTTGTGTGATGGTGAGGTTGTTGTATATGTATAGGCGGGGTAAGTGGAAATTGTACTGTAACGAAAAATCGATCAGAACTGGTACACAGAGAAGTAGTAGGTAGTGATAGAAATGGAGTTGGTTGGAATTAGTTTTTTAACGGGACATTATTTGTCACGTAAAAATCTGAAAAAATCGGTTACCGAAACAATTTATTGAATCCTTAGTAAAAACATATTAAAATGTCATATAAAGATACATGAGATACGTATATAGGTAGTGTAGATGGAATCCGAGGAAGAAAAGGCCAATGTAAAAGACGAAGAAAAAGTGGCTAAAAGGTATTATATGGATATATGAAGACATGACATGTGCAGAAGTTTATAGACGAGGAAAACTGTTGATAGACTGATAGATATGATGGAGATATGGAAGACAAGAGCAAGAGATGTATGAAGATTTGTACGTTAATTACCATTAGAGTGATCTGCGGAGACAACATGGATCCTATTCGACCGAACATGGAGCACAAAGATAACATGGTCGCCCGCATCGTGGTAGGGAATATCTCGGCGGTCAGAATGTAGACGATCGTGAACGCGATGGATATGGCGAGTTTACTGATCATGAATAGAGACAACCTTAACGTAAATCCTACGTCTGTACGTAATTATGAACAGAACAAAAAACATCCAAAAATTGTAAAAAACATTTCATAATTTATTACGTACTTATATTGTATAGGTACTTACAGTCGTACGATATGTTGTATACTATGCAAGTAGCGCCGCTCAACAAGAACATAGAGAATAACGACGTTTTTCTGGACATTCGTTCCATAATTATCCAGTTAAACAGGCACGCGGGAATTTCGACAAACGAGACCAATGCAAAGTTTAAGTACTTATTGCCGGCTATTTCGGTCGCGCTTATGTTCAGCCCGTAGTACACAAAAGCCGCTGCTATCCTGCGCGAGTCAAAGAAAAAAATACTTTATTATGGTACTAATGTTTAAAACAATTGTTCCTACCATAATAAAGAACATCTGATCATCCTCCAAAATATAGTCGAAGAGCGGAATATATCTTTTAGGATACTTGTATTTACTTTCGCATCGTTTTCGTCCTCATTGTTCTTGCTCTGTGAAATTAATTTAATGTACTAAATAAATAAATTAATTAATTTTCTATAAATCAAGACGAGTAAAATATTACTGTCAAACTAAATTATAGATATTTAAAAACCAGTTAAAAACAGTAAAAAACATTTAGTTATTTTATTTGTTTAAAATGCAATTGTTTTTCTCGAATAAATTAATAACTAAAAGCCCCTGATCTTGGCGGTTAAACGAGATAATTTAAGAATCAATGACTAAAACAAGAGACAGGAATTTAAAAACAGGTGATGTGCTGGTTGTGCTGATAATGAGAGCATACGATTTTTGTACCCACCAATAACTTAAGCGCTCTCAACCCCACCTCAAATTATCCCGTTTTACTCCCGGACTCTGTATAACATGATTAATTCGTCCAATGATCAAAAATTAAGAATTTGGCTTTTTAATAGAATGTATCACCTCCATTTGAGTGTCTGAAGGTAAGTCCAGCAAAGTTTTTTTATTGACAGTCGCTATCTTTTTGAGCACACTGATTACTTTATCATGTTTTCCTTGCATTTCCATCCACCTCATCGATTCTTCCGCCAACCTATATGCAGGGAATTATAATTAATATTGAGACCCGTCAATCGGAATTATTAAATTTTTTTAACTACCAGTGATATGAAATAAAAAACAGTCCCAGGACGTTGGACATTCGCAACAATATCCTCCAATCTTTCACTTGACTGGCGATTAAAGCCACTATCATTCCACCGATCGGATTGAAACATTCCAAAATTGAATAATAGAGAACCCTCTTATCAGGCAACACCAACTCCATCGCTACAATTAAAAATACCCGTTTTATTAGAAAAAAAATTTATTCAAACCAAAATACTATAGTTAAAAAAATGTGCATGTAGCCATATAATTTCCCAGACGTGAAAATTGATGGGTTTTTAGGCTACGTGTATAATGTTGAATTCTATTGACAATTCGATTTTTGGTTATTTTTTTGAAACCTTACCTAATATGAAAGTTGCCCCATAAACGCCGCTAAATATGGACGAAGAAAGTACTTCTAAAACTAAAAACATCGGGTAACTGACAGAAAATGACTGAACAATATATATCATAGCCGTCAGTACCGACCCGACGACCATAGTGAACTTTCGACCAAACCTGTGAACATTTTACAGAATAAATATAAATACACGGAAAATATTTCAATGGATTTTGAATTGTGTGAAAACATATTGAGACTTTTTTTTATACACGCACACATCACACCACACACACGGACATCTAAATAAATCTACTTGAATATTTCACTGGAGAAGTGTATTTCTATTCAAACGTATAAATGTGTTGACAATTATTAGTGATATTAATTATTTAATATTATAATATTTATTATAGTATAGATGTGTTTTTCTCACTTATCAGAAACGATCCCGGACACCGGTATGCCGATGAATTGGCCCATATTATGAACCGAACCCACCAGTGATAGTTTCCATTTGTTTTCCTCACACATGAGTCCAAACTGAATAATATACAATTATAAAATGTTTAAGAAAAAAAAATTACGCGAAAATACCTCCGTGCCGATAGTGTTTTCATAGTCTTCGAATACCCAACGGTCACGGCACGATTCCGTCGCAGTCTCATCGAATTCGCTGCGTTCACACAAATTCGTATTAGTGCCGGACGAATGATTGCGGGCGAATCTCTGACATTTCTGGGGTTTTCCCGTGTCTGATCGATAAGGCGTCGTGAACCGCAGCCAATCCGGTTCGTATATCCATTTCGCCCGGTCCAGCGAATCACATTCCGGTATTTCGCATCTGATGCGGACAAAAATGTCATATTATGTTAACACCGTGGAAATACGTCGGATATGATAATTTATCTTGAAAATACATATAAACATTATAGTTTTTTACCTGTATTTTAAGTCGCCGGCCGTGAAAATGTACAAAACGGAAGTTATGTTGGTATACAATATCATAATGCCAAACAGTAAACAGCTGATGAACTGATACCGTCCCATGCCAGCGGATATTAGCGTTTGGTCGATATTCATCTAAAAATTATAAAATTAAATCTTTATAATTATTATTATTATCATTATTGTTAATGAAGTTTTGTAGATGGCTAAAATTAATAAAAAAAACTTTTTTTTCTTTTGTATCTAATAATATTTCAGTTTAATGATAATAATTGTCTATCACCAATATACAAGTATAATATATAACATTATAATAGGCATATAAAAAACAACTGATCATCGGGATTTTAAATTTAAGTATTACGTAACTAAAATGTACTTAAATTGTATTTATATGCAACCAAAGCTTAATAACTCTTAATAATTATTTTGGATGAATCATCCAAAGTGAATCACTTAAAATGAAACGAACTTGTTTTCATTTTTCAATAGTATGAATACTATTAGTATGAAATCCACATTGTAGCTTATATAACTTTATACTCATTTTTAAAGATTTTTAAGCTTTTCTTTAAGTCATGAATTCTCAAGAAATTGTTAGTGCAAGAATTGTTATAATAAGTCAATATCTTATAAATAAGTGCAGAAAGTTAATTGAAAAAAAAAATAAATGAAAATAAACGACGTTGGTGGGTTAAACCACGGGTTAAGACAAAAAATATACTTTGATACTTTGGTATTATTAATTCATACATATAAAGCGAAGGTAAATCCTTTAAATAAATTTTAAATATATTTGAAAGGGGAGCTGGCAACCGTGTATATTTAATATTATTATTTGTATGCATCTGTATGTAACGTATGGCTGATAGCTATAGACTATTATTATTGTTATTAAACATAGGTATTCTTAAAAAAAAAATTGAAAATAATTTTTGTAATTAATTTTTCTTCTAAAATTATAAAATGTACTAATTTTTTTAAAAACTAATTCTAATGAAGATAGAGATGCAAATTATTAAAAAATATAAACGCTGTTACTAAAGGATTAATTTACTTCATAATATATGATGTATCACTATGAATTTTTAAAAATAAATTCAGAACTGTTATTAAATTTAAATTTTAGATTATTTTTTAATATAACCGGTTACAACGGAATAACAACGATTAACGTTGCATTCAAGTAAAAATACTATTTTGAGAATTAAGAAATCACATGAGATATTACATAAAAATATAATATTCCGCTCTCTCCGTGTCTAAACTGGTACCTTTTAGGCTTTAACGACTTTTGCATAAATTAGTTGTCAGTAATTGATACTGACCTGAAGTTCAATCTCTGTATCAAAATAATTATTATACAGAGTCATCAGAATTTCAAATTACAGCAATTTTCTCATACTATTATTTAAAATAGAGAAAAATTAGAAAGTTTTATTTAATAGTACATTATATATTTATATATTGGATTAACATTATTAGGTGTCATTTTATTGAGAATTTTAGAACCAACCATTAATAATAACCTGTATACAAACTTCACGTAAAGATATTTGTTAATGTATTGTAGTGATAGATAGATGTATTTTAATACATAACTTTTTACCTGAAACCGATTCAAAATTTTCATAGTCTCTGAAGCACACTACAACGTACACAACATGATAATTACTATTACAACTGTAACATAGAATTCTAATCGCCCTTTATGTAGTTTATCTTCCCAATGTATAATTGGTATTTTACGTTTAATTTTATTTTATAATCAATGATATCAATATTATAAAACTAAACGCTGTGCTAAGTCGTCACAAGTTCTTTAAAAGAATAACAATGAAAATATTTTTAATTTAAATATTGTAACTTATTATTTAGGTTAATTTAATATTTATGTCATATTATCTATAGAAGGTTTTTAAATATTTTATTCTAATTTATTACTAGTTGTACGATTACTTGGCTTTGCTCGAGCATGGGATGGAATTACATTTTTTTTTTTTTAAACTGATACTGCTGAAGAATGTGCCAATTACTGATGTAGTTGGGAAGTTGGAAAAATAAGATACATACATTTATTAATTTTTATCTGTACGTAACGATAAAGCAATGGTAACACCCTACAAATAGTAATAATAAACAACGTAAACGAAAAAAATCCAGAACAAAGTTTGGTAGTATATGTTTCCACGTTATGTTGTCATTTTTACGATTTTTGTCAAAATATTATCTTCTAAAACTTATAAAAACAAAAACAAATTCATTATGCTCAAATTTTACCATTTAGTTAAATTTATAATAAACCTCATGTTAAATTTTCAAACATATCTGTTAGGTCAAATAATTTTATCCATATTAAATTTAATTTCAAATGTAGTTTTTAAGTCTAAATCACAACCATGTGGTATACGTACATTGACTTTTATCTATAGATTTCTCATTGTAATCAAATTTGTTTTATTTAACCTATCCGAAATATCGATTATGACAGTTCATGTTTAGGTGTGTAGGTGCAAGTGGATACCAATTGTCATTTGAAAAAATCTAGAAAAAAAAGTGTTTTATGGATGAAGAGGGTATAAACATTAAATAAGAGGAGAGTTGCAACGATGACTAACTAATTTTATAACAAATATAAATGTATTTACCTATATCCAATAATTTTAATCTTGACATGATTATGTATTAAATATTGTACAATATATCCATGAATCAAATTATAAAACATGATATTTTTTAATTTGTAGTTCAGAGGCACGGCTGAGATATAGGACAGGTGTATAAAAACAGGCAATAACGTTTTTGTTTTTTCCTTGTTTATTAAATGTTCAATTAAACTAATCTGACTTATTAACATACTGTTGCTCTTAAAATTAATTGAGTTATGCAATATGCGTACACCAAATGGTTTGATAGACAATCGGAGAATACCTATGTACAATAACCTCGGACGCAGAATGAGGGACCACAAAATACAATGCATTTCGGTGTGCTCCTACGGCTGCAAATCGACCACGACATCTGCATTTATTTTCGTTGTACGTTTTGTTTGTACTTTAAGTATCTTTGAAAATTGAGTCATAATTTATTACAATATACTAACTATTAAATTATATTTTACTTTGATATCGTATCAATACGTTTGACTGATTATTGGTTATTATTTATATATTATTACAGACAATTTTCTGTCAGTGGTTTCCCCTCTTTTAAAAGTACCTAACGCGTATTTTTTTTTAAAACAAACTCTGTTGTTTATTTTTTTTTTTTATTTTATCAGAGTCAAAAATTGACTTTTTAGGACTACAATTATCCAAAGTACTTACACTATAAACGAAAATTTTCCCTCGCACACTAACTATTTTTACACATATTTTAAGAGGTTATTTAATGGTAATTCTGAAGGTTTAGACCTACAAAATTATTTGATTTCTTTGTGCACTATTTTGTTTAAACATCACGATCCGCCACTGTGTTAAGTCTACGTCATAATATCATAAAGTGCATAATACAATTAACTTAAAAATTTGTAATGGCTACTTATTGTAATCATCTACATAATTGCAAGCTTTTGGTTAGCATTAAATATTAAAGTACAGTTAATCACACGGGTCGAGTACAAAATCATAAGAAATAGGTATAGGTTATAAGTACGTGAAATATTTCTACAGAGTTTTTTTTATCGATTTATTATAAAGAGTCATGTACTTACTGTGGTAATTAACAACTAATGGTGGTGGGAAAGGTCCAGATTTGTATTAGATTTAATTGTGTCAAATTAGATACATATGTATGGATTATAGACGCTGTAACTTCTCGATGAGACGCTAGACGGCGGAACACTAAACAAAATATTTTGTTATCATTTATCAAATGTTTAAATACAACACTTTCACTTTCGCATTTCACTATAGATGGTTGTTTCTTACTGCTTCCAATATAAATTGTTCAGGAAAGTATCTGATACGTGAGTATTATAGTTGAGTATTAAAGTATGAGTATAGTTGGTATACAAAACAGTAAAATAATTGTACCATAGTGAGGAGTTCTTTTCCAAAACGCAATATTGCGAAAAACTAAATTGTTCAGGAAAACCATTTTATTGTTCTAAGATCTATAGAAGATTTATACTAATTCAATTACACTGTAGCTGTAGTCAAAGTGCAAAAAACTGACTGGGCACAACCAACGTTCTAGTTTTTTTAATTTTTCAGACATTTTTCCTCTTTTTATTTTGGGATTTCGTGCAAAATGTATTATTTTGGGAAATATTACGTAATGAGAAATATATAGCTGTAAATAGGAAATTTTATTTCCAGAAATAGACTTTTTGAAATAGGTATATGATATTTTGTTAGTAAACAAATACTATACTGATATTGATATGACATTTTTTCATTAAAGCTTAAACAGAATACAATTTTAGAATTTGTTTATTATGGTTTAAACATAATTAAAAATAAAATGTTAACACTACTATTATAATAAAAAAAGTATACATTGGTGATCAACTGATCAACGTATTAAACGACAATTATTACGTTTGTAAGTACCAATTAACTTTTTTCTGAATCTATTTTTCTTAAAAATATTTAAGAATACGTACCATTAAAATGTTACATTAGGGTTATATTTTGTCACCCTTATTTTAAGGGAGAAAACTACTATCTACTTTTGGTTTTCAAATGACAACAAAATATACTCAAATTTCTATAAATTCCTGTTGACGAGATATTATACTTTTAATTTTAGGTAGGGATTTGTGTGTTACTACACAAATAATGCACCACTACTATCCCTCTACCTACATTTAAAAGCGTATTACCTCGTCAATGGTTTGACGGAAATTAAAAATGTCAACACCAAAATGTCTTTAAGCAAATACTCCAACTATTTATTAAATTTTTAATATATGTTGTAATTTTAAAATCAAAAGTAGGTATTGGTTTCACCCTTCTAAAATAAAGTTGACAAAAAAAAAGTAATATATAGGGCTCGATTTTCATAGCAAATGTTATTTTTGAAGGAAGTGTGATAAAAAGGTAATTTTTATAATAATATATAAATACGTTTTAAATCGTTTCAATTTCAATGAAGTTTACTTTATTTTGCTTTTTTTCGACTATTAAAAAAATATACAAAATAAAACAAATTCCAAAAAAATTTAATATTTTCCGAGGTAATGAGTGTCTTACGTTAAGATAATCACCCTGTATACATAAAGTTAGATTAATAGAATGTTGTCTAATCTAATGTATTTTATTAGCATTTAACAAACAATTATCTTAATAACTTGGGTATTATTTTAATACAATTTATTAAAAACAAAAATATTTTGGCACTCATTTTTATCAAAATAATCTGAACCTTCATGATCTTCATGTCCGAAAACAATATATTACGAGCAGGTTCTTTCATCACGCTATCATTTTAGACATTTCAAGATGTAGGTTTTAATAAATTATAAATGTATAATTCCAATTGGCTTGCACACAGGACGTACCGGGCATGCCTAGACACACCCTGTAATTTATCATGGGCCAAAGTTCCATATGCCTCAACATTATTACCAATATGTTTATCATAAATATACCTAAATATTACTAAAGTCGATTTTTATAATATTTTTGAAACGAATTTAAAAAAAATTGAATAATTCACTACAATATAATGCAGTGCTTCCCAAACTTTTTGGACGCATGGCTCCCTTTTTAACTAATGTTTTCTTAGGGTGCCTTTGCAATTCATTACAATCAAAAACCTATTCTTATCGGAGGAGTATTAGTCGTGGTATTTATCTCATTGTATAGCTAAAAAAACCAAGGTAAATAAAACCGATGTATCAACAAATATTGTCAGTTTTTGGTAGGTTCTCTGTGGATAATATTGTTAGACCAAACTGAAATGCTTGAAAATTTAACAAGTGGTTTATTATATGTCATACTTTTTGGTCAAAACAAAAAATTAAGGGTAATTCAGAATTGTTTTCATAAAAATTTTAGTATAAAAATTTGACGAAAATCGTGAATATTAAGGTCTTTCAAAATATGTATAATCGAACTCCTTCAGAGTCAATTTTCGATAGCAAAGATTAATCGTTGTTTACAGAATATGTACATTAAATTCTTCTCTATATTCTTCCCAACTTTTCACCAACAACAGTGGTCCACCAACGTGCGAGGTATATCTGTTTTTTTTTTTTAGGTATATAGTTCATAATTATTATATTTTTGATACTTTATTTGAACTGACTAGTACCTGTTTAATTTAAAATGTTTATAGTAAAATACTTAAAATAATATAATAATATAATTATTAAGTTGTTTATAGTTTTTATTGCTACTGCTATTATTATTATATTATATTAAACTATGTAAGAAAATATAACATGTATGTTAATATTAAATAGGTATATAAAATTCAGATATGTTATTTGTATTTATAAAATGATTGGCTAGACGGCCGATGATAATTTTTAGGCTCTACCTGCTTTTATATTCTGCGCACGCCCATGATTACAACAAGAGTGATTATTGCTCGTAGGTGTAAAAAAAACAATATTATAATTATTTTAATGTTTATAAAATAAAAATAAAAAACATGCGTTTTAAATAAATTATGTTTTGTAATTACAGTGAACAAAATAAAAACAAAAATTGTTGACTGTTTATAATAGCCCATAACACAATAATGTTTTAATAAGACGTTGTGCAACTATGTGTAATAGAATGGAAATTAAAAAAAATAGGTTTAAAGTCGTATAAAAATGTGAAGGAGTATTTACGGGTAGGGGTATGTGTTGGTATGGTAGTATGGTATTATGTATAATATGATAATGTATGCGATATGATGTGAAATACGATCTCACAGTGGTCTATTTATCGATAAGATGATTGACGGCAGTGTGCTACAATGCATAATCGGCTGGATACGACACTGAATAAAATTGTTATAGTGTGCGTGAAAATGGTTCTATGTGTGTGTATGCGGTTGTACGGATTTTATTGTTATATACGTATTATGTATGTATATTGTATATTGTACAAACTGTGGTGATATTAATACGTATTATATTTATTGAAGACTAGCCTCACCTGCCATAGGCAATTATTATTTGTCTTGTACCTATTTATTCTAATTAATATCCTATTACGAGAATATAAAAAAAAGTAATCACTTAGGTACCTCTGGTATAAATTCCGCTTGAAATTCGCTATTCAAATGTAAGGAATAAAATATAAGGATGCGTAAGTCTCAATGAATCGTTACAATATAAACACCAATCGGTTTATTTAAATTCTAAATGGACATGGGTCATCTGACACTCCGTCACTGAAACCACCGTTTAGGTACATATTCGGCTATAATTACTTGGGTAATAGATAAGTGACGAATTGCAAGCTTGCGCTTGTAATCATTCACTGACGTATCAATTTATAGTCGATATGCGAGCTATGTAAAGATATAAATAGGTCTATAAACATTAAGTACGGAGAGTAAGTACACCTCTTGAATTCGTTGTAATTATGTACACTAATAATTAAACAATTATTATCTTTACCGGAGATAGACGTAAATGTCTCCGAGTATAACACTAAATTACTAATTCAATATGATCAGTACCTTACAAACGTATAGACAACTGTTTGTCCTGATAGGTGACAACGAACCGTCTGTATATGTCGAAGCTGTAATCTAACCAGTCAGTGGCGATGTGTTGTGTATGGTTGAGTGTGTGGTGGTGAAAATAAGCAAACACGTCTATATGTGTGGTAAAGATCAAAGTGAAAGTTAACGCAACTATACCAGTAGTAGGATGTATAGGATAACCAATTACAAAAGCCCACCTATAGTATCTGTAACTATTGTATTGGTTTGGAAGAAATTAGGTTAGTCAGGAACGAGGTAAGCAAAAACTAAGTGCTTCTGCTGGGCGAACCCAGAGAAGTGAGGACTGAAGAAATGAGTGTCTGGCACTTTTATACCTTCCGTGGTCTCCTACATCAATGACTCCCACTTGACCGCCACAATAGCTTAAAGTGGGGTGCCCCTATATAGGTGATACGTATAATTAATATTGTAAATTAATATGTGGCTGAGGTGGCAACAATGTTTAAAATATGTAATTTATGATGGAACTGGTAATTATTTTACGTCACGTTTGATTGTTTAATACAAATATTAGATATTTAATATATTAAGTTATCAAGTTATGGCGTATTGGCGGATCTTCTCACTATCACACATTCATACGTGATGTAAATAATTAAGTAAAGAACTCCAATATCTAACGATGTTTATCAGACAAGCAAATGAAAACTACTTTAAAATACGACAACAGTTATCCTGAAATAGAAACTTGTTTATCCTTCTACTTGATTGATACAAATATTTTGTAAAATTTATTAAATAACAAATAATCTTAAAAAAAACGGACATACTACATTCACACGATGGGTAAACCACTGTTGTAGACGAGTATAGTTGGGAAGGTTGGATATAAAGGGTAATTTAATGTGTATCTGTAAGCAAAGATTAATCATTGATGACAAAAAATGATTCTGAGTGAAGCTTAGTTCATAGTATTGTTTTTTCAACAAATATATTATATAGTAAAAATATATATATTGAATACTATGAATTACACAATGAAAACATATTGTGTTGCATTTGTTGCATTTGTTTTTTTACCTGTTACCTACCCGACGTGGTTTTGCAAAAACAATTTTCGGAATTTGGGTTTGAATTTGCGATCTATGGGATGAAAACTGATACGTACCACTAGACTACAACAGACTTACTTAATATCCACCTAATATTAGAACTTCAAAAAGGTCTAATTTCGAGACTAAGTCAGTTCGCTTGATTCTGACTTCACCATCGTTCTTAAATTGGCAATAAACATAAATCAAAACAAATATAAAAAAATTGAAAAATTTGCATAGATCAGAAGATAACTAGATTTTTTCCACATAATTTTTACAATTTTTGTCAAAATTTAAGATAAAAATTCACTTAAAAAAAAAAAATACCACATTAACCTCATTTTTTTTTTTTTTTTATCACAAATTACGACTTTTAATAAACCTCCTGTTGAATTTTCAAGTATTTCTTTTTAGTCTACAATTTTATCTCCATAGTACCTACCGAATAAGAATTATTAACATTGTACAAAACTCACAAATTTAAAATGTCTATAAATAGCTTAAAAATTGCTAAAATATGTTGAACATTTTATATCATGTTTAGAATAGGCAATTATAAGATTTCTGTCTAAATTTCAAACCCCTACGAATATTTTAAACTGCAGAATTACAACAAAAACCAAAATTTAAAATAATAAAAACATTATTATCGTAAATGTTCCGTTTTTTTTACGTTTTATATCAGGTTTTCCCAGATGTTATGAAAACCGCTTGGAAAATCAAAATAATGACCTTTATTAAGTACTATCTAAACAAAATTTTTTTTCAGAAAAGGTGCCACACTTACAAGATATCTGATAGACATTTTTGTCAAAATATATAAAAAAAATAAACATCATTGTAAAACCAATAGGTACATTCTTCGCTACACTCAGACTCTAAAATGATAAATTATATGATTTACTTATGGAAATAGTAAGTTTTGGAAAAATGCTATATTTATTGCCTATATTAATTACATGGGCATTGGTATCTTTTGAAATAGTTAAATCAGACCTTGCATACCACTATACATATTACATACACAGAAAATAGTCTATTAAAAATCAATGCCTTTTGGAAAATAACACTACACTTGTAAATAGAACGATTTAGTTAGAGTTAGTGCAAATGTGATTAACATAAATAATAATCATTAAATGGCAGTATTATAAGTTTGCTTAAATATATTAATTTCAATAACCTAATATAGAAGACCTCGTGGCGCAACGGTAGCGCGTCTGACTCCAGATCAGAAGGTTGCGTGTTCAAATCACGTCGAGGTCATTCGTGAATTTTGCAATATTTTTTTATTTTTTATTGGTAGGAAAAAGGATTTTTTCTTAAATTTGATTATGCTCTACGCGATTAAACTACATATCACAAACAAACAAAACAAATCGAATTTTTTTTTTATCAAAACAATAGCCGAGAAATTGCAAATTGACGAAAAGGGTGAAATATAAAATTGGACGTCGCGTGTTTTACACATGATTTTAGTACAACATCTGCCGGCGACGGACAAACGAGTTAATAAATAACACGAACTCTATCTCGAAATGTATGCACTGAAACTATTCTTACTGTTTGTATAAAGTTTTTGGCCAATAAACATACTTCAATCAAAAACTACATAAAAACTTTATTGAAAAATATTGAATCTAGTTAGAGAAGTCATTTTTAAATTCCTTTGATTTTCATAATAACGGGAGAAATTCGAGAATAACCCGGTGGTCAATTTGAAAAAATACCTCAATGAAGTACCTCAACTAATTTTTTAGAAATTTTAGTTCAGTTATTTATATTAGGTAGAACACATGAGACGGTACGTCCATAATTTTTCATTTTTGTCAAAATGTATTTTCATTAAAATTTAAACTTTAAACACTTATAAAAAAAATGATTACATTATACTCAACTTTTTTTTTTACAAATAATTGAGACGTTCTTTTCCAAGGCGCATTATTTATATTTTTAATTCGACTTTAAGGGATTGGAATCGGTGATTTTCTATATTTGTCTTACATACGTGCAACGTAGGAATTTTGAGGTATTCTATTTCCAACGCACCAATTGGTATAAGAAGACATTCCGAAAACAGTTTTGAATTTGCACCAAGTCTACTTGAAATCGACTTTACCACATTTTTGATTTTAATTTCTTCAAAAATTTAAATATTCCATTTGTTTGATTACTCTTTTTTTAGTATGGTTCTTTTTGGGATTTATAGGAATGACATCAAAGTAGTGAGAAAGTCGACACGGTTAAATATGTCGGTTTGTTTTTTCTTTTGTAATTTTTTCCCTTTATTATTTGGTCTTAATTACATAATTTTGTTTATTTTCAAAAGTAGTGTATATACATTATATAAGTAGTAAGTACACTAGTTTTGAAATATAAAAATATATGCTATAATATAGTGTATAAGTAGGTATATAATATATTATACAAACATTATACAAATGAGTGTATTTCAAATAATTTAAATTTACTTATATTAAAACGTATACAAAATTGATTTGAGCCCTTTTTCTCTGGGTTTTAAGATATTTCCGTCGATTACCGTGTATACCGGCGCCGTGGCTTAGTTGGTTAAAGCGCCTGTCTAGTAAACAGGAGATCGAGGGTTCGAATCCCTCCGGTGCCTCACCCTGGTGGTAAGCCACCTACGCGCGCCCAGGGTGAATTTTTTTGCACTTTTTCTGCTCATTTTTTCATATTTTCCGTGTTTTTCCGTGTCCGTTCCAATAATCGTATCCATACCTACACATTGTATACAGATAACGGTAAATTTGGCGATGATGAGATGATAAAATCGCCGGTAAAGTTTTGATACGAATTCAATAATAATATTATCAAAAAGACGCTCAACACAAATATGAGTGGAAATATAGAATACTTGGTACAATTATTTAGAATAAAAATTGTGTAGTTCAGATTGAAATTGGGGTAAAAAAAGTAATTAAAGAATCAATTTTAGATTTTGATTGAAGCAATACAAAGATGTTTTTGTTTTTTGGACATAACTTTTCTACCAGCAACTTTGTTCCGATTTCCAATGATAACACTTTTTCTAAAAGTAAATCTGCCTAGGGAGGTACTTTAAAGAGGTAATTTTTCAATTTTCTCAAGAGTTTTCTCGTCAAATGTAAAAAACTAAAAAGAAAAAACATCGGAAAATCGGTACAACATTGAACAAATATTATTATTTTACTGTAATATGACATTTATATTGTTGACAAAGCATCACTATCAACTGAACTCAACTTAAAATCGTTTTTACGTTAGCAATGTTTTTTAATGTATACATTAAATTACTTATAACAGTGGCTGCACTCGTCCCTATTACCCTAGGACGTCTTATTTTTTTTTTTACAATTGTTTTAATTTCGAATTTAGATGATTATCGTAACACAATTGAGTCATAAGCTGTTAATGTAAGAACTGTTGTTCTAAAAATGACGTAAATTATTGGAAAAAAATATTTGAATTATTCAAATATTTTTTGAAATATTCGAATATATATTATTGTATTATGTATACAGCTGAATTTTTTTTAAACTTATTCAAATACGTATTTTGATATATACATATTATTCTATGGAATGTTACTTTGGTAAGTACCGGTCTTTTCGGTTTTAGAAATATATACCGAATATCAAATACTGATATTAATAAAAATGCATATACCGCCAACCCGAATTTATAGTTATTTTAATTGAATCTTACGAAGAATATTTAATAACGTTTATTCCACGAATTTGTTTATCTTTATTTGAAATATATTTTGTGAAAGTATAGTCTACGTGGTAACGTTTTCGACACATACCAAATACCTAAACATAATGTTTTGGTATCGAAATTGATGTTGGGATTTGTATTTTTTTTTTTTTTCGTGTTGGTAAATTAAACATTGGTTTAAAATATACAATTATTGACTTATAAATTATTATTTTCTTTAGAGATGTGATGACATTTTTAAATATTTTGTGCACATTTGGACTACATATTTTTTAGACACTAAAAATATATTTTTAAAATCAACATATCTACTATCAGAAATTCCACACACTATTTCCAAAAGATTATTATTTATGTTTGGTGGTTTCTATGGATCAATTTTTTTATTCGGCCATTTTAATTAAGCTGATAAAAAATGAATCACTGAGATAGCATTATATACTGGAATATTGTTATTTATTTGTATTTTTATCAGATAATTATTTATTACTATCGACTTCGATCGTTTTATTTTTATCGCCTACTCAGAAATTCATAAAAATACAATATTAGTTTCGTTAATAAAAACAAATATAGAGCTTTGCGCACACTCGTTCAAACGCAAGTCCAATTTTTGAACTCTAGTATACAATGTGATAGGCTTATGTGATAGGTGATTGTGCAGTGTTTTGAGTTTCCTACCTTGTGACAATCATGTCAAGAATTTTCAATTGCAAATATATTGCAATTACAGTTTTAAATTGTTGAGATATTACATTTTTAAGATTGAGTAGGGGAAGAATAATGGAGTTTTGTTAAAACGGCACATGCCTTACTGTCATATAAATTATGCTAATCATGCAAATTCAATGAAAATGAAAATGTTTGTACAGAGTATAGACAATTAAATGGAACACCTTTATATAAAACAAAACTATGATTACATTCGCATTTAAGTTGTTAATATTTACATGCACTTATTAATTGGTTATAATGGGTAAATAATAATTAAGTTAAGGGAGTGAAAACATAATTTCCCTCTCGTGAACAATTTAAATTCTTATCACATTTTATTAATCAAAGTTAATAAGAATTGTTGACAATCTAATGTAATCGTTCTAAATTATTATAGTACTTTAATTTATTCCCTAACTTATATTATATGTTTTACGTGTATTAATCATTTTTTGATTTTCCATGGGGTTTCGAAATAATTAAAAAAACCTGAAAGAAAATTGTAGATACCTAAAACGGCAAATATGTACGGCAGCGTGGCGTCCCGGTTTAATTATTTTAATTTTTGTAACTTATGTATTTTGCTACCAAAAATGTTGCACCTATCAAAAAATGATTAAAGATCGATTTTGTTATTTTTAACATATAGCCACTGACAAATAAGTTATTTTTTGATGTGTAAAATATTTTTTATAACAAATAGGAAGAACAAAAAATACGAAAAATACGATTTTTTTCAAATTACGGCGCAATGATTTTATTATTTAAAATTGTCACGGCTAATGTTTTCAACCATTAATATTGCTCCAATAAAAAAACAATATGACATCTTTTTTGTTGAATTTTTAGTATAGATAGTGAATAAAAAAGTTGCTTTTTGATGTTTCGAGTATTTTTTTAAATAATTGAGCAAACCCGAAAAGAACGGGATAGTTTACGAAAACAATGCTTTATTATTTTCAATTTTGTTTTTGCTCTAGTTCAGTTAAAAATATTCGTTGAGACTGGACATTTCTACAGAAAACTTATATTTGTATTTTCTAGACGTGGTAAAATTACATAATTGAAAGTCTCGTCAGCACATTTCATAAAAGGAATTTATATTATGTGATTATATTTAGTCAAAATTTTAAACATTATATTATTAATACATATAAGAGTATAATATGTAAATATGAAAATAAATAGAGTTATTATAACGTATTAATATTTTTGATGAAATATTTTGAGACAATTTTTAAATAATGGTGGTGCAAAATTCAAAATTATACAATAATAATTATCTTAGATAATATGAGTAAATACTGTATAGGTCAAAATATAAAGTTAAAGAAATATTATAGTTATCTAATGTCCATAAATACCTAATATTAAAAGGTATATTTATGAACAGTAATTATAAAACAGTCATAACAAACCGTTACCGAATCAAAAAAAAACCTGTTCTGTAACTCAAATATCATTAAAATATTTTATAATCTGACTAGAACCATGAATGTGGTGAATATTTTCAAGAACTGTTACTATAAAAACAAAATTTAACCAAAACTTCTCAATAAAATAATTGATAACCCGAACCCACCAACACAATCTTCATAATGGCATTCGTTGTCACGGCATTCATGCCGTGTTCATCCAGTTTAGTAAAACATTTTTTGCGTAAAACAAAGTTTTAAAGATAGAGACTTATTATAAAATATGTGACTGTCAAAAACTTTAAGGATAACCTCTTCGAAATTTTACGATATTCCAAATATTGAACTAATTATTTATAATAAAGGCACAAAAAAAAAAAAACGTTTTTAAAATAACTGCAGCAGCTTACAACAAATTAAATTGAATATAGGTATTTGTATGTATGTAGGAGGTCAAGTAAACCTAACAGTGTTACTGATTTACATGTGGATCAATCAATACAGTGAAAAATAAAAATAAATCATTTCCCGAATTTGAGAAGAAATATAATAATATGTCGTTGGGAGTATCATCGTTAAAATCCCGGATATTTATTATTTCTCTCTTTAAGAATATTCCCACGTCACATCGCATCGTCACAATACTACCTGATATACTTATTATATAAAAGTAGGTAAACGCAAGTTCGTGCAGCACCTTCGATACAAGTATCTTAAATATGTAGCTTAGATATAATTGTACTTTGTATTGCGATATAGTTTTGGAAATTGTCAGTATTTAGTATTGCAATAGTAAAATCCACGTATCTTACCCACAGGCGCCCGAAGAAGAGGCGAAATGTGTCGTTTTCTCACCGGACTTTTCAAAAATTAGATTAATAGTTTAAAGCGATTGTACGAAAATGGAGGGTGGGTATTATCGAAAATTTCGAAAAATGTTTCAAATAAATAACCGCCAAATCATTTATAAGACACCGTATACGCTTGAAACATTTAATTAACATTTTAATTTCAATGGTATTCAGTATTTAAATACATAAAATGTAAGTATTAAATATCTAATGTTGCAATAGTTTTACATAAGTTTATCCGTGCATCGAGTATCTCATAGGCATATAGACATATGGTATAAGCGTGCGCACGAGGGAGTTAGGAAAGCGAGTTGCCTCCCCTGCGAGATTTCTCGCCAAAGCATTTTTAAACAAATATGTGAAATAATATCTAACAATTTGTATTAAACCCTTACGGATTTTTTATTTTGCGCGCCGGTCCGAAGAACCGAATTGAAAAATTCAAGCAAACCCCCTAAAATCTGCAAGTTATCGTCTAGTAAACAGATATGTAGCTAGTACTGAACTATACTAAGTATGCGTATAATATTGCGTGGGATTTAGTCACCCCCTCTTCGAATGTTTCCACTGTTCGGGCCTACGGTTTTGCGTACGGTCCGGTGTCGAAGATCGCTGTCCGCCTCACCAAAAAACCTAACCTCTATTGTGTTATCTCGGCCATCCCCGTGCATATACGCCCATTATTATGACGAACGGCGCATTACATAATATAGCATGCAGGTACTTACGGTCGAATAGTTTTCAAATAAAACGCGTGTCGGATCCGCGGCGCGTTTCTACGTGATAGACGGTGTTGGTGCACGTCACATAGTGTTTCGTATTGTCGGCGGGAGTATGAACGGATTCGAACTTAACGGCAATATCGCGGGTCTTATAATAACATCGTGCGGCGAATAAAACCCGACGACGCGCGCCGAACGACTGCAAACACAAGTCCCACGGCCGCGGCACACCGGGACATTCGTGTAAAATGTTAACGCAATATTATAATACACTGTCTACTCTACGGTCCCAATATTATAATAATCGGTCTTGTATAATAAAAACGCGCGTCGAAGAATTATAATTATTTTTATTGCGACTGGTCCGCGCGTCGCGCAAATGCGGTACGTACGCTATATTACTTACCTATTGTTATTATTATTATTTTATTTTTTTATTTTTATGAATTCTATCCGTATACGCTTAATCCGATTTCGTCCTCGCGGGTGTATATACAGAGCGATTCGCCCGCGATCGATTCGTAATATAATAATAATATTGGTGCCTGCCTATTATATTGTTACAGGCATCTCGGCACGGCAGATTTTCTCCGGACGAAACTGTTGTAGAATTGCTATTTAGCGTATAGGCATTGCGGATTTTGATTTTGCGGGGCATTGAGTGGCGATACTACTGATACGACTACAGAGGTACCTGTACAATATAATATTCGAATAACGACAGAAATCGATATGGCCTTGTGAAAACCGCAATACTGCGTGTAAAATTTGGTAGTATTTGACCGTTTCTCGTATTTTGTGCTTCCATAATTACCATCGGCATACATCTACTCGAATTATTAATATTGTGTAGTTTTACTACACGGGTAGGTGCAATGTAAACGCAATTATGGCACTGGCTCAAAAAAAATACGTACCTCGCGCTAGTGGTCAATATGAAAATATCTAAAAATAGATAAAACAAATCGGTAACGCTAGATTTTTCGGAGGAACGTGCACTCCAAAAACTGCAGCCCGTTCGGGCTAATATTATATAAAACAATAATATCGCATCATACCTAGTAATTATCAATTATAATTATTGTTTTTATTGAGTAGTTTCACAAAGAACCTACCAATATTACACAATTGCCAACAACTAACGAAAATAACTCTAATGATCACCTTAAATCGAATTGATTTAAATAAAATTAAAATTCCATTTGCCAGTTAGCTGCCAATAAGTCCTTGGATTTCACTTTTACCGCATCAATTATGATAAATTACGTATTTTATTTAATACAATATAATAACACGTACCTGTACATTATTACCTATTAATATTTATTTTATTCGAATTTCTGTGAAGAATCTTGAGAAACATTATGCGGGGATCCCATTATGGTTGTTTGGTTACAGCTATTTAAAAAAAAAAAGTAATTTTATAAGATTAGATCAGGGAAAATATACATAAATTAATATTTAAGTTATAATTTTTTTTTTCTTTTATAGATACATATATAATTGTAATCAACTAATATAATAATAAAACACGAATAAAAATGTTTTCCTATAATAGACTTACGTCTCGTGTATGCAAATTCTCATGAAAATAAAAAGAGGAAAACTAATAAATAAATATATATATAAAAAAAATACTTGAATAGGTGATGCGAAACTATAACATATGCAAACCTTTTTCGAAATTTTCTTAACATTGCTAATTATAAAAAAATAAAATTGCAACTGTGGCGAAATATTATGGGTAAACTATAACTGCTGTATTGTTGTATTTAACAAAACCGGATATTGCGATTGGTCAACGTTATTAACAACAATCGAAAATAACTTTAAACCAAACGGTCAGTAAAAATAATCATAATATTGTATTTACACTGTTTACAGACAATTGCATAAATGCGTAGTGAATAATAATAATATTTTTTTGGGCCGAATGGATCGTGTTATACAAAGTTTTCTGCGGTACCGTTTTTCCAATCGAAACTAAAATTAATACCAGCTACATATTACAGTGTTATAAGTTCTATAGAGCTTACTGAATTTTTGAAATATCATTTTAATCAAACTGAATTACGTAGTTTTTTTTAAAAAAATTGTCATACAAAAAAGTGTATTGACCGTTGCAGTCAATTTTTATCAGATGAGTTAGATTGGCGTCTGTTGATCTATAATAATTTTATTGTAAATTACATTTCAGTCTATCTACAAAATATTTTGTACGGAACAACGATTGTTTCGATGTCAATAACGAAATAAAACTTTGGTTAAAACGTTAAAACTCGCTAGTAAAAAAATTTTTCGGTATAAATGTTTGCAGCATTAGGATTCAGCACTAGCCATTTGTTGTACAAATTACAATCTTTTAAATATTAAAATATTTTAATTCAAAAGTGTTAAAACTATATGATATGCATACGCTAATTACATTTGTAATTATTTAAAAGACAACTAATGTGACCTTTTTTTTAAATCTTAAAATAAGCCATTTATTTCAGAATTTATTTAAAAACTGATGCGAATTTTAAATTCAGTGACAAAAAAAATGATATGGTTAATTTTTTTTTTAATTTCCGAGTAATTTTGGAATTATTAATAAATACATTTTCTGATTCACACAGCTGCGGGTCGTCAGCGTATAACCGGTTTCTAACAGTTGCCACTATTTTGTACAGTACGGCTTATCTGTGTGTTTAAAGTCAGTGGTATTAGTGCGTAGTCAAATAGGTTCTAGGCAGAATGATGAATCCATGGGATTTGATGATGTTAAACAATGTTTTGAGTAACCCTGGACCGAATCACGTGCGCGTACGGACGCAAAGAGATCCAAGTCCAACAACATTGAAACGAAAACCGTGTGAACAAGCAATACGAATAAATTATCGAGATCCACAGTAATAAATTGACTACTCGTTAAATTGCTGTGTATAACGAATACCACTTTTTTTTAAAAATTATTATTATTATTTTTTAAAACTATCTAACAGGTGAAATATGACGAGTTTGTCGTCGATTCTTTTGGACAACAAATATTTTTCGACCTGTGATTTTACGTCCGGATGGGCAGCTGGTTGGCAATTGTTTTAATAAGTCTTTATACACGTGAAGAAAACGTATGATAATCGTAAACTACATTTTTGTTCGATAGGTATTGCTGCTACGTGTGTGGGACATCCGATGGACACGGTCAGAATAATACAACAAGTGACCAATACCAGTGCAACTAAAGCCACCCGTACCATTTACCATAAACACAAAGTACCTAATATTTAAACTAAATTACCTACTTACTTGTTTTATAATGACTTTTAAAATATTCAGGTTTCGGGAAATAGTCAGCTACTAATATTTTAAGTTCAAATTTGTTTTTCATCATAGTCAACAGTTTACAGGGTATTTTAGAGGAATGATGTTTCCTTTATTAAGTACGGGTGTAATGAGTTCAATATTTTTCGGAGTCAATGGTAACGTGATGCGATTGATCCAAGACTATCGTTCGAACAGAACGGAAAATGATGACGTCGATATAAGATTTTGCTGCGATTCTGTAAATGTGAACAATAAATATTGGCATTTCGATGTATTCTTTGCGGCGTGCGTGAGTGGATTTAGTTATACGCTAATCAACATACCGATCGAAGTCGTAAAAACAATGTTACAAGCGTCGAGTAAAAATTCTTTTGTATTTATTTTTTTAATATCGTTCGTAGTATTAAGTATATCTACTTGATAATGAACTTAAACTTTAACTGTTAATTTTTGTTATTTTTCCGCGATTTATTCGGAAAATTCAGCGAGTTCTATTAATAATAATGCCAATAAGCGATCGATGATTACAACCAAGCCGATGAAATTGATGATCAAACTTTATAAAACCAATGGAATACGGTCGCTGTATCGTGGAGGAACCCTATTGATGCTCAGGTTGGGTATCTCTACCTATACAATAAAAAGTAGTAAAATACGAATGAGTTTAAAATAAAGGTATGTTGTAACTATTTGTGATGCATAGGGATGTGCCTAGTATGGGAGTTTATATGCTCACGTATGAGCATTTGTGTTCCACGTTGAAAAAATCATTGCACACCGGAAATCTGATGGAAATTAAAATAGATCCAATGCCCAAGTATATACAAATCATATCCGGAGGTGTGGCAGGTAATTTACTAAAACCGTAAACTAAAAATGTGCTATTTACTTGTTTATGATGGGAATATATAAAATAAAAACAATAATAATAGGTACTAAATATTTTTAAATATTATATTCTTACTTGTAGGTATTTCTTTTTTTCGGCTATTAAATTCTCTATTAATTTTAACTTGTTAAACAATTTTGTTATAAATTTATATATACATATTAAATACATTGATTAAAATAGATTGAAAACACGTTTAAATGGTTATTGTTTTTGTTAATTGTTCATAGGCGTTGTCAGTTGGATTTTGGTGTTGCCGTTCGATGTGATAAAATCGAAAATCATCGCGGATAGCCTTACCGAGCCTTTATACAAAGGCGCGTACGATTGTGTTAAAAAAACCTACAAAAGCAGTGGTACCGCCGGGTTTTTCCGGGGCTTCTGGCTGGTCTGCATACGAGCATTTCCCGTTAACTGCATATCGTTTTTTGTATACGAAACCCTGTTGGAAAAATGTGTTATTAAATAATCATAAACTGTTGAAATAATCAAATCGATAATGATAAAAATCGATTGACGAAGAAAATAATATACTTATAGTGAATAAAAATATATAGATTCCCTACGACGTAGCAGCAATTAATTGGGATGCAATACTAAGTAAATGTGATGTCTATCGGGTTATCAATGTTTTTCTATGGTTTTATTTTTAATGTTATCCTTATGCTAATCCCATTCAGGCTATTCGTCGGCGGAAATTTCCTACTTGGTTTGTTCCTTAGTTAAAAAATTGATTTCCGAGAAAAAAAAAAATCACCAATAAAATATGTAATTTCTAATATTCATCAATAGATTATTACAGTTTTACCAATATTTAAAAAGATCAATGCAAATATCGTTCCAAAATGAATTGTTTACAGTAATTAATTTTATTAAATCCGTTGAAAATTCTATTACTTGTAATCCAACATTTTTCTGGAGTTATTTCAATCAACTTAAGTCTTTTCTATTCCGAATTTAATAATATTTATAATGATGATATTGTAAATCTGTTTGCTAACCATTTCTCTAGTGTTTACAAATTTAACGCACATGTAAGTAATATTAAAAATTCATTATCAAAGTCACTTTGGCATTTTGTCTTTTCCTTATCCCACTTTTCCACTTACCTTGGTTTCCTTTCTTCCTGTTATATTTTTTTGTCCGAAATCTTTGAATCTTCAATATTCTCTACTTAGTTCTACTTATCTTGGCCCTGATTTAATTTCTAAGGTTTTCTCGATTGTTGTAAATATTTTATCGCTCCTCCGCTTCACTATATTATTTTCAATCTTTCTCCGTCATCTAGCGTATTTCTTACATTAATTGTATATTCATTACATGTAAGATTACATTAGTTGCTATACTTTAAAGACCGGACCCATCTAATGCAATAAATTATCAGCCAATATAAATGCTTTCTATAATGCCAAACATGTTTGAGGAGGTAATTTAGAAACAAATTATATAACTACACTTAATATCGGTATTATAAATAAGCAACATGGCTTTAGAAATTCTAGATCGACTAATATAAATGTATTAGTTTTCATTGAAGATATATTAGATGCCTTATCATCGAGTTTTCAATTTGATGTTGTCTATACAAATATTACTAAAGCTTTTGACACAGCCAACCACAGAATTTTTAAAAAATGAATTGAATTCTTATGGCATTTTCGATTTTCTTTTATCATTTTATCTGAATTTATATTGCACCGACAGGGTTCAATTTGTTGTTAAATATAAAAACTATTGTTCTGAAAAAGTTACCTCAGGAATGTCTTAAGGGTCCTACTTAGCCGCTATTCTCTTCCTTCTGTATATTAATAATAGTTTCCTCTCTAGTTCTAAAAAAATATTAAACCGAAATTAAAAAATAATTAACTAATTAACCAAAATAATAAAATAATAATTTTTAATGGATAGTTTATAGTTATTAAATCATTATATAAGGAGATGGATTTATTAATGAGCGTATCCAGTACAATACTATAATAGATAAAAAGAACTGATACTGGGGATGGGAGCAGCCACTGTTGTAGGTGAGAAGTTGAGAAGGTAGGATACATAAGATTATTTCGTTTATATCTATAAGCAACGATAAACCATTGCTTGACGAGAGATGATTCCCCAAGCGTAGTTCATTTTTGCGATTTTCGTTTAAATTTGATTTCAAAATTACTTTATTAAAAAAAAAATTCATCCGATGATTTTGGAAATTTTACCACGTCTAGAAAAATCCAATATAATTATTATTACTAAGTTTCAAGTCTCTACGTGTATTTATAACCGAATTACAGCAAAATAACTTCTAAAAATAAAAATTCCTTAAAAGCTCAAAAGTGGCTCAAACATTTTGGCGATGATACCGTTAGAAAGTAAACCAAAAAGTCAACAAAAAAAGTATTTTGTGATTTTTCGATTAAATCATTTTTTCTGATAGAAGTGTTTTTATAAAATAATGAAATCGTGAAATTGTACGTTTTTCTACGTTTTTTCCCAGTTAAATGCTTTTATTTAAAAAATGGCGTCAAAAATCAAAAAAAAAAAACATCTTTAAACTACAACTTAAGCTTTCAGAAAAGTTGCTACACGTAAATATCGAAGCAAGTTCGATAGGAAAAAACGTGTCTAATGATTAGAAGAAGAAAAAAAAATGAATAAACATCTTAGTAAAACCAATAGCACCCTTGTTACGCTCGGAATCTAAAAGTATTATGCATCTTATATTATACATTTTTTTTTCAAAGAGCTGATGCTCGATACTGATTAACCCAAGCTAACCTAACATTCACCCACCGCCTATCCCAACCTCTTTCTAAACTTTGTTATTTTAGATTCTGATTGAAGCAAAAAAGCTTATGGTTTTACAATGATAACACTCAATTTTTTACTATGATAAAACTTATAATGAATCTCCTATTAAATTTTCAAGCATTCCTGTTAAGTCTAAAAATTGTATGTTATTGTAATAGTAATGTTTGCTGATTTACCTATAATTGTCTTTCCAATTTTTCCTCATTAGTTTGAAAACACCTTGGGAAGTCAAAAAATGATCTTTCTAATGCACTAACTAGACTGGAATATCCACGGATTCCATTGATGTTAATTATTTCAGGCTCTCAGAAATATGAATGAACGTTCGCTTATGTGTAGGTCGAAACCTAAGAAAGAAGGATGCATTAAATTATTTACTTTATACCTGTACGCGACGATTAATCATTTCCGGCGAATTACGATTTTGAGATTCGAAGTTCGGTTAAATATGTGTTGAAATGGTTTACTATGTTCGTCTGTTTTTCCTATATGACCTTGAAATTCTCCAACTAGATCCATATCGTTGTAAAAAGATTCTTTCGTCGTGTTTTGAATGAAGCTAGATTTCTATGAAATAAGTTGTTCACACACAGAAAAAAAAATAAAAATATAATCAACACCGTGTTCAGAATCTAAAATAGATAACTTTTTATTAGGTATTATCACAATTATTGTATTAGTATTGGTACTAAAACTACTAATACATAATAAATTAAACAAGTTATATTCAGGTAATAAATAAAATTGTATATGTAAAAAAAAAAAAATGTACACATTTTCTAATTCAATTATTTCGAGTAGACGATATTTGTTCTGGACGTGTCATCCGAACATTTTAGTGTAATCGTAACGTTTCAGTGCCGCTTTTAAATCTTTGGTGTTGCACTTGCGGCCAGTGGTTATCTGACAGCCGCGGAGTTGGTCTACGGCCCAAGAGGCGTGACAATCGTTGGGGAAATATTTGCAGAACATTGTGGCGTACACCTCGTACACGATCCACTTGCACTGCATTGGAGTGAGGGCCGAATGTCGGTATAGGCCACGTGTCTTGGCATACATGAGCTGGGCGACAGCGTGCACGGTCCGGATTAACAAGTCCGGGTTAAGGTGGAAAAAGTATTGTTTGACGGCAGCCACGAAGCCGAACGCCTTTTGCGCGACGATGGAAGCCAAGTTGCGGGCCACCGTAAAATTCGAATTGAACACTTTGCTGACCAGTGCCTCGGGCACGTGATGATGACCGGGTGCGGTCATTTTGGCGTAAAGGGCGAGACCGGAGCGTCCTCGGTCCAGGTCGATGTCGATAAAGTGCAACGGCCGCCGGTTCTGGAACGAGCTCTTGTCCTTAGTCACCTCGCCCGTATTCATGTTCAGCTGGAATCCCAAAAACTTGACCGTCCCTTCACTGGTTCCGTTCAGGTTGGTTTCGGTTTTGGACCGATTCACCTGGAGTCCATACTCGTCGAATCCGGCGCACACGGCGATCAAAAACTGCTTGGCCGCCGATGGGTCTGGCGACACGAACACGTAGTCGTCGACGAAACGGTACAACCGGCCGCGGTCGACCGTGTCTTTCAAAAGGGTCGCCTGCAAGTCGGCTAGCAACAGGTCGCATAATACCACGGACAGCCGGTCACCCTGAACTATGCCCCGTGTCATTAACCACCGGCGGCCGCCCATCTTCACCACGTTACGCTGCACGCACTTGCGTATCATGTCCCACATGCCGGACATGGACACCGTTGTCGTCTGACCGTAAAACACTAGCGAATTTCCGGGGAAGACAGGCACGGGCAGTCCGTCGAAATACTTTCGCTTTTTGCAGTACACGGTTTTGTCGCCCCCGATTTTCACCACGTCCACCGAATGCATACTGAGCTTCTGGGACTTGTAGTCGTAAAACTCTTTGATCCGGTTCCGGACGACGGATTGTAGTTTGTCCTGTAGGATACTGGTGAACGCGTCCCGGAAATCGGTACGCACGTAGTACAGCGGCGACATTGTCGAATCGTCCTGACGACGCGACTCTTGTAACGACTGCCAACCGCGGAAAAACTGCGGTTTCGAGAGGGACCGGTACTCGGTCGGATAAGTACTGGCCAGACACCGTAAAAACACCAGACAAGTGTCGGTCGACTGTTTCTCGACGCCCTCCTTCCGCCGCAATTTGAATATCTGGAAATTGTTTAAAAATTTTAATAACAAGTACTTTTGTTTATCTTAGGTGCCTAATAATTATTAACAGTAAATACATTACAAGTCGCACTCCTTTCGATTTTGCGCGCGGACACACTTTCCAATTTCTGTACAACGTCGACGTGGTCGCAACAACGGCTTCGTCTTCGGGCTCGTCCGGGAGTTGTTTGAAAAACTCACAGTTATTGATCAACGGCGAAATTTTCCGGTGGCACGCCGTCGACCATTTCGATTTGGCGTAGTACGCGATCCCGTTATTCGGCGTGTTGGTCGTCGCGATCCAAAAGAAATGAACGATCCTGCCGAACACGAACGCGTTGGTCAACCAAACCAGGAATTTGGCCATCAACTCCGCCCGTCGGTCCGCATTCGGCTCTGCCGCGTTCAGCCAATTGACTTTTTTCACCTTGATCCTGTGCACAATGTGCTCCACGGTGAAAATGTGCGACTTTCCGCCGTTCAATATTTTACACAGGTTTTTGCAGTACTGATCACGATTACCGTTGATACCGAACAATTCCCGAGGCACGATTTTCCGCACCACGGCGTTGGCAAACTTCTTTATCCTGCCCAGGGGTATCTCGTCCGGGAAGGAGTTGCCGATCGCGTTCTTATAAACGTCTTTGTAAGATTCCGCCGAATCTCTGCCGGCCATTACTTTCAATTTGCGTTTTAAACCGTCGAAACGTTTTCCATCGCCGTCTGCGGATGTATTGTTTATTGTTGCACTTCCGCTATCGGTTACCGTTAGCAGTATTTCCCGCAACGCCGTGGTCGCGTCCGTCTGGAAAATCGGTTTGTTTACCAACAAACCGGCAATATTGAAACGTATCGGTCCGCTCCCCGGACGGTCGTTGATTTCCCATTTTTGAGTGAAGAGTTTCCATCGGTTTCTGGCCAGTTCCCAAAACGACTGCACTACTCTGTAACGGTCGAACTGTTGGGGCGGGGTGTGCACACAGTAATACACCGCGTTACCGTGGAGCGGCACGAACAGTAAACAATTGAACAGTAAAAACTTCATGAAATGCGGGCCGACGGACTCGTAGATGCACGCCCACCCGTCCATCCGTAATAAATCGCACACGTTCATGCCGCATTGGTAATCGACGCGTTTCTCGGTAAAATTACATTGGATTTTACTCTGACAGTACGAAACGAATTCGTCAAAACTGGCCGGATCTGCGGCGGGTCGGGTACCGAATTTGTAGTCCTGGTAGAAAGTTTTTGCATTGTAACAAACGGTGACCGACTGAAAGTCCTCGAGAGCGTCGATTTTTATCACGGTTTTCGGTTCGAACACGAGCAAAAGGAACTCCGGTAAATTGACGGTAACGAATTTGTTCAAGTCCGTACACATTATAACCGACGGGCAGACATGTGTTTTGCACTCGCGAGGCCGTTTTCGTAAAACCTACCTAATGAAATTTCGTCGATCATGGACGTTTTGCTAACGAAACATTTTGAAATCGTCTCATCGAGTTATTTGATATTCGTATGGCCGTTATTAATGCTGATAAACGATAAGCGTACACAACTGTAACGACTATATAGGTACCAGGTTGGAAAGTAAGTAACTTTAAACGTTACCAAAGGATAATTTAGTAACGTGCATTAAGAGCTGATAACATTCGGTGAACGACCATCAGTATTGTAATATGTCCACGACTAGTAACTACGGTTATCTAACCATGACGTCAGGACGTCCACGTGTGTTTTATTTCTTTATCATTCATTTTATTATCATAATTAACACTGTGTCGGTGGTCCACCTTCTTAACTCCGTCAAAATATCTAGTTCCCGTTAGTCGGTAGGTTAAAATTTTTGCTCGCCAGTTAGGATTAAGTTAGATGTCTAGTTAGTTAATAGAATTCGCATTTACACATTCCGGTGTTTTACCTGGTCATTAAAAATGTTTATGTTAAGGAAATTGATTAAAAACCGACCAACCAATCGTTTGTGCTTAGTAAGCTATATTTGTTTTTAAATTTGAATTTTTACTTGAACCGATAGCTGTACTCATTTAATTATTTTAGACCAACCAACGGGACCTGAATGTTGCCATTATTGGACAAAGTACTTTTGCTGCCGAAGTTTACAAATTATTATTGAAAAACGGTCACCGTGTAGTTGGCGTGTTCACCGTATTAGACAAAAACAATCGACAAGATCCATTAGGTAACAATAATTTCTCTTGTAATATTTAATTTCAAAAATATAATAAAGCGTTCATTTCGCCTATTCATTTGATTTCCAGTAATTACATATTTAAGCATTCAAATTTGTTTTTAATGGGTAATTATATTTGTATTTTTGTATGTAATTAAGTATTTACGTTACCTCAATCTCATCTGAAATCCTAGCTGTTGGAAAAGTTAAATTCATATAACTCTTTTTAAAATTGAATTAATCGCAGTGAAACTAGTAAATGTATAATTTATTTTTTATATACTTATCCATCTACAAATCATATTAACTTTGATACATTGTAATTATTACTCAAAGTTGAACTTTGGATCCATAATCTGTGTACCTATAAAGCCAAAATACACATTTTAATTTAATAAAGTTACAATTTATGTAAATATAATTTTAAAAGTATAGTAATACATTTTGATCATTATGTCATTTTATTTTCTTATATTTTCTTATCTTCTTATTATTTATTTTATTTCAATTATTTTCGATCATTTTGAAAACATAATGATCATTAATTTAATATAATTTTATGAAGAAATATTAGTGTTTTAAATCTAACAAAACGAATCTTGAAAAAAAAAAAAAAACAATAATAATATATGTCTTATCTACACATTAACAGATAATATTTAAAATAAAATTACATTTAATTTTATTATTGAATGCTAATTTGAACTTATTATCTGAGCATGTTAATTGATCTAGTATTTATATACTAAAATTAAAACGTGACGTAAAGATCAGATTTGTGTGAACTTGTTTCTTTTGCCTCGATGTAGGGATAGCGGTGTAAACATTTTTAAATTTTTCATTTGATAAAATGATAATAAATTATCCTAATAATATATTAGGATATAAAAAAGTATTATTTCCTGGTTATTTAAATGAATGTCTTTTGAAAATTATTATGATCATAATTTTTTTCAATATTTTAACCAAATTTAATAAACAATAACAAATTTGTAACAGTATTAAAAAATAATGAATAAAAAACGTAATAATATGAAATAATTTAAATTTTTTTTTTTTTTTAGCGGCTGTTGCATCAGAAAATGACACTCCCGTGTTTAAGATCAAATCATGGCGTAAAGGTGAAAATGCATTACCTGAAATTGTAGCACAGTACAAAAAAGTCGATGCTGAACTCAACGTTCTACCATTTTGTTCACAGTTTATTCCCATGGAGGTTATCGAACATCCAAAACACAAAAGCATATGTTATCATCCTTCGATTTTACCAAAACACAGAGGAGTTAGCGCTATAAACTGGTAAGTAATGAAAGTTATAATATTTATTTATAATTTATATTATATTATTATTGTAGGACATTAATGAACGGAGATAAAGAAGCGGGATTTTCTATTTTTTGGGCCGACGATGGACTTGACACTGGGCCAATACTGTTGCAAAAGTCATGCCCAGTCTTACAAGATGACACTGTTGATTCTTTATACAATCGGTTTTTATATCCAGAAGGCATAAAATCTATGGTAATTATTAATTTCTAGTGTTGTTACAAACTCTAATTTTTAAGGTAGAACCAAACTGAACTTTTAAATACTTGCATATTCTTTATAGTTTATATTCATTATAATTAATCTCACTTAGTGTACTATCATTCTCTAAAATTATAATAGTTATTATTAAATTAGGCTGAAGCTGTTAATATGGTTGCCAATGGAACAGCTCCTGTTATACCTCAGTCTACAGAAGGATCTTCATTTGAACCATCTGTACGGAAAAAGACTTTACAAAAAGTATGTAGAAATCTTTTAGTATTGAAACTTGAATGACCATCATAATATTTGATAATTCATTTTAGATAGATTGGTCTAAAACAGGTGAAGACATTCAAAACTTTATCAGAGGGTTGGACAGTTCGCCGGGCGCTTGGACTACTATTGATGGAATTGAAGTTAAACTATACCAATCGTCTATTTGGACTAATAAAACACCTACAGGTGAACAAATAAACATTGATTCTCTACAGATTCCAGCTATTGTTCACGATAATGGTCTATTGATTACTTGCAATGATGGGTTAAAAGTAAATACAATACTATTAATTGTAACTAGTATATAGATTTTTGATTTTTTTTTTTTTTTTTTTTAAGTTTGTTTTTCAAATTAGTCCTAAATTATACAAAAAATATGTATCTCAAGCTCCTCAAGCTAAATTTCCTATTACATAGAAAACAAAATATGACAATTATTAAAATATAAAATCCTATTTAAACCAGATATATTTTTGATGCATTAATGCTCTTGCTCTAATCACTAAAATAAAAAAAAAAAAAAATGATGTAATAATTCCACTATAAACTTGGCAATTGAATATTTTTAATTTTTAAATTGGTTGCATTAGCTGAACATCCAAAGATTATCTGTGGACGGTAAAATGATAGCTGCATCAAATTACGGTAAAGCAGATACCGTTCAAGAAATTATTGAGTACACGGATGAAGAGAAAGCATTAATTCTAGTTGTAGAAACTATTTGGAAAAACATTCTCAACATGGACATTGAAAAAGAATCACACTTTTTCCAATCTGGAGCTGGTTCTATGGATGTGGTCAGGTACTAACATAAAAATAGGTATTGCTATTATTTCTTTCTTGTTCTTAATAAGCGCTGAATTTCTATGATAATGGCATAGGTTAATTGAAGAAATTAAAGATAAACTGAAATTGATTTTAAAGAACGACGATGTATACATGTCTCCTGTTTTTTCCAACTTCTGTAATACTTTGGTGAAAAAATCAAGAGGGATAACTGAAGACAACACTCATGTAGAATATGACCCAGTTATAGTTGAAGTCAATAATATGAAATTGCAATTTGCAAAACAATTATTCATAAATGGTAATTTTGTGAACTCAGAGTCTGGAAATACCATGGAATGCATCAACCCTGCCAATGAATCTGTTATTTGTTCAGTAAGATTTTGTTGTATAAGTAGTAGTTACTAAATTAGTATTAAAATATTTTATAGTAAAATCAAATTCAAAACGAATGAATTAATTCATTTTATTGTTAAACTATTGTTTAACTTTAGATTCAGTGTGCATCGGAAGCTGATGTAGATCATGCAGTTAAAGCAGCAAGTAGGGCTTTTGAAGGAGAATGGTCTGAAATGAGTCCTAGAGATCGTGGAGCTATTATGTATAAAATTGCTGATTTATTAGATGAAAACAGGGAAGAATTGGCAACATTAGAGTCTATTGATTCCGGTGCAGTGTACACGTTGGCACTAAAAACCCATATTGGTATGTCAATTGATGTTTGGAGATATTTTGCTGGCTGGGCAGATAAGATTCATGGACAAACAGTGCCGATATCGCATGCCAGGCCCAATAGAAATTTAACGTTTACGAAAAAAGAACCAATCGGGTATGGTAATTAAAAACAATAAATTTAAAAGATAATTCATTTTTTTTTAAAACCGTTTTGTTTAATAATAGTGTTTGTGGTATTATCACTCCATGGAACTATCCATTAATGATGTTGTCCTGGAAGATGGCAGCTTGTTTGGCTGCAGGCAATACAGTAGTAATGAAACCAACAGAATTATCACCTCTTACTGCTCTAAAATTTGCTGAACTATCTGTTAAGGCTGGTTTTCCAGCTGGAGTCATAAACATTTTACCTGGACTTGGTAATTTAACTAAATTTATGTGATCTTTAAGGTTTAGGTTTTTTACTATTTACAATTAACATAATTCAATCTTATGTATATTGTATCTTCAGTAATTTGTTGTGTAGATTATGTTTTACATAATTATATAAATTGTATAATAACTAGGACAGACAGAAAAAAAAAATCAACATTAAATTCTAAACAAATTTCTAAAATATACTTTAAAAATCCTAAAACACAAAGATATGCAAAATACAATCTTGTATATAGGCTCGATGAAACACATTTTGATATTCTTTAACTATTTTTTTAACCCATCAATATAAATATGTAAGTGCATACAAATATAAGTCTTAATAATAAACAATATCATATTAGGTATCGAGACTGGAAGAGCAATAGCTGAACATCCTGATATAAGGAAAGTGGGATTCACTGGAAGTACTGCAACAGGCCATACAATCATGAAAGCATCGTCAGAGTCGAATCTCAAAAAAGTGTCGTTAGAACTTGGTGGAAAATCCCCTTTGGTTATATTTGATGACTGTGATTTGGAAAAGTCTGTTAGAATGGTATGAGTAATCACAAATATGTATTACATGGCAAATAGTTTACATTGATTTATTGTTATGTAGAGCATGGGAGGGGTGTTTTTCAACAAAGGAGAAAATTGTATTGCCGCAGGTAGAGTGTTTGTTGAATCTAGCATACACGACCAGTTTGTTGAAAGAGTTGTTGAAGAAGTTAAAAAAATTGTGAGTAATTCTCATTAGAACTCTTATATCTTACTAAAATTATACACACTGATTTTTATTGAACTGAGGATTGATAAAACTGCTGTATTTTGTTTGATTTTAGAAAATTGGGAATCCATTAGATCGAGACACTCATCATGGACCACAAAATCACAAAGCTCATTTGAACAAATTAATTAACTACTGTAAGAAAGCCAAAGATGAAGGAGCCGTGTTGAAAATTGGAGGAAAACGACTTGATCAGCCTGGTTACTATTTTGAACCTACAGTTTTCACTGATGTTGAAGATCACATGTTTATTGCTCAAGAAGAAGCATTTGGGCCAATCATGGCTATATCTAAATTTAGTAGCAGGTGAAAAATATTATTTGTATACACTAAATAATCAAAATATAATAAAATAATTTATTAATGTAATACATTCTATAAATAAAACTCGAAATATTTATAGTATACATGTCTATTAGTAACCTAGATGCTGTTATTAAACGAGCCAATTCAACAGAATATGGTCTGTCTTCAGGCATATTCACAAAAGATATTGGCAAGGCATTGAGATTTGCTGAGAAAATTGATGCTGGCACTGTGTTTATAAACACTTACAATAAAACTGATGTGGCTGCACCTTTTGGTGGTTTCAAGAGGTCTGGATTCGGCAAAGATTTAGGTATAATATCCTTTATTTATATTAGTTTAATTAAATTATTATCAAATTATCCAATATACAATTAGGTGAAGAAGCTTTAAACGAGTACTTAAAAATCAAATGCATAACGGTGGAATATTAAAGAATGACACTAGGTAAGAATAAATTTGATTACATTTTTTTTTTTAGAACTGCAAATCTGGTAAATTTATATACATTTTACAAAATATTTTTTGACTGATAATATAACTGCTTTTAATTTTTAAGCTATTGTAGATTTTAGATTCTTTGTGAAACAAGGAATGTATTGGTTTTACAATGTTTATTTTTTTATCTTTAACTTTTCTACCAGTAATTTTGCTCAGATTTATAATGATAACATTTTTTCTGAAAGGAAATGTGACTGGGCTATTATTTAAGGGAAGTCATTTTTTTTAATTTCCCAATAAATAAGAAAAACGGAAAAATAGATATAATATTAAAACAAATATTATTAAAGAAAAAGTTCAATACATATGTAATTATTTTACCATAATATGACATATATTGTTGATAACCGAACAATACTCAGAATCATTTTTTCATTAGCAATGGTTAATCATTGCTTACAGATATACATTAAATTCTCATCTATATTCTACCTTCTCAACTTCCTACTTACAATAGTGGCTGCACCCGTCCTCATTATCCTAGAACAGCTTTTTTATTCTTTTACACTAAGTGTTTACTTTTTCCAACTTTTTCTCAAAATTTAAGAAACAAGCTGTTCTAAAATATAATATTTACATTATTTTTTATCACATTGATTTTCAAATTGCAAACTATATTATGAATTCTGTTAATCGAGTATTAGTTAAAATAAATTTTGGTGTTGAAATCTTTTATTTCTGTCTAATCGTAGACGAGATATTCCATTTTTAAGTTTGTGTTGGGCCCTGGCGAGAGTAGTGGTGTATTATTTAATGCAATATACCATGGCACAAAACAAATGATGCTCTACTTACCCCCGACTCAAACTTAAAAGTGGAATATCTCGTCAACAGATTGACAAAAATAGGTGATAATTATTCTAGCTTAACAAAAACAGAATAACAATTTTTTTCCTGGTTATAGTATTGGTACCCACTTAAATGGATCATTCTGCATATATCTTTTGAAAAATGATTATATTAAATTAATATACCAGTTTTTATTTTGCTTGTAATATCCAGATTTTAACTAAGTTTACATTTTTCGATATTCAAAACTAGTTTCTTGAATTCATTCCATATTGTTGTGGAATTTATGCATACTGTTCCACCTCCTCGATGGAACTGTGTTTTCTACAAATTATGCATTTATTAATCAGTTAATAATAAAAAATGGTACATTTTTAATTTTAATAGTATATTAACTTTTTGTTGATTAACTTACAGCTCGATTGATATCACCAATGCAAGTCCAAGGTACAGAAAATTTTCCTGTTATCACCCATTTTGAATGATCTTTAGACGTTTTATACCAACAAGTTTCCAACCCTTTAATTTTTTTCATGGATAATGATTTAATGTTCATGGCTCTACATAATTAGATGAATAACAACATTTTATTGTGTGTCAAACATAATTTTATCCTAACTCACTTGTATTGACTAGAACACGACGAGTTTAAACTACCCTTCGAATTCAACCAACTCTGCACATAAACATTTGACTGTGTCATGGGCGTTATCAAATCTTCGTACAAATCTACAAAAGTATGTTTTTATATTCTATATATTACAGTAATAAATTGATATAATAGTAGGGAATCAATTGTAAATCACAATGTAACTTTCATAAAGCCTTATTGATATATACTGTTAAATTATTGACCTTTTGAATACCAATGTAATGTAATTAAGTGCTACTTATATATTATCATAGTAATTGTACAATAAGGGTTCTCACCAATGTAAAAAAAGGTGTTTATCTGATTCTTAAACTGAGTTTATGGCTTATAACTGACCACGATTGGTTGATTATCTTATAAACTCAGTTTAAAAATCAATGTTTACATTGGTGAGATTGGACGTAAATCATCAAACTATTAGCAAGCTTAATATTTGTACATAACTGTTAGTTTCTTATACATTCCTCAACTATTTCATAATTGTATCTGTTCCATTTCATTTTTTTAAACTTTTGTAATTGTTATTATTAATATTTTTTGTTTTCCGAAGTATAATAAAAAGATGTAATATTATAATATTATAATTTACCTTTTCCAAAATGTCTATTTTTCGAAACTGACAAGAATTTGATTCCATTAATTGACTGTAAGCTTTGCAACCTCACTCCATTGTTTACTTTACTGGAATGGACCCATGGTAAAGTAGTGTTGTATAGCCCTGGGTAAATATTTTTTAGGTTATTGCCAAAGTGGCTGCCGTACACATACGCTTCATTGTTAATTATCTGATTACCTGTGTGTAATGAGTAATATTAGTTGTTTGAAAAAAAAAAATCAATAATAGCATAACTACTGTTAGTTTAACTCAAGCCTGTCTTAACTACCTAACAATTGTAAGGTACTTGCCTACGTTATCCAATTCATTATTTGTCATTGACATACACAAAAAGCTCTGGCCATACATCAAACCGGTATGGGGATATGTATATGTGTTATTATTCTCATACGGAAGCTGTGGAAATTTTGGCACGCTGTGCACCAACCAAAATCCCATACTATGATCAGCCATCACTATACCTTTGGTATGTCCCATTGTAAATGATACAGGTTCATTTGTTGGCTCATCATTGTATACAACCCACATTATTGACTGTAAGAATAATATTAGTATTATTTAGATATAATTTATATTAGAAGGGCTCGGATTTTATAGCACTGAATATAACTGAAATATGCACTATAATATGGCTTAACGCATCTTGAAATAAGTTATAATATGCCATAAAAAGAAAATGTATTTATTCTTTTTAAAGTTTTTTAAATATATAAATACAACCCATATGGAGTCGAAAATGTAGACTGATTGGTCTACTGAAAAATAGATTATAATATGAAACAAAAATTTAAGCATTTTTCTTAGATTCACATAAATGACAGATTTGTTTTCTATTATTTATGAAAAATATAAAAAAATCATATTATGTATATTAGCAAAAAATACCACCAAAAATTGAAAAAATGGCACTAAAAATCAAAAATACTTCAAATATGCAAAAAATAGCAATATAAAATTTCTTATTTGTGGAGTCTCTGGTGCATAAAACAAATGTAAATTTCACTGGTATTTTTATCTGTATCCAATAATAATTAGCAAATGCTATAAAATCCAAACCCTAGATATTAGGTAAGTATAATAAAATGAGCTTGAAATGTTGATGGCATTGAATATACATAGATAAAAAAAAATGGCTAAAGTGAATAATAAATAATAAAAAATTGAAAATTAAATAAATACAGGCAAAAAATATACTTGTATGTAATTATTTAATTTGTTAAATATTTATGTTTTACTATTAGATTCTTTATCTAAACAGCTACCCGAGTATACAGACAAAAATATTTTTACATTATTGTAGTTTTCTGTTTTGGCATACATCTGAGACACAGTGTGCCCAATAGCGGAATCCTCGGTATTGATGTCAGTCAGCCGAGTCCATTCTGAACTCTTAGCGTCCAGGTATACATAAACCGTGCCGATGGACACATTTGAATGGAGATTTGGTAACTTGATGGCAGTAAACCTTTTCGATGAACCAAAGCAATAGAAATACAATTAAAATTAATTAAGTAGATATATATTTTCAATTTGTTATATTATTACCAGTCGACAGGTTGTCCGTGCGGATCTTTACATTGTATTCCATCGCGAGACACAGCCGCAGCAGCTATCGCCGCGGTAACTACAAACATCGGAACAAGCGCTCGGTCCATTCCGAACAAAATCATTATTCGTGAGACTGATGCCGAAATCGATAGTTATTAAGCCTATTTAGTGTACACGAACAAATGTATTCGTCAACGGACGTATTGGTACTAATTTGTATACCTGTCTATAATAATATTAGTTAAGCATGTACAAATAGGTATTTAGTACATTCTTAGGTAGGTATGATAAAATTAGACATTGAAATCTCGAACAAAGGTTAACGAGTCTTTTGTTCTACGCGTTAGTGTAAACATACAAGTATAAATTGTGTAATTATAAATAAAATACAGCCGACTACTGAATTGTAAAGTTAGATAAGTACTAATGATTATCTACCTACGTATTATTGATATGAGGGGGCATGTGGTCCACATGAAGTAACGCTGATGGTTATTTAGAGGGTTGCGGAGGGCGGAAATATGAATGAGAATTACATTGGTAACAGTTTTCGTTGCCTGTTGGTCCCCCCCCCCACCTACGGTAACCAAACGGTAACAAGTAAAAATAATCTCGGTTTTAAATAAAATACGCAAATACCGGAATCCTTGTCGTTAATAATGATTCGTTATTTTTGTTATCTTATATTTATAGATTCGTCGTAATTTATTATTAACATAAAATACCTAACCTGCATATCTAATTACTTTAAACGTTTAAACTGTCGATTCTTGATATTTATTTAGTTTCGTGTGGATAATAGGTAAACGATTTTTTAATTTATCAATAATGATCGAAAATTGAACATAAAATTCATCATAAGTACGCAGGGGTAAAGAAACAAAATTAAACAACGTAGTACCTAGTTTTTAGGTCCGCTAAACATAATTTTACAACGCCCCAAGGTGTGATTCCTATGGACGCGCCGCGGCGCGGCCAGATTCAAATTTCCGTCACGTCGCGCTAGTTTACTTGTTGGCAGACAGAACCGATTCCAATGACGGTCGCTGCGACGCGCCACCGTCGCGCGACCGTGGATCAGCGACTGCTCCGAAAGATGTCGAACCGCGGACGCGCGCGGTGGTGTTTCTAGTGCACACGTATCTTGGCATGTTGCGTATACATTTTTTTTCATATTTTTTAAAAAACGCCACCGTCGTCACGAGTTGACAAGTTTTCTCCAGAAGAAGACGTAAAACCGGCAGAACTAACATGTCAACGTCCGTGCATTTTCAATGCCTAACACGCATTTTATAAAAATCAAGGAGTGAGGGATAATGTTAGGCAAAAAATATTTGAAGATACGAACAAAAGTTCGTATCCTTGCCTCCGTAAGCCTTGTTGGGCTTGTTAAACACCATCCTGTTAAAATCGTTTGTTCTTCATCTACTTCTTGTAAGAGAAGTAAATTTAAAATTGACTTTTGTGTTTTGTTCAAAGACATTATGAAAAAGAAACACGGATAACTACTGGAAGAAAATACGTCTTGTTGCTTACAGAGAAGAATCGCCTTAAATGGTCCGGCGCGGCGTGGCGGCAGTCGCGTGGGAATCCGTACCCATGATTTATATTATCATGGGTGGCGCTAGGGGGCTTGGGGTATTAAGGCCCCCTCCCGAACGTATACCGTAGTTATTTACTTACAATTCGTTATTCACGAATGTATTACTTAATCAAAACACCAAAAGGAAAAAGCCAGCAAAGAATAAAAGAATATTATCCAGAGTTTCTGCTTGTATTTTTAAATTTTACAACTACTGTTGTAGGCATATACCAACATAAACATACACAAATCAGATAGAACTTTAGTCATCAGTGTTAGCAAGTGAGTTGGTGAAGCGAATTAGTTGAGGCAGCGAATTGTAAATGATATCAAAGGCCGCTCGGACGACGCGAAAGAAGGAGTTCGAGAGTCTTTGGTCAGAGTACGCTGACTAAAGAGACTTGCGGAATATTGTGTTTGTTTTTAAATAAAAAAATATCTACTTCGTAGCGTGTTAATGAGTGGGTGGTCACAATACTTTTCTTTTATTCCGAGTCCGATCTAAAAACTGGTTAATTCATGGTCTTTGAAGATAAGATCTAAACAATTAAGTAGTCCTGTGGAGTATCAAACTGAAACCTCTTGTTAGTTCATGGTCTTTTGATTACTCTTGATTCAACAGCGCGATTACCCTTAGTAAAGGGGTTTATGATAGTACAAGAAGTTAAAAGTATAGTTTGAAAAAACATTTACATAAACTTGTTATTTTTACTATAGTCTACAGACATTTTAAATACAATTTGAAATGCTAACAATTTATAATATTATTTGATAAAATAGTTATTTCTTTTGCATCAGGTTTTTTTTTATTTTACTGTTTATTATTGTATTTGTTTATATTCGTGTTAAAATTTAATTAATTGAACACAGTGGACGCCGGCTGATTTTATTCTTATTTATACGGTGTCCAACGAATATATACACATTGCAATATCTCTTGAGATAATAAAAATAATCACATTGTTTTTTTTTTTTTTTTTATTATATTTTACTCTTAGGGATAAGGACTACAAATATGTATGTGAATTTCATTTATATGTTTTGGTAAAATAAATAACTTAATTTTATTATTTTCTACAAATTTAAAGTAAGCCATTTTATAGTTTATTCTTCTGAAAATATTGACGTTTCAAATTTGTATTTTCATTTAAATTCTTGATTTTCAATAATTTTTTGAGAGTTCAGAGATAAGTACCTATAATATTATGAAGCAACCTGCAATAACATTCGCTAATTGATTATTATAATTATGGTCAATTAACTGTACACTTTTTTCTTTGAACTTTATAAAATTATTAATAATCATGAATTTAATGAAAAAAAAAAGTTAATATGTCAACATTTTCAGAAGAATAAACTATAAAACTGTCTTCGAGTGTTTTAAAAATAATAAAATGAAAATTTATATTTTCAATTTTTTTTACCAAAACATAAAAAATTAATTTAATTAAATAATATCTGGAGTTTGAGTCTCCCCTCAGACTAAATTTATCAAGCTCTGCCTATGAATACCATAATAATTTTACTATTTTTAATATTTTATGCATGAGTATTATATATAACGTAATAGAATTCATACTAATATTAAAAAATAGATACTAATGTAAAAGTAGTAAATACTTAAATAATTTTAATAATGTCCTGTTAACTATTTGCAAATTAAGATTTTAATTTATTTAGGTTTCTACATGTAAGCATAATATACTAGGTTTCCAAATTCTTTTAAAATTGTATACGGAATTATAGTTTATTGTTAAAATACATTTAGAAACTACAAATTTTGCATAATCACAGAGAGGGCTTTACTAACTTTTTTTTTATAAGAATTTAAAGTTCAAATTTTGACAAAAATCATAAAATGACGACATTTAAAAACATGTTTAACCAATCTTCCCTCAAAATCGTGTTTATTTTTGGTAACAAAGATAATATCGTTGTATACATATATAAATTAAATTACTTTATATATTATACCTTACCAACTTTTCATCTTCAAAATTCACTCATCAATAATATCAGCTAACTTATTATTTAATTTTAACAAAAATGATTGTTTCATTATTTAAGACTACAGTAGATTTTTTTAAAAATAATATTAATTAAAATCATAACCACCAATAACATGGACAAAAGTAAACATTTTACTTTTTCAAATAACTAATGGCTGTACTATGATTATTATTGAGTTTCAATAAATTTATTACAAGCAATTTCAATATTCATAAATTTATCGTACATATTTACATTACAAGGAAAACATTATGTTATAAAATAAAAAACCTTAAATTATAAGTAGGTATTAATCAGTATGTAGGTACTTATCATAAATTTTAATTCAAATATTTAAAAAAATTAACTGACCAAATTACATAATATAATATATAATTTATACATTTAACAAAATATAATATCAAATTACAATTTAAATTTTGTAAAATAATTTTTACTTTTTGGCCAAATCAAATAAATTAAAATTAAAAAATAATAATAATGTAAACCAACCGCTAGGTACGTTTTATAATTGCATTGAACTAGATTTGCCTCTACAGTTGTGGATTGATGATTGTTTTGGAGAAGATACACACCATTCATACCATACTTTAGAATCATCACAGCATCTCCAAAAATGGACAGATATAATGTTACCTGATTTAACAAGCATTGTATCCTTAATTGGAAAATAGACAGGAAACCAACTGAACATACCAAAACTGTAAGTTGATGGTTCTATACTTATTATAATATCTTTATATAATATCGCATCAAAATAGCCACTAAAACCGTGCAATTGCATATTAGAAGAAATTTGAAATTTAAGGCATTTATAGCGCGAATTGCTATCCAAGACTTTTTTGGGGTGTTTAAATGAAAACAACTTTTGAGTATTGGTTGGTTTATAACTGTTTTGCTGTGATACAATGTAGGATTGTTCAAACCTAGCAACTTTTGAAGATGAAGCACAAGACTCATCAGTAATATTATTATTTATAGTTTGACTAAATAATTTATGTGACATTACAGGCCTCAAATATGAAGAATATTCACAAGGTATACTTATTCCATCATCTTTCAGACATTTTTGAGCGCCATCAAGACATTCTGGTGACAATTCATTGTCTCCAAATGATCCTAAAAGTTCAGATACCATTATATCACATTTTTCTGGAGGATCCCAATCCCGTCCATCAGTGAAAACCACTTCAACAGAGTTGCCCCATATGTTTTTTTGATATAACAGTAATGACGGTATAGCATTTTCATTTTTTTCAACGGCATATACTTTAATGTCTACAGCTGCTAAATCTGCAGCTCTTAAACTAGCTTTAACCAAAGGACCTCGACCAGCACCAATAACAGCTAAAATAATTTTTTTAACCTTCTTTTCAATGATTGCCGTGTATATCGCCTTTTGGTATTGTGTATATTTAACTGGATCCAATTCAAATACATGATAAATGGATGACGTTAGGTTGTCCCTAAGTGGTTGCAAAGGTAATTGTAGAATATCATTATATTCAAACATTGGAGATGATATGGTAGTGTTCTTAGCGATAAACATGATGTAATAAAAATAATCTAACATGTTAGGTAATGGATCGCCTGATAAAACTATGGTCCACTTTTGTTGTAATGCAATTTTCAAAATATCTTCATGTTCTTTACTGAGTACTGGATATCCTTTTTTGTTTAAAACAAAAATGTCTATGTTGATCGATAAACCATGCACAGGTTCACCAATCCATCTACTTATCTCATCATCAGTTGGTATATATTTTGTGAGACACAATACAATACCAAGTTTTAGGCTATAACCAGTCATGTTTCTAAAAGTGTTCCAAGAATCCCAAGAGTTTTCTGTTACTGCTACGTTGAAATAAAACTGTACATTTTTTTTTAAATATGTACAAATAACTCTTGCCATGTTTACAAAATCATTTGGTAATTTTAGATCAATTAAAAATTGTTTAATACTAAAAGTATACAACATTCTGAGATTGTTGTTAAACCTATTTTCCATTTGTTTTTGAAGTTTATAATCAGTATGATCCACTTGTGGAAGTTTTGCAATTACTTTATTTGTTAAATCCTGATGCAATACCGTATTTAAGTCTACAATTTTATCACAATCAAATAATTGAATACAGCCAATTTTACAGTACCACAAAGTAAGATATTCCAAACACTGATGTACATCATTTAAAGTAAAAAAATCAAACGCTAAGTCAACAGGAATTTTAGATGTAATCAATGAAAAATAGTTTTCATTTGATTTGTTCATAATAATCAATCTGTAAAGTAAAAAATAAAATAAATTAATATATATATTTAACAATAACATACAAATTATGATAGATGAATTTTGATTTCACCAAAATGTTAAGAATATAATTACTACCATTTCTAAAAAAAAAAAATACTAGATATTTATTTATATTAATTACATTATACTTAAATTTTTATATTTTATGTTGATATAAAAAGGAGGGTTTGCGGGTGTTGAACAATTTTACTCCATTTAAAAAATAAGTTCAGGCCGCCACTGCTTTACATAATATTAAATTTATTTTTGTCACAATTTTAAAGTGATGTATTATGTGATATAACTATTATGTTTTATTATAATTTTTGAACAAATATAAAGTTTGGGTAATTTAAATTCAAAAACACGATTTTTAGAAAAATCAAGCATTTTTTAATTTTTAAACCATAACTTCCAAATAAAGTTTGAACGACTTTTTTTGAAAGTACCATCAATTAATCACACAAAAATACACATTTTAGGAAAAAAATTCCAGAAAAAACGATTGGAAGCTAAAGTGCGTTTATGCCTACTTGTCTATATATTTGAAAAAAGAAATTATTAAAAAATCAGTCATCCCAGTGACAAAATAATTTGACCGCCACTGGTTGACAGGTGTATTAAGTAATTAAATGTGTATTGCATGTGTGTGTGTAGTAATTATATATGTAGTTAAATAAATTTGATACCAACCAGCTATCTAAGATAGGTACTTACATTGTTTTATTCTAAATTGATAATGGTTTGGTTTTTTTTTTGTCAAAGTGAATGAACAAAACTTTTTTATTTCAAGTTACTTAATATTAGATAAAAGAAAAAACAATTACATTAGCCTAGTGGTATTATGAACTTATGGCGGGAGATACTGTCAGGTTTTCTATGAGACCTATGTTCATAGATAACCTAAATTATCAATCAGATGAAACACCAGATTGTGCATCTGATTAAATGTTAAGGAATATCGATTTATGTACACGTATAACGGTCATAAATAGAGGGCGCTCTTAACGTTGTTCTTATAGATGGTAAAATTGTACATTGTGTTACACATACACTAGAAATTCGTTGGTACCAACCGGTGTACAGAAACGTTTTGTTCCGGTTTACTAACACTTGATACCGATTATTTTACACCAGTATTCGACGATGGAAATCGGTGTATCATTGTAAAAACTAACTATTTTTTATAGTAAATAATTTGAATATTAATTGTTATCAATTAAGTTGTTATTATCATCATTTGTCTATTCGTTTACAATGAAAAGAGAGGGGGTGAAACCCCGGTGTAAATAGTTTTCACCTTATGCATGTGACAGTGCAGAAAAATTAAACCGGTGTCATTAATTTTAACATCGGTTACTCCAAAAACGTTTCTTTAACGTTATGGCTGAATGTTGATAACAATACGTAATTTTGATAACACATTTCCATTGCCATGTAGCAAACCGGCTATTTTGTTGATTGATGATCCGATGCATCGAGAAGCAATCTGATTAGTAATATGGAACATCGGAATGTTCATCTGATTGATAATCTAGCTTGTTAAGGTGTATCAATATCATAGAATGTAGATAAATTATAAGGGTATAAATTCTTAAATTATTTATGATCAGTACACCTGGTTCGAAGTAAATTCCAAATTTTCCAACATGGCGTCGTTACCATGTTATCGATATTATTAATTTTTTCGTTTACTTATTATACATTCACTCTGAAACAACACTTGTACTGCGCGATAATGGTTGTTAATTAAATATTATTTAATGTTTGGCGTTTATTGTTTATACCAACTAATTATGAACATTGGACACTGGCGATAACCGATAATACAATATTTTAGTTTTATTGTCTTTAATCAAATACCTACGACAATTATTAATAAAATATTATCAAATGAAAATTATTTATAAATCGACTAAAAAACGCGATACACAAATTAAGTCGGTAGGTACTCGAAATTTCTTTTCATTACTCATGAACAATTTAATGTCTATCCATTCCAATGTTTGAAACATTGAACATTCCCGATAACTAATTATTTCTCTGTTTGTTGTTGGTAGGTATTGCCAATTATAATAATTTATAATAAATTAAAAGTTGATGTTTATGATGACTATAATATTTGTAACTTATTTTCTTCTTTTTCTCATAATTGTGGTTTACGCATACAATTATTTTTTTGATATTACACTGGTACTTAATAAATTAAACTATTAGAGTTACAATATTAGTATACGTATTATAAAAACGAAACGTCAAGGACAATCTCAATTGAAATTTGTTAAATTAATTTCATGGAATTAATCATAATATATAAGTACAAAAAATAATTGTTCATTAGAAAATAACCTTTCGAATATACTTGGTTAGGACGACAAGAATAGTAGAGATCAGGGAAATCAAATTACACGTTTACGACCACAATCTAATAATTATTATTTAATAATGAAGGCAGACAAATAAAATTGATACAATTACAATTTTATCTCACCTATATCACATTATGCATGAACCGGTGTTGCCAACGTATCAACGTGTCGATATGACGTTTATAGATGAGATATTCGTACTTATCTCAACCAATAATAGTCCGCCAGAGGCCTCCGACTGCATTTAGTTCTTTTCGATTTCAAATGGCAATAAATCAATTTGTTTTTGTTTTGTTATTTGACGTTTTTGATTTTTGTACAAACATTTTTTTCAATTTACTTATTGTTATGTCAAAACGCCGTTGCTGACCCACCTGCGCTGTAAACCGGAGCGGCCGGTCATTCTTCCACCGTTAAATGCACGCATAAAGATTGATACATGTTAAAACACAAAAAAGTCTCCGTGAAAAAAATCTGTCCCGGTTGTGGATTACAGGTAATTTCTATACAGTATAATTTCGTTATAATCATTAACCAAACACTTCAAAAAAAATTATTATTCCCGTAAACACGTCTCTGTCAAACGTTAATGTGAAACAAATTGCCTATTTTTTATTTATTTTTTTCCACGATTGTAATGTTCAACTGTTTGAAATTTAATTTTTAATTTTTATTTAACCTTGTTTTCAGTTCCCCGTAGCCGTTAAGACTTGTACCAAATGCAAACATTCGTTTTACCTGTCCAAAAAAGATATAACCCCCAAAATCAGTCCCAATGTGGCGACGGCTACAACCGTGTCGCCAGTAGTGGAAGGCAAAGATGTTATGATTGTTGGTCCCACACGCTCAGACGGCCGCCGTAGAACAGAACGAGTTCGTCGTGAGAAACCAAATTATTATGATGCCTCAGCATTCATACGGAAAACTCGGGTAAGTAAATTTAAATATTTTTAATTTTAGATATTGACATATTGTAACTAGCGTAGGTAGATCACATTCATATAGTTTTAATTTGTTGTTGATGGATGTTCCAATTCGTTTACCGTTATTCGATAGTTCTTGTTTAAGTATTTATGTTCATGTCCTACCTAATATAATTTTTTTCAATGACTATGCATATTAGTATTTATTACATCATAATGACTAGTATTATAGTTCATGACTTAATGTTTGCATTTGAATTAAATATACTTACCTATATTATAAAAAAAAGATTATAAATGTATTAAACGTTATATCAATATCACTGTATTTTATTTTTCACATAATAAATAAATGTATATGTATAAAAACACTTGTTTAAATACTATTGATGAACATTATTAATAGTGTAGGTAGTAAATTTACATAAATAAGTAAATAAAAATTCTAACTATTTCTAATTCTATAATGTTATTGATATGTACAATTTTCTTTTAAATTTCATTTTTATTAAAATAATGTTGATATTTTTATGACATTTACCCATAATAATTTTTATCAGTTTAAAACTGAATATATTTTTTTTTCTATCATCCATCACAGTATTTAAAAGATCCTCTGTAATACTGGAAAGAATTTAATTAATTTTATCTAATTTATATGTTTTACAGAAAAGAACTGAAAAACCAAACCCAAAACAAAATGACAATTTTCAAGGTCGTCGAGGTGTACAGATAACCCAGCCCAAAAAAGGAGTGACGCCTCAAAAACAAAATTATAAAACAAAAGTCATGCAAGATCCAGAAGACAAAATTTACCATACTATAATGAAGAATGAGAAAGCAAAAGTATGTGCTATCATATTAACTGAATTGAATGATAAGCTAATGCTAACTTCTTGGAGGCCATAAGGCATCTGAATTCGAGACTTATTAGAAAACGTATGCATTAGGTATTCAAAACGATATTTAATTAAAAATATGTAATTATGAAAATTAATTAAGTGTTTAAAAAAAAGAATTAACCTAAATAAATATTATATGATTGAAAATAAGTATTAAATAATACAAATAAAACAAATATTTTTTTATAGATATAGATTTATTATAACTGATTTTGGTAAACTAAATATTATATTCTTATATCGTGTGATCTAATACGTCCAGTTTTGATTTTTTTTTGAAAATCGTATAATATTTATTTACACGTTTATTTTTTGAATATTTATTTTTCGATTTAATTTCAGACATTTTAAAAAGAAATGTTTAAACCTAAATTATGTTGTTTGAATATTATTATTTGAAAACTATTTTGCTCGAACAATTATTTTTAATAGTATACTATTTTTCGGAACAACATTCTTGGTCAAGTAACATTAACAGAATTTATGTAGGTATTGTTAAAATAATAATTATTATCTTTAACAGACAATTTACTGAACATTTATAAATAAAAAATATTATACTCGTATAGAGACTAATTAGAATTTATTTGATAGATACATTAACGTATTATACAAAATTTCATGGACTGTCTTCAGTTTGAATTTCATAATTTTGATCCAAGTCCCAGGAATATTAACAACCAAACAAAAATCTTAAAGCGTTTCTATATAATTTCATACAAAAGTTGATTAGGAGAATACAATTTTCAATAATTGTCTGTTCCAAGTTGTATTGTTCAATTGAAATACGACCTCTCTTTAAAATTGTACTGCACATTATAATATATATTAGTAAGGTATTTATTAAATGAAACAAATCAAAATATCGAAACTAGATTTTAATTTTTAAAATTAAAACTTATATAATTGAAATATAAGTAAACCGGCAGTTTTTAAAATCTGATGATATAAGTTATTGAAAGTAAATAAATATTCTCAAGATAATGTTATTTAAACAGGAATGGTTTGTTCCTAGTTATTTATATTAAATATTTTAAAATTAAAATGTGCCATGCATTTCCAATTAATTAATAAGCAATAATTTATTTTGAAGATTCCTATTTAGGTAAGTTTATAATTAATTAATTGTTTCTATCACTTAAGTAATTTCTAATGGATAATTTATTTATTTATCGATAATCTTTAGAATACTTGTAAGGTGTACATGAATTTGTAAATAACATGATATATTTTAATGAAGTATGTGTTCGAATTAGTTTAATTTATGTTATACATTAAGACAAGTATTTATATTTACACTAATCATTATAAAAGTTTATTTAGTTTTTTTTTTTTAAATATTTTACTTGTAAAAATAAAATATTTTAATTAAGTATAATGATTAAGATTACGGTCTACATTTGTATTATTATTATTGTATTAATATTTTAAATTGATAATATTATTAATGTGTCATGATTTTATACAAATTAATATCGTGTTGATTGGCGTTGTTTTTGGAAATTTATATATAATATAAAAGAAAGAACTGAGTATAATTATAATAATATGTTTCAATTTTATATACATTTCTATATTATTATAATTTAATAATAATAATTTTTGTTTTTATTTCTACACATATCATTTCTGTGACAAGTTCCAATCCTAATTTAAAAATTACTTATTTTAAATAATAACCAAACCCTGTGTTTTTAAAAAAAAAGCTGATACATTTAATAGATGCACCTATGTTGTAGGTGGAAAGTTGGAAAGGTAAGATACATAGTTATTTAATAAATTATTATACCTGTCTGTACTCAAGAAAAAATAATAGCAAATGAGCAAATATAAGCTAATTCAGTTATACTTGTTTTTTTTTTAAATGCAGTAATTATTACGATTTTAGATTTTCATTTATGGGTTTTTCTTGTATTTCCCAATTATTATGAAAATTACTTGGAAAATCAACACGGTACATAACATACCAACAAGACAACATTTTCTTTCAGAAAAGATGCATATTTTGTTGTGAAGAATATTTTCAAATTTTGAACATAGATTTGTTCTAAGTAATTCTTATACAAACAAGTTAATTTCGACTATTTAAGGAAATCAAAATCTAACAGTTACATGTTAGAAATTGTATAACATTTTTTTAGTGAAAACAAAAATGTTAACATCATTGACATTAGAATCTAAATGGTATTTTATTTTTACATAAGTACAAAAGTGAAAAACCATTTAATAATCTGAAATATAATACATTATACAATTTATATTACACATACACAATATGAATAAATCATTACTTTAGGTTGGTATTCTAAAATGTATTGATTTATCTGCAAACAAGTGATTTTATATCTTGGCAGTCAATCAGCATAATATTACAAGGTACAAATGTTTCATTATTTATTTCATAATAACGAAATTTAACATTAATTTTTATGTTAAATCGTGTATAAGAAATAGTATAAAGCAGACTTATTGGACAATGTACAAACTTGAAACAATAACAAGTCACAAAATTAATAAATTACATTCAAGTAGTAAGAACCCGTCTAATTAATTATTTTTAATAACTGGGTTGTAATAGTATGTAACAACATATTTTGCCAGCATTATACGAGTTGTGTGAAATCGAAGTCTGAGAAGTCGCAGACTGTTAAATAAACGAACATCGTAACCATCGCGAGCAGCGGCCGAGCTATCAAGCAGCCCTCATGTACTGACCGAAACCGCTTCTGGGGGTGTAAAAGTGCGGCCTAAAGAGTAACCGGGCCGTCCAGCCGGCGGCCGCAGCCACCAGACAGGATCCTAGTACGTAGAGCGCAATGTTGGCGGGAATCCGATGTTGTGGAGGCCGGTACGCGGAGTGGTCGTGGTGGCCAGCCATCGGCGAGAACAGTAGGTGGACGGCTAATCCGGCGGCGCCTTTGGCGAGCATGGTGGCGGAATACGAGGTGGGCAGGCGGTCGTGTCCTAGCACGTGGACAGCGACGAGTGGTTCGAGGCCGACGGCAGCGCCGGACACCAGCCCGAACGCGGCGATCAAGCACAACGACCACTCGGTGGTCTGTGACTGGCGCGCGCTGCCGGCCGTTAGTAGTACAGCGCCGCCAACGGCCATGATCACCGCGTTCAAGTAAATGGACGCCGAGCCACCTCCGTTTCCGGTCGACAGGTGGTCTGAAACGGCGGGTACCAGTACGCGACCGGTGGCGTCGGCCGCGGCCAGCCACAGTGCGGCTTTCGTATTGGACGGCCGCGGCGTGGACGTTGCGGCGAACGTGCCGTACGCTAATTCGCTGAGCGCGTTTACCGCCGTCACGGCCAGCAATACGGCCGTCGGTCTGCCACTGAACGTCCGTCGCAATCGAGCGACTTTTCCCCGGTGTTGCACGTGATGCTCCAGCAACGGTGACGACACGACTACGTCCGCGTAATATTCGTCCGTCGTGACGATGTCGTCTGCCGCGATTGCCGTCGTCGTCACCCGCACACTCGTGTTGATGGACGACGTGCAACAGGACTCGACGGCCGTGCAGTATTCGTCGGTGACCCTGACTACGGTCGCCGCTGCCACCCGAGCGTTGATGGACGACCTTGACGACGACGACGACGACGACGTCGTCATGGTATCCGGGAACTGAACGTCGGGGGTGTGTTTGTCCTGCGCGGGCTTATACGTAAGAGCGCACGCCAACACATTCAGCATCATTCCGGACACGATTAAAATCCCTCCTCTGGAAAAAAAACAAAATTAAAATTTTGCAGTTTTTTTCCGGCGCATTTTCAAAATTATATACTATTAGTGGCACGACTGATTTTGTTCACCTAGCACTGTACCACACGGGTGAACATAATCCGGTTTAGATTTATTTATTCGTCGTCATAAAAACACGCCATTATCACTGTCGACACCAATTTCAACGTTTAACGTTTGGTGCGAAACCGATAAAATATTAAAAACAATTAAGCGCTTGTTGAATAAAATAAATACGAACAATATTCGCTGTATTACAATTGCAAGTGCTTCGTAAATATAAAGATTTTCATGTCTATCAAGTCGGTTTTGCCCAATTTTCTCCAAAATAATCTGGTCGACTATACGTTCCGTTTAAAGAGGGAACAATGCAGTTCGTGTACAGTCCCTTGCCCCGGAAGCCGCTTTAAACGGGACGCTGTTTGTACCATTTTAATTTCTGCCCTAGATTTTCAACAAATTCCGGAAACCAGCGGCGTAGCGAATTATATTTATATCATTTTAAAATCAATACTAATAACTTTTTGTCGTGTCGCATTTTAATAATATTTAATCGCATGCACAAGTTACATACAGCTGACATCATAGACGTCTTTGATGGGCCCATAATTTTACCAATCCCGAAATCGATGGTCTAGTTTCGCCTGTATGGCTGTCACCCAGCGCTGTATTAGTCTGGGATCTCCCAAGGACCAAAATCGTGGCCGCGTCGTGTCATTCAATTCTATATTGATATTATAAAAGTCAGTAACCTAACAACATAATTATGATATTTTATATCTGTAAACCACTTACTAGACCAAAGTACTTAGCATAATCTTAAATAAAAATTCAAACAAATTACAATGATAAATACATATCAACTATACAGGGCGTCCCACGAACATACCCATTGCAATGTTTCGGAAAATATGGACTTTTCAGAATTCCTGTTTTTTTTTTTTTTTTTTTTTGACAACTGAAGAAATAAGCAGCTCTGAAATATTAGAACATGCATGGTTATGTGCATTCAATTATACGTTGTCATTTACCAAAACACTACAGTTATTTTTGTGGGTGAAATGACTAACAATAATTTTGATATTCAATTAAAAATTTCATAAATTGATGTAATATTTGTCAATGTAATTTTAAAATTTGTATAAAGGTTGCTATTTAAAAATCAAAATTAGTTAATCGTAACAGTCATTCCCCCTCCCCAAAAAAAAAAAATAATAATAATAATAAAGACTTACGTTACATTTTATCATATAAATATTCAATAGAGAAAACTTTATAATACGAATTGTTTGATTTATAAACATTTAAAATGATTTGTACATTTTTTTTTTTAGGAAAACGAAGAATTCTGATTCAACTTTTGAAATTCAGATGGATACCTATAGTTTTTTGCAAATTTAATGTGAAGATATTTTTCAAATCCATTTTAGTGATTGAATAACATAAATTTATTCAAAACTATAATTGAGAGGGGTTTTAAAGTTAATACACTAATATAGTTATAACTGGTTCGCGGAAGCAACGCAACACTCATTGTGTGATAAGTGACGTCATTAGATAGGTACTTGTCGGCGTGAGGTCAAAATTAAATTTCTAAAAACCTTTAATTGTTTTCAAACACAAAGTTTTGAACAAATTAATGTTATTAAATTTATTAAAAAAATATCTTTATATTATGTTCGCAAAAAAAAAAAAAGATAGGTTCCCATCTGAATTTCAAAAGTTGACTCTCAAATCCCCCTAAAAGACACCCCCCAAAAAATATTTACAAATCATTTTATATGTTTATAAATCAAAAACACTTTCGTATTATATATATTTTTTTTCTATTTGAATATTTATGTGATAAAATAGATGTAACATACATTTTGAATCACCCTGTACATTACATTTTCATTCGTTAGGTCGTTAAACATCATTGTTTTATTAACTTTTGATAAACTGAACAATATTATTTTGCTTTATTTTAATTTTTTTTTCTTATTCTTAGAGCGTTTAAAAATCCGTAACCATAAAATTGTATTTATATGAAACATGTTAGCATAACAATATCTGTCTTCACGATATTAAATTCTAATTTATGTGGACAACATTTTTTTTTCTCCATTAATTTTCTATTAAAATCTTCAACAATTTGATACGAAACTCATATGAAGTTTTTGATTGGAGGAAGTATTCTGCAGTAAAAAACCTGATGTAATCGAAAAATGGTACTAGCCTAGTCTAGTACTACTAGGGTTTTAGAAGGGGTCCCCAGTTCAAATCTTCTTAGTTACAGTCCTAAATTTAGTTCTAGTGTTTAAATTAGAAATATTTAAATTTGTTATTGCATGTGGCCCGAAGCTAATGGGTACCGCTGCTTTACGGGAACGTAGAATAATAAATGTAATTTTAAAGGAAAATCATTTCGTATTTATAAGTTAGCTAATAGGAATTGATGAAAATATCTTTTACTATTTTAGAAGGTTGGGAGTATGTTCACATAATACCTATTTATATCTTCCATACTCCCTCCCGTAGAGAAGGAATATTTTAACAGTCTACGCGGGTAGTATTGAACAGCTAGTATTAAAATAATTATTATTTATACAAAATAGTTGCTACTTGTGTGTTATACATCTAAGTGACTGAGCACTTTAGGTTTCTAAAGGGCCCTCAAAGTTGTCCGAACCTCGGGCCTTTAAGAACAAGCATTCATCTCTCCATCAATTACACAGGCTAGTTGACAATATATTACTTCGTCACTAAAATAAAAATAATTTTGCTCCGGTGTCTATCTTGACGTCATCAGACGTTTAATCGGATCTGATGTGAGGGGCACAAACTTCTATTTTTAACAACTCCTTTATTTTTCACCCTCAAATTATTTTTATGCGATCGAAATTTTGTTGTATGATGTAAAGATGAAATTTCTGACTCGCACCTTATAAAAACATGAGCCTCCTAACGTAGTATCCTCTCCCCAACTCTCTACAATATATACCTATACAACTGACCTACCACAATCAACGGTACAGCTACAACCTCTTCTAACTCTCACATAATTACTGCCACAAATAACCTCCAACATCAATTAGCTCCACTACCAGAATGTTTCATTTTATGGAAAACAAAAATTAATGGAAGAAAAAATCCACCCAAATAACTTTTATTTTCAGACCTAAAAATATTCATTCTGTTTACCTTAATAACCAGATAATCCCCATGGATACTTATGTAAAGTATACTACTTCGACAAAAGGACACCCTGGCAAATCACATTAAAGCAAAAAGAACTTTGCTCAACTTCAGACTCCATAAATTAAAACGATTAATCAGATCAAAAATCTCTCAACAACGAACAAAGCTGAGATTTACAAAAAAATATCGGACCCCAAAATGAAGTACAGTATTCAACTTTGGGGAACTGCAAAAAATTAAAATCTAATTAAATTTCAATTATTCCAAGCAATATCTCCTTGTGTCATTTTCGGCTCTTCAATGCATCCCGGTACGTCAGCAATAGTACTCTCCATCATTATCTCAACTTTTAAACTATATCTACACTTGCTTTCTATAATTATAATAAATTCGACAGAAACTCCTTTAACTACGTTAACCATCTCATATCCAAACTATCATATCGCACAATACCAGACAACCCTCCCCATCGTCTTGGACGTTTAAATAGTAAACAATGTATGCAACCCTAAATTCATAATTTGGAAGTAATATCACACCTAGTACTTTTATATCAGAATATTTACTTATTGTATTATATTGTGCATATATATTTTAAATGTATTACGAATAAAAAACAAAGAAAGTAGAATACGTATTCGAATAAATTATTAAAACGTATTTGAATACTTTTCGAATATTTTTCTTTTTTTAGATAATTTGTATCAGTTTTTGGTCTACAGTTCTGAAATTATCGGTTTATGGCTCAGTATTTTATCAAATAAACTGATAACTGATTAGTAATTAGTACATCTAGGTATTCAAATATTATATCATTAACAGAGAAATGTTTAAACTTCGTTTAGGAATTAAAACATGTAGCCGTAAAAATCTCCGATTTAAGTTTTAGTTTGCGAATTTAAAACTTTTATTGATTTCGGAAGACAAGTGCTTTTTTAGTGAATAAAAATAAAAATTATAACCATTCCTAGGATAAAAGGGACGGGCACAGACAATTATAGGCAATTTAATGTAAATTTTTAAGCAACGATTAACCATTTACTAACGAAAAATGATTCTGAGTGAAGGTCGGTTGATAGTGATGCTTTGTCAACAATATGCATGTCATATTATTACATATGCATTATACATTTCATTCAATAATATTTGATTAATATTGTATTTATTTTCCTGTTTTTCCCAAGTTTTTCTCCACTTTTTCCCCGTTTATCTAATTTATTGGAAAAACTCTTGGGAAAATCAAAAAATGGCATCCGTAAAGTACCTTCCCAGTAGTTAGATTTCCATTTTAGATACAGTACTAGCATTGCAAATCGGAGCAGAATTTCTGGTAGAAAAGTTGTTCACAGATTAAATAAAAAAATAAAAAAATAAAATAAACATTATTATAAAACCATAATCTTCTTCGCTCCATCCAGAATCTAAAAATATTTAGTACACGTATTCGAATACAAGGAAACATATTAAACTACATTTATTTGAACAGTTTACAATACTGTACACGACCAAATGGTCCACCGCTTGCACACAGCAGCGAGGCGATCATAGATTGAAATGATAAATACCTGCGGTGAATTATGGCAAATCATTTTTAACATAGTGGAACCAATAAGGTAATAACGTGTTATGTACTGAACAATTTAACAAAATTGTTTTATTGTATTTACATTATATTATTATATTATAATTTGGGTTTGTTCAAAATACAGTAAAATAGAATTAGCTCTTCACGGATCAGTGGACCAATTTTTTTTTCTTATAGCACTACAAAAATATTGAAAATTTGTATTCACCATCACACTACTGGATAAGAGTGGAGAATTGTTGCGAAACAATTTCAGGATTGATTACAGAAAAGAAGAAGAAGCATACCTGTATCCGTATGACGAGGTCAGAAACATGATGTACGGCGGCATTGCGATCGAACCGACTGTGGTGCCGACCAGTGAAAGCCCGTTGGCCAATCCTCTGGATTCGTTAAAATACTCGTTAACGATTAGTATACCGGCGGGATAACACACGCCCGCGCCAAAGCCCACCATTATCCCGTAGCTGAAAACACCGAAATAGTTAATTATTTTTTACTTAAATCAGTTTTAATTTTTTATTTTTATATATATGAACATTGTTATAATATCATTCTGAAGCATATATAAGTGTCGAGTATAGGTGGTTAATATAGGTGGACTTTAAAAGTTTACGTGCAAGCGGGCGCTAATAAAATTTAAAATCTCGGGGATTCTAAAGTTATATGTAACATTTTAACAGTGATTACTTAGAGGTTTCAGCTATTGGCCTTTAAAAACTATTGGCAAGTACCTAATAAGAAAAATAATAAATTTTTCATAATAATATTTAAACAAAATAAATTAGATCATTATTTGAGAACGCAACCAAGTCATATACGGACCTAAATAGTACCGTTTTTTGTACGAGATATAGTTCCGCCAAATAGATGCCAGAATTTGTATTATTTTTTTTTTATTCAGTCCTTGAGTCACCCGTTTGTTATTATTTAATATTGTTATATACTTTTACGTCCATACCTTATGTACAAATAGAGTATAGAGTTGGCGAATAAACTCGACATCATGCCGATGGACGCAAGTAGTCCACCCCAGAGTGTTACGGTCCGGTGCGAGGTCAGTTCACACAGAAAACAGGATATTGCCCCTAAAAACGGCATTAGGTATACGTAAAATATCATTGTTATTATTATATTGATTAAGTTTGTATGAAATCGTACAAATATTTCCAATAATAGGGCTAAAAATAATGAACTATATATTATAGATACTAGATACATGCAGAGACAAATAGAGAAGTGAAATTGTTTGCCCCCGAAGTAGTTTATATCAGTGACGTATGCAGGATTTTTTAATGGGGGGGGGGGGCTTTACAATTTATAATTAATCAGTTGTTTTGTTACAAGTTCGAAAAAAAAAGTAGTCGTATACTTAGTTCTGACTGATAATAAACACAAAATATATACAAAGAAATGGAAAAAAAACTTTAATATTTAGGTAACCATAAAAATGTAAAATACAATTTTTTAGCTAGAAGTGTTAAAAAAACCAGAGACCAATCAAAATCAGAATTGTATGAGTTGTGGGTTGCATAACTTAACTTTTAGTTTCTTCAAACTAAAAATCGAAAAATATTCCATTTTTTTTCTGCTATAATGAATAATTAAATAGTTTTTTTAGTGTGCACAACTATGAGATACGTTTTATACGAAAACAATGATGAAAAATCCAAGCATACAAAATATTATTATATTGACACTGGAGAGAAATAAGTGAAAACAAAACTATCTACATAATTGTTTTTCACTAATTAAAGGTAATATTATTATTTTCTATAACATCCGTGGGCTAACTTAACGATACGTTAACTGTTGGTAACATCAGTTCAGTAAGTTCAATATTGCAATCATAGATATTATCTAAGGTTGCGTGGGCGTGTGACAGCTCGCGTATGCACAATAACAACAACCGCCAAAGTTGTAATAATAACAAAACCATTGTTTATAACGAGTGTCACCCGAATTAAATAAAACTAATAATCTTATAATTCTAATAATATCTTATTCTGTGATAATATAGTAAGCTTATTAATAGATAGCGGTGGTAAATTAAGTTATTTACTTACGAAAATAGTGTATTTTATGAAAAAAAAAGTCCTTATTTACTGATTATTATTACAGCTGAAACTCGAAAAATATAAAAAAAATATGTGTGTATAATATATATATTGTTGTTTCTCCGACAATGGCGTAGGTAATATTTTGTTTTCTCATTTTTTAATTAATGTTCACAAACTAACCGTGCAGAAGAAATTCGATGGACACAAGTTTAATAATAAGATATTAGGCATACTACGAGTAGATACATCATTGCGATGAATAAAAGAGAATCGATATGGTTTTTAATATAAGAAAACTCCGCAAATAAAATATAAAATGGAAAGTGAATTTCAATATTATATATATAAAAAAAAAAAACAGTTTACATACGAAAACTCCGGGTTTTAATTCAAATTTTTTTCTAAAAATTCGAAAATCTTAATAGATTAGTAAGTCGATTCTTCAAACTGGAAAGTCGTACCTTCATAATCTGTCTATTGATCAAATCGTTAGTTCATAAACCATAATATTTTAGTTTCTTTAGCTTATCAAAATTATGGGTCTAGGCCAAAATAGCGAAGCAAATAACCACGAATATAAAAATCACGAATTTTAAAATAATCGATCATACATAATAGCGAAATTTATATGTAAATTATAAATTATAATACTAATGATAATAAGAACTTTGTAAAAGGTGTAGTATATAATTTGTCTCTAAATACCTAAATAATTTTTTTTTTTTTTTTTAAATTATTACTATCACTAAATACCCAAATTATTTATACCTAGTGAACTTAACAACATTAGGATTATAATGACCATATTAAAAAAATATACTATATTTTCGTTATAATTAATTCGCGATTTTCACATTCACGGTTATTTTTTCACTTTTGGCCGGATACCCAAAATTATAAACGCGCACTGTCATAAATTTTAACAATTGGTAAGTACGTTCATAGCGATAAAAACGCGGTATTTTACACGAGCTTGCGTGTACTATTGTATAAAATATTACGCCCACATTAATGCCAATAAACTTAGTTAAAAAAACGAATGTACTACCCAAATCTCTAATCAGTGTTATCAAGAACATTATGGATAATACACAACATTGAATCGTTGAACTAAAAACAGTTTTAACACAAATTGTACTTGAATTCAAAAAAATGTTGGATATTCATCGTACCATAAGTAGGCCACTGTTTTAGGCGGAAAATTCGGAAAGTATACTTATGTATTGTATAGAATAACTGGATAAATTAGTTTATGTACTGAAACTAACGATGAATCAATGCTATCAAAAACCGGTGCTTAATAAATTGGTTAGGTTTTAGACTCACACGAAATATTAGTTGTGATTTTTCTCTAGTAGCCGAGGTAACCCAAGGAAATCAATAAAAATAAACCAATATATATCCAATTGTTGATAGATTTTTTTAAATTTTTAGAAAATCTCTATGGGATCTAGAAAAATTGTTTAAATAAAGTACCGCCAGGAAATCCGACTTTATTTTTAGGTATGACGTGAACAAATCGGATCATTTTTATCAACTGAAAAAATGTTAAAAAATAACAAACATAATATTATGTTATGTCCATCATATTACATGTATAACATAGAACAATAAGAACAATAAATAATGTTCTTTTATGCAAAGTGAAAAAAAGTATTGTCGTTCGATCCTGAATCTAGAAGTCACAGGCACAAATAGCTTAAATATTATAGGGGGAATCTCTATAATATAGATTTTCTAGAAATTTAAAAAATGTATATATGTTACGGGCAAAAGCCAAAATCGGGCTAATCTTGGAGATGCCCGGGTAAAACGCGAAGTGTCCACGACACATGTGCAAAACGTCATATTTCGGCATTTGCTCGGACAAACCTAGTTGTGACTTGTGACTAACATCATTCGGGCAAATCTGTGACGTCAATTTTGTAACGTAAATTTCAATTTTCCATAGTAGATTAGGTTAGATAGGTACCATGTTAATAATAAAACAATACTCGCTCTTTTCAGCAATTAATTTGTCCTTGCATTTTACACGGAACTATCTGGTTATTGACTTATAGTGACAATATAAAATAAAAATTCGTGAAAATCGTAGCTACTTATAAGTCTATTGTAAGATTTATTTAATTAATTAATTAATTTTTATATTTATAAAATAAATATATATGGACGTTAGAGATTTGCCTGAATGAGGTTGGCCACAACTAGGTTTGTCCGAGCAAAAGCCAACATATGACGCTTTGCTTAAGTATCGTTCAACAATTTCTAATTAATCAAATAATAAATCTTCAATAAATAAATATAATACTAATACGTTTCTGAACTATCCGAATTTAAATCCGTTAATGACTTTTAATGTTTCGTCTTTTTCACTAAGCGCTATAGGAAAATTCAATTAATTTTTAATGTTCAATTTATTTATACGAATAATAAATAATGAACGTAGAAACACAACTATTGAAAGATCTTACAACGAGTAACATGAAAATGAAGTCTCAATATTGAGAAGACTAACGGAGTTCATCTGGCTTTTGCATACCATTTGAAAAGTAGATAATATTAAATTGAAATTATCGGCCATCAAATAAATGTCGTGAATAAATATGTAATTTGTAGCACTATGGTAAATCACTTATTGTTCAGGAAATTCAATTTAAATCCACTTTATTTGTTTGGTGATATTATACATTAGGAACGAGTTATTTGAACAACACGAATTGTGTATGATATAAAAATAAAAAATGAAAAAAGAGCTGATACTGGGGACTGATGCGGTCACTGTTGTAGGTGAGTAGTAGGGAAGATGGGATACATAAGGTTATCTAATTTAAACCTTAACCAACGATAAACCGTTGCTAACGAAAAACGATTTGGAGTGAAGTTCAGTTGTATATGTTTTGTAAAACTATTTACGATTTTAAAACTCCTATAAAAAAAATAATACTTTATTACCCTCAATTATTATTTTTTGCTCACTATATATTTTTGGACATATAATATAATGAATCTCCTATTAAATTTTTAAGCATTTCCGACTTCTGTTTATTCTATAATAATTGTGTCCACAGATTACCTGAGAAATACAAATTATGTATAAAACTTGCAAAATTTAAATGTCTATAAATAGCTCAAAAATGTCTCAAATCTCTTAAAAATTTTACCACGTCTAGAAAAAGCAAATATAAGTTGTCTGACAAAATGTCTAGTTTCTTTAACTATTTTTAACTGAGACCCGGTTTTTCAATTATATTTAACTCGAGGTTAATCTAACTTAATTGGTGGTTAACGTTATCTACCTATAAAACTATTTATGAAAATCCCAGTTAGCTAACAGCCATTTAAACTGCCAGTTAAATTAACCGCTACTATCTCTTCTAATTAATAGATTAAACGTCGTTTAAGGTCATTATTATTTACAACCTACCTATTTATCACATCCAAAAATAAATATTTATATCTAGATTCTATATATAACCGTGATCATAACATAACAGCTAGTTTGTTTTTAAAATTTAAAATAAATTTCAAAAACGAAATTTTGTTTTACGACGCTGATAAAGAACTGCATGGATTTTTAAATTATGAACGTAGTCCTTATATTTTAGTCCACCTTAGACGTGGTTTTTAGTCCGTGAAAGGATAAATAGGTGCCACTCAGTAGGTATAATATAAAATAATTGAAACATTAACAGATTTCTGTATCTGGCTGTTAAAATATTTTAATATACTAATGCAATTTCTTCCCAATTATTTTCCTTGTCTTTCCAAGTTACTGCATCAGACGATTTATTTTCTAATCAGTACATAATTTTGTTATACCATTAATCAATGTTAATTTTCTAATTTTCTAAGTTAATATGTTAATTTTCAGTACGTAAGGATAATTCGAGTATGAGTAATAGTTGTATTTCTGTATACCTAAAAATTATTAGCTCTTTTTCTTTTTAGTACAGTATTTGACATATTGAATTTAAATATTTATTATGGTATTAGTAATGGTAATAACACATTTTACGAAGCAGAAATGCTCCTTAACTCTCTACATAACACATCATGGGCTAAAGCTAAGCTCCAAAACTAGCTGATAAAGTGAAAACAATAACAATTAATGATCATTATGTAGTATGACAACCTTCGGTTGTATAACTGAGACAACAAACTGAATTTATAAATAAACCACACACTATTTATTCAGAACTTTAATTTACAGATTAAATTTAACTATGGTTAGTTAACTGACAACTAAAATGGCAATTGAAAAACCGGCCCTAAATTGAAAAAATAAAACCATTATTTTTGAAACTTTCCGTCATTTCTACGTTGTTTTGTTATTTTGTTCAATTATTAAAAAACCTATACAGAAAATTAAAAAACGACTTTCTTACTTACCAACAAGATTCAAGATTCAACAAAAAATGTCTGTAAGCATTTTTTGGTTAAACCAATATTTCTAGTAGAAAACATAAGCGGTAAAAATTTTAAATAATGAAATCAGTAACGCCGCAGCTCGTCGTAAATATTTATCGTTTTACTTATAATTTCCTTTCGGTTTTCTCCTAATTACTTTGAAAACACCTTAAAAATTTGACCTCTAAACGACCCTACTAGAGAAAATTACCTTTCAGAAAGGGTGCTATACTTGAAACTTCAAAGCAAAATTTCATGTAGAAAAGTTGTTCACTGACAAAAAAAAACCAAATGAAAAAATATACACATTATAGTAAAACCAATAGATCCCTCGCTACGCTTTGAATATAAAAGGTTCTTTTACATGACTGTATGTAACTCATATGTGCCCTTTGAGAACATATTTTACGAGACCTTTAATTTGGGGGCAAAGCCAAATTTCAAAGGGGCTAAATATCCGAACCTATTTGCGTCAATACCGGTATAGTACAGTATGATAGCAAAATATTATAATTTGTGGTTATATATTCTCTGGTCGTTATTATAATTTGCTCAACGAAAGTGAAATTATTAATACAATTAAGTATTTTAAGTGTAATTTTTATTATCGATTTTTTTATCTATAATTATATTAACGCGTTGTATTTATGCATTTTTATTTAAAATTATTAGGTACATATATATAGATACTTATAAAAATTACACAACAATAATATTTATCACTATTAACCAAAATAAAAATTTAGAAATACAGTTATACAGTTTATATTTGTAGAACTATTATAATTGTAAACTATAATAATATCAAAATTCTAAATGATCGTAAAAGTAAACAGCAAATAACCAATTTTTAATCTGTTTGCGATAGTATATAACAATAAATAAATAAAATATTTTATTAGTTTAATGACCTATGATACCAATAATTTAAATTTCGAGTCGTAATAATTGTCCATAAATATTATATTACGCATGAGTATAATGTAAATGTTATTCATATAATATAATATACGTATCATAACATATATCGTAAAACAAATAAACGTTTAAATAAAAAAAAGAGCTGATATTGAGGATGGGAGCAGCCACTGTTATATGTGGTAAGTTGGGAAGGTAGAATGCATATGGTTATTTCATTTATATATGTACGCCAAGATAAACCATTGCTGACAAAAAACGATTCCGAGCACAGTTCGGTAATACATAATTTGAATTGACGTAATTTTTTTTTTGCGATTTTCGTTTAAATTTGATTTCAAAACGTTTATTAAAAAAAAAAAGTCGTCTAATGATTTTGGAATTTGACCACATCTAGGTAAGTCCAAAATAAATAAGTATTATTATCAAGTTTCAAGTCTACGTGTATTTATAACCGAATTACAGCAAAAAACTCTCAAAAATTAAAATTCCTTAAAAGCTCAAAAGTTTTAGCGATGATACCGTAAAAAATTAAATCAGAAAGACAACAAAAAAGGTTTGTGACTTTTTAACCGTTTTTTCCGGTAGATAACGCCGTCCGTGTTTTTATAAAATAATGAAATCATGAAATTTCAGAAAAAGTGCTACAAGTAAAAATCGGAGTAAGTTTACTAGGAAAAAACGTATCCACAGACTAGAACAAAAAAGAAACAGTATTGTAAAATCAATAGCTTCCTCGTTACGCTCGAAATCTAAGCCTCAAATATCAAATAATACAAAGTATTGTCTAAAAAAAAGTAACGAAATGTCGACGTTTAAAATTAATTTTTAAAAATTATTAAAGTTATTTCCTTACGTGTGTCCCATAAAAGTTAGAAATGGTTTTTTTTTTAAAAATTGTGTTATATTTTATATCTATAAATACATGTATATTCAAATAATAGCCGAGTATCCGAAATTCATTTGTGTAAATTAGTTTAAACTAATTTTACCAAAAAAAAAATGTTCACAAAAATGTGTTTTTTGAAATACAACTAGTATAACTACTGTATATAATTAGTATTTAAAATATAACGCTCTGTTGGTTATTAAAAACGCGTTAAAGAATGTAAACGAATTTTGCTCCTTCGGTCTAACGTTCGACCATTTGCTATTATCGTTTATTTTAAGTCCGTAAAAATAACTATGTTTATCGTTGAATTAAAATCAGCGATGATGACTCAACCTAATTCAGTTTTTTTTTTCTTATGAGTAAACTTTAATACTAAAATGATCGAAACAAATTATTATTATATTATTTAATATGATAAGGTTATAGAAATAATATAGATTTCAAACAGTCAGACACACAAATTTTGCACTATATGTATCTAGGTCTGTACTGTTGTATATAATATGATTGAAAGTTGGCAAATAATAATTTAGCGTAATACACTGAAATTTCCTAACCAAAAATTCAACACAAACAAAAAACGGGGTCCAAGGGACGAATCGTTGAAATATTCTATAAATATTTTAAATCAAGTACCGCGTGATTTGAGGCACTGCGTAAAAAATAGAATAAAACCAAGAATTGTACTAACCCCAACCAAAAAAGCGATTGACAGAGAAAACGCAAAAAACAACTTTATGGCAAAATGTGGTATTGTGTAATACCTATGTTTTAAGTGTATGACATAAAAAGAGCAGGGGATTTGAACCGTAAAAGCGTTTACCGAGGAAATAAAAGACACATCTTCATATAAAAATAATATAGGTAGCTTGTTCATTGTTGTAATACTCGGAATCTAAATACAAAATTGTATATGGCGAGCTGGTCTGATAAAACACTCGAAACACCACAAACGCATTCCTTTCGAAACACATAATATTATAGAGGTATGTATTATAGCAGTGTATTCTTTGAACGCGTTTAGACATTGAACTTAAATTCCAAACTTCATCTCGGCATCACACCGTTTAGCCGTTAAATAATATAATGAACAATTTAAAATCAATAAATAAAATTAATTTTTATTTATTCAAATGATCTGGCGATAAATAGGTACCATAGTGTAGATAAGAAATAACGGCTTTGTCCGAACGGTTAATTATCCTGGTCGATTTGTTTGATTAACAAACCGGACAGATCGTACATAATACACACCGTTTTTTTTTTTCTGCTTCTCATTACGAGTATTAATTTATAGATTCGATATCATGAAAAACACGCGGATCGTGATTTAATGTAACCGAACTATTGAATCACGATTAAATTCGTTTAGATTTTACCATTATAATCGCGATTCCATCATATTCGCCGTGTTCGTGCAATATGATGTTGATGCCGATTGTAATATAATCATTATAGGTATACAATATTTTACATTGTTGACTAGCCAGATGTTTCTAGTTAATTCAAGTGTATTAACTAATATCTAATCGATATAAGTAAATATGAATAGAAATGTAAATGTAGTTATAATGAAAAAAAAAAGGAAACGCGAAATTAATTCCTCGGAGAAGTCCGAGAAGTCCGAGGTATTGAAATAATTATAGTAACCGATCATTGCAGGGTGATCGAGTGCAAGAAGAGTGTTGAGACAACAATGAAAAAAACAAAATATTAAACAATATAAATCGAAGGGTTACGCGGCCTACAATAAGATAAGATATAATAAGGGAATGTCTCTGTACAGCACTTAAAAGCTACATGCTCCTAGAATACGCCATAAAAATCAAAAACTCTAAAATATGCAAATATATGCGAAATAAAATTTAGGATTTAGATTACATACGCGATGAACCGTATCAATATTTGACTTTGCTGTTCTACGCAAATTTTAGAAGTCCCTAACTCTCATGATGGCTATCATCACATAAAGCCCGCGCGCTAGCACGAGGCATTTTTCTTTCTCCGATTAACGGAAATCAATACAGAACAATATTGCACGACGGAAATGAACGAAAATTAAGGTGTCAAAATTCGATTAAGTGTTTTTTTTTTTTTTTTTTTTTTTTCAATAATAATGATTTAAATCGCGATTATGTAACAGCTTTAACCGCGAGTGAAATGAAATTCAACAAGCGATTAAACTAATTTTAATAGTCACGGTTTATATTACAGTTAATCGCGATTGAATCGTTGGTGAAAACGGACATACAAATTTTTTGGTACTGCAGTGTATGCAACGAAATCGTATTTAATTTTTACTTGCCGTATATAGTTTATTGTATTTTTTTAATTTTTACGAGGCGACGAAATTACAATAAAAATGTAAGCGAGAACAAACATTTGTTTGAAATAAATAACAATAATAATAATACGAAGTTCATCGATATGATACAGTGTCGATTTTATTAATTTTTTTTTTTCATACATCGATAGTCTTTTATCGAATACTACAATAATTCTGTTTATAAACCATTGAATTTACATAATATCATAGGTATCATGTAACGTTTCTGTTTTTTCAAACCCATTCGCGCTAAATCACAACAATAATTGCAGTACAGATTTTTTTCGTAAATCAATATTGTAAAAAAAAAAAAATCGTTTGTCACCTATAAAAAATATAATCTGAAAATAAATTGGTTTAGTAATAATAATTTTAATAACCAATTATAACGTGTATAAAATAGGTACACGCGTACACATAGAAATACATAACTCGAAACAAATATTGATTTTAGATTGGTTTTTTTTTTCGTGTTTATAACCCACGATTTCAAACTAAAATAATGGCGTATAACACAATTAGAGTTTTTTTTATTTTTTAATAAAGGCGCGTTATTAGTCAACTCGGACCGCGTACAAAGTATTATGACTGTAATGAGTCATATTACGGCATATTATGAATTGCAGTTTACGATTATGTTTTAGTAAAAAATGTTCCGACTGTAATTTTGAATATTTAGCGCAACGCAAATGCAATTTAATATATTTATATTTGATATTAAAGACAAACGGTCGCTTTTGTCCTTAAATTAATATTTACACGACCGTGAGTATGCGGCGCGATTTTAAATTAGTATAATTACGCACGATATAAATTACATATTATTATTATAATACAATATAGTATAAATAAATTTTGTGTATTTTTTGTTATTCCGACCCTGAAGGGTCTCATTAAAAATTATGGTAATTTTATACAGTAAACATTACAAAATATTATATTAATTGGTTTTTTTTAGATTTCAAGCGTAGCTATTGATTTTACAATACTGTTTCTTTTTGGTTCTAGTCTGTGGACACGTTTTTTCCTAGTAAACTTACTCCGATTTTTACGCGTAGCAACTTTTCTGAAAGCTCAAGTTGCCTAGATTGTATTTTAAAGACGTAATTAATATTATAATATTATAAATAAAATAAGCATTTTGAAATCAAATTTAAACGAAAATCGCAAAAAAAATTAAGGCACTTCAAATTATGTATTACCGAACTGCGCTCGGAATCGTCTTTCGTCAAGCCATGGTTTATCGTTGCTCACAGATATAAATAAAATAACTTTATGTATCCTACCTTCCCAGCTTCTCACTTACAACAGTGGCCGCTCCCATCCTCAGTATCAGTTCTTTTTTTTATTATTAAATTTCAATTAAACAATTTTTCTTTCTGACAGGCTCTTTTTAAACCAAACTACTGATAAATTATATGATATTTTTAAATTATACATTTGTTTTATTTCCATTTCTTTGTAAGAATATTATTTCTAAAACGTTTGCCCTTTTGATCCCATCATGCACCTGACTGCTACATAGCAATTCAATGTTTATCCGAATAAGAAAAAAGAATATGTAGGTAATAGGTATATTTCATATAAAAATTGAGCAATAATTGAATAATGCAATATATTTATTGTGGTAATAAACATTTTAATCGTTATGTTACTTAAAATACGTACTTATTATGCAAAATTAAAATACATTTAATCAACTAATAAATCAGTGTTTATGTATTTAAAATACATTTTAAATTTCTAGGAAGGGGGGGGCACGATGAGATATATGGGCGAGAATCTGAGGAGAGGAGCCAAATATAATAGTTGTATAGGTGTATTTTGAGGCGTTTTTCGGACGTTTGTTTAAATTAAAATAGAAGGAAAGCAAATTGGCACAGCGTAGAAAAATAGACGAGAACAGAAAAAGAAGAAAAATAAATGATGACACTGTTTAAGAGCAGTAAAATAAAACCTGCACGCATTTGACAAGCCGCAGGGGTAAAACGAATCGCGTTTTGAATATCGTTGCATTTTTGGCGACTACTGGTAAGAAAAAGTGACATTTCAGTTCGTGGTGAGTTTGGATACGTTGTGCAAACCATATATTCCATAGTGAAGGGAAATATTTGGATTAGCTGAAGGTCAAAAATCTGAATTTTCGGATCCGAGATCTAAACATTTATTGTAGATATCCCGAATTTGGACATTGAACATTTCACGTTGTTGGATTTTTTGCGTATGTTATGTCTATTATTCTAAACTCGCTGCATACAAGTAAAATCGATTTAAATTCTAACAAGTTATATCGGTTCAACAAATTCAAAAAATAATTGTGACGGCATGGCGTTTTTTGTTTGTTAAAAAAACAAATATTAAGGAACTTCAGTTGTCGTATAAAATGTCCGAGTACCTAAATTTCCTAATTTTTGCACTACCCGCGAATTTTCGGTCGCATTTAGTGGCACCATCAGGTGGAAGGAGGGCGGGTGTGATAAAACGAGGTTGCTACACTGCAGGTTACGTCATTTATAGTCCCGACATACGATCACAATATTATACGGATTTGCGATATTTGTAACATTATTTAGACACAGACATACAGTAGTGGCGAAAAAAGGAGAAAACATAGATGACACGCGATCCGTCCCAACACTACAACATTGACAATATTATTTTATTATCATTCGTTTTGAAAATAAACACTCGCCATAAAGATTATCGTAATAATAATTAATAATATGTACGGATCGAGATACGTGTTGATTTCGCGTACCTGTTCGTTATGAAGTAGGTATGCACGTTATCTACACTGTCGAAAGTCGACGCAATGAATTATATAAAACAGCCGATTTTTAATTTTTTTGTTGGTGTACTGTCGTGACCGATAAGACGCGCGCGAGTACAAGTATAAAACCTCGTCTGCGACGTGAATAATTTTATTATTATTATTTTATATTTTATACATGAACACTGCGATATTATTATGGATGCGCGAGCAATGCGTATTCAGTCTTCGTACAGTCCACGGGAGAACAAAAACAAAAAAAACGAGTTTTTCGTCCTCGAAACGTGTATCTATATACTACCTAATGTATACCTATACGGTTACACCACTGTTATAACCGTGGGTTACACCTATATAAACGTACCGCACTTACCAGCTACACCCATACAAGAAGGATATGCCCACTCGTTTACGATTTAATAATATATTTTATTATAATATACCTGCAATGGTCCTACATGTGTCTTCTACTTCTCCTTTGCCTTCCTTAGCCACCCTCGTCCTAAACTTCCACTTGACCCGATCTCCCATCTTACATACACCGGCTTACGGCTGTCTTTATATTATCGAGGTGGTTGGATGGGCCTTTTTTTTCAGTCTTTCTCTCCTCCTCTTTTATCGTACGTTTATTTCCATTACAATTCGTTCTGCTTCTTATCCGTTTTTCTTCGTGACATGTTCAAACACGATATCCCTTCGCGTAGCAGTCTCACATACGTAGGGATATAATTAAAAATATAAATACAATAAGTTAACCTAAATTAACACCACGTTTATGCAAATTATGAGTTCAGGATGCTTAGCTTAACTTAACTACGTTGCCCATGAGCCAAGTATTCCCGACTTGGTGTTCGTCACCCGCCGGCCTGAAAGCCTGTCATGTCCTTCCTTCACGCGACGGTTAAAAAAATAGATTACTCTAGAGATAAACTCTCAACCTAGCCTATTATGTCACTACTTATTGTCGTTAGTTATTTTGTTCCCTTCCTCCAAATACATACTCTATATACTTCTCCTTAGTCTTTTTCCTTCAAGTCCTACTTTCAATTCCTCAAGAAAACTAGTCAAGTCTTGTTTAGATGTCCTCATATTGTTTGATAAAATTTTATTTAGGCTATCGACCAAACGTAACCCTAATTTGTCGTCTCTTATGATAAGTAGAGGTATACCGTGAGGGTATTCTGACCCCCTCAAACGGGAAGAAACTAAATAGGTACATAATATAATATACGAATATTATATTCAAGAGTTACAGAACATTTTATAATTTCAATTGCACAGATTTTTAATTTCTAAAATTGTAGGATATTACTACGATGTAACTATGTGGGTATAATATAATTTATTGTATACAGTTGAACACGTACCCGCAATGGAGAACGTCAGGTCAAACACTGTCGGTATCCAGAGACAAGCCCACCGGGTTCCCAGATGGTATTTTTCGGTGAACCCTTCCAGGACGTCCGGCCCGAAACATCTGAGCATGCCGGGCAACAAGAAATTGGCGAACGCGCATCCGGTGACCACGTACCAGCTCCAGTCCTCGTCCCAAGCAGCGGTGATCCGACCGTCCCGGCGCAGCGATGACGATTCTGTAAACCCATATTATTTCGACGTTTCGATTTTACATATTTTTGTTTAAACCCGATGAGAAATTGTCAAGTTATAGTAAATATAAACGGACACGTCTCGTTTTTTAGGGTGATAATACGAGTAAACTCGAGGAGATAGACTAAAACCTGAAACGGCCATTTGCCTCCCTAAACATTTTTGTGTCGATTCAAACCGACTTGACTACCCCTGACATAAAAAATTGGACCACTATGCAGTTAAGAAAATTGAATTACATAAATTGAAACACAGAAAAAAGAATATAATAAAATACTTACTTTTGTCCCGAAGCATGTACGACGACTCGTCGGGTTCATTATTTTCCGCTGACGGACGCGGTGGTTTTTCGCGGCTGTACATTTCCTAGTACCGAAATCCGGTACGTGCACCACCTATACAATGTCATATTGAAAAATGGTAAGTTCCTACACGAACCTCGTTTACATATTATATGAAGGTGTAGAAAAACGTAACATTTAAGTTCCTAAACGGGTAAAGTTCAAATGTATTTGTTCATACACACAGTGGTTCAGTCAGGATGTTTTAGGGAGGTGTTTTATTTTGTGTTTAAATTTGTTGAGAAAACTCCTGGGAAGATCGAAAAATGACCCTTAAATTACCATGGAGATGAAATTTCCTTTCAGAAAATAGGCTACACTTGAGTACTGGAGCAAGATTTTTGGTAGAACAGTTTGCACAACAAATCGAAGGGTATTTTTCAATTAAAATAGTCCGAGCAAACGGTAGATGGGTCTTTAGGTACGCCTAAAATGTATTTGTTTTTTCCTGTTTAGGTGAAAGGGATAAAATAAGTGCAACAAATTTGTTTTAGAAACAGGGGTATAAACTTGCGAACCCTAGGATGACAATAGGTATGTATTAGGCTATGACAAACATACTCTAGAGAAGATAATATTTAGTTTTTTAACATAACATATAATATCCACATAATATCAGAACTTCAAAAAGCTTTAATTTCGAAACTTAGTCAGTATGCTCAATTCTGACTTCACTTTCGTTCTTAAATCGGCAATATACATATTATGTTCAAAAAAAAAAAAAATACAACAAATAACAAAATTGAAAAGTAATAAAAACATTAATTTCGCAAATTTCCTATTTTTTACGTTTCCCAGATATTATGAAAACCGCTTGGAAAATCAAAAAATGACCTAAAAGGGTAACATTCCCTTTCAGAAATGGTGCCGCGCGTATATATTTGAGCAAGATTTTTGGTAGAATTTGCGTACACAATATAAAAAAAAAAAATAAAAAATAGACATCTTTGTAAAACCAATCGCATTCTTCGCTACACTCAGAATCTAATATTTTGATTTTCGACATAAATATGGCCAAGGGGGAATATTTTAACTCCAAAATAACAGGTCCCCTCCTTCCTACACCACTGCATACATATTATATGAAGTCCAATGGTACAGACACCCGTTTTATATTATCCACTATACTAAACTATGTTGAGTTTCGTGTTTTTTAAGTAATTTAAAAACAAAAAATTGTGTAGCGTAAATCAGTACGTAGTTTGCTACATGGTTGCCAATGTCCACCTTAGCTTAACGTTATGTATGTTGCAGACTCTGTCTGCGTAGATCGATAGTAAATATTATGGTGGCCTTTAGCCAGTGAAATCATGAAATATTGTAATTGTTCTAAATCACAAATAACATTAAGTTAAGTCGGCTGCCTATTATGTTATAATAACCCGGTATTCTAATCCTATATTATGCCATGTCCAAACTTCTCACCAACAACAGTGGCTTACCCTCGGCGCAATACACATCCGACATTTTAGACTTAAAAAAATTTGTGGATTCCGAAAATCGTTTATTAATTTTCAATTTCAAACGTCGATATATATATACATGTATAGAGTCTCATCGAAACGTCTGATTGTCAAACATTAAACTAATCACTGTTCTCGCAAGCCCAGGCAAGATTGCGTGAAAAGAACGTGGACTAAAAATAATTAAAAACACGTAAACTATGCGCGTTAAACTATGATTTATACGCAACAATAGTATAGAAAAAAAAAAAAATAAAAAAATAAATAGCTGATAGCTCAAAAATTGTTGTAGGTACACAGATATATACGTACAGGAACCAACACGCTTACATGCCGATGTACAACATTATATTGTGTCCTTTTCTACACCCGTGTGTGTATTTGTACTGTAGCGTTTTATGTAAATGAGAGCCGTGCAGGAACTTACCCTCAACCCCGGTGGGTGTTTCGTTTACCAGTAACAACGGCGCACGTCGTTTCCGTGTTTAGCCCGGCGACGGCGGCGGCATGGGGAATTCGGTGCGGCGGAACGGGTGTCGGAACGCGTCGGCCGATCGGACGTTACTAAACGAGACAATACAATAATATTATTATGAAAACTCGATACACTCGACATAATAATTATCGGATTATCGGTGTGCAGCGCCGATGAGCCCGCGACGATAAAAGAGCGCCCGGGCCGCTCCGGAAGACCAGATTGTCGCGGGCAGACGCGATAACGGGCGAGCGTACACAACGCGCACCACTCGCACCGCGTACGGGCGCGCGTGCACTCGTGTAAATGTTAACGGTAGCCCGGTACAGCACGGGGCCCACACGGACGGCGCGGCGTGCGATTGCGTACCGAGCGTTCGTCGCGGCCGTCGTCGCCCGTAACAACGATGTTACTGTGTTCGCGTCGTAGTGTCGATTCTCGCGCGACACGGAACGTGGCCCACGCGCGCGTTCGCGATAATATTACTACCGACCGGAGTAAAACGTATGTGTGGTGTAGGTATAAGTATGCGTGTACACGGGTCGCGTCCCTCCCGGGTCATTTGGACGCGATTCATGTACGTATTTTATTTCAGTGGTTCTCAAAACGCCGCCTCGTTTCGAAATATTATCCAAACGGGTGTCCAATGTCCATGTTATAGAACGCCGAACAAAAAAATGAATTGTTATATAACGCATAATAGTTCATGACGCGGTAACTGCGGATAAAGTCCTGCGACAGGCCTGTGGCCCGAGTGTTGCTTCAGCGACACATGCACGTTATTATAACATTGTCGATCTAGTGATGTCATTTAATCTGATGGCACCTTCTCTAATTAAATGTATAACATGACGGGGTTGATTTTGTCAAGTTTTTTTTTTTTTTAATGTTTTCTGGTCGTCTCTAGTAAATATAACTTATACAGAGGTGGCCAATAGTCGCGCAACGCCTACCGTCTTGTATGGAACGCGCGTTACGGCGCAGTCGTAATAATAAACGTCGTTTCCGTTACGTCATATTCCAACTTTGGTCTCGTTATCTTGTTTACGTACAACAGCAGCAAGGTTTATAAAAAAAACAACATATTTAACAAAAAACACAAAAGTTTTATAAAAACTGTGTTGCAAATTTGTTGCGCGACTTTGGCCACCTCTGTACTGGGAAACGGAGGAAATCACAGAAAAAAAAAGGCCGTAATATTTTTAATCAATCTCTTCGTACATTTTCCACTTTTTCCTCGGTTTTTTTTTTTTTTGGTTTTTTTACATTTGTTTAGAAAACTCTTGGGAAAATTGAAAAATTACTTTATAAAAGTACCTACCCAATTAGATTTCCTTTCAGAAAAAGTGCTATTATTGTAAATCGGAGTAAAATTGCTGGCAGAAAAGTTGTCTACAGAAAAAAAAAATAAACATCTATGTAAAACCATAAGCTTTTTCGCTCTATTCAGAATCTAAAAAAAATTACAAAATGACCGAAAATTGCAGTATAAAAAACAAGTTAATTACCTTGATTTAGTGTATTAAAATAACTGAAACGTCTAAAATGCAATGAAAAAAAAAACGTACTCAGAAAAATGAAAACGTTTTTGGACACAAGAAACTAAAAAATAAAAAACGTTTACGGATACGAATTGAACAAATTGAAAAACGAAATTTGTCTACGCGTTTATACTTCCGGCTTTAAGAACCCCTGACAAGAAATTAACTACAGTCTACTACCCACATATTTTTTTATTTCTTGAAACGTACGTTTCTTTCTTTTCACTTTTTTTCTCTTTTTTTTTATCTCGCCGTTCGAAATCGGGTTTATCATCTCTATGAACGTCTGTACGTAACTTTGGGTTTTTTCCATACCTCCCGGCTTTCGAAATCGAAATGCAGACGACGACGTGGCCATTGTATGACCAGTGAACAATTCGTGTTTCTGGAACCAAAGAATGGCCGAAACAGGAAGAAAAAATATGAACAATAATATTAGGATTATCGCTTCGGCCACTGTAGGCTATTGTATTATACAATATACTTTTTGAGCCTATACTCACTAAGTACAAAAATTAGCAGATATTATGTTAGTTTACGATATTTTAAACAACTACATCGACTGTCCTAAATTTTTATTTGAAATTTGTTTCCGTATACCGCGTAGAGACACGAGGAACTTTAATCTATTCTTAATTCGAGAGGTTTTGTTTAGGCCAATAAGATTACCGCCGAATAGATTTTCTTTTTCGTACTTCCTTCACAGCGTATTCAAAATTCATTTAATTCAATATTTTATACACAGGTACTTGCAGTCTTTTATGTACATGTCAGAAATGTTACAACAGTTATTACAATCTCGCAAAAAGAATATTTGTTCGCGAATGTAAATTAAATAAATAAATATACAGCACTAGAAAGAATAACAATTTCGTATTCCTGTACTGCCCTCTCCGTCGAGGACACGGTTTTTTAACGTCATCACGTGACACTGATTCGACCGGTCGACGGTCGCCAGTGTTCAAAATACAAAATTGCTGCCGTGTCATGTGACGCGGTAGGTAGGGGAAATTAACGATAATTTATCCGGACGAGGATTTGTATTAACACGTGAAATTTACGATTATCGTTTTACAATCTATATGAACGTACGCACATGTGTTAACATTATCACTAGGTATCGCAATATAATACATATCCATTATCCAAACACTTTGCGTATTTCATAGGTTATGATGTTCGTTCCTGCCCGTTGCATTGGCGCATATTCAGCCTAAAACTTCTCCCAATCTGTACGAAATTTCGAAATTAAATTATATACTACCTACACATTAAATAAACAAAATTGAAATAATGAAATTCGATTTTCAATAATAAATCTTTCATTGCCTAATAAATAACCAACAAGGAATAGATAACTCCTTAAAAATATGAAACATTTAACATAAATTAATATAACAATATAATATTAACTATTAATATATTATGTTTGATATAAATCAATATATAATAGTATAATAGTAATTACTTATCTCATATCTGAGTACTAATTGAATATTATATTTATTTTATTTAGCTTATAATCTGGAGGTGCTAATTTTAGATTTAGGGGTGCTAAGCACCCCCTGGAACTCCCTGGCACCCCCGTATATGAGTCAGTGGTCCGTTATTATAACCGTATGCGTCTTAGGTTGGGTTGCACAAACGTTCTGTAAACATAATATATAGACGCATGTATATTACATGTAAATTATAATAGCTCTGTAACATATTATAATAAAGTTGCTCAAAAAAAATTTGTAAAACATCTGTAAATAAAAAATATAATGATAACAATGTTTACCGGATTAACCGTTTATATTTGATAACCCTGAACCATGGTTATCTTACTGTAGTAGTAGATAAGTTTGATAAGTAATAAAACTGTGGCATCTTTGTACCAAAAATAAAAAAAAAATTGAATTTTATTATTTTATTATTAGTCATTAAGTTAGTATATGAATTGTTGTTTGAAATTTACACCATCAAACTCAACTAGCGGATCCGATCCATCCCGGAAATATCTTGGCTAAACATCCAGAATTCTTAAATACAAATGCAACTGGTTCCAAATGCCATAAAGATGATTCTGCATCTTGGAAATACTTTGATTGAAACAAGAACGAAACGCTCATTTATAAATTTCAATAAATATTTTCTCAAGAGTGAGATCGAATTATGGAAAACTAAGTGGGACCAATCAATTTGCAAAGATATAATAAAATAATATATTTTTATAATCCAAATAAGAAATGATTAATTTTATTTAAATTTTAGATTCTGAATATAGCGAAGAATATACCTATTGGATTTACAATTATGATTTTTTTTTTTACTGTGACAAAAATGTCTACTAGAAATCTTGCTTCAATATGTAAGTGTATCACCATTTTTGAAAGAAAATATTGTCATATTGACTAGATGGTACTTTAGGAAGGCTATTATTGATTTTCCAAGCAGTTTTCATAATATCAGGAAAACCCAAGATGAAACGTAAGAAAAACAGGAAAATTTACTCAGTTAAAAATATTCGTAGAGACGTCAAATTCGAACAGAAAACTTATATTTGCGGTTTTTAACATTTTTCAAGAAAACTTCGGAGAAAATCGGAAAACAACCTCTTTAAAGTACCTCCCCAGTAAAATTTCCTTTTAGAAAAATTGTTATAATTAAAAATTGGAGTAAAATTGCTGGTGGAAAAGTTGTTCACAGAAAAAAAAAAATGTTTTTTTTACGAAATTTACTGTTTTAATTAACTTCTTGAATATAGTTTTATTATTGAGCCGCGTCTTCCGCATCTTTTGAATTTACGCGTCGATGCCATAGCGTCATTATTTGTAGTAAAATACAAACGGTAAAAAACTATATACTATCTCGATATAATATATAATATACCTTGGTACAATAATAAAAAATCACTACATTCAACAATTGCAAAAATCCTATAGCTAGATAACAACAACGTATATAGACAAGAGTTCTGTGCTGTCGAGAGTCTGCGATTTTCGTTTTAAAAACTAACCATTTATGGAGAAAACGTTTTTCCATACGACCGCGAACGTGAATTCCTCCAAATCTTGTATACGTTATATGGGAATCATGTTATGTAGATTCTCTAAATTCAATTGAATTTGTTATTTTGTTCAGTTTTTCAATTTTATAAATTCGAGAAAGTCCCAAGTGTGTCACAAGTTTAAACTGGTAACGAGTTAAGAGAAACAATACATTTTTTTTTTCTTGTCATAGTAGGCACAATTGTAAAAGGTGCATGTATATAGGACGTATTGCATGAAAAAAAAAACAAATAATAACTAAGAAATTTTCTTTCGAAAGTCGAGAACGTTGTGTCATTCGAATATTTTATACTTTTCGAAAATTTAATCGTGAACAAATTCTGCACCGACACTGAAGAAGTTTCAGACATTTTCCCAACAGTAATTGGTTAGTAATGAATAAGAGGTTTATTGTCTAATATTATTATGCAATGAAAAAATGTATAATGGTTCGAGACTTTGAGTCTTGTTTTAAATTTCAAACTATTACCTGTTCTATTATATTTTAGGAGTAGGTATAGATATTGGTATTTTGTGTGAAGTGTAACTCTACATATATATATATATGAAGCAGAGATCTGTATTATACTAAAGGCTGAGAAAGCCAAAATAGAAGATTTTGAAGTTTTATGTCGGAAAAGAAGCGTTAAAAATTTCATAGATAGGAAAAGGGGAGAAATAAAAAAATAAATATTGGTGTGGTAACGATGCGTAAATCTCACTTGTGTACAAGCTAATATTCGTCTTATTTGCGTAGGTGTATCGAAATAACAACTGGTCTCATTTACATACTAATTGTCACTTTGCCTTGACACTTGTGGATAATTTTGATTATAATGGCATAATATTATTAACTTAAAAATATAATATTTTAAAGCAATTTTTATAAAAAAAAATCTATATATGTAATGTA